CTACGAGATCACCTGTGGTGGAAGTGGACGTTCATTGTCTACGAGATCACCCGTGGTAGAAGTGGATGTACATTGTCTACGAGATCACCCGTGGTGGAAGTGGACGTACATTGTCTACGAGATCACCCGTGGTGGAAGTGGATGTACATTGTCTACGAGATCACCCGTGGTGGAAGTGGACGTACATTGTCTACGAGATCACCTGTGGTGGAAGTGGACATTCATTGTCTACGAGATCACCCGTGGTGGAAGTGGACGTACATTGTCTACGAGATCACCCGTGGTGGAAGTGGATGTACATTGTCTACGAGATCACCCGTAGTGGACGTGGACGTACATTGTCTACAAGATCACCCGTGGTGGAAGTGGATGTACATTGTCTACGAGATCACCCATGGTGGAAGTGGATGTACATTGTCTACGAGATCACCCATGGTGGAAGTGGATGTACATTGTCTACAAGATCACCCATGGTAGAAGTGGACATAAAACTCCAGGAACGAACAACGAACTGAGTGTTCAATCTGGACTTTTCAGTAGCCCTTTGTTATTAGGGTATTCCCATTCCGTCCTCATGGAATCACTTAAACCAATGTCAAACACAAAAACAAGATTCTGGCATAAAATACGTTTAGTTTATAATATTAAAAACGGTAGAATTTTACCTGACAATTTAACATATAGTCTGTAAAAAATGACATCTGTTTTATTTTCTCTAAACTTAGATTGGTAGTCCAACTCTGACTTTCTGAAACAGACATGTTCAAAAATATTACACGAAAAACATCCATGGGGTAAGCACTGGGCAAAAATGTCAGGGTATCACTAACTGGCAACCTGTCTGCTAGCTTGACTTAGGGAGCGGTTGTTATTTCTCGATCGAATGGTTAGGCGGTTTTGTGAAAATCAACGTATAACAGACTCTGCAATTAAACGGCAGAAAAAGAAGTTAGCAGAAAATAATTCAAGAATTTACTTAGACCTAAATATGTATGGTAATTGGACAGTAAGTAATGACAAATACAGTCTGAAAGATAGGTTGCCAGACAATGAAACATACGCCCACAGCAGCTAAGTCATCCGGGGAGTCAACAAGGGTTGTCGCATATTTTTTTCTTTTGTCAGAACTTAAAATGCTTACAACTAGTAACAAGCCAATTTTCTTTGAATTCTGCTCTATTCTAACATTTAGCATACAAAACATCTAATATCAATTTCCATAATCATCGAAATCGTTGAAAATTGATAAGCTTCTTCGTCTCATGACCTTTAACATTGTATAAATATAATGTCAATCGGATATTAATTTTAGCCTCAAGAACATCCACAAGAATTTTTAGGGTGAACAAGGGCCATAACTCTGGAAGTAGTTATTGGAAATCATTGAAAATCCATAGGATTCTTCATTTCATGACCTTAAACACTGTGTATAAATTTAAAGTCAATTGGATAAAAACTTTAACGTCTAAAGCGTCCACAAGCAATTGTGGACGTCGGCCCGACAACAATATACGACCATATTTCAATGTGGTGGCAGTCATTATCGGAAATCGTTGAAAATCAATAGGATTCTTCATTTCATGACCTTAAACACTGTGTATAAATTTAAAGTCAATCGGACATTAAATTTAACATTAACATTAGCTGGACCGAAGACAATATACGACCACATGTCGTAAAAGTTAGGTGACAAACATGGCTTCTAAAAATAGATTTTTTTTATAGATTGGGGTGTTTCCTCGCAAAAAAAACGTTTTAGGGGGATTTGAAGCAAATTTTGGATAAATAAATTAGTTTCAATATGTTTTAGTCCAAATATATCATCAAATCACACAGTTTGTACGGGGGAAGGTCTAAGAATTTATAAACAGACTCAAGGGGTTAAAGGCTATCGGGAATTGGGATTTTAGACAACTGATCATCCTTATCAGACTGATGAAATCCCTGGTTGTGAATCTAGTCACATGATCACATGACATCAGAGCTCCCTGGAGCCATACAGTTTATTACTATTTATTGTAGAACACAGAAATTTACCATTCTTTTTCCCCGAACACAGATTCAAAGCACCAGCTGCAAAGTTATTTAAACCTAAAATAAAATTCATTAAAATATAAATATGAGCTACAAAATAAAAGCATTTTATACTTTTATATAATATGAAAACTAAACACAGGGTCGGATTAAGTTGTATGGGGTCCCTGGTTGAAAAGACACTGGGGCCCTTCTATTAACAGTGAAAAGGGGACAAATTCTGGTCATTGTCCATCACACTCACACAAATACAATTTGTAGGCCCATGTCAGTATGGTAGGTAGATAGATCTATTTGGTACAAATATATACAACATAATAAATGACATTTAAATTTTCTATAGAACTAATTTGAAATTGGATTCCCCCCGCCTCCTGAATGGAGAGGCAATTTTCTGATGGACTGAAGATTAAAGTTACAATTTCATATTTTCTAAGAAAGTCAAAACGTAATTATTTCTATGTCTTTTGCTCAATAGGTTGTCAATTCACTATTATACGATCATAGGTGTCATTCTCACACTTAAAACTCATTTACACCGGAAATAACACAATTACCTCCCTTGTTTTCTATTCTCCACCATGGAGTAGTTATCTTCAAACGTTTGAATTTGAAGATGAAAATGATATTTTTGCCAATTTCTCAACTGGCAATAGTGAATTATAGGATTAACAGGATTATTCTTTCACAAGGTAGGACTGTTTATAGATATCATCTATTTTAAGCTTTCTTTTAATAAATTTTAAAAATATAACATAAAAATATGAAATTGCAACTTTAACATGGAGTACTTCTGATGAAACTGGTTTAATTTGAATTATTTTTACCAGTGTTGTCGTCAAAACAGTCAACAATCTCTTCATACATTTTCTGGTAATCTTTAATAAAACTACGACATGTTTCCTCACAGACACTGAAAAAATAAAGTTGAATCATTAAACATACATTATGCAAGAGCTAAATCTGCCTATTGCAGGTCTTTCTTTAGGCCTGAAATGTTATCTAAATTATTAATTAGACACTAATTAACTTATCCAGGCCATAATCAACTCTCGATGTCGTCGCTAGCCTGCAATAATTACTGGATTAGAACCTGGTCTGCTGCTTCTGATTAAATCAGAAACTGGATAATTGAGACTACAGGCTACGAAATTTCACGCGAACGATACCAATCGGTTACTTGCAGTCGTGCCAGCTCAAAAACACACAACCAATTTCCTGGTTACGCAAATTGAAATGGCCACTCGACACAAACCAGGTCATTTCAATAATTCGCTTGTGCGTAGGGGACTTTAGCAGTGGGAGGAATCCGGAGGACCCAGAGAAAACCCATGAGACTGGACAACGACCCTACTCCTTCTCACATACAACCAGGGGATCGAAACCATGCCAGTTGACTCGATGACAGACCATATGATACAATGTGCACGTGCTAACCATTCAGCCATCCAACCTCCCGTGACTACAGATAAATCTACTGTTAGATCAGTATATGGTGGTATAATTTGTAGACTTACATTTTTTCATACTGAGCACTATTTAGATGTACAATGATATTTCTGATCACATCAGCTTTCTGAGATGGAGTTCCATTCTCTAACTTGCTGTCAAACGTCAGAGATTGTAGTCGTGACAGAAATCCGGCTCCATTTTCTTTCCCAGTTTCCATATTACTGTTATAAATCTGGTTTAAAAGTTTAAAAAAAATCAACTAAAAGCCGAAATTATAAGAGTTTTGAATTTCGTTTTGATAAAAAATAATGTATGAATGGCATATTTTGTCAGTGAAAAGAGTAGGCCGTAGTGCCGCTGTCCGGGCAAAATTTCCCTCATAGCACACTGTATGGCGTATGCCCGTCTTCATTAGCCCAGGTTAGGTGCAGAACAGTAGGACGTTAAACTCCATTTCATTTCATTTCCATTAATATAATAAAAGGTTGACAAGTGAGACTGTTTCATAACTAGACTGGCTGAATTCCAACTGCCAAGGGATCTTTTACGTGCATTCCAATGTATACACAGGACCTCGGTTTTCCGTCTCATCTGAAGGACTAGACAGCTGTCCTTGTCAGGCCCTCCGTCCTGCATCACTGACAAGGGGGAACCACGCCGGAAAATCTGGATGAACTTTCTCGGCCAATGCAGGGATCGAACACCCGACCTCCAGGCTAGCGAGCCAGCGTCTTACCCACTTAGCCACGTGATCCCCTAGACTGGCTACTGCCTTTGACCAAAATTGCCCCAACTAAACAGCAATCTCAAAAACAATGTAGACCTATTGGCACTATCTGTGCTACCAAACTATTACGAATGAATGAAATCATGGACCTTATAATACAAGGTCCATGAGGAAATGTGGTTTAGTATCCTGCTTTGCTAAACTGTTCTGCTGGGCCACCATCGAATTCCAAATGTCAAATTAATGTTCTTTTTCGTGCAAGCAATGTCCATACAGACATGACCTAACTTATATTAAAAGTTATTTTTTAAAGTTTACATTGATTTATATTCATTTCACACCACCATCTTAAGAATTCCTGTAGAGATGTTGCAGGAGAGATGTTGGGGGTGGGGGGGGGCGTGAATCTGGACACAAAATTTCAAACTAATCTAAGTCTAATTATACGGGCAACGTCTTATTCCTCCCTCCCCCAAGTCAGTTGTGATGTGTGTCTAACCCAACCCTGGACCAATCAAGATTCTAGACCTTATTCTTATTGCTGAGAATGTAATTGTGAGCCCATTACACAGACTGGGAACGGAAATGATCCTGGTGATCAGTTCAATAATATCAAAACGTCAACCACTCCCGCCAATGTTGACCTTACTACCATAAACATCAAAGAATAGTTCAAGGGAGTTAACTGCGGCGTATCCAACTGTAAAAAATAGTGCGCGCTTAATTATTGACATATTATATTAATATCTGTCGTTACAAATATCAATATTCTTGCATCAATCGATAAGTACAAGTATTTGAATTTATTTATTGAAAGATCTGTTTGGACGTTAGTTGTATTGTTTTTAACTTGAATGCGGATTAATCTCGGCGCACTTGCTAGCACACCACTGTAGTTCGTTCTTTCACGTGGGCTCGCCATTAGTGGTAGGTCGTGTCTGAGAACTCTCCTCATGTTTTCAAGATTTGCAACTGAATAAAAACTGATATTTATTATAATAAACATTCTAAATAGTATATTGTGGTCCCTTTTCTTTTTATACGCCAATATTTATTGTCAGACCGCAGTATAACGAATTTTGGGGGTGTTCATACCCGAACACGTGTTTCGACTCTGACTCTAGTCTCTCAGTCTTCAAATGGGAATCGTATTGTGTGCATTTCCAGGTTGGCAGTGAGCGTTTTAATTCATAGTGATGCCACTGATGGTTAGCTGAAACTATGTTCCAAAATCATTTTCGTCCATTTTTTATCATTGATTGTCACTTGGTTTATGCTAAAGTTTAATTTATAATATGGCATGGCCGTCATTTGAGTACCACATCCCGTCCATAATTTATTGTTGATACACAACTTAATGGGGCATTAGCTGGCGGTTCTCATTATAATAGTTAAAAACTAAATAATGTGAAGGGAATATGCTGAAAATTTCAGTCAAATTTTCTGAACTGAGATATTAGCGATTGAATTTAAGGCCTAGCCAGTAGCCTCGATCATTACTAAAGTCAATAAATAAAATTAAAAGGCAGTCTCTATTATCCATTTTTGGATTTAATCGTCAATGACTATTGAACAGCAGGATTCAAATCCAGTGAAAATCTGACGCATAGGATGGCACCAAGAGTTGAGGTTTTTCATGTTAATAAATGTGTAATTAATAGTTTATGTAACATTTCAGGCCTAAAGAAAGACCCGCAATAGGTAGATTTGGTTCTTGCATAATGTATGTTTAATAATTTATTAGTTCATACAATATTTTGTTTTCAGGCTAAAGTAAATCAAGATGGGAAGGGTCCCCCGAGTTCAGAGTAAAACATATGCTACTCCCCGACGTCCTTTTGAAAAGGAACGTTTGGATCAGGAGTTAAAAATTATTGGTGAATATGGTTTGAGGAACAAGAGAGAAGTATGGCGAGTCAAATACACCTTGGGTAAAATCCGAAAAGCTGCTCGAGAATTGTTGACGCTTGAAGAGAAGGATCCCAAACGACTTTTCAATGGTAAATTTAAATCATTGACTATTTACTTAAAGTAGCTAAGTCCGTAACTCAATATCATCCAAAATCTTAGACATTGAAAACACAAATTTTTTTGCAATTTAAATCAGCATTGGTGTTGTGATCTTACCTGGAAAAAATGGGCTTCTGATATCCAATATTTAAGACAAAATTAACATTTTACCATTGGTACACGAATCGTGTACCATAATGCGTTTCAGCGCCATTTGTAACAAGGTGCTCAATGAATGAGGCTAGACATATTCCACAAGTCATGTCAAACGGTAATATCATGTTCTTATTTGGAGAACATGCGCAATAAATAATATCGATGTTGACTGGAATAACCAGACGCTAGAAACTGACTTGCGGTTGTGACTTCTGGCGTATTTCGCCGATCATAACTGATGACAATTCACAGTAAAACGGACACAATTGAATGTAAAACAGTTTATGTAAATTCATATTACATTATTATGTGTTGCGACCCATTTGTTCCAATTACTAGGTCCAAAATATTAGCGATTTAGCTCCTTTAAAATATAAAGCTTATACATCTTCCAGGTTCCTTAAAATTTGTTTGCCAGTTCTAGGATAATTTTTGCCATTTTTCACTGCGCTTAAATGTGTTAAATTACGAAAATTAGGAGGACAAGGAAAAGTTCTGGCTATGTTTTTTTACTTTGTGTGAATTTCTCCATAATATGCATATTGGATACACACTTTGTGAAATGTATCCAAGTTCCGGTGTTTCCAAATGGGTTAGGGGGGTTGGATGGCCGAATGGTTAGCATATGATAGTTTGTGTCGAGTGGACGTTATACATGTACCCCATTTCTCTCTTTCCAATACATACACTAATCAGATCATAAGGTCCTGTCTGTCATTGAATCAAGTGACTTGGTTAAGATCCCCGGCTTGTAAGTTACAAGGAGTAGGGTCGCCTCTCCAGTCTTGTGGGTTTCCTTGGATCCGCCCACGTCAAGATCCCTACGCGCATGCAAATTATTGAAATAAAATTGAACTATTTTTATATACGCACATTGACATCGCACCTGTCCAGTGGACATCCGTTATTTTAGAACAGTAATAGACACAAATTGATGAATATATAATTTTATAGGTAATGCTTTGTTGAGACGATTAATCCGCATTGGTGTACTTGATGAAACCAAAATGAAACTAGATTATGTTTTGGGTCTCCGTCTGGAAGATTTCTTGGAGAGAAGACTTCAAACCCAAGTTTTCAAGCTTGGTCTTGCCAAGAGTATTCATCATGCTCGAGTTCTTATTCGACAAAGACATATAAGGTAAACATAACGTCTACCTACTAAATGCTCAGTTCATAAAAATACCAATTTCCTAACCATCTTTTTGTCCCCTGACTTTCAAAGAAAGCAGGGGACTATTAAAATGGGTTCGTCTGTCCGTCACACTTTTTGGAACACAATAACTCTTTCTAATGGAGCTAGAATTGTCAAACTTGATGTAGGTATTTATTAGGTTAATGCCTTGATGAAGTTCGAAGATGAGCAGAGATATTTAAAGCACTTTGATTGGTTGTTGCTTTGGTACACGATAACTTTAGTTCTAATTAATGAAACTAAGTGTATAGTGTAGCAATATTGTCGTTGCGACATTGTTTTCAATTTATAGGCAAGGTGGCGGTATATGTCATTAATATCTTTGGCAAGTTGGTAGATTCATCAACTTAGTCTGTAATTGACAGTATACACATAGAGTTATATAGTCAAAACATAACTGTTTCTGTGTGTCAATAAAATACCACAAGATTACACGTGAGTGGAATTATTATAATTGCATCATTTGGCTTAAAGTAACCAATCATATCGTTAATTGCACAGGTTCAGGGTCATGATCACACTTGGCTGTGCGTGATATTCATATGCCTATAAAAGAAACCGTGGGACTCTGTAAGTCAGACTTCCATTAGATTCCAGAGAGGTTCCATCTGAGTTCCTAGACAGTCGCCAGGGTGGAGAAATGGTTTTAGCTAGTATTATCTATTATGCTTACATGGATACCATCCGGAATCGAACTCGAAGCTTGAACACGATTCCATTGCACGATGCATGACGTATTATCTAAGATCGCAGAAAGTTTTAACACTTGGGATTTATACTTGTATCAAATTTTGGCCGATATTCGATTTAATGTCAATGAATCGACAAAGTTTTCTCCTTTTTACTTGTTGTATAATCGCGATCCTGTATTGCCATTTGGGGACCGATCCTCATGAAATAGCGTTGCAAAATCAGCATCAGGCTTTTCTTTTAGTTCACAAGAGGTTAAGGAAAATGCAGCGTAAAAATGCTGAATATGTGAACAAAAAAGGCAACTGACACCCTTTTTAAGGGGGGTGATCCAGTGTATTACAAAAACCATCTTCGGAAACATAAATTACAGGAAAGATGGACCCCATATTATCGGATAATTGAACAAACGTCACCAGTCTCCTTTATAATAGATAATCAACTAACAGGCCAGACTACAAGGTCGAATACGCAAGATCTGCGTTTAGCAAAACTTGATAATTGTCAAATTCCGGAGAAACAATCCGATAAGGAAAAGTTATTGCAAAAAGCACAATATGTAGAAGATCCATGGAGCTCAGATTCTAGCTCAGAAAACGAAAACCAGTGGACCCGATGAGGGTGTACCATTGGCACAACTGTCTACTAGGTTTAAGAAGGAAAGATCGGATAGCGAGTCGGACAAGGAAGATGTTCCGTTAATGGAATTATCCAAGCGTCTGAAGGCTTGTAACGATCAAGATAATGAAAATGTAAAGGACACGAATAGTTTACCATCAAGTAGAAGTGATATCTCTGATGATGAACGCTCCTTGAATGCGATATAAAGAGCGATGGTAAATTAAAACCTGAAAAATCGCCCATCAAAAAGACGAAACAGTTGTTAAAACTTATTGCCAGTATATAGTATTTGATTTTCTTATGTTAATGACTAATTAACTGAGGTGATTTTAGTTAGAGTGGAAAAAAAAAACAACCAACGTTTTATTTTTTTAAGGCAATATCCACAGCCGGTAGTGGTTACCGAATATAGGAAGAAAATGTCAGGGTTAATGTACATGTACCAGGCTCAGTTTCTGTCGGGACTGTAAGGGGTATTTACCTGGCTATGGGTTCTTCTTCATTGTCCGTATGCCCTCTGCAAGGAGATGGCCATGTAACTGGTGCCACCAGAAAATTAAAATCAAGATTTTCAAACACGGTGAACGTTGCCATAGGCAACCATTTGGCCTTGTGTGTCGTCTTAACAGTTCTGTTTTGTTTTTTACCATAGGAGTGTGAATCGTTATCGAGATTGACATTAGGACACTTCAAGAATCAAAAACTTTTTGAATTTAACTTAAGGTTTTTTTGGGGTTTTTTATAGTTAAATTAAAGTGAACTTAGGACTTGTAAGACTGCTGAATTTTTATCATATGGAAATATTTTTATGCATGAAATTATATTATGTTGATGTAATCTTATTTTCCTTTGACAGGTTTCCTCGTTCTCCAGTTTTCATTCACTCCCCGTGACACATATATTTTTTTTTGGCCGTGCTGTTACTATAGTATCACCATGTCTTGGCAATGTCTAGTTGTACATAAAAAAAATAAGGGATATATTGGTCAAATTATAATCATTGTCAAAATAGTCATCAAATTCTGGCTGTTTATTGACCTATGGTTTTTAGACCAAATAAGGTAATATCTATCTGTTAGTGGTGGGAAATAAATAAGTTTATTATGTATTTTCAATGGAAAAGTACCAAGGACCTGCTGAAATGAGACAGGTATAAATTGAAGAGTTAAAGTGAGTTTTAATTAGACTCTCATCAGACTATTCCAAGAAGCCATTATATATTTGAGAACGAGGAACCTGCAAAGTTATTCCAGTTTACCAATAAAGTTGAGAAACTATTATTGCTGTAGTATTGTTTACGATCACAAGGAAACACAACAAATAAAGAGGTCCATAGTACTACAATAGCTTGATTGCTCGATACTTTTAAAAAAAATAAATGTGCGATTAATTAATGTGTCATCTGTTTATTTTTGGATTTCGGCGGAGGACATCAGCCTCACTGTTGGCTTGTTAAATGCTTGTATAACCCGTTTTGTTCATGTCTTCTTCAGCAGCTAAAACAATTTTAAACACCGTAGTCCACTTGAACAATATGTTCAATGTCTATGTGTACTGTTAGTCTGTAAAAAGGGATTTGATTGGATGGAATATGAAGCAATTTACACCCGTGATCCACTGTGATGTTTAGTCATACGATCAGGGTTATGTGGATTCCGTTCCAGGCATCCTCTTTGTTTGTGTGGGCCACTTTGACTTGAAGTCATATGTCCACTATGAAAGTATATATACACACTGCTGTATAACTGAAGGAGGTATGGTATTTCATTTGTTTACTGGGCTAGAAACCCAAATCTCTCAATTGCACATATACCTTAATACACGTGCGCATGAAAGTATCTGAAGACACGAAAACTGACCACTTTGCAGTGTTCCGTAAGATTTGGAGGGGAAGTGCAGATATTGGTATGGTTGTAGACTGGACATTAAACGACACAAGATTATTAAAGAAGCCCTAGACTGTACTATTTGTTAGGCCCCTCACAATCCCTAACCAGAGGAAGATTAAGTCGGAGGATGGCGACGAATGGTTAAGAATAGTTTGGATAAGTAAAGCTTATGGCAGTGACAATGTTATTCTACACCAATACTGGAGGCCCCCAATTTATTCTACACCAATACCGGAGGCCCCCAATCTGATTATAACACAGATCCTATTTCGTTTCGGTTTTTCTAGTTAAAAATTGGTTTACTGTCTTTACTACACTAGGATCTGGAAGAGTTGTTATCATGGACGTGCTTTGAATAGTGTGATGCACTAGCTAATGAAACAGCCTGTTACAGCGAGCTTTTGACGTGTTTTGTACAAAACTGTGAAAAATCCACTAGTAACATCAATGCCGATTGGTTAATCAAATTCTGATGTCATAGGGTCAAAAGCCGCTCGTGACCTGACGCAACCTATCGCTACAACTTGTCAGATCTTCATGTAGTGTAGGCCATCGAAAGTATAAAAAAACGAAATGAAAAATAGATCTGTATTTTAATCAGATTGTAGACTGCCCAGCCTATATTTAGATCCAGCACTGTATGAATATGTAAATTTGACTATGAATATGTAAATCTGACTGTATGAATATGTAAATTCGACTGTATGAATATGTAAATTGTATTTTTCAGAGTAAGGAAACAAGTAGTAAACATCCCATCATATGTTGTACGACTAGATTCACAGAAACACATTGATTTCTCTCTCCGATCACCATATGGTGGTGGCCGACCAGGTAATTTACTTATTCTAGATCTTGTATTTTAATGGATGAAACCCTATAGCACTTTGTACATGTCAATATGCCATCGGATACTCGAGAATTTAACTAGATTAGAAGGGTTTGCCATTTAAAACGGGAAAGCTAGGCTAAATCTCGAATATACCAGTGCCCTGGTTACCACAATGCAAACAGCTGGTCGAAACTACAGTGATAACTTGGCTCAGAATGAAGTAATTTGAAAGAAATTTTCAATATTTTCATTTTACATTTATCTATTTTTGAGCTATAATAGCAAGAATGGTCAGCTCTTTATATAAATCTTACATAATGTACATAAAAGATCCCTTGACTATAGGAATTCGATATAAGAGTAGGCCACTGTCCCGGCAAAATTTCCCTCATAGCACACTGTATGGCTTATGCCCGTCTTCATTACCCCTGTCGAAGCAGAACCGTAGGACTTTGAACCCCATTTCATTTCAGCAAGAACGACCAGCTCTTTATATAATTCTTACGTAATTTATGGTTAACTAAAACAATTGTTTATTTCAGGACGCGTTAAGCGAAAGAATATGAAGAAGACTGATGCTGGAGGTGGAGCTGAAGAAGAGGAGGATTAATCTGTTTAATCTTCACAAAATAAAAAACATCAAATCAAAATAAAATCTTGTTATTTTATTGAAGTTAAAGATGGGTTCCCGTGTACAAACTGGGTGATTTAATGGTATATATGGACCAAAAACATATTCAAACTAATTAATTTGTCATAATTATGCTTCAAATCCTTCTCAAACATTGTAATTGCAAAGGAATGCCCTGCTATTAAAATTGGATCAAACCAGGTCATGTTTACGTCAGGTCTTGGGAGTCAGAATTCATTGCATACATAAGACGATGTTGTCTTTAATCGCTTACTATTTATTTTAAATATCTAATCCTAATTAAATTCTCAGATTATCCACTACCCGTGTCTTTTTCCGTCATTTTTATCTCAGAAAGTATTGTACGTCTAACTCTTCATAAAGTTTATCAACTTGTACATCAAGCACTCAATGTTCGCTTGTGACCTTTGACATCATGCGTGTAGAAGTTCCTAATCGTCGGGCTGTTTAGGGGGAACCCTTACATTTTTGTCCTGTATATGAATGGTTTTCGGGAAATCCAGTATTTTTCTAGTAAGATTGGATATCTCTACTTTCCATATATACCAAAATTGCCATACTTTTATTGGAAATAACCACCCGATAAATACTTTTCTGGGAACCCATCTTTAAAAATATCAAAAGAATGGACTATTTCTAGAATCAAGTCCTACCTTGTAGAAAGCTGTGAAATCTTAGAATTTCAAAATTGGTCATTTAACTGAGTAGCTTCCCAGAAAGGATTCAGATTTGCAAATTGAAAATGTATTATTGATGGTGCTTGGCATCAACTGTGCTGTGTTCTAGTAGAGCAAAAAATCTGAAGTGCTGACAGGTTCTAAATGCAATGCAGTTAAAATTTTGAACAAACTTGACAAGCAGGGTCACTTGTCTAACCTCGTGGGTTTCTCCGGTTTCCTCCCACTACTAAAGAACCCCTATGTGCAAGCAAATTATTGAAATAAAGTTGGACCATATGTTAGTCCCGAAATGGCCTAGTGGATGTTAACCCCATTACTCTCTTCCCCACTGCAAAGCGTATTGAAATACAATTGTACAATGTTAGTTCCAACCTGACATAGTCTGTGTTGAGTGCACATCAAACCTCATTATCTTCCTTTGCAGGAGGGGTTGGATGGCCGAATGGTTAGTGTGTGTGCGCTGTATCATAAGGTCTGTCATTGAGTCAACTGGCCTGGTTTCGATTTCCCATGACAAGGAGTAGGGTCACCTGTCCAGCCTTGTTGGTTTTCTCAAGTTTCTGCCCACTGCTAAAGACCCCTACTATACGGCCTACTCTAAACATTGAATTCCAACTGTCGAGGGATATTTTACGTGCATGCCAATCTGTACACGGGGACCTCAGTTTTTCGTTCCATCCTAATGACTCAACAGTTGGCCCTCCGTCCTGCATTACTGTCAAGGGGGAACCATGCCGGAAAATCTGGATGAACTTTCTCGGCCAATGCAGGGATCGAACAACCAACCTCCCATGTTCCTGAAGCAACGACTGCAAGTTTTACAACATCTAGACGTTGCTTGTTTACTTCACAATTCCCGAACTTATAGCTATGTTATCTACAGACATGTGAGCTGTAACGTCCAATCAGAGGTTGTGACATCGCGGAAACCTTGACATTGAATGAACCTTGAACTTTGCAACTTGATTATCACAGGTAGACATTTTAGCTTGAAAACACGAGAATTGGTATTCGCACCGACCTTGAAGGCTTTGATAAGATGTACGTAGTTTAAGCGAGATCAAGCCTTCTATTGAAGATGCCAGCGTCTTAGCCACCGTGACAGATGGACATGGGTGACAGCAATATAGTACAACAATAAAAAGGCAGGTTTTAAAAAAAAATTCACCAAAAGTGAAAACCAGTAACACGAGAGATTTAACATTGGACATTTGTAAACAAAAACTTTTATTAAAAAAACAAATGCTTCTACGGACAAAATAATTGTTTTTCTAGACTGACAAAATAATTGATTTCTAGACTGAGAAGTAAAATAATAAAATACCTACATACAAAGATGCATTATGTAAGAATTAAATAAAGTAATGGCCGTTATTGCTATAACTGTTCAAAAATAGATAATAAAAAATGAAGATATTGAAAATTTCTGTCAAACTGCTTATTCTGTGGGAAGTTAATAAATGTTTGACAAAATGTAGCGTGTATCTTTTATTGTGCTCATCTTTTATTTTTTCGTTAAACTCTAAAATGGCCACAGTGTTCTAATCCGATGGCCCAGAGAGTTGATTACGGATTTGTCATGTTGAAAATGTTTCAAGTGTAAATAATAATTTATGTAATATTTGAAGAAAGAAAAGAGACCTGCAATAGGCAGATTTAGCTCTTACATATTGTATCATTAATTATGGTAAGAGGTAAAATAATGGAATACCATCATTTAAGACAACATAAATAAATTATTATATAAAAATTGTTCTATCGGCTTCATGGTAGGGATTTTTTGTCTGGCTGTATAAATCTGAAATACAAATAAATATACAGAATTTCAACTTGCAAGAATGTAAAAATAAAATGTCAGAAAGGTAGGTAGGTCCTTATAATACACAATTTACAAAACAGGACGGAATATTTCAATAGACATGTCTCCAATCGGCATTATTTGTAATAATTAGTGCTCACATTAATCAAAGTTTTACTTCCAAATTATCAAGTGAGAGAGAAATGGGGTTTAACGTACACTTGACACAAACTAGGTCATTTCGGGACTAACACATCGTTAAATTTTATTTCAATAATTTATGTGCGTGTAGGGATCTTTAGCAGTGGGAGGGAACCGGAGGACCCTGAGAAAACCCACAAGGTTGGACAGGAAACCCTACTCCTTGTCACATACAACCTTGGATTCGAAACTAAGCCTGTTGACTCAATGACAGACTTTATGATACAATGCACAATTTTGATATATACATGTAACAATTGAACCGCTACCTCAGCATTACAGCAAAGCCCCAGTGGATTTAAAAAACCCTAGAAAATAACTGGTGCATAATTGTTTGGGTTTTTAGAAAAATATGAGATTTCTCACGACTTAATCCCGTGCTATTAAAGACTCATCTTTTACAATATTTACAAGGCTTCCCTACATTGTTCAAATCACCCTCAACAACTTTATTAGAATAAAATTGTCACCTGGAAACTTCCCTATATTGCTCAAATCACGCTCAGACACATTTTAGAATGAAGTTGCCACCTGGAAACTTACCTATGTCGAAAAAATTGAAATGGGGTTTAACGTCCTACTGTTTTGCTTCATACGCCATACAGTGTGCTATGGGGGGAATTTTGCCCGGACAGCGGCACTACGGCCTACTCTTATATCGAATTCCAACTGTCAAGGGATATTTTACGTCCTTGTCTTACCTATGTCGAGCAGCTTCACTAGATAATACTTCTTTACTATAATATGTAAATAATAAACTATTGTCTTGAAGATGAGGATTTTTATGTATAAATTCTTCAAATGTCATATCTTTAGAATTAATAGCATCTGTTACCAGGTGTATAAAGAACATTGTTATAGTTTCATGGTAACCAGTTTTAATCTGAAAATAATCAAATTCGTTACAGTTTCTTCAACTCATCATATGTAACAATTATTTTATTCGGTCGAATCAATCGGCGATGAAATTTATTAGGCCGAATGGGTGGACACACTAGCCGTATGCTTTGTCCGATTCACCAGTCAATTGCGTCACCTTTCACGTCACATGATTAAACATGCCGACGTCTATGTCTTCAGACAATCACATGATTTCCCGATATGAGTGGTGATTGGCTAATGAATTCTACATTTGGCCGAAACAGATACACCACGTGAATATATCAAACATGTTTGATTCGGCGAATCATTCGGCTAGTGTGTCCACCGCTTTAGTAAAGAACTTCAATTCTGAAGCATCTACCCTAATCTCAGTATCATTTTGTAAAAAAAAAGGCCAGTCTTCTTGGATATCAATAAAATATGGTCTATCATTTCTTTTCCTCCCTACTAAAATATACATCGACATAAGAAATAAATTCTCAATGAAAAGAAACAAATTCATTTGTTTGGTATATTTAAAATTGCCAGCAATTTTGCTACCGGAAGTTGTCCTCTATGGCAGAACCTCTTCTAGATCCACCAGAATATATCAATGTTCTGCTGTGACTCGGCTAATAAAGATGTGCATACAGTGTGCTATGAAGGACATTTTCCCCTGACAGCGGTACTACTGCCAACTGCAAAGGGATCATTTACTTGCAAAACAACTTGTACACAGGACCTCAGTTTTTCAAACAATCCGAATGAGTAGACAGCTGTGCATGTCAGGCCCTCCTTCCTGCAACACTGACAAGGGGAAACCACGCCAGAAAACTCTGAGCTTTCACTGCCAACTACAGGATCAGTGTATATAAACATTTGTATATTACCGTTAGATAAACATGATGAACTGACCTTGTCTAAATTCTTTTCATTAAACTTCTGTATTCCTAATCTGAAAAATAAATAATTTGCAAGCATATCTTCTTTTTACAGATTCCATATGAATGTGGCTCAGGATTTTTATAGACGTGTTTTTTTTAGGGGAAAACGGACAAGATCCAATGAATAAAATTAATTTAGATCATGTTTCTTGGTAAAGCCAATAGGTTAATAGAGGAATGGGGTTTAACATGCACTCGACACAAAGCATTACATATAAAATTTTACATCCATTACATGCACTTTGCGTGTATTACTGTTCTTTTACCTTCAGTCGAAAACATGCAAATGAGTATGAGTGAGAAAAAGCATTAAAGAGAGAGGGAGATGGGTATAACGTCCATTCAACACAAACTAGGTAATTTTGGAATTAACTTCTGGTTCAATTTTATTTAATTGCAAGTTGGGGTCTTAGCAGTGGGAGGAAACCAGAGGATACAGAGAAAACCCACGAGGGACAGGCAAATATATTCCTTGTCACGTACAAGCTGGGAATCGAAAACCACGACACTTGACTTGACAGACCTTACGATCTAAACTACATGGATGAAACCATTCGGCCACCCAACACCCCACCATTAATAATTAAGAAGGACCATAAATTACTTGACAATTGATTTGCTTTCTCTTTTCCGTGGGGCCTGACAAGGACAGCTGTCTAGTCATTCGGATGGGATGAAAAACCAAGGTCCTGTGTATACATTGGCGTGCATGTAAAAGATCCCATGGCACTTGGAATTCGATATAAGAGTAGGCCATAGTGCCGCTGCCCGGCCAATATTTCCCTCATAGCGCACTGTGTGGCGTGTGCCCTTCTTCATTAGCCCAGACGGAGCAGAATAGTCGGATGTTAAACTCCATTTCATTTCATTTCAAGAAGGAACATGAATTACTTGATGTATTGTGTTGCTTTATCTTTTCCATATTGTTTTATATAATTCCATGCCATTCGTAGATGGGCTTCATGTGTCCATTCTTCAAATGGCAATGTTGTATCTTCAAATGCTTGGAGAAATACTTGATCACCTATCGACCTAAATGACCTGAAATACAATGAAATAATTGTAGCGTTAACATTTTTATTTATTTTTAATAACTAAAGACTTGATGCATGATTGTAGTCAACTACAATATTGTGAAAGTTGAATATCTAAAAGGAATATCGGCCGACAAATGGTTCAATTCCTTTCAGTATTTACAAAGAATTGAAATATCAAATATCTATGCTGCTTGCTATGTAATAAGCCTGCTGCCATTTTGTTGTGGGCAAACAGAATCGATAGGCCTTTCTAAATCCAATTGAGGTGATTTAGCGTTGGTATTTTTTTAAAGTTTTCTCAGTTAAAGATACATTATGCAAGAACTAAATCTGCCTATAGCAGGTCTTTCTTTAGGCCTGAAATGTTATATAAACTATTAATTAGACATTTAATAACATGCAAAGACCTTAATCAATACTCGATGCCATCTTATGTGTCAGATTTCCACTGGATTTGAATCCGAATTGCTGCTCAACGCTCATTGATGATTTATTCCAAAAATGGATAACCGAGACTATGTTTTTTTATCTTACCGACTTTTTTATATTCCCTTTACATTATCTAGTTTTTAACTATTATAGTGAGAACTGCCAGCTCTTTATCTAATCTCCCATAATGTCACTTTAATAAATGTTAAATCTGAGTAAATATTAGCATAAGAAATTTGATATTTTAACGAAATGGCAGATAGTTACTTTAATAATTGTAATCAAGCCTGGAAATAAGGCACCTGTCACTGACAATGTCAGGCACAGATTCAGGCTTTGTCAGGCACTAAACCTCTGGTGCCTGTCATTTTGTCCGGCACTGATTTGTTTTTTTTGCTGATATTATTAATATATGTCCGGCACCAAGTTGAAAATGTCAGGTACTATTTCATTAGTGTCTGACATTTTGTCAGGTACACCTAAAACCGTTATTTCCAGGCCTGATGGTAAGTTATTTGAAAATGTCACCCTATATATAATCACACATATGTGTATTGCATGTTCTGTGAATAAAGGTTACTTACCTTACAAAGTATAAAAGTGGATCCTGAAGACTATGTGATACACTGCCATGTTTTAAATTACCATAATAAACATGATGATCACCTACAGTATGAATAGAATGAGTATCACACAGTAATACAGCTACTGATCCCATAATAATAGGCAGACCCTAGAAAATAAACATTGATCATCAGGCCTACAGTATCACACAGTAATACAGCTACTGAACCCATAATGATAGGCAGACCCTAGAAAATAAACATCGATCATCAGACCTAGAAATAATCATCTAAAGTTGTACCTGACATATCACACATAGCAATAAATACACTGGACAGATCTGTCACTTGGCCATTTGATTAAATTTCTTCATCAACAATTTGATTAAAATACAGATCTATATTCCGTTTCATTTTTTTATACTTTCGATAGCCTACACTACATGAAGATCTGAACAGTTGTACTGGGAGGTCGCCTCAGGGATCACACCATCGGCTTTTGACCCCATGACGCCGGACATTGATTAATCAATCAGCGTTGCGTTGATGTTTCTAGTGGTTTACCCACAGTTCTGTGCATGGCACGCCAAGAAGTCGCCGTAATAGATGGTTTCATTGGCTAATTCCTCATGCCATCCAGAACGCCTGTTACATAACAACTCTTCCAGATCCTAGTGTAGTAAAGACAAGTAAAAATGAAATTTTGAACTATAAAAAATGAAACGAAATAGGATCTGTGTTTTAACCCGATTGCTCCATTAAGTACGTATTTCAACTTAATTTTAGGTAGTGTGTTTCAAAAAATGACCCAGCTATGAACATTAAAACTCCATTTATGTCTCTTTTTTCAAGAGAAATGAAATGAAATGAAATGGGGTTTAACGTCCTACTGTTCTGCTCCTATGCTGGGCTAATGAAGACGGGCATACGCCATACAGTGTGCTATGAGGGAAATTCTGCCCGGGCAGCGGCACTACGGCCTACTCTTATACCGAATTCCAACTGCCAAGGGATCTTTTACGTGCATTCCAATGTATACACGGGACCTTGGTTTTTCGTCTCATCCGAAGAACTAGCTGTCCTTGTCAGGCCCTCCGTCCTACATCACTGACAAGGGGGAACCACGCCGGAAAATCTGGATGAACTTTCTCGGCCAATGCAGGGATCGAACACCCGACCTCCAGGCTACCGAGCCAGCGTCTTACCCACTTAGCAACGTGATCCCCCTTTTTCCAAGAGGCAGATGTACTGAATAACTTACTATAAATTGTTCTAATATTACAGATTGTAACAATAAATTAACACTAATATTAAAAGGCTTGTTGCGTCATTTAGCGCTATAGGAATCCCTTACTAACAGCAATATTGTAAAAGTTGAATCTCTTAATAAGAATATCTTTCCAAAAATAGTTCTATTCCATTATTTACAAAGTTATGATAAATTGAAATTTTATCGATCTATGCTGCTCGAGTATAACAAGATGCCGCCATCTTAGAAACATGATGCGGCCTGTTTTAAATCTGATTGAATCCAAGCAGGAACATTATCTGGTGTTGGTATTTTGATTTTGTTTCCTTAATTAAATGTTAATTACCGGTTAGCGTGTATTAAGCCGTAAGAAATGGCGCGTCAAGCCTCTAAATTATGAATATCAATAGATCTCTTACCTCTTCATTTTGTACATGTGGTATCGTATCAAACGGACAAGATTCTTCCTCCCAGGATTTAGCAAAGTGTAAACTCTGTCGTATCTTGAAAAAATAAATGGCAATTAAATAATCAACACTGAATTAAATTTAGTCTTCAGTCTGACAATATGTGACTGGTTTATGATAATAATATGAACAAAATATCTAAATTGGCTAAAAATATAAAAAAAAATTAGTTTTCTTTATTTATCAAATCCAAATATTACTTTTTCATGTTATATCATTAAAAAGATATTTTTAGCCTATTTTAACATTTTTGTTCATATCGCAAAAGAATTTTGGCTCATTTAGCTGTACTACCAGTACTTAACTTTAAATTGGATTCTTTACTTTTAATTTATTATTGGGCAGTTTGCATTTATTTATATTAGTTATGTTACTCTTGAGGCCATGCTTTAAGTTATTGAATTACCTGATCTTGAGCTAATACATGTACAGCAAACTTTTCTGTTTCCTGTAGTAAACCATGCATACGACTGAAAATAACAAAGAAATGTACTTTAAACTTCAGGGGAGTGGGTGATCTGACACATGTCCATCGAGTCAAGTGGTGTGCTGTTTATCCCACACTTGTACAATGGTTACATGTCTAACCTTGTGGGTTTTCTCTGGTTTTATCCCCTCTCTCTCTCTCTGAACTTCAACTTTATATTCAACCAAACTAAAATTCACTTAGTGTGTAAGGAAAGATAACTTTTATAAAACGTAAAGAGAAAATAGGGGAAAATACTTTAAATTAGAGATAATATTATGATGGAAATTAAAAAAAAAAAAAATAATTCAGATTACTAGCATAATTTGTTTGCTATACATGTAATAAACAACATAGATTGTACTGATTTCTGGAGCTGACACGTGTCATAAAACTCCTTTCATTCATTCTGTTGTGATTTGATGTGTCAAGGGAGATAATTCACATATTCCATCCACCTACACTATAAACTTCATGTAATAAGAAATGAAATGAAGTTGAACATACTATTGTTCTTCTCCTATACTGGGCTACTGAAGACGGGCAGATGCCATACAGTGTTCTATGAGAGGAAATTCTGCCTGGGCAGCGACACTATAGCCCACTCTTATATCGATTTCCAACTGCAAGGAGATCTTTTACGTCAATGTATACATGTGACCTCATTTTTTCATCCCATCTGAACGACTAGACAGCTGTCCTTGTCAGGCCCTCCGTCCTGCACCACTGACAAGGGGAAACCACGCCGGAAAATTCCGATGAACTTCCTTGACCAACGCAGGGATTGTACACGCGACCTCCTGGCTAGATCATTTGATAAGAAGTGACATATCAAGGACCTGGCTACTCCGGTGGGAAACTACAGTCACTGATCAATATGTATCGAGAGAGAAAGAGAGAAATGGGGTTTAACGTCGACTCGACACAAACTAGGTCATTTCGGGACTTACATATGGTTTAATTTTATTTCAATAATTCGCTTGCGCATAGGGGTCTTTAGCAGTGGGAGGAAACCGGAGGACCCGGAGAAAACCCACGAGGTTGGACAGGCGAACCTACTCCTTGTCACATACAACCGGGGATTCGAAACCACGCCAGTCGACTCAATGACAGACTTTATGATACAGCGCGTGCACGCTAACCATTCAGCCACCCAACCCCCCAATATGTATGGAACTTGTGGCACAAATGATATTATTCCACTAACCTATGTCTGTGAATACAAAATGATAACATAGGTGGTTTAAACGAAACACTGGTAAATGAACTACATGTTATTCCTCGTTTCGTCCAGCCACCAGTTTCTTTATTTTCTTTGGCAGAAGTTACAATCACAACTGAAATAAAATTAGTATTTTTTTTATCATTTATTAGATTTTATATCTCTACATACAAAATTTGAAAATAATTCTCATAAGTCAGAAAAATGATTTCCCCATTCCATTACTTTATTTCTCCAATGGTTTCTTTATTTGTGTGTTTCAAATACAAATAACATTGTTTCATTTTAAAACAATAATACTATTTTTTGCCAACTACAGACCCAGGACTGTGAGAGAGAGAGAAATGGTGGTTTAACATCCACTCGACATAAACTAGTCATTTTGGGACTAACATATGGTTCTATTTTATTTCAATAATTCACTTGTGCGTAGGGGTCTTTAGCTGTGGGAGGAAAATGGAGGACCCGGAGAAAACCCACAAGGTTGGACAGGCAACCCTACTCCTTGTCACGTACAACCGGCGAATCGAAACCACGCAAGTCGACTCAATGACAAACCTTATGATACAGCGCGCACATGCTAACCATTCGGCCATCCAACCTCCCACACAGTGGATGATTATGACTGGCTCCCGGCCAGATCCATTCACTGGATTTGAAATTTGTTGTTTATTGCTTGCAATGTCTGTGTCGTTTGTATCTTGTCAGCAGGTTTTGCCTTTTCGGTTTTGTTCGTGTAGTGCAATACCCCTGCACAGAGCCTCGTCTAAGGATTTGGTCGTGCATGGCAATGTCGGGCGAACCCCAACACGCAATCACCGCCGGTGAGAGCCCGTGTGGTTGGTAGAGGGGGGGGGGCCTCCCCCAGAAAATTTTGAAAATTGACTCCCTTAGACTCGATTTCTGAGCACTTAAAAAATAGTTTCGGAGATTTGATACACTATAAGTTATAGCATCTTATTAAACCATGGATTGATTAATAGGCCTACCCTGTAAAATCGAGATCAAAACACTGCTGCGGCTGACCCGCAGACAGAAATATACCCATAAAACAATCAGAAAGACGATTTTGTAAACCTACGCACCATGATATAATATTGGCACATGGGGAAAAATCTTGTCAGCGATTTTCAAAACGTATGTATGTTGCCGCCCAGTCTTCAACTTTTGGGCTCAGTAGACGGCACAGTTTAGCCAGTGCGCAGCGGCGGCGCCGCTTAGTTACCATGTTAAACGAGGCTCTGCCCCTGCTCTTACCATTTGACTGGCTTAATCTATAATGTTTGCTATTTTGTCAGATCTACAGAAAATGGTAAATGATAAGTAGCAATAATTCTGTTTTTTCTGTAAATTCAACTAACCTGCTTGGGGAACCTTCCTCATAACTGACTGAAATAAAGCTTCGTTGTCCACATTCTTTCCTTGACTTTTGTTTGGATCCAATAAAATATCCAAGTTATCAGTGGCTAAAAGAAAAATAAGCCCATTAGATTATGAAAATAAACAGTACCTAATAATCAAGTAGGCCTACCAGTATAACTACATGTATAATAGGCCTCATTCCAAACTTAGGCTGCCTCTCTACAGTTAGCTCCGCCTTAGAATGTATTCTCAAGGTATGAAGTAGATGCATCGCTGTGTGCAGTATGGTATTGGCATGACACAAATACCACTGTTTAATATAAACATTTATAAATATTTGATCTTTTCTGGAACTGTGTCCATTAAGAGGGCCTATTTTCTCTGCGATTCACATTCTATATCTCTTAATAGGTAAATAAAGTTACAGATTTTAAAAGTTCCTTGGTCAGAGTTTGTAAAGAAAATATCCGATAAACAGAAATTTTGTGTGGTACCGGTTGTCTAAATGCAGTTTAATTTGGTTAACACTGTCAAAGTACTCATTTAAGAAATGACATACGTCAAGGATATATACTCCAAGTGCCTGCTTATATACTATTCAAAAAAAGTAGGGGATATTTGATTTTTAAGTGTTATTAAAGTCACCTAATGAAACTGACGAAGAAACAAATGACAAAATGAAATGAAGTTCACATTCATAGATTTATTCCAAATGATCGTTAGACTAAGGAAGGCACAGACTGACCATTATAAGGGTAAAATGATACCCGGGGTCAAACAGCAAAGTTACCACAGCATCACAACCAAGTCAGTAACGGGTAAATCCTCCTCTGTTTGCCAAACAAGCATTGATCCGACGTGGCATACTCCTAATGAGACGTCTAAGGTCATTTTGGTCCAGATTGTCCCATTCCTGTTGCAACGCAGCAGCAAGTTCTTGGACATTGGCAGGACGTTGTTGACGTTGACATAACCTCTGTCCAAGCATGTCCCAGACATGCTCGATGGGGGAGAGGTCGGGACTCAGTGCTGGCCAAGGTAATGTGGTGATGTTCTGTTGTTGGAGGTAACCTGTAACGATCCTGGCCCTGTGACATCTTGCGTTGTCATCCTGGAAGATGAAACGGCGGCCATGACGTCGTGCGAACGGCACAACATGGACTGCCAAGATGTTGTCCCGGTAGTACTGGCCTGTAACACGCCCTGCAACAACATGTAAAGCCGTTCTTCCAGCAACAGTGATGCCTCCCCACACCATAACAGAACCACCCCCAAATCGATCATGTCTGATGACGTTAACGTCTTGGAAGCGCTCGTTTCGACGACGCCACACCCTCCTACGTCTGTCCAAAAAATCAACAGTGAACCTTGACTCATCTGAAAACATCACATTGCTCCAGCGTTGATTATCCCAGTGTTGACGATCCCTACACCAACGACGTCTTGCCTGAATGTGATGATCTCTCAAACAAGGGATCACGCGAGGACGTCGGGCGCGAAGGTGACCCCTATGCAGTCGATTCCGAATCGTCTGGCCACTCACTCTCACACCAGTGTCTGTTTGAAGACGAGCGCTGATCTGATTTGCTGTGATGACAAGATTTCTCAAGGCCAAGGTACGGATAAATCGATCCTGGGCTTGAGTTGTCGCCCTTGGTTTACCTGAGCGTGGTCTGTCCTGTACAGATTGTGTATCACGGTATCTGGACCATAGCCTGCTTATGACAGACTGAGAAACATTCATCGTCCGCGCCACAACCGCCTGTGTTGTGCCGATCTGTAGCATGCCAAGGGCACGTAACCTTTCATTTTGGGTAAGCCGACGCATATCAAAATTTGTTTTCTGGTCACTAAAACAATTAAACTGATGTTTCCACCCTGGAATTCAATGCCACAATGACTGTAACATTCAAAGTCAGAGTCGTGCAAATCTTGGGTTGGACCCCCATGATGATCCCAAGCATCACCTGCATTCCATGCGGTAGCTATTGGTGCGTTTGGGCGTCACATGTAACTGGAAATATTTCTTCTGTTAGGTTCTATAGTGACTTTTTTCGTAGTCATTTGCATATTTTAGTATTATGCCCCCAAAATCAAATATCCCCTACTTTTTTTGAATAGTATAGTTATCGTTCACACAACATCAGAACATCAAACAGTACCAGTAACATCTAACTTGAAATGTTGGAAACTAGTAATAAACTTTCTTGGCCAACTCCTTGCTGCAGTGAATCCGAGACCTCATAGCGAGCCAACGGCAACATCTTACTTACTGAGACACCGCGGTTAGGCCTAGGCCTACCATGAACAGGCTACATTTTTAAATTCTGTTATACAAAATTTTACCATTTACAGAATAATTTCGCTTTTGACAGACAACTGGTGTATGATGAACTGATTTCCTGGCTGTAGATACTGTAGACGTAGTACAGTTCGTCCAAGACAGACGAGAGCTTCTGGAGAAAGCTTTCACGTTACACTTCCACTCTTTAACTGATTTTGACAAGGGATTTATAGTTTTTCCTATCCCAGTAATATTCCCTGAACGACATAAAACCCTAATACTTTGCACCGGTGTATTCATTATACTTAAATTATAAAATGAGGACAATATGTACAGCAGACGAAAAAGTTAATATTTCTTGCTGAAAATCTTGGGGATAACCTTCAACACGTGACCGGAAGTGGGGGAATCCCTTCTTTTATTTTTGTTTACAACGTGCAGTTATGGCCTTTTCATTGACATTGAGGTATAACGGTTTTTCTGGTCTTTTGACATCATCTATTTGTCGATTTTGTCCAAATAATAGTTCACAAAATCAGTGCAAATTTTCCTTCTCTGAAAATGTATTAAAAACCGTTCCTAAAAATATTAAAGGCAAAGGCAAAGGTTCCCAAGAATGGCTAAGGAGACAACTCAACGATCCTTATGTTAAAAAGGCACAATCAGAGAATTACAGATGTCGCAGCGCCTATAAGTTACTAGAAATTGATAAACGATTCAACATATTAAAACCAGGTAATATTGTTATTGATTGTGGCGCAGCTCCAGGATCATGGTGTCAAGTAGCAGTTGAAAAAATAAATAAAAACTCAGGTAGGGGTAGAATTATAATTAATATTAATAAGTGTTCAGCTAGCTAGCGGCAATACTATATACCAGAAAATACCGAAAAACAACCGGAAAACTACCATGTTATACTGAATACCACCGGAAAAAAACATACTAAATACCTGAAAATACCCTAAATAGGTAACCCAGAGCCTGGTCCTCTGTTTGCGGGGAGTTTGGTGCATGTGCATGATAAAGTTGCGTTATTATAGACGTTAATGTAATGACATATTTGAACATTAACAAAACATTGTAGAGCAAACCGGTACCATACTTTTCTAGACTGACCCATTACCTTCTTGAAAACACTTTATTATTTCTGTCAAATTCTTAACTCAACAGTATATACAGAGAGAGAGAGAGAGGGTTTAAGGTCCACTCGACACAATCTAGGTTAGTTCGGGACTAACACATGGTTCAATTTTATTTCAATAATTCGCTTGTGCGTAGGGGTCTTTAGCAGTGCGAGGAAACCGGGGGAACCCGGAGAAAACCCAAGAGGTTGGACAGACGACCCTACTCCTTGTCATGTACAAGCATGGAATTGAAACCACGCCAGTTGGCTCAATGACAGACATTATGATACAACGCGCTCGTGTTCGCCATTCAACCCCCGTACCAGTATATAAGACACTCACCCGTCCAATGCTGTATAACTAAGCTATTAGTTATTGAATTAATTGGACTGAACAATACTGTGTGATAAATTCTCATTTATATTACTCTGTCATTGACTCAACTTTAAGTAGGCTACAATCTGATTAAAACACAGATCCTATTTCGTTTGTTTTTTTATAGTTCAAAATTTCGTTTTACTTGTCTTTACTACACTTGTAAGATCTGGGAGAGTTGATATATAACTGGCGTTTTGGTTGAAGTGAGGGATAAGCCAATGAAACGGTCTGTAACAGTGAGTTCTTGGCGTGCCATGCACGTAACTGTGGGTAAACCACTAGAAACGCCAATGCTGATTGATTAATCAATGTCTGACATCATAGGGTCAAAGCCGCTCGTACGACCCCTGACATGACCTTCAAGTACAACTTGTCAGATCTTCATGTAGTGTAGGCCATCGAAAGCATAAAAAACGAAACAAAATATAGATCTGTATTTTAATCAGAAATGAAATGAAATGGGGTTTAACGTCCTACTGTTCTGCTCCTAAACTGGGCTAATGAGGACGGGCATACGCCATACAGTGTGCTATGAGGCACTACTGCCTACTCTTGTATCGAATTCCAACTGCCAAGGGATCTTTTACATGCATGCCAATGTGTACACGGGACCTTGGTTTTTCGTCCCATCCGAACGACTAGACAGCTGTCCTTGTCAGGCCCTCCGTCCTGCATCACTGACTAGGGGAAACCACGCTGGAAAATCTGGATGAACTTTCTCGGCCAATGCAGGGATCGAACACCCGACCTCCAGGCTAGCGAGCCAGCTTCTTACCCACTTGGCCACCGTGGCTCCCCGTATATTAATCAGATTGCTTAAAGTATTAATTTCAATCATTTCAGATTTAAACAGTGTCAATGGTACAGTGATTGGTGTGGACTTGCAACATTTTGTAGATATTGAAGGAGTTCATGTTATAGGCGGTGCAGATTTCACAGACAAAGACACCCAGATAAAAATAATGGAGATTTTAAATGGGAAAAAAGCAGATGTTATATTAAGTGATATGGCTCCGAAAGCTTCCGGAATAAAATCCATGGACCATGAATTAATTATTGAACTTTGTGTTAAAGTACTCAAATTTGGAATCGAGGTTCTGAAACCAGCCGGAACTATTCTGTGTAAAATTTGGATGGGTTACAATCAAAAACAATTGGAAGAGGCTATGAAACATTTATTTGAGTCAGTTCAAGTTGTGAAACCATTATCAAGTCGAACAGACTCAGCAGAAATATTCTTGTTGGCACAGAACTTTAAAAAACGGAAACTGAAATAGGTCTATAATTTCATAAAATTAATTTTGTTTTATTTGGTATTAATTTTTTTTTGTAAAAATGAAATTAAATGGAGTTTAACGTCCTACTGTTCTGCTCCTAACCTGGGCTAATGAAGACGGGCATACGCCATACAGTGTGTTATGAGGGAAATTTTGCCTGGACAGCGGCACTACGGCCTACTCTTATATCGAATTCCAACTGTCAAGGGATCTTTTACGTGCATGCCAATGTGTACACGGGACCTCGGTTTTTCGTCCCATCCGAACGACTAGACAGCTTTCCTTGTCAGCCCCTCCGTTTTTTTTGTAAAACCATTGATCACATATAATACACTGTCCATGGTAAAACTATCATGAAGTCTGGTAAAATATTTTTATCATTAAAATGAATGAAATGGGATTAACATTCTATTTCGTCTGGATTAATGAAGACACATCATGATGAGATTGAGAGGGGTTTGACATTCTCTTGACGCAAGCTAGGTCATTTCGGGACTAACATATGGTAAATTTTATTTCATTTTAATTAAAATTCACTTATGTGTCTTGTAGGAACCAGAGAAAACCCGTGAGAGTGGACAGACAACCCTACCCTTGTCACATACAAGCTTGGGAACAAAATGACGCTACTTGACTCAATGATTTAAACCCATCCGACCACCCATCCCCCCACCATCAATAATTAAAAAGGACCATAATTGAGTTACTTTCTTTTTTCCATATTGTTTTATGTAGTTCCATGCCATTTGTTGATGGGCTTCATGTGTCCATTCAAAGAGAGAGAGATAGAGAGAGAGAGTTCAACTTCATCTCAATAATTGCTCTACACATTTGTTACTGTACTTGCTTGAAAACGGTGAGAGAATACTCTTCGAAACGTCACCCAAATAAATCAGTAATTGTTCTTCCATAAGTATGTGTTCTAGTTTATTGCTCAATAATTCTCTTGCGTGCGTAAGGGTCTTTTGCAATGGGAGGAAACCAGAGTACCCCTCTCTCCTTGTCACCTACAAGTGTGGAATCGAAACTATGCCACTTGACTCAATGACAGACCTTCTGATCCAATGTGCACGTTAACCATTCAGCCACTCAACCTCTTTTTCACTTTACATCCAGAACAAGACCAAGAAAATTTTAACAGAAAAAAACAATTTATTTGTGAAGTATAATTTGTACATATACACAAAGCCATTTCCCCAAAAAAGGACATTTCTGACACCCAAAAATACTATTTAGCACTATGAATAAATATATATAAAAAAAATTGATTATAGCAAAATAAAAATTGATTATAGCAAAATAAAAATAATTTTATGCTTTATAAAAGATATGTTAGATATGTAATATATAACAATTAGGCCACAGCAATTAGATTTTCTGTTCTTTGGGAAAACTTGTCAAAGAACTGACACAGTTATATGGGAATACAATCACAGGTTTATTATACACAAGCACAACGTTTCTTTTAGTATCCTCTTATCGTTATCAAGCACAATACTATATAGTTGTTGTTCTTAGTGTTTAATGTCCGCTTCCACCGAAGCTAAAATTTGCAGACAAATGTTCTTTTTACATTTTCAGTAACTTGGCGCACGCGCAGAAGTACCCAGAGTAAACCCACAATGTTGAGAAGGCGCCCCTATCTCTAAGCCACATATGCTAACACCAGGGATCGAAACCACCACTACAAGCCAGAGTTGACCGGCCAGTTAGAGGTCGAAGCGCGGCACTCTAGACCACTAGGCCATCCCCCCCCCTCTACTATATAGTAAACTGGGAGGTCTATATAGATCTATATAAATGTACAATATGAAGCCATACTTAATTAATTGTTGATAATTATAATTATCGAAACATTGTGCTTGTGTATACAAGTAATAAACCAGTGATTATTATCCCATATACACTGTGACTGTGTTATTTCTGTTATGTTTCCAATCGTTAAATGCCACTAAAGGATTATGAACACCTGTCAAATTTTTCTTATGTTTTAGGGAAAAAAAACTAATTTATATACAAAAAGTACTTTGTTGGGATGTTCCAGAGCTTTTAGCTCCAAATTTTGAAGTTTTGACATTTTAAATGTTCCTCCGAAACAACTGTTCAAATTTTTCTTAGGGATTAAACTAATTTGGGTTGCAATGTTCAAAAGTTTTAGCTCCAAATATTTGAGTTGTGACATTTTAAATGTTCTTTGAAAACAACTGTTAAAATTTTTCTTAGGGAAAAGAACTCATTTTGGTTGTAATGTTCAAAAGTTTTTAGCTCCAAATTTTAAATAAACATCTTTTATTTTTTTCCAGTGATTATTTATTTATTATGCCCTTGTAGAACAGAAAATTAATTTGGTGTGACCTTTTTATCACGGAATGCAAGTCGTGTATTAATACAAAATAATGGCTAATGACGTCGTACTAGCATGTACTTATACATATATGAAAGACAAAGATATTCCCAAAGGGTGGAAACAAAATAAGATAAATAGATTATATTTTTGTTTATATATAATATCTGAAAATATAAGCACAGCCGTAAAGTTGCACTATCGAAGTTACATAAATATACGATACCATCTGAAAATGATAAAAAAAAAGGAATGTATTTAATATTAGTTAACTATTCTTACTATATTAGCACAACCATAAAGCTGCTCTACTTTGTTCCACGGTAAACAAGGAAAATATTAAAAGTATGCTGACACAAACTGATTTCAACACTGGTTTAATAACATTTTTAAGTACTTTCTTGTCCATCCAAACTGATTAAAACACAGATCTATATTTCGTTTCGTTTTTTTATACTTTCAATGGCCTACACTACATGAAGATCTGGCCAGTTGTACAGGGAGATCACATCATGGGTCATACAAGCGGCTTTTGACCCTATTACGTCAGACATTGGTTAATCAATCAGCGTTGATTTTCTAGTGGTTTACCCACAGTTCCGTACGCCAAGAACTTGCTGTAACAGACCGTTTCATTGGCTAATTCCTCAGATCAACTAGAACGCCTGTAATATAACAACTCTTCCAGATCCTAGTGTAGTAAAGACAAGTAAAACGAAATTTTGAACTATAAAAAACGAAATCAAATAGGATCTGTGTTTTAATCAGATTGGAGCTGGTGCAAAATCTTAAAGTACATTCAATGATGTTCGAAATAATAAAATTAAAATTAATAATTCTAAGTACGGTAACATTAAAGTTTCTGAACGTCATGTGAGGGTGTTGAGCAATCTCTTGCAAGCTACAATATTGAAAATATCATTACAAAAAATGGATCAATTCTGTTCAGTGTATACAAATATAAGATTAATTGTAAATTTGTCAACATTCAAATCCTTTACAGATGCCAAAAATGGATTCAAAAGCCGGCGGCAACGGTAATCTTGTGATGTTCTTTTTGATCAATTGAATCCAATCTGGGAGATAATCTAATATTGACCTTTTGGTTTAGTTTACATATTAAATTGTTGATTTGCATTAGCCATACGCCCACCTAAAAATGTGGTTGTAAATTGTAGCCGCCTTCGTCTGTCGTTCACAATTTCTTGTGAACTCGCTACAGACTACATTAATCATCCAATCGTTTTGAAATTTTAATACCGGTTATGTGGTTTACATTGGTGAAACAAAGCAGCCTATTTTATTTCAGGAATTTCCGTTAATTACTTCTAGAGTTATGGCCCTTGTTTCACTTTGTAAGATTTTGTGAACACTCTACAGACTACATTATCATCCCATCGTTTTGAAATTTATATATGTTGTTTACATTGGTGGGACGAAGCAGCATATTGTATTTCAAGAATTTCTGTTAATTACTTCTAGCATTGTAGCCCTTTGTAAAACCTTGTGAACCCTCTAATGATCAACCGAATCCAAGCTGGGAAATTATCTACTCTTTTGTTTTTTAAATTGTTAATTTTTTTAATATGGAGTAAGCCGTGGGAAATTTGATAGTTTCTGAATTATGCGAATGATGTTCAGAGATATTTTAAATACAATGTGTAATCAAAATTTTTCTAATATTAAAAAATAAATTCTTATAAATATATTATTATAATTGTCTCAAGGAGGAGTATCACAGAGTTTAAGAGTATATAACATAATATTAAAAATATAACCAATATGTGACTACCCTTATGTTTATACACAAAATAAAAGGATAGAACAATCGAATTAAAACACAGATCTTATTTCATTTTGTTGTTTATAGTTTTGGCTTCACAACACCAGGATCTGAAAGAGTTGGTTTAAATATTTCTTATCATGTGACATTTGCAGCTATAGAAACCACTTGGAACATCGATGATGATTGGTTATTTCAACGATCAAAATTGCCGCAACCTCCCATTACAACTGGTTAGGTCTTAACGTAGTGGAAGCCATCGAAAGTATTAAAAAAGAAACGAAATATAAATCTGTATTTTAATGAGATTGGGGGGTAGAAAGGTCTTTTACTTTCATATTATCAACTATAAGTCATAATATAACATTTATGATATAAGCCACAAAACTGCACCAAAAATGTATGCTATTGAGAAGTGATAATAGATGTATTAGACCGTAGAAAACACACTCATGTTTACCCATTTAATTCTGTCTTACACACTGTCTAAGTACCTGACTCATATGTGAAACAAAGTGTTGTCCTGTTCTATTATGTATTGTGTACCTTTTCAACCAAGAAAATAAATATAATTAATTTTGAATAATATTCAAATATTCTCACATGTTCCTTGTAAACAAATCACTAACAAATTTGCTGGTCATAAATCAACCATAAATCCGCATAAATCTCAGTTTTGGCTCTAGTCAAATCACATCCCATGAAAAGTTATCTGTTCACCAAAGTGCTAATGCTTCTCTAAAGACTGAATGTGTCATGTAAAACTATAGGAATCACTTGAAGACTACAATATTATAAAAGATAAATCTCTAATTGGAATATCTGTCCAAAAAAGTTCAATTCCATTCAGTATTTACCGAGTTATAATAAATTGAAATTCCATCAATCTTAGCTGCTCAAGCATAACAAGATGCAGCCATCTTGTATTGATAGTGGAGAAACCTAATGGGCCTAGATTAAATTCAATTGAATCCAATCCAAGAGATTATCTCCCGTTGATATTTGGGTTTTTTTTTCCTAATTAAACGTTAATAATCAATCTGAGTACATGGTAGTGTGGATTAAGCTGTGTGAGAAATTAGATATTTTAGCGACGCATCAATCTTTTAATAATTATAAAGTAATCTTTGTGTCATATATGCTAGATAACAAAAATACATATGAAAAGCTGCCTACATACCCAGGGGTGATGATTTTCTGTTTCACAAAATGGGAAATTCCGTTTTAAACATTGTGCAATACGTTTTTTCCCTTTCTTGAGATGAATTTGCTGTTTTTTCAGTGTTATATAATAATATCTTTATTTTGATACTGTTTGGCCCTATTTGTAGTGGATATTTCTATTATTGCGTGAGCACGTATACCATAGTTTGTAGCGCAGTGTGTCTTGAGCAGCTACAGATTGATAAGTCGATACAAGGGAATTAACTCTCATCGATTAGAATGAGACGACCAGAATTTTAACTTAGTTCTTGCATTGGACCAAGGAAAATTAAATTTGGCGGAGGAGGAGGGGGCATTACGAAAATAAAATGTCAGCAATAAGTGTACTTTATGACCAAATTTACAGATTGTTGGAGAAATGGGCTTTTCCACGATTTGTGTTTCAAATTGCAAATAAATGCTGTTTCAAATGCCAGATTCTACATCTTTTTCATCATTTCTATGTATAAAATCATCACCCCTACTCACAACAATCTAAGTTTTAAGTTGAATATTTTTGTTACGCAATTCCATTCTTCGAGACCGTTATATATACTTTAGGATTAGAAAATGAAAATTCTACTGGATAAACTAGTTCTTTCTGAAATAAAATAGTTTTAAAAGATTGTTAAATTTCAAAATAATTAAAAATAGAATTTGAGAATCAGGTGGATTTGTGTGAATAGTCAGCAGTGGGAGAACCAGGAGGACCAAGAGAAAACCCACGATGTTGTTCGACAGTTGACCCTATTCCTCCACACGTACAAGTCGGGAATTGAAACCACACTATTTGATAGAGAGAGAGTTCGTCACTACAAGCAGGGAATTGAAACCACCCCATTTGAGAGAGACAGAGAGAGAGAGAGAGAGAGAGAGATGGGCTTTCAAGTCCACTGACACAATGTTGGTCATTTTGGGACAAACATGTGAGTAGGGGGTCTAGCTAGCAGTGGGAGGAAACCGGAGGACCCAGAGAAGACCCACAGGGTTGGACAGGCATCCCTACTCCTCGTTACATACAACCAGGGAATTGAAACCACGCCAGTTGACTCACACACTAACTATTCGGCCATCCAACCCCCCATTTGATATAATGATAGACCTTGCGATCTAAGGTGCACATTCGGCCACCCAAACCACCCCTATGTTTTGAAACACATTCTATTATAAAGAAGAAGGATTGGAAATTTTACACTCAATTAGTTTGCACCACACCCAGAATTCGGCCTCCCCATTTCCTTTCATTTCTCAACAAGCGAATAATTAATTTACTTTACTTGTTAAAGATGATACTTAGCATTACATACCGTTTTATCAGAATCTTCATTCACCTGTAAGCACTCAAATTTCTTCGACATTTCCTCGATAAAATCAGTTGAGCAATAAATCTGAATTAACGAAATACAATAAATTACTGTACATGGACACGCATAACAAAAGCCGGATTCTGGCAACTGAGAAGATATAAAATAAGAGAATTTCCGATTACGTCATTTCAGCAGGAGCCTGTCTCTTTAAGCCTGTCGATAGTCATGTGACTCCCGTTCCCACCTTTGCTAAGTGGTGATATTGTTCAGGATCGGCAACTACTGGTAATTTTAAGATAACCAATTTTTAATTATTACTTCATTAATAAAACATTCACCTGTAAATAAGTTCCCTGCATTTTAATTGGGTCTTTTTCTGTGACAAACACTTCTCCAACATCTTGTGTTGTGGACGGCAGCAGATGAATCGCAAGATTATCAACATTGTGAAAAATAAAAAATCGACCTTTCTTTAACCTTGCCCTGAAGAAAGAGAGAGAGAGAAATGGGGTTTACTGTTCACTCGACACAAACTGGGTCATTTCGGGACTAACATATGGTTCAATTTTATTTCAATAATTCGCTTGCGCATAGGTGCCTTTAGCAGTGGGAGGAAACCAGAGAACTCGGAAAACCCACGAGGTTGGACAGGCGACCCTACTCTTTGTCACATACAACCTGGGAAACCAAAACCATGCTAGTTGACTCAATGACAGACCTTATGATACATCGCGCATGTGCTAACCATTCGGCCATCCAACACCCCCCGCCCTTTTTCAAAAGGGGGAAGAGAAATTGAGTTTAACATCCACTTAATACAAACTAGGTCATTTCAAGCTTAACATAATGGTTCGACAGTTTTATTTCAGTAATTTGACTCTGTGACCAATCTTATATTTAAAGCGCCTAGCCTTAGACCATTCAGCCAACCAACACCCCGATAATGATAAAAGAAACAAGCCTTGAAATATTAGAAAAATAGTTGATGAGATTTGCATAATTGAAAAGGAAAATACCTTACAACCATGGGCAGTAACTCTGCTGCTTCAGCATCAAAGTATAAATGAACAGAATTAAGATTAACTGGAACAGGTGTTTCTTTATAAACCACATCATTAAAATCAGGGAGGACAGGTGGAGTATTTTCTGCTACATCACTAATATCTAGTCTTTCTAGAAATGCAGATGTATTCACGATACTAAAAATAAAAAAAAATAAAAAAATTTACATGAAAGAGAGATAAATGGGAGTTAATGTCCACTCAACACATAGTATGTCATTTTGAGACTAACATGGTTCAATTTTATTTCATTAATTCACTTGCGAGTAGGGGTCTGTAGTAGTGGGAGGAAACCAGAGAAAACCCACGAGGTTTAACAGGCGACCCTACTCCTCAATATGTACAAGTGGGGAATCGAAAAATGTCATTTGACTCAATGACAATGCACACACGTTAACCATTTGGTCACCCCACCCCCAATTTACATGAAATGGGGACGTAACGTTCTACCATTGAGCATAGATTGGTGAAATTTCAATTGAAAATATCTTTGTAAATACTGAATGCAGCTGAACAATTTCTGGGCAGACATTTCTATTAGAGATTCATCTTTCACAATATTGTAACTTTAAAGGAGCTAAATTGCTAGTTTATAATTGCTATATAAACTGATTTACATTCAATCGTTTCTGTTTTTATTATAATTTCTATTAAGTTATGTTCAGCGAAATACGCCAGAAGTCTCAATCGAATGGCAATCTCTAGCGTCTGGTTATTCCAGTCTACATCGATAGTACTTATTGTGCATGCTCTCTAGATAAAAATATGAGTCACCGTTTGACATAACTTATGGAATATGTCTAGCCTTGTTCTTCGAGTCCATTGTTACAAATTCCGTTGAAACGCATTATGGTACACGATTCGTGTACCAATGGTAAAATGTTTATTTTGTCTTAAATATTGGATATCAGAAGGCCATCTTTTCCCGGTAAGATCACATCAATGTTGATTTAAGCTGACAAATAATTCGTGTTTTCAATGTCGAAGACTTTGGATGATATTGAGTTACAGACTTAGCTACTTTAAAATAAGTTAAAGGTTTAAACACCGTAACTTACCTACTATCAGCTGATTCTGACCACGAACACACGGCAGTAACATGACCTAAATTAGAACCATCTTTTTCTATTCCTTCAGCAACCATAACAGATAAATTAGGATCTTCATCAAATACAGATTTACTTCTCTTTGTATCAGTAACAAAAAATGGTCCAACTCTTTAAATAATCATAAAATTATCAACTTTGTCATCTGGATGCAACTTAAAAAATTGTCCTTGAAAATATTTTTTCCATGTTAACTTTAACTGTCGAACATCAATAAATAAGTTTAGAGGAGAGAGAGAGAGAGAGAAATGGGGTTTAACGTCCACTCGACACACACTAGGTCATTTCGGGACTTACATGTGGTTTAATTTTATTTCAATAATTCGCTTGCGCGTAGGGGTCTTTAGCAGTGGGTGGAAACTGGAGGACCCGGAGAAAACCCACGAGGTTGGACAGGCGACCCTACTCTTTGTCACGTACAACCGGGGATTTTAAACCACGCCAGTTGACTCAATGACAGGCTTTATGATACAGCACGCACGTGCTAACCATTCGGCCATCCAACCCCCCCTCCAACACTTTAAATAATCATAAAATTATCACTGGATGCTACTTAAAAAATTGTCCTTGAAAATATTTTTTCCATGTTATCTTTAACTGTCGAACATCAATAAATAAGTTTACAAGGGAGACAAGAGAAATGGGGTTTAGTGTCCACTCGACACAAACTAGATCATTTCGGGTCTAACACCTGGTTCAATCTTATTTCTATAATTTGCTTGCACATAGGGGTCTTTAGCAATGGAAGGAAACCGGATGGCCCGGAGAAAACCCACGAGGTTGGACAGGCGACACTACTCCTTGCCACGTACAACCGGGGAATAGTTTACAGGGGAATTCCTCATGTAGATAATCATTTAAAATATACAATGCAGCTTAAAAATGTCCTTGAAAAATAGTTTTGCTTGTACTTTTTCAGTATCATCACTAACTGGAATATCTATTAATTAAGTACTCAGCAGATACAAATGTTCACAGTCTCATAGAAACACAAAGGAATGAAATGGGGTTTAACGTCCTACTGTTCTGCTCCGAACAGATCTAATGAAGACGGGCATGTGCCATACAGTGTGCTATGAGGGAAATTTTGCCCGGGCAGCGGCACTACGGTCTACTCTTATATCGAATTCCAACTGTCAAGGGATCTTTTACGTGTACACCAATGTGTACACAAGGGGAACCACAGGTGCACAAATATAACACCAGAAACTCATTTAAACTATAAATGGCTAGAACTTATCTTTACAGAGAGAGAGAGAGAGAGAGAAAAGACAACTCTACTCTTTGTCATGTATAATTTTGGAATCGAAACAACGCCACTTGACTCAATGACAGACCTTATGATCTAGAGTGTGCATGTTAGACCATTTCTCTTATAACAAACTGTATGGCGTATGTCCATCTTCATTAGCCCAGTCGGTGCAGAAAAGTAGGAGTTTAAACCCTATTTTATTTCATTTCCAATTTAACAGTTTATTTATCTACTTACCCTTCCATGTTAGAAAGTAATGACAACACACCAGTTCCTTTCCATTTCTGTGCTGATTTTACCTCATCATCAGTTACACCCACAACCTATAGTCAATTAAATATAGATTATAAACATCATCATCGGTTACACCAACAACCTATAGTCAATTAAATATAGATTACAAACATTCTTTAATATAGTTTATAAACATTCACTGAGGGAGTTAACTCACACAAACTAGGTCATTTCGGGACTAACATATGGTTCAATATCATTTCAATAATTTGCTTGCATGTACGGAGGGGTCTTTAGCAATGGAAGGACTTGGAGAAACCCCATGAGCTTGGCCACGCGACCCTACTCATTGTCAAGTGTACAAGTGGGGAATCGAAACTACACCACCTGACTCAATGACAGACCTTGAGATCTTAGTGCACACTTTAAACTATTAGGCCATCTTTACAAAATAGAACTTTTATAATGAGTACTTGAAGACTATTTCATTGTTAGAATCTAACCTGTCTAAAATCTAGGGTACCATTCTGTGTATCAAGATCTAAAAGTTGTGGATCTTCAGCTATTAACATATGTTGAATATGAGATTCTGGGTCATCATTTAATGCTTTATTCCACGGAATATGGTCGCCAACATGAAGTACATTTCCTGTAAAGGTGAGAGAGAGAGAGAGACATTGGGTTTAATGTCCACTCAACACAAACCAGGTCATTTTGGGACTAACACGTGGTTCAATTTTATTTCAATAATTTGTTTGCACGTAGGGATTTTTAGCAGTGGCAGGAAACCGGAGAAAACGTACAAGGTTGGACAGGCGACCATACTTCTTGTCACGCACAACTGGGGAATCGAAACCACGCCAGTTGACTTGATGACAGACCTTATGATACAACGTGCATGCGCTAACCATTCGACCATCCAACCCCACAAATTAATTCAGGTCCGAATACAGGTAATTACCTTAGGACCAGGGTTCTTTATCCATTTTATAATGAACTGGCCACAATTGGGTCAAAAGGGGTCCTGGTAGAAAATATGGTAATTATATGCTCCCATTTCCTTTAATATACCGTAACCAGTTGATTATACCAAGTATTACTCTACAACGGTACCAAACGAAGTTGTGAGAAACTTAAACGTACAGCAGACTCTCCGATTAAAAGGAGGAAAAACAAGTTGGCCGATATTTCAGAGGGAGAGAGAGATGGGGTATAACGTCCACTAGACACAAACTATGTCATTTCGGGACTTACATACAGATCAATTTTATTTCAATAATTCACTTGTGGGCGGAAACCGGAGGACACAGAGTAAGTCCACATAGTTGGACAGACAACGACTCTACTCCCTGTCATGTACAACTGGGAGTCGAAACCACACCAGTTGACTGAATGACAGACCTTCTGATATAATGCGTATGCTTTAAACTATTTAGCCACCCAACCCAAGTGTTGAAAATTTTGGTACAGTCCATACCTGTTTGAAACACATAATTTGCTAATTTATTCAGTAAAATTGACGGCCACATAGGTGGGGTAGTTTCATCTGGTTCTCTCTTTAATCTGAAGGTCAATTCAAATCCAAATCCACTAGCTTCACCTCTTTCTGATGGCCTACAAAATATTGAACACAATATACATGTACATACAACAATACGAAATATTCTTTTAAATTTTCAAAATCGTAATCCATATTAAATCAAGAAAACAAAATCAAAATATCAGCGGTAGAAAATCTTCTGGTTTGGATTCCATCGGATTAAAAGAGGCCCATCAAAAAATTTTAGTGACGATTACGGGTGGTGCTTACACTAGTGCTCGCACGATATATCGTTGAATTGATGTATCATGATTCACCTTCTCCAGATTAGCATGATGTTAAATTGATGCATCACGATTTCTTTTTTTTTTATTCTTTTTGTGTCGCTTCAGTTAAACCCCACCCATTTCATTTCATTTCACCTTAATCATTACACTAATTCTACATGACAAGATTGACAAGTGCCATCTGTCGTACAGGGGTCCACAGAACAGAGATAAACTAAAATGTAATACCCATATTCCTGAAGCAATGGCCCGAGAAATCCCTCTCTGCCTTTAATCAAACGGAACACTGCGAGGAGTATGTGAAACACCTTACCTATGCACTCTACCATCTCCATGTAAATCACTGAAACCATAGCTTACATAATGCCAATGTGGTGGAATATTTTTACTCAAATCACCCTCATTACAAAACATACTAATGTAATCCAATGGATCAGGTCCACCAAGCCTGCAAGTAAACACGTAAAATAAAATTATATCATTTTGTATCATTATCAGTCCACAACAAGTTGAATTTTTGTTCTTTGGGAACATCTATTAAAAATTTTTTCTCTAATTTGTTCAGGAATTAAAAAAAGATTTTAGTTCCAAAACTTTAAGTTTTAAAATTTTAACAAAACTTTACACACTGGAATTGGCAATCTGTTTCACAGAGTAATATGAAAGTCTTCTAATATCTCTGTTAAAGATGACCAATCTGTTTTACAGAGAATTACGAGTCTAGAGTAATATCTTTGTCAAAGATGACTGCCTTAACACGTGCCGTCACAGCACGCGGCGTCAATCATTGGCTGAATGGCGCGTGCATTGTTTACATAAGACATTACTGCTTCAGGCAGAATGGTGCCTTTTACTCATTTTACATACCAATTAACACGAAATAGGACATATTGTTTACCTACATAGACTTCTAATCCCTTTATTTATTTTCTAATACATAAAAAAAAATGTTCTAGAATTAAATTTGCAGAAGGAAAAAAAGTTAATATTTGTGGCTCATGAAGCTGCACAGCTTATCAGTGATTGTAGCGACCGAGCGAATATTCACTGCTGATCAGTGTGTGAAATTGGGTGGCTATTTGTTGATAAAGACACAGCAGAAGTAAAATTAAAGTGGTTTGTGCGATATCATTCCACATTTTTTGTCGCTGTTAAAGGCACAATACCACTCTTGTTGTAACTGAATAATATGTCCCAATCTTTATTCTGGTCAACAAATTGTACTATTTTACAATATTCCAATTAATTGGTTATACAAATTTCATCTTAACACACCTAATTTAAAAAATTGGAAAAATTCAACTAAATGATTTGAAAAGCCTAACGTAAACCTTTTCAAATGTGACTTGGATTTTAAAATATTTTCGAAACCTCTGGACAAGTAAAATAGGATGTAATGGATAATTTATACAACAGGTAGGACACTTAAACATCTAGTACTTAGAATAAGGCTATTTTCTATTTTCTGGAGCTGTCAAGCCAGCAAGAGTGTTATTGTCCCTTTAACAATTAAATATTGTAAAACAAGAAATTAATGCATCCTGAAAGAAGTCAACAACACAGAGAGAGAAATGGGGTTCAACATCCACTCGACACAAACTAGGTCATTTCGGGACTAACACATGGTTCAATTTGTGCTGAGTGGATGTTAAACCCTAATTTTGAAGAGAGAAGCTAATTATTATGTCTTGAATAGTGTATCAACTAATTAATCTTCACTGATTAGTTTATTGTTTTGGGGGTGTTATGTTTGAACACAATGATTTCTTGCTTGTATGAATTTCTTCTTTTACAGTGCATTTGTAAAACATGCAGAACGGCTCATTGTAGCAGTTTGGATCGTTTTTCGAGATAAATGACATTGAATGTACTTCCTCATGCTGAAATAGGGAGCCGCGGTAAGTGAGCAAGATGCTGGCTCGCTAACAAGAGGTCTTGGTTTTATTTCAAGTGTTGGCTGAGAAAGTTACTTAGGATTTCCTAGTGTGGTTTCCCCTTGTCAAATGGTACATGACATAGGATCTGACACCTCTAGTCGTTCTGATGGGACGAAAACTCAAGGTCCTACTGGAATTCGAAATAAGAGTAGGCCGTAGTGCCACTGTCCAGGTAAAATTGTGTTTTCCCATCTTCATTATCAGAAGTTATAATGGCTGAGATTTTACAAAAGCGGACACAAGTTTATTGACCTACATACTCCGAAGATATGATATGATTTTATTTCATCATTTTGAAATGCATACATGTATCATGGAAAAGGGCCAGACAGTAGACAGCACAGTAATTCAGCAGAGATTTTGCTTTGCAACTTTTGTTCCCACTGAGATTGAGCAAGGTGTATGCTACGTGTTTTGTCATGACAATTACAATAAACTTTGATATGTGATAACACACAGCAGTTTAGAATGTTACATCGCTTCTACTCTATTGATCAAATGTATTTTTCATACTTGGAGACGATAGTGTAGTCATTAGTGAACATGTTTTTGTTTTGTTTTTATTATTTTCAATTTTTTTTTTTAATTGTTTACCAAAACTTTTGCACTGCAGCAAATTGTAATGGGTTCGGTTGGTCTGGATAAACTAGCCGGCATGCTCCATCTATGGCTTCGATACCCAGGTGATCAAAAATATCCGTTTCTTCGTCAGACCATTCAACAGAACCCTGTGAATAATCTTCAACTTCTTCGGACTTGTTTTCACCTGCAGTTTCTCCATCCATGTTTAATTCTTGCGTTGAAAAATGGAGTTACCTCCCTTCCGTTAGTCATACCCTCTAACCGCATGAAATGTAAACAAACATTATTTATTTTGGACAGACAAACCGCATTCTTTTGTCACTAATATTTAATGAAAGAAAAATTATTCTTATTCAAAATAGATTTTAGTTATTCTTAACCCTTTAAAATAAAAATTGAAAAAAAATTGATGTAATTTTAGGTTTTCAAGATGGCGGTTTTCACGTTGTTGTTGTGGAAGATTGAACAAAATAAAGCGATAATTCTTTTAAATATTTATTAAGATCAGCACAAATTGTAAACATGACAGCTGAAAGTCCACTTAGTCCATATGAAGATGGAGAAATTGACCCTCAAGTGTGGCAGTTACCTGTAGCCTTAAATGAAGCTCGTCATTGTGAAAGCATCACTGGATGCAACTCCCTTGCTCAACATGCACAGTCATGGAGAATGAAAGAAAGAGTGCGTATTTTATTCAAATCAAGAAAACAATCTACTACTTTATTCAAACAAATTGATGTACAGATTATCTCGATGATTTGTGTACAATTCGTGGTTCATTTTTCACAGAAAATATCCCTTTAAAGTAGGTTTGCAAGTAGGAAACTCGGGACTGGTCCGCCCCGGGGGACACATTGTTGAGTTATCGGGGGTGAATGGCTGAATGGTTAGCACGTGCTCGCTGTATCATAAGGTCTTTCAGTTGTATGTGACAAGGAGTAGGGTCGCTTCTCCAACCTCGTGGGTTTTCTCCGAGTCCTCTGATTTCCGCCCACTGCCAAAGACCTCTGTGCGCAAGAAAATTATTGAAATAAAATTGAACCATGTGTTTGCCCTGAAATGATCTAGTTTGTGTCGAGTGGACGTTAGACCCCATTTCTCTCTCTCTCTCTGAGGGCCAATCTTTATAATGTGCCCCTCAGATATCTGTCAAACATTTTATATATTTTAAGGTCAATCCCAAGTTTCTATTAAAATCACTTTACCAAATATATATGTTTGCTAATAATCTGTTTTTCTGTTGCTTTTTCAGATGAAAACAGTCAGTGTTGCCTTGGTTTTATGTTTAAATGTTGGAGTAGATCCTCCCGATATTGTTAAGACTTCACCATGTGCCAGATTAGAATGTTGGATAGGTAAAGTTAAAGACTGAAACTTCTATCTCCTCCAGGAAAGGGGGGTTGGATGGCCGAATGGTTAGCGCGTGCATGTATCATAAGGTCTGTCATTGAGTCAACTGGCGTGGTTTTGATTCCTGGGTTGTTTGTGACAAGGAGTAGTGTCGCCTGTCCAACCTTGTGGGTTTTCTCCGGTTTCCTCCCACTGCTAAAGACCCCTACGCGCAAGCAAATTACTGGAATAAAATTGAGCCATATGTTAGCCCCCAAATGACCTAGTTTGTGTCAAATGGACGTTAAAACCCATTTCTCTCTCTCCTCCAGGAAACAGCAGTGACTCAGTGAAGCTCGTCAACAAAGTCTTGGGTTTGCTATCAGTGGAGGCTGAAATAGTTCCTTAGGATTTTCCGACGTCCACCCTTCTCAGTGGTGCAGACGGAAGGCCTGGTAGGGCAGTGTCTAGTTTTTCAGATGGTACGAAAAACAGAGGTCCTACGTACACATTGGTGTGAACATAAAAGAACCTTTGACAGTTGGAATAAGAGTAGGCTGTAGCACTACTGTCCCAGTAAAATTTCCCTTTTAGCACACTGTATGGCGGATACCCGTCTTCATTAGCCCAGTTGGTGCAGAAAAGTAGGACGTTAAACTTCATTTTATTTGCTGTCTCCTCCAGCTGCTTTACAAATTCAATTGAAATTTTGCTGGTGGTCATCTAAAAAAACATTAAAGATGCATTATGTAAGAGCTAAATCTACCCGTTGCAGGTCTTTCTCTTGGCTTCAAATGTTATATACAAATTATTAATTAGACATTTATTCACATGACAAGCCTAAATGAAATTTTCAATATACAATTTTTATTATCTATTTGTAAACTATTATAGCAAGAACGGCCAGCTCTTTATCTAAATCTAACATAATACATCTTTAATTATTTGGCTGTTGAATCTTTCAGATCCACTTTCTATGAATGGTCAAAAGGCCTTAGAAACGATAGGAGCTCAACTACAGAAACAATATGAACGCTGGCAACCCAGAGCAAGATATAAACAAAGCTTAGATCCTACTGTTGAAGAGGTTAAAAAACTATGCACATCTCTCAGAAGAAATGCAAAGGTACTTTTGTTCCAGTTTAATACCATCTGATTACAATACAGATCTATATTTTGTTTTGTTTTTTATACTTTCAGGGGTCAAACGAGCGGCTTTTGACCCTATGATGTCAGACATTGATTAATCAATCAGCATTTTTAGTGGTTAACCCACAGTTCCGTACATCAAAAGGCCAAGAACTCGCCGTAACAGACCGTTTCATTGGCTAATCCCTCACATATCCAGAACACGTCAATGATAACAACACTTCCAGATCCTAGTGTAGTAAAGACAAGTAAAATGAAATTTTGAACTATAAAAACAAAACAAACTAGATCTGCTACTATCCCATGCAGATATGAAAGCTTTCATATTCATCGTCACGTGACATGGATTATATCAAGTAGCTTAAAAGAAAAAAGAACAACAAAAAATAATTATCAAAATCGGTGAAAAAGTCGCGAAGTTACAAGTCTAAATATAGTGAGAACCATTGCACCGGGCAACAAAATAATCTGAAAACTAAAGGGAAATAACTGAGACCTGGATTGCTGTAATCGGAATGACTTTCCGTTCCAGAAGTTTCAGAAAAATGGATCAAGCCGTTTAAAAACGGGACGGATGAGAACATGAAACGAAAATGGCGGGAAAGAACTAAAAAGTGGCAGGAAAATATCAAAAAAATAAATGAAATATCTTTGAACGGAACTAATATTTTTTGAATCAGATTGACCTTAGCTGTTCGAATATTTAGGTTAAATTTGTAAATTTTGAAGGCAATTTGTAAATGCAGAATATAATTTCATTGAATTTCGATGAATTGTTTGTGAGTTTCTATATTTTTAATACCTAGCTTACCCTATCTTTAATATATTTGTATTTCTATTGTATTTTGGTCGTGGCTGAATGGTTTAATGCATGCACTTTGGATCATAAGGTCCGTCATTGTTTTGAAGTGACATGGTTTCTATCCCAAACTCGTGGGTCTTCTCTAGGTCCTCTAGCTTCCTCCCACTGCTAAATACCTCTACACGGAAGCAAATTAATTAAATAAAATTTTACCTCATGTAAATGCCAAAATGACCTAGTTTGTGTCAAGTGGATGTTAAACCTCTCTCTTTCTCTCTCTCTCTCTCTCTCTCTCTCTCTCTCACTCACACACATTCTGTCTGACTTTGTATTGAACCCTTTACCCTAGTATATTATATAGTACTTATAGATGTAAATGACAAACTAATTCTGGATATTTGATTACAGGAAGAAAGGGTTTTGTTTCACTATAATGGACATGGTGTTCCCAGGCCAACAATAAATGGAGAAATATGGGTTTTTAATAAAGTAAGTATTCTAGTAGTTACCTAACAAAAATAGAAAGAAAGCAATAGGGGTACTCGATTGTCAGTCCACTCTTACTAGTATTGGTTGCTTGTATAGTTATTATGCAGTTTTCTAGCTGACTTAAAAAATATCCCTCATCACACCCTGTATGCCAGTTTTCATTAGCCATGTTTATGCATTAGGTGGGTTAGGTGGCCTGAATGGGCATAACGAGGTCTGTCATTGAGTCAGGTGGCATGGTTTCGATTTCCCACTTGTACGTGACAAGGAGTAGGGTCACCTGTCCAACCTCATGGGTTTTCTCCAGGTCCTCTGGTTTCCTCCCACTGCTAAAGACCCCTACGCGGAAGTGAATTATTGAAATAAAATTGAACCATATGTTAGTCCCGAAATGACCTAGTTTGTGTCGAGTGGACGTTAAACCCATTTCTCTCTCTCTGGTTGTGCATAAAAGTAGGATCATTTCATTTCGTCAGTTTTAAACTCGATCTAGTCCTTCTCTTTCACATATTGAAATAAAAAAAAAATTGTATAAAAAGATTTTTTTCAATAGAATATCAATGTTTTGATTTATTTATAAATATGTCTGATTAAAGGTTATGTTTATTTGACTTTATGGGTTTGAGAGGGGTTGGATGGCCGAATGGTTAGTGTGCGCGTTGTATCATAAGGTCTGCCATTGAGTCAAGCGGCGTGGTTTCAATTCTCCGCTTGTACGTGATAAGGAGTAGGGACGCCTGTTCAACCTCGTGGGTTTTCTCTGGGTCCTTCGGTTTCCTCCCTTTGCTAAAGACCCCTATGCGCAAACGATTTAATGAAACAAAATTAAACCATATGTTATTCCAAAAATGATCCTAGTTTATTTCAAGTGGACATTAAACCCCATTTCTCTTTCTTTATTTTTTTTAAATTTTTGTTTTTCAGAATTATACACAATATATACCATTATCAATATATGACTTACAGACATGGATGGGTAGTCCATCTATATATGTTTATGATTGTTCTAATGCCATGATGATTGTAGATTCATTTAAACAGTTTGCAACACAGCGTGAACAGGAACAAGAGGTATAAATTATTTTACTCTCAGATATATTCAGGCCTGATTAAAATACAGATCTATATTTCGTTTGGTTTCGTTATACTTTTGATAGCCTTCACTATATGAGGATCTGACCAGTTGTAGTGGAAGATCGCTCTCACAGGTCATATGAATGGAATTCGTAACAAAGATTCGACCGTGGTGCTACTGTTGGGGCAAAATTTACCTCTTTGCACACTATGGCATATGTCCGTCTTCATTAGTCCAATCGGTTTAGAAAAGTAGGCCGTTCCCCCTCATTTCATTCCATTTCATATTTTAAATGGTTTTAGGGGAGTTGAATAACGGAATGATAAACACATGCACATTAGATCATAAGGACTGGTATTGAGTCAAATAGCGTGGGTACGATTCCCAGCTTGTATGTCTAACCTCGTGGGTTTCCTTCAGGTCCTCAAGTTTCCTCCCACAGCTAAAGACCCCCACGCACATTATTGAAATAAAATTGAACCATATGTTAGTCTCGAAATGACCTAGTTTGTGTCGAGTGGACGTTAAACCCTATTTCTATCTTTCTTTGAAATTGGTTTAAATATTTCTAAAGACTTGCTTGATCTAATATTACAGAGTACAACTGTGAATGGTGGACATTGGAGTGGATCGGGTAGTAATACAACTAAACATTGTATACAGTTAGCAGCCTGTGGGGCGAATGAACTTTTACCTATGAACCCTGACCTTCCAGCGGACCTCTTCTCTTCCTGTTTAACTACACCAATCAAAATAGCACTCAAATGGTAAAATTTGGCACTTTTATACATTTTGATTATCCATTTAAACATACATTATGCTGGAGCTAAATTAATTAGTGACAAGGAGAAGGGTCGTCTGTCCAACCTTGTGGGTTTTCTCCGGGTCCTCCGGTTTCCTCCCACTGCTAAAGACCCCTCCGGGCAAGCGAATTATTGAAACAAGAAATAAAATTAAACCATGTCTCTCTCTCTCTCTCTCTCTCTCTCTCTCTCATTCATGTATATTTGTTGAAATAAAAAATTGAATCCTATGTTAGTCTAGTTGGTGTTGAGTAGAACTTATTCTCCATTTTGAAAAAAAATAATTGTATTTTAATTATGTTTGATATTATTTACAGTAATTTGATGTATATATTTTTTCAGGTATGTTTTACAAAATACAAGTAAACTTGTACCAGGTTTAACTCTAGAAATGGTTGACAAGTGAGTTCTTATTTGTTATTCATGCAATATACAAACAATTTAATCTATTGGTAAGCGAAGGGGGACGACACTACACAAACAAAAGCGAAAAGTCAAACCTGCGAACAAACTACTGACATTGCAAGCGATAAACGACAAATATCAAATCAAGTGTGCGTGCCAGCTGTAACACGTACACTGTGATGTACTTTTCTTAATCATTTAGTAATTAAAATGGAGAGGGGTCAAGATACGCCTAGCCAGTTCATCGATCCTATTTCAAATGAAATAAAATGTTAATTCTGAAACAAAGATGAAGAAATTTGAGGTTAAACTCTAATATTTATTTTTTTCTATGTGATAGAATTCCTGGTCAGTTGAATGACAGAAGGACGATGTTAGGTGAATTAAATTGGATATTTACAGCAATAACCGATACAATAGCATGGAACACATTACCCAGAGGTAAGGTTGAACATTGTTTAGTTTTAGGATATACCCAATCAAACAAGGAGTCACACTGGCTCAGTGAGTAAGACGCTGGCTTGCTAACCTGGAGATCCCGTGTTCAATCCCTTTGTTGGCCCAGAAAGATTTTACGGCGGGGTCCCCCCTTGTCAGGGGTGCAGGAATAAAGGTCTGGCAAAAGAACAATGTATAGGACAAAAAACCTAGGTACACATTGCCGTGCATGTAAAAGAACCCTTGGCAGTTGGAATTCGATATAAGAGTAGGGTGTAGTGCCAGTGTCTGGGCAAAATTTCTCTCATAGCACACTGTATTTCATATGCCTGGTTTCATTTTCCCAGTCAGTGCTAAAAAGTGGGACATTAAACCCTATTTCCCATTGTATAAACTAGTCGTTCTGATGGGATAAAAAAAAAACCACAATGACATGCACGTAAAAGATCCCTTGGCAGTTGGAATTTCATAAGCTGTAGAAAAACACGAGAATAGTCTGTTATATTTACATCCTTTTACTTTCAGAATTATTTCAGAAATTATTTCGACAGGATCTGTTGGTTGCTAGTTTATTTCGTAATTTTCTGCTGGCAGAAAGAATTATGAGATCGTATAATTGTACACCAGCTTCAAGCCCTAAACTACCTCCAACATACCAACATCCCATGTGGTAAATGACTTATTTATTTCTTTTATCAACTTTCTAAACTATTGTCAATTTTATTATGGATGAAGGATGTTAAATACCATTTCATTTCATTTCTTATGGATGTCTTTGCAATAATATGGATTTAAACATATTATATAACTTTAAGGCGGGTTGGATGGCCAAATGGTTAGCATATGCGCGCTGTATCATAAGGCCTTTCATTGAGTCAACTGGTGTGGTTTCGATTCCCCGGTTGTACGTGACAAGGAGTAGGGTCGCCCATGCAATCTCGTGGATTTTCTTCAGGTCCTCTGGTTTCCTCCCACTGCTAAAGACTCCTAAACGCAAGCGAATTATTGAAATAAAATTGAACCATGTGCTAGTCCCGAAATGACCTAGGTAAACTTTGTAAACTATACACTATTATCATGAAATGAAAAAAAAAATGAATTCACTGTGTTTAAAACTGAATTTCCTATTTTTGGAAAGGGAAAATCATTTCCCCTATATGTTATTATTGATTGATTTTCAGGCAAGCGTGGGATCTAGCATTAGATTTATGTTTACGGCAACTGCCTCAGAAAGGAGATGATGATGGAGCGGTCGTAGCTCACAGTCCGTTCTTCGCGGAACAATTAACAGCTTTTCAAGTCTGGTTATCCTATGGTTATGAAGAGAGACGACCACCAGAACAGCTACCTATAGTTTTACAGGTATAAATAACGCTGGTTGTTAGAGACTACAACTTCAAAGTTTCGACGTGCTTGTTGTGATGTGTATCAAACTGATCAAAACAAGATCCTATTTCGTTTCGTTTTTTGTAGTTCAAAATTTTGTTTTACTAATACTACATTATGATCTGGAAGAGTTGTTATATAACACACGTTCTGGTTGAAGTGAGGGATTAGCCAATGAAACCATCTGTTACGGCAAGTTCTTGGCGTGTGATGCACTGAACTGTGGGTAAACCTAGAAACGTCAACGCTGATTGATTAATCAATGTCTGACGTCATAGGGTCAAAAGCCGCTCCAACGCCCCCTGACGAAACACCCACTACAACTGGTCAGAAGCCGCTCTTACGTCCCCTGACACGACCTTCAAGTACAACCGGTCAGATCTTCATGTAGTAGAGGCCATCGAAAGTATAAAAAAAACAAACAAAATATAGATCTGTATTTTTGAGCTACAGATCAAGATCTACTATACACGTTAATAATGACCATAAACTTGACTCCCTTCTTTCCAGAATTCATCATAACTATAAAATTATCTGTTAAATACTTGATGCATCATTTAGCACTTTAGCAATCCCTTGTGTAATGTCTAATATGACTATCCATCCAAAGATGGTTCAATTCAGTATTATAATAAAATAACAATTGATTGATCTATGCTGGACAGGGTAGTGTTATTGCCTACTCATATTTCGGGTTTCCAACTGTCTGGGGATCTTTAACTTGATGTCAATGGTATCTCGGTTTTTCCTCCCATCACTAGGAACGTGGGCCACCATATACTAACCAGGCCAAAAAGTTGTACTAATCTTTCTTTTTTTTGTATGTTATAGGTTCTACTTAGTCAAGTTCATCGACTCAGAGCTTTGGATTTATTGGGGAAATTTTTAGATTTGGGTCCGTGGGCTGTTAGCTTGGTAAGTTCCTATATGTTTTAGGGCCTGACAAGGACAGCTGTCTAGTCGTTCGGATGGGACAAAAAACCGAGGTCCTGTGTACTCATTGGCGTGCACTTAAAAGATCCCTTGGCAGTTGGAATTCGATATAAGAGTAGGCAGTAGTGCCGCTGTCCGGGCAAAATTTCCCTCATAGCACACTGTATGGCGTATGCCCGTCTTCATTAGCCCAGGTTAGGAGCAGAACAGTAGGACGTAAAACCCCATTTCATTTCATTTCATTTCCTATATGTTTTAAACCTTTTATCTTTTGATTGAATCGTTACAAACTGTAATAATAATCGATGAACACTGAGCCAGAGTTACCGAGGACCTCAAGATCTTGGACGGCCTCTAGCCAAGTTATATAATATTTTTGACACTGTCATGAGCCTTTCCATCTTCAATAGAAGGCTTGATCTCGCTTTAACTATGTACATCTTATCAAGGCCTTCACGTAATATCCTGCATATTTCGGCACCAATTTCGATTGGGTACATGCCCAGCTTGTGAGCCTATCAGATTCCGCGATTGTCGCGAATACCAAGTCTCGCGCTTTCAAGCTAAAATGTCTACCTGTGATAATCGAGTTGCATGGAAAGTTCAAGGTTTGTTCATTCTCAAGGTTGCTGTGGAGGTCGCGATGTCACAACCTCTTATTGGACGCTACTGCTCACATGTCTGTAGATAATTTAGCTATAAGTTCGGGAATTGTGAAGTAAACAAGCAATGGCCAGATGTTGTAAAACTCGCTGACGTTGCTTCAGGAACATGGAGCCTTTCTGGCATGTGCTGTAGTCTTAACAGTGGGGGTGAGGGGGGCTGAACTGTTAATGCGTGCACATTGTATGACAAGGTCTGTCATTGAGTCAACTGGCATGCTTTTGATTCCCCGGTTGTACATGACAAGGAGTAGGGTTGCCTGTCCAACCTCGTGGATTTTCTCCGGGTCCTCCGGTTTCCACCCACTGCTAAAGACCCCTACGTGCAAGCGAATTATTGAAGTAAAATTGAACCTTATGTTAGTTCCGAAATGACCTAGTTTGTGTCGAGTGGACGATAAACCCCATTTCTCTCTCTTTCTTAAACATCCGTCGTCATCATCGGATTTACTCAATTGATTTTAAAACACATTCACATGTTCCATCGGTCGTGAGGGTGGAGGATTGTAAGTGGAATAGTGGAGGATATCTCTTCATCTAAATTAGCCACAGGATGAACTCAGTCAGGCATACAAAAAACATTCTTCATTTGGCTTTTATAACTTGTTTTCAATAATTTTAATTTCAGGCTCTTTCTGTCGGAATATTTCCATATGTATTAAAACTACTTCAAAGTTCAGCTCGTGAACTCCGACCTCTACTTGTTTTTATTTGGGCAAAAATATTAGCTGTTGACAGTGTAAGTATAAACAAAGAGAAAATGAGTTCATAGTGAATTTTTAAGAATTAATGTCATAGGGGGGTTGATAGTCGAGTGGTCTAAGGCCCAGCTATGTGACAAGGAACAGGACCGTCAGTTTTCTCTGGGCCCTCCGATTTCCTCCCACTGCTAAAGACTTCTACGCACAAATGAATTATTGAAATAAAATAAAATGAGTATGGTTTAAGTGGCATGGTTTAAATTCCCTGCTTGTATTTGGTCGCCTGTCCAACCCTGTGAGTTTTCTCTGGGTCCTCCAGTTTTTTCCCACGGCTAACAAGCCCTACGCGCAAGCGAATTATTGAAACAAAATTGAACCATATGTTAGTCTCGAAATGACCTAGTTTGTGTCAAGTAGACATTAAACCCCATTTCTCTCTCACTTAAATTCCCTGCTTGTATTTGGTCACCTGTCCAACCTCGTGAGTTTTCTCCGAGTCCTCCATATGTTAGTCCCGAAATGATCAAGTTTGTTTCGAGTGGATGTTGAACCCCATTTATCTGTTTAATATTTTATTTATCTTCTATATGTTGTAGTCTTGTCAAGCTGATCTTGTTAAAGATAATGGTCACAAATATTTTCTCTCTGTGTTGAGTGATAGTTATATGCCAGTAAGTATTAATGATTTATAAAATTGATGGGATTTGACTTTATTTAAATTCAATCGCTACTTTCACTTTGTACATGCTAATAATAGATGGTTTAATTGTCTAATCTATATGGCCAACCTCGGTCGTATGTGTCAAGCAGGGCTTATTTGATGATTAGCGGGGGGTTGGATGGCCGAATGGTTAGCACATGCTTGCTGTATCATAAGGTCTGTCATTGAGTCAACTGGTGTGGTTTCAAATCCCCCCTTGTACATGACAAGGAGTAGGGTCACATGTCCAACCTCGTGGGTTTTCTCCGGGTCCTCCGGTTTTCTCCCACTGCTAAAGACCCCTACGCGCAAGCGAATTATTGAAATAAAATTAAACCATATGTTAGTCCCGAAATGACCTAGTTTGTGTCGAGTGGACGTTAAACCCCATTTCTCTCTTTCTCTCTCTCTTGATGATTAGCTAGTCGTACAGATGGGACAAAAAAAAAGAAAAAAAAAAGATTCTGTACCATTAAGATGTATTTATACTTTTCAGGCTGATCATCGTACTATGGCAGCTTTTGTTTTATCTATGATTGTAAATGACTACAGGCAAGGACAAGTAAATATCTTTATATATATTTTACATACATAAACCTTTCCCTTATTATTCAAGGAAATTCATATTTCACGACAGAATCTACATTTACCATTGAATCTACTCTATATATTATAAAAACACAATTTATATTGAAAACAATGACAGGTTAGTACACTTGTAGCGCGACATGTTTTTGTGCTGGATAACGATATGTATACAAACCAGGGATTATTTTCCAATCATTTGTGTTTGATAACGATAAGAGAACACTTGTCAAAACGTGTTGTAATTGTGCTCAGTCGTTAAATACCACTTAAGGAGGGGGGGGGGGTGCTGGAAGGCCAGATGGTTAGGGGGGTGCGTTGTATCATAAAGTATGTCATTGAGTCATTCGATTGATTCCCCTTTGGTAAGTGACAAGGAGTAGGGTCGCCTGTCCAACCTTGTAAGTTTTCTCCGGGTCTTCCAAGTTTCCTCCCACTGCTAAAGACCACCCCTACACACCAGCATATTATTGAAATAAAATTGAACCTTGTGTTAGTTCGAACTGACCTCTCTCTCTCTCTCTCTCTCTCTCTCTCTCACTCCACTTAGGATTATGTTGGTCTCTATATTATATTATTGATGATGATTATTTACGTTGTTTTTTATTTTATCCAGGAGGCAGCTTTACAAGGAAGTGTAATATCAATATGTTTAGAACAGATTACTGATTCTAATCCAAGATTTAGACAGTGGTTAGCTCTATGTTTAGGCAAGGTAGGATCACATTTTTACTGTATTTACGGCCATCAATAAAATTGAATATATTGCAATAAGGGTCTTCCGTAATATTTATTGCAATACATGTATTGTATCATGTATTTGTGTTTATTTTTTCAAGTAAATTTGGAAAGAAAGATACCGTGATATACATTGTATTGTGAGATCTGTACCACGATACGAATCATATCGTGAGGTTAGCGTATTTGTCAATCAGGCCCTGACAATACACTACTCTCTCAAGAGCAGTGGAAATTGTTGACGTAGGTTATAGGTATGGATTTAATTAGTATTGTATTATATTTGTTGTTTGTAGGTATGGATCAATTTTGATAATGCTAGATGGTGTGGTGTACGAGATAGTGCTCATGAAAAACTGTATAATCTACTGAGTGATCCCTGTCCGGAGGTTAGGGTTTATTATATCGATTAATCACGCCAGACAAAAAATATATTATTCTGGTTCTCAGATAACCATTAAAACAAATCTGATGCCGGAGATTGAGGTTTTTGTTTTTAATTTGTCAATTAATGATTTTCTTCCCTTTTTTTTTAATGGCTTTTTTTTTCTTTCAATTTTTGTGTTTGTTTTGAAAATGGCTTTCTTTCTATTTTCTTTTTTGAAAATGACTTCGTACCAACATCACGTTTCAAAGTTCAGTACATGAAAAACATACCTGTAATGTAATGACATCATTAGCCGAATTTGTCACTCTTGTAATGAAAAATATTTTTCACATAAACAGTGAACAACAGAACAGTGAACAACAGATATCTAAACTCATTTATTAAAAGATTTAGATTTAGTTAAAGAACCATTATGGGAGATTAGATAAAGATCTCTCAGCTCTCACTAGAGATAATGTAGAGGGAATATGCTGAAAATCTGAACCAAGATTTTAGTGATTGAATTTTCGGCCTAGCCTCGATCATCATTACTAAAGTCGGTAAATTATGAATGGAAGTCGAACAGGAAATCGGAACCTAATCCAATGAACATTGCAGGCTAGCGATAACATCGAGAGTTGATTATGGTCTGGATACGTTAATTAATGTCTAATTAATAATTTAGATAACATTTCAGACCTAAACAAAGACCTGCAATAGGCAGATTTAGCTCTTGCATAATGTATGTTAAATCAATTATGACATTTTTTTTCCCCAACAGGTTCGTGCTGCAGCTGTTTATGCTTTAGGTGCATTTATTAGTTCTTCATCAGAAAGAACAGATCATGCCAATAATATAGATTTAGGTGTTGGGATGAAATTAACACAAGTTGGTTCCGATGGTAGTCCTTTAGTTAGAAAGGTAGGATATACTATATCAATAATTAAACAGTCTGACAAGGAAAGCTCTCTAGTCGTTTGGATGGGACGTGTATACATTGGCATGCATGTAAAAGATCCCTTGGCAGTTTGAATTCGATATAAGAATAGGCCACAGTGCCGCTGCCTGGGCAAAATTTCTCTCATACTCATAGCACACTGTATGCCCGTCTTTATTAGCCCAGTTAAACCCCATTTCATTTCATTTCAAACAAGGGGGGTTGGATGGCTAAATGGTTATCATGTGCGCGCTGTATCGTAAGGCCTGTCATTGAGTCAACTGGCATGGTTTCGAATCCCCGGTTGTACGTGACAAGGAGAAGGGTCGCCTGTCCAGCCTCGTGGGTTTTCTCCGGGTCCTCCAGTTTCCTCCCACTGCCAAAGACCCCTACGCGCAAGCGAATTATTGAAATAAAATTAAACCTTATGTTAATCCCAAAATGACCTACTCTGTGTTGAGTGGACGTTAAACCCCATTTTTCTCTCTCTGTCATTTTAAACAATAAACAACAATATTAATGCTGTTGGATTAGTGGGGGGTCGGCTGGCCAAATAGTTTAACACACATGCTTTAGATCATAAGGTCTGTCATTGTTTCGTTTCCCCCGATCGTACATAACAAGGAGTAGGAACTTCTGTCCAACCTCATGGGTTTCCTCCAGCTCCTCCAGTTTCCTCCCACAACATGCAAGGGAATTCTTGAAATAGTTAAACCCCATCTCTCTCTCTCTCTCTCTCTCTCTCTCTCTCTCTTAGACTAGTAGACACAGAGCAGAGTTATTGTGACTTCTACATGCGAGCCAGGGGAAAACACACCCTGTAAGAGAGATTGGCAAGATTGGCTTCGAATTTAGAGCCATGTTGATCTCATCTGGTTCAGATGTGTGCACAAAAAGAACCCTTGAAAATTGAAATTCGAAAAATAAAAGTAGGCCGTAGTGCAATGCTATATGCCTGTCTGCATTAGCCCAGTCGCTGCAGAAGAGTAGGATGTCAAACCTCATTTCCTTGCCAGACAATCTGTCATGCACCATAGAACTTGCCAGGCACCACTGAACTTTCTAGGCAGTCTGTCATGCACCACTGAAAAAGGGACACAACTCAGCCCTGCATCACTGACAAGGGGACACCACTCCGCCCTGTACCACTGACAAAGGGAAACCAGGCTGTAAAAATCACAATGAAGAGTTGAATATAGATATTTTTTGTTTGTATTTTGCCAAAGATCAATTTATGATGTAAGTAAATGGCTGAAAATGATAAAAGACAGAACACAGAGATGATAACAAATATTATTTCAGGAATTGGCCGTAGCATTTGGAGCTTTAGTTGTTCAGTTTGAAACTCATTTTGCTGCGGTAGCTTGTCAGGTATTGGATGACGATAAGAAGGAGTTAAAACATGGTCCGATGGTGACGTCAGAAACCGCTGGTGGGTGGAATCTCGTTAATCAGACTGGTATGGTCTATTGTAATGTTCAATGTTGTTGTACATATTCCGATAATAATCGACTGTCTCAAACTAAATACCTTTCAAACGATCTAGGACAACTGTTGGCAGGACAATTGTCGGCCATTTTTTTTTTGTTTTTATAGTATTGTTTATTAAATGATGAGTAAGCCCTAGTATGTAGTCAAAAAGATCAAAACAAATACAAAATACAAACAATATGGACGCCATTTGAATAAGCCCTAGTGTGTAGTCAAAACAAGTACAAAATACAAACAATATGGCTACCAGTTGAATAAGCCCTAGTATGTTGTCAAAAAGATCAAAACAAATACAAAATACAAACAATATGGCCGCCATTTGAATAAGCCCTAGTATGTAGTCAAAACAAATACAAAATACAAACAATATGGCTACCAGTTGAATAAGCCCTAGTATGTAGTCAAAAAGATTAAAACAAATACAAAATGCAAACAATATGGCCGCCATTTGAATAAGCCCTAGTATGTAGTCAAAAAGATCAAAACAAATACAAAATACAAACAATATGGTTGCCATTTGAATAAGCCCTAGTATGTAGTCAAAAAGAACAAAACAAATACAAAATACAAACAATATGGTTGCCATTTGAATATACCCTAGTATGTAGTCAAAAAGAACAAAACAAATACAAAATACAAACAATATGGCCGCCGGTTGAATAAGCCATGGTATCTAGTCCAAAAAACAAACAAATACAAAATACAAACAATATGGCCGCCAGTTAACAAAACAAATACAAACAATATGGCCGCCACTTAAATATGCGGTAGTATATAGTTAAAAAAAGAACAAAACAACTACAAAATGGTCGCCAGTTGAATAAGCCATAGTATGTAGTGAAAAAAAAAAAAAACAAATAAAAAATACTAACATAATGGCCGGTAGTTATCAGCTGACAATTGTCCTGCCTCCTCTTTCAAAACTATTTAATAATACCTAAATATGGAACAATCTTAATTTGGGAATTTCGTTTTTAGACAGTCATTATTAAAAGAAGCTGGTATGTACAGACTGGATGTGTTGGGAAACAGGACAATTTTTTTTTTATTAGCAATATTGGCACTCACTGCTTGCTTATCCTGTTCCTTGCACATGCATGTCATAACCAGTATTTGTTTTACTCTATTGTTTAATATTGTATAATTATATTTGTGTCTGCCTGTTCACCGTTGGCGGCTACACTGTGGTTGTCCCAAGGCTGTAATTTGGTGTATAAGGATAGCTTGGACTGGGGAGTAACATTGGCTAGGTGGCATTTATCTGTTTGTTTGTCTGTCTGTTTGTTCAGGGTTGGCGGCTACACTACGGTTGTCCCGAGGCTGTAATTCGGTATATAGGGGTAGCTTGGACCAGGGATTAACATAGGCTAGGTGGCGTTGGCCTACCACTTCTGGTTTCAGAGTTATATTACTTTCAACCTGTGCAGCGCCGGGTCATCTGCTAGTGTCATCATATTTATCAATATTGTATCTCATTTATTTTCTAAAACAAAAATACGATTAAACATGTATTATGTAAAAGCAATCTGATTAACATGCAGACCCTACGATCTGGAAGAGTTGTTATATAATCCGTGTTCTGGTTGATGTGAGGGATTAGCCAATGAAACGGTCTGTTGCAGCTAGTTCTTGGCGTGCAATGCACGGAACTGTGGATATTCCACTAGAAACATCAACGTTGATTGGTTAATTAAATGTCTGATGTCATAGGGTCAAAAGCCACTTGTACAATCTCTGACGCAACCTTCCAATACAACCGGTCAGATCTTCATATAGTGTAGGCCATTGAAAGTATAAAAAAACGAAACGAAACAAAATATAGATCTGTGTTGTAATCAGATTGATGTAAGAGCTAAATCTGCCTATTTCAGGGCCCTTATTCACGAAAACTTAAACTAAGATTCAATCGAAATTTTAAGAAATACTGCAATTCGATTGGCCAATCGAATTGCAGTATTTCTTAAAATTTTTATTGTATCTTAGTTTAAGTTTTGGTGAATAAGGGCCCAGGGACCTGTTTCACGAAATTTTAACTAAGATAAAATCCAAATTTTAGTAATTTGATTGGATAATACTAGATTGATTTTAGTGCTTAGCCAATCAAAATTGAAGTATCTACTAAAATTTGGATTTTAACTTTAGTTAAAATTTCGTGAAACAGGCCCCAGGTCTTTAATTAGACATTTATTAACACGAAAATCACATAATCAACTCTTTGGGCAATCTATCATTGTACTATTTGTTGTGTCTGTGTTTTGTTGTACATTTCTCCTAAAATCAACGTCCACTTCATTATAGTTTTTAGGAAACAAATAAATTGTAAAATGTTTTCAACCATTTCAGATCCATTTCTGTCACCTTTCCCATCAAACATTAAACGCAGCGCATCAAGAAATAGTCTTAAAGAGAGGGGCCCAAATTGTAAGCGAATAATAATTTGATGTTTGATATTCCATGTTCATTTTTGTGGACTTCATAGTGAAAAAGAGAAAGAAAGAAGTGGGGATTAACGTCCACTTGACACAAACTAGGTCATTTCGGGACTAACATATAGTTCAATTTTATTTCAATAATTGGCTTGCACGTAGGGGTGTTTAGCAGTGGGAGGACCTGGAGAAAACCCAAGAGATTGGACAGGCGACCCTACTCCTTGTCACATGCAACTGGGGGATCGAAACCAAGTCAGTTTACTCAATGACAGGCCTTATTGGATGGGGTTGGATGGCGCATGCGTGTTGTATTATAAGGTCTGTCACTGAGTTAACTGGCGTGGTTTTGATTCCCCGCTTGTAGATGACAAGGAGTAGGGTCGCCTGTGCAACCTCATGGGTTTTCTCCAGGTCCTCCGGTTTCCTCCCACTGCTAAAGACCTCTACGCTCATTCAAATTATTGAATTAAAATTGAACCGTATGTTAATCCCAAAATGACCTAGTTTGTGTCGAGTGGACGTTAAACCCCATTTCTCTCTCTCTTAGATCAAAATTATTAGGCTTAATATATTATTAATGTATAAAGTTTGAATTAGGCATATTTTTTTAGATCCAAATTTATTTTAAACGTAATTAATGTAATTCAAAATAATTAGGAATGAATATTGCATACCGTATTCTTCAGTGGATTAGGTGAACTATTTTTTACCAATTATAGTCTGGGGGGTTGGATGGCTGAATGGTTAGCCTGCGCGCGCTGTATCATAAAGTCTGTCATTGAGTCGACTGGCGTGGTTTCGAATCCCCGGTTGTACGTGGCAAGGACTAGGGTCGCCTGTCCAACCTCGTGGGTTTCCTCCCACTGCTAAAGACCCCTACGCGCAAGCAAATTATGTAAATAAAATTAAACCATATGTTAGTCCCGAAATGACCTAGTTTGTGTCAAGTGGACGTCAAACCCCATTTCTCCCTCTCCAATTATTGTATTTTCTATGAAGTTGTTTGTAGTCAACAAAATTATGGTTTCTTTGATTGGTATTCAAAATTCTATTATTTTACGTAACTGGTAGATCTAAATGACTACCAATCGATTGAGGTATTGTCGTGTCACATGTAATGGGTGGGGCCATGGGTACTATCGTTTGATTGTCAGCGTACGTGATGTAAACTAGAATTGTCGTTTCTCAAATTAATTCTTTTAGTTAGTCGTGAGTAGCTGATCATTAAAAATCATTTCTGTAGCTAATATTTCATTTGTTTATCATCAAAATCTAACCATTTATCACAGCCAATTACTCATGAAATTAACAGGATGTAATAGACGGCCATATTTGTTGTGGGTGGAAGTTTAACAACAATTTGACTAAGCGCCAGAATTAATGTCTAAAGTTAAATTGGAGCAAATTCCTTCAATATAATTGACATAAAGGCTGATGCTGTTGAAAAAAAAAATATATATAAAGCTTGATAGGGCTAAATATCGGTAATGATTATAGTTTGACCCAGTTACTGGAACTGGCGGGTGGATTTGGGACGTATGGTATGATACATGTTTCACAAGGCGCTGTAGAAGGGTGCGCCTATACCATTCACATCTATTTTTTCCTGAAACACCTGTGCCTTTTCTACGCATGTGCCTAATCCACCGAAGAATACGGTAACAAAATAAATGATCTTTTTTTTCTTCTTATATATTTACCTGATTGCTGTATATTTTATGTATATTTTATATCTATTTAAATATAGACTGTCATGAAATGAATGCCAAATATATAGTACTGAAATATATTTAAAAGGCTTGATGTGTTATTTAGCGCTATAGCAATCCATTGCAAATTATAATATTGTAAAATTTGAATCTCTAATAAGAATATCAGTCCAAAAAATGGTTCGATTCCGTTCAATATTTACAAAGTTATGAACAATTGAAATTTCATCGATCTATGCTGCTCAAGTGCTGACATCTTTTATTGATTGTGGAGAAACCTGATGGCTTGGTTTAATCAGATTGAATCCAAGCTAGGAGTTAATTTATCGTTGATTTCTCCAAATCCTCCGGTTTCCTCCCACTGCTAAAGACCCCTACGCGCAAGCGAATTATTGAAATAAAATTAAACCATATGTTAGTCCTGAAATGACCTACTTTGTGTTGAGTGGACTTTAAACTCCATTTCTCACTCTCTTATGTAGCGTTGGTATTTTGATTTTGTTTTCCTAATTAAATGTTAAATTATCAATCTGAGCACATATTTAGCATGGATTAAGACTTGAGAGATTTAATATTTTAGCGTAAAGGCAAATAACACATCAATCTTTTAATGAATCATAACCCTAAATATAATATATACTTTTAACCTGCTTGACCTTTGACTTCGCATAATCCTTATCTTCACACAGCTAATCTAAGCACCATATTCACGCAAAGCAGCACAACAAATCTCGAAGGTTTAGACGGATCTCTCGAACGATCACGAAGATTTTCATCGAGTACTTCACTTGCAGGATCAGCAATAAGCTTTAATAATGTTTATCTCAGTGTGTGGCGGACTTTACTTCAACTAGCCATGGATGCTCACCCAGAAGTAGCAGAAATGGCCAAGGCCATCGTCAACTCAGTCAAACATCGGGTAAGTGTATAAATACACGTGTTGGAGCAGAAGTACAGACAAACCCCATTTCATTTCGTACAACACATTTGTTGAAGCAGAACAGTCAAACCCAATTTCATTTCATTTGTGTTTAATACACACTTAGTTGTGAATTCAGACCGGTTAATGAAGGAAATTTTGCTCTGACAGCGGTGCTACAGCCCTACTCTTATATTGAATTTCATCTGTCAAGGATTTTTTTACGTGTTCGTCCAGGGGCTTAAGCTTTTCATTGCATCCAAATGACTAGACATTGTTCCCTCTGTCCTACACTACTGACAAAGGGAAACCATTCCAGTCCCTCTGTCCTACACCACTGACAAGGGGAAACCATGCCAGTCCCTCTGTTCTACACCACTGTCAAGGGGAAACCATGCCAGAAAATCCTAAAGAACTTTCTGGGCCAACACCTGGATCAAACCCGGGACCGCCAGACTAGCGAGCCAGTACCTCGATGTAATTCAGGATCTCCAGGTTTTCAAGCCAACTCACTGAGCCACGGTGCCTCCATGACACAAGGGGAAACTTGTTTGAATGAATAGATCTCCAATGGACACAAATGAAATAAAAAAAATATTGAAAAAAAAAAAAAATTTTTTAAAGCAAACTTCTTGATAATACAATAATAAATTCATAAATGTACACATATTTAAAATTCTATTTGTTTTACAGGCATCGACTAATGCCAAACCTAAACCAATGCAATCTATTCAAAATACCAATTCAGCACCATCAAGTCCTTCTAATAAACCTCCAGTACAAATGATAATAGGGTAAGTAACTTTAACCCTCTTTACAAATGGGGGCTGACAAGGAAAGCTGTCTAGTCGTTCGGATGGGACGAAAAACCGAGGTCCCGTGTACACATTGGCGTGCACGTAAAAGATCCCTTGGCAGTTGGAATTCGATATAAGAGTAGGCCGTAGTGCCGCTGCCCGGGCAAAATTTCCCTCATAGCACACTGTATGGCGTATGCCCGTCTTCATTAGCCCAGGTTAGGAGCAGAACAGTAGGACGTTAAACCCCATTTCATTTCATTTCATTTCATTTCTTTACAAATGATAGTAAAACCTTTTAATTGTTATGTAACGTGATGTTATTCCAAACAAGGGCTGTGATAGTTAGCCAGAACTGTTCTCATAATACACATGTAGCAAGGAATTGATATATATGAATTATTGGTCCTTTATTGATGTGATTTTAGTACACCACCACAGAATAACGGATCTACGATGGAAGAAAGTAAAAATCGTGATCTCCACTCACCATCTAGACAACCTGGATCCCATCCACATTCTGTACAGTTTCCTAGATCACGGAAAATGTTTGATAAAGGTCCTAGTCATGTAAGTTTATTCTTTAACATATGTTAGTCTCGAAATGACCTAGTTTGTAACGAGTGGCCGTTAAACCAGATTTCTCTCTGTCTGACAATCTATTAAAGATACATTAGTTTAGAGTTTAATAATGAGTTGGCCATTCTTGATATAATAGTTCAAAAGAGAAAATATTAAAAATTTCAGTCAAATTTCTTTATTCTGAACGGAATTGTCACTGTTGGAAGTTTAGACTAGAAATAGACATCAACTCTCTCCACACCGTCTCCGAGAATAGCCGATCATTTGATTGACAGACGATAACTCCGCCCACATATTCTCAATTATCAAGTAACATTCTCAATGCCTACCTTACCCACTGTTGTCAGTCCTTTCATCGGCAGGGGGTGTTGAATGGCTGAATGGTTAGCATGTGCGCGCTGTATCATAAAGTCTGTTATTGAGTCAATTGGCGGGGTTTCGATTTCCTGGTTGTAAGTGACAAAGAGTGGGGTCGCCTGTCCAACCTCGTGGGTTTTCTCCGGGTCCTCCGGTTTCCTCCCACTGCTAAAGACCCCTACGCGCAAGCGAATTATGGAAATAAAATTGAACCCTGTGTTAGTCCCGAAATGACCTAATTTATGTCAAGTGGACGTTAAACCCCATTTCTCTCTTTCATTGGCAGTCTCCGGTAGTGACGTCAGAAATTAACGGTAAATGTTAGCTTGGTCATCCATTTATTGATTTAATCATGAAACGGACGACTGTTTAAATCCAAGCTGTATCCAAGCCATCTGAGGGTCTACGGAGTTGATTTTGTGCTTGTCATGTAAATAAAGGTCTAATTTATAATTTCTATAACATCTGAAGCCTATAGAAAGACTTGCAATAGACAGATTTATCTCTTTTAACTAATGTTACATTTACTCACTTTATTACTCAAAATGGCAGAAGAACTACAACATAAGGGAGACAACTTGTTTCGACTTAAGTATAAGGTTTCAGACCACAATGATATAGAATATACCACAATATGACACTAATGTAACTTTAACCATACATTATACAAGAGCTAATTCTGCCTATCACAGGTCTTTCTTTAGACCGGAAATGTTATATAAATTATTAATTAGACATTAATTAACTCATCCAGACCATAATTAACTCTCGATGTCATCGCTAGCCTGCGATATTTACTGGATTAGGATCCAATATTCTGCTCAACTTTCATTCATGATTAAGTCAAGAAATAGATAAGATAATCAAGACTATGTTTTTTATCGTACCGACTTTAGTAATGATGATAGAGGCTAGGCCTAAAATTCAATTGCTAATATCTTGGTTCAGAGTGGATCAATTTGGCTGAAATTTTCAGCATATTCGCTTTACATTATCTAGTTTTTAACTATTATAGTGAGAACTGCCAGCTCTTTATCTTATCTCCCATAATGTATCTTTAAAATACAGATCTATATCTTTAATAAAAATATATATTTCCAGAAAGATGACAAAGATGATGAACCCCCACCTACTAAAATAGCTGGGGATGTCTGTACCGAGTTCTTTCAATGGAGTTGTTCTTATTTTGCTAAACCTGTGATGAGATTATCTGAAGAGAAGGATCCTGAGAGTGGGTTACATCAAGAACGAGATTTCAGATTATTCCGTAACTCTCGGGTTCGACAAGAAGCCAGAGAGGAGCAGACACGAGCAGGTATTTTTTTGTTTTCTATTAACTAATATTTCAATCTGATTAAAATACAGATTTATATTTTGGTTTTTTATATATTCGATGGCCTAGACTACATGAAGATCTGACCAGTTGTACTGGAAGGTTGTGTCAGGGGTTGTACAAACGACTTTTGACCCTATAACGTCAGACATTGATTATCCAATGGTTAACTCACAGTTCTGTGCATCACATGCCAAAAAGTCACCATTGACTAATCCCTCACTTCATCCAGAACGCGAGTTATATAACAACTCTTCCTCGATCCTAGTGTAGTAAAGACGAGTAAAACGAAATTTTGAACTATAAAAACAAAACAAAATAGGATCTGTGTTTTAATCGGATTGATTAACCAATAGGCCACTACCCCCCCCCCCCCCCTCCTGAGAATAGACCAGTATATTATTTTATAAGCTGATGAAGTAATATATATATTTATTACAGGTTTTATTAGATTATAAGCTGTTGAAGTAATATAATGTATATATATTACAAGTTTTATAGAGAATCTCCTACCAGTCTTTTTTGATATCAAAAAATATCAACACAAGTTGATAAAGAAACAAAAAACGAGGCTGTGCCAATTTTTTTTTACTTTATCAACGAGTTTTGATATTTTTTGATATCAAAAAAGACGAGTAGGAGATTTTATTTATCACCCAAACCCTTCTTACATGCACAAATAGATAAATATAATTCTTTGCTATCAATTTCACTTTTACTGAACATTACGGCGTAGTGATACATCATTTTTTGACAGCAATTCAACCATTGCAAAGTCCTTTATATTGGCCCAGTGTTTCCATCAAGGTCAATTGAATAACAATAGTTCATTTTTTAAAAATAAAAGTTAATTTTCATAAGAAATGAACTGTTATTTGAAAATAAAAAAAAGTAGTTCCTTTTCAACTGACAAATCTCCTAAGGAGATATATCGCAGTAGATTATGAAATATATCACACAAGCTATATCTACTGTAGAATGTATTATTGGGTGATAAAATAGATTATAAACTGTTGAAGTAATATAATGTATATATATATATATTACAGGTTTTAATAGATTAGATGATCAGGTATTTGTCAATCGTAATATTGGTATACCATCTGTCATCAAGTTTCATCCCTATCAATCATATTTAGCTGTTGGTGATAAAGAAGGGGTTAGGTAAGATATTAAAATTCCAATACTCAATAAAGATCAGACAAAAATCTAAGACACAATGTAGATTAGACTAAAATCCAATACACATTAAAGATAAGACAAAAATCCAACACACACAGTGAGTGTAGATTAGACAAAAATCCAACACACACAGTGAGTGTAGATTAGACAAAAATCCAACTCACACAGTGAGTGTAGATTAGACAAAAATCCAACTCACTCAGTGAGTGTAGATTAGACAAAAATCCAACACACACAGTGAGTGTAGATTAGACAATAATCCAACTCACTCAGTGAGTGTAGATTAGACAAAAATCCAACACACACAGTGAGTGTAGATTAGACAATAATCCAACTCGCTCAGTGAGTGTAGATTAGACAAAAATCCAACACACACAGTGAGTGTAGATTAGACAAAAATCCAACACACACAGTGAGTGTAGATTAGACAATAATCCAACTCGCTCAGTGAGTGTAGATTAGACAAAAATCCAACACACACAGTGAGTGTAGATTAGACAAAAATCCAACACACACAGTGAGTGTAGATTAGACAAAAATCCAACTCACTCAGTGAGTGTAGATTAGACAAAAATCCTATGTAAACTAGATAGTCAAATCCATTGTCCAATGTGGAAAAGGACAAAATCTCATGTTCAATATAGTTTAGACAAAATTCCCATGCTTTTTTTGACAGTGATTGTGAAATATCACTTTTCGATTCGAATTGAAAGAAGTCAAAGCAGAATGATGGTACATGTTCTGAATTTGTCTCTGTCACAATTCAATTAATTTGTCTCTGTCAAAATTCAATTGTTCCTTTTATGTTAGTGTCAACCAATTTGATTAAAACACAGATTCTATTTCGTTTTCTTTTTTTATAGTTCAAAATTTTGTTTTATTTATCTGTACTACTCTTGGATCTGAAAGAGTTGTTATATAAGGCAACACAAATAAAATAACTTGTTTCTCGGGCACCGTCCGCACGCAAAATTGGTTGCGCGTGCAGTCTATTTATTAGTCTTGATGAAAAAAAATAAATATGTAACGCCCGCCCGCACATCGACAAGCAAGTCGTAAAAAAAATATCCCGCATGTACCTACATCCGCCATACATGTATATCTATTCAAATGTATTAAAACTGATTCAGATGAACATGCTGTCTTTTTTATCCGAACAATGGCGAAGTTTGGCAGATTTGCCTTTTTTATTGATATCGAAAGAACCTCCATTTTGTATCACGTGATATTAATTACCTCCCCTGATAAACTAGAATTTGATTCGTGTTAAAAGTCATTGGCGACAATATTTCAATCATTCGATCGTATTCGGCTCATTATTGCCGGCTTCAGTCGGTCCTTGTTTGGAAAATCCTATTGATAAAATAATGAACCGTAGAACAGGTTAATTAATTATAGCTAAGAATACGATACGATGACGATAGTCGTCATAATGCATACCTTAGAATCTGGGTCATTATTAGCACATTTACGGTAGTTTCGATAATCCGGAAAATAATAATTGGATTACCGATTTGATGGTTTTACTGACCAGTTGTTAGTTAGATTTAAATAATCATTCAATATAAACACCGGATAGAACACCGAATATCCTGAGAAACACACCGAATATCCCAAGAAACAGTATTTCCGGCAATCTCCAATACCGATGACACGGTGTGACATGCATTGGTTGGAATTCGGTAAATAATTATAAATAAACCGGCGATACTAGATTTAGTTTTAAATACTGTTTACCATGATTATTATTTTTGATACACCTGGTGAAAGAGGCTTAGTTTTTAAAAATATTGTTGTCTTTATGGAGGGCTATTACATAGTCGTATGGAATTTTATTTTAAACCAATTTCAATTATGTGAATTAAATATGGAAAATTATTTTCCTTTCAGTCAGTGTTCAGTCTCAGTGTTTTAGTAGACTTGATTTTGGGTTTATGTTTTAAGTATGTACAATAAAGTTGAATATAACGGAAAGCAAAAACGTAAACAAGTAATGACTTTCTCATTTAAAAAAAAAAAAAAAAGAAAGACCGCCCTCCCGCCCCAACAATTTTCAGCAATAGCCAAATTTTATTTTGCACCATCAATGAGTAAAAAAAAAAAAGAAACCGCCCTCCCTCCCTACAGTTTCAGCTGTCAGTTGCCCGAGAAACAAGACATTTATTTTGTGTGGCCTAACAGGCGTGAGGGATGGCGTGAGGGATTAGCCAATGAAACCATCTGTTACGGCGACTTCTTGGCGTGCGATGCAGGGAGCTGTGGGTAAACCACTAGAAATGTCAATACTGATTGATTAATCAATGTCTGACATCATAGGGACATCGTACGACCTCTGACACGACTTTCCAGTACAACCGGTCAAATCTTCATGTAGTGTAGACCATCGAAAGTGTAGTAAAGACAAGTACAATTTTGAAGTATAAAAACGAAACAAAACGGAATAAGATCTGTGTTTTAATCAGATTGTTACTTTCATCAGATCAATGTTATATTTATTTTGTTTTATTTCAGTATATGGGATTGGGAACAAGGAACTAAATTAAGCTATTTAAATAATGAAAACCCAAAACATAGCCGTATAACTGCCATGGATTTTGTCAATGCTCATGACAAATCTTTATTATTATGTGGTTCAGGTAAGTTATAGTCTTAAGGTACCTAATTTATAGTCTCGGATGGCATTTCAAGGATTTAGAATCTATTATAAATAACTACAATGTTGTGAAGGTTTAATCTCTAAAATAATATCAATTTCAATTGAGTTCAGGGGGGTTGGATGGCCGAATGGTTAACACGTGCACGCTGTATCATAAGGTCTGTCATTGAGTCAACTGGCGTGGTTTTGATTTCCCGGTTGTGTGTGACAAGGAGTAGGGTCGCCTGTCCAACCTCGTGGATTTTTTCCGGGTCCTCCGGTTTCCTCCCACTGCTAAAGACCCCTACGCACAAGTGAATTATTGAAATAAAATTAAACCATATGTTAGTCCCGAAATGACCTAGTTTGTGATGAATGGACATTAAACTCTCTCTCAATGAAAGTAGTAAAATTTAACTCATGGCATATGCCTGTCTTCATTATCCCATTCAGTGCGCAACAATAGGCCTCATAGCACACTGTATAGCTTATGCCCGTCTTCATTAGCCCAGTCGTTGCAGATGAGTAGGATGTTAAACCCCCATTTGATTTCAGATGATGGAGCTGTTAGAATCTGGAGAAAGTATATGGAAGATGAAGGCAAAGGAAAAGAATTAGTGACAACATTTCAAGCTTTATCTGACATGCTACCATTAACTAGAGGTAAGACATGTTACCATTAACTAGAGGTAAGACATGTTACCATTAACTAGAGGTAAGACATGTTACCATTAACTAGAGGTAAGACATGTTACCATTAACTAGAGGTAAGACATGCTACCATTAACTAGAGGTAAGACATGTTACCATTAACTAGAGGCAAGACATGTTACCATTAACTAGAGGTAAGACATGCTACCATTAACTAGAGGTAAGACATGTTACCATTAACTAGAGGTAAGACATGTTACCATTAACTAGAGGTAAGACATGCTACAATTAACTAGAGGTAAGACATGTTACCATTAACTAGAGGTAAGACATGCTACAATTAACTAGAGGTAAGACATGTTACCATTAACTAGAGGTAAGACATGTTACCATTAACTAGAGGTAAGACATGCTACAATTAACTAGAGGTAAGACATGTTACCATTAACTAGAGGTAAGACATGTTACCATTAACTAGAGGCAAGACATGCTACCATTAACTAGAGGTAAGACATGTTACCATTAACTAGAGGTAAGACATGTTACCATTAACTAGAGGTAAGACATGTTACCATTAACTAGAGGTAAGACATGTTACCATTAACTAGAGGTAAGACATGTTACCATTAACTAGAGGTAAGACATGTTACCATTAACTAGAGGTAAGACATGTTACCATTAACTAGAGGTAAGACATGCTACCATTAACTAGAGGTAAGACATGTTACCATTAACTAGAGGTAAGACATGTTACCATTAACTAGAGGTAAGACATGTTACCATTAACTAGAGGTAAGACATGTTACCATTAACTAGAGGTAAGACATGCTACCATTAACTAGAGGTAAGACATGTTACCATTAACTAGAGGTAAGACATGTTACCATTAACTAGAGGTAAGACATGTTACCATTAACTAGAGGTAAGACATTATACATGAAAGTTTTTTGAGAGAAGAACTTTTAAGAAGGATGAAGATGAAATATTGAAGTCAGATTCATTCTGTTCTTAGAAGTGGGGTGGGGTCGAGTGGTCTAACATTTGCGCTTTAGATCATAAGGTCTGTCATTAAGTGAGCTGGCATGGTTTCGATTCCCAGCTTGTATGTGACAAGGAGTAGGGTCGCCTGTCCAACCTTGGGGATTTTCCCCAGTTCTCGTACCGCTAAAGACCTGCGCGCAAGCGATTTATTGAAATAAAATTGAACCATATATAAGTCCTTAACTGACCTAGTTCGTGTTCAGGACTAACATATGGTTCAGTTTTATTTCAATAATACGCTTGCGTGTTGGAATAACACTTTTATTTCACTGATAAAACGCGGTATTCCACTACTGATCATAAAATAAATTGTTTTATTATTTTATAATTCAGGTTCTGGTTTAGTGACAGAATGGGAACAAGAAACAGGAATGTTAATATCATCTGGTGATGTGAGAATTATTAGAATCTGGGATACACAAAAAGAACTCAAATTACAGGTATGTTTACATTTAAAAGCGGTAGCCGCGGTTTCTCACTCAAATTACAGGTGAAATAAAATTGAACCATGTTAGTCCCGAAATGACCTAGTTTGTGTCGACTGGACGTTAAACCCCATTTATCTCTCTCACTGAGTAAGACATTGGTTCGATAATCAGGAGGGAGAAAGTTCCCAGCGTGGTTTCCCCATTGATGGTAGTGCAGGATTGAAGACATGATAAGAAACAGTGTAAAGTTATTTGGATGGCCCCAAAAACAACTAGGTCCTGTGTACACATTGGCGTGCATGTAAAAGATCCCTTGAAAGTTGGAATATGGAATCAGATTGACAATAACAGTGTCGTTCAGATGGGACGAACCATCAAGGTCCTGTGGTCACACTGGCATGACAGTTGGACTGTGAAATAAAAGAAGGCCATAGTACAGCTGTCTGAGTGAATGTAGGGGGGTTGGATGGCTGAATGGTTAGCACGCGTGCGCTGTATCATACGGTCTGTCATTGAGTCAACTGGCGGGTTTCGATTCCCAAGTTGTACGTGACAAGGAGTAGGGTCGGATGTCCAACCTCGTGGGTTTTCTCCGGTTCCTCCAGTTTCCCCCCAGTTTCCCCCCACTGCTAAAGACCCCTACGCGCAAGCGAATTATTGAAATAAAATTGAACCATATGTTAGTCCCGAAATGACCTAGTTTGCGTCGAGTGGCCGTTAAACCCCATTTCTCACTCTCTTTCCCGTCGTCATTAGCCCAGTCGGTGCAGAAAAGTAGGACGTTAAACCCGATTTGAAATTGAGTAAAATGAATGTTATTATATATTATAGGATATACCGACGGGAGCTGATAGTTGTGTAACTAGTTTATCATGTGATAGTAGTGGTAGATCATTAATTATTGCTGGTTGTGGTGACGGAACAGTTCGATTATTTGATAGAAGACTTGCTCCTTCAGAATGGTTAGTAATTTAATAATTAAAATATGATTGTTCGTAAAAATGTGATGGTAAATTATTGTATGAAGATGATATAGCACGGATCATGTTGCTGCCGACTGCAGAAGGATGTGTCTTAAAAATAACTGTAATTCTTATACATGCTAGTATAAAACAGAACTGAAATGAAATGGAGAAAAACGTACTACGTTAAACCCCATTTCATTTCATTTCAGTTCTGGTCCGACTAGGCTAATGAAGATAGCTGCAGGCATACGCCATACGGTGTGCTATGAGGGAAATTTTACCCGGACAGCGGCACTACAGCTTACTCTTATATTGAATTCAAAACCCAGGGGATCTTTAACGTGCACAAACAAAATGGCAGAATTTCAGTTTTTAAATTATAAATAACTGTTTCGATTTCGTCATTAAATTATTAAATGTCTAAGCCATTCGATGGCCTAGATAATTGATTATGGTCGTGCCATGTTAATAAATGCCTAATTAATAATTGATATAACATCTGAAGCTAGAAAAATGACATGCAACAGGCAGATTTAGTTCTTACAGAATGAATCTTTAAATAAGATATTGATTATTTTACAGTCGTGTGATGACTTTACAAGAACATGGCAGTATGGTGGTTAAAGTTCATCTACAAAAAGGCACAGAAGGAAAAATTGTTAGTGCTAGGTAAGTATTAAAATCAGTTTTAAAAAGCTTTTTTTTCTTGAATTCATATGGCAGTTATCCCGAGTATCAGTGATTAGTTTCAGTCGTATTGAACTCTTCAGACTATTGCTAAAAATCGGCAGGATTGCAGTCGTCATCAATTGGCAGGGTCACCGGGGGTCGCCCTCTTAACGGGGTCTGAGAAATTACTACAGGGTTGTAACAGAGCTTGTTAACTGATCATTTTGATTGATATGCTAGTATCCATGTCTGTGGTAAACTAGAATGCCTTGTGCTGGGTTTTCATACTGTTCCGTGTCATAACAAAGGGACAGATAAAGGTGTTCAGGTAACACCCATGAGAGGGTTATAAGGCTAATTATAAATCCAGAGGTAGCTTGTCTGCGATATATCACCTCGATGGAAGCAGCCGTAAAATACAACTAACTCACTCACACACTCCAGAGGTAGGGAGTTTTATAATAAAATCAATATAATAATTGTATTGTAAAATTGGTTTGAATATTCGTATTAAAAGATTACGATTGGTTTTTGTTAAAAAGTGGATATAGTTATAACATTAGATTTAATCAGCTGGTGTAATATTCTCCTCACATCGGAGAGTGTAAGAAATTTAGATTAACAAACCTTTTGATTTTACTTTGTTTTGTTTTTATTTTGATAGTACTGGTGGAGATCTGTAATATTCTCCTCACACAGGAGACTGTAAGAAAATTACTTTATTTTGTTTTTATTTTAATAGTACTGGTGGGGATATAAGATTCTGGGACCCTAGGTTTACCGAGTCTGTTAGTAATTTCCCTACACAGACGAGTCTCACATCAATGGAGGTTCATCCACGAGCTGATGTTATAGCATGGTAAGGACGCCATTTGATTTATATGATAATATTAGGGAGTGGCGGTGACGTATTGAGTAAAACACTAGTTCGCTCCCGGTGTTGGTCGAGAAAGTTCCTCAGCATTTTCCGGCATGGCTTCCCCTTGTCACTGGTGCAGGACTGAGGACCTGGCACGGCTTCCCCTTGTCACTGGTGCAGGACTGAGGACCTGGCACGGCTTCCCCTTGTCACTGGTGCAGGACTGAGGACCTGGCACGGCTTCCCCTTGTCACTGGTGCAGGACTGAGGACCTGGCACGGCTTCCCCTTGTCACTGGTGCAGGACTGAGGACCTGGCACGGCTTCCCCTTGTCACTGGTGCAGGACTGAGGACCTGGCACGGCTTCCCCTTGTCACTGGTGCAGGACTGAGGACCTGGCAAGGCTTCCCCTTGTCACTGGTGCAGGACTGACGACCTGGCAAGGCTTCCCCTTGTCACTGGTGCAGGACTGACGACCTGGCACGGCTTCCATATGTCACTGGTGCAGGACTGATGACCTGGCAAGGCTTCCCCTTGTCACTGGTGCAGGACTGACGACCTGGCAAGGCCAGTGTCTAGGACGGAAAACTGAGGTCCTGTGTTCTGGACGATGTGAGAGATTAGCCAATGAAACCGTCTGTTACGGCGAGTTTTGATGGGTAACCCACTAGAAACATCAACGCTGATTGGTTATTCAAATATCTGACGTCATAGGGTCAAAAGCCGCTCATGTGACCTCTGACGTGACCTATCGCTACAACTGGTCAGATCTTCATGTAGTTTAGGCCATCGAAAGTATAAAAAACGAAACGAAATATAAATCTGTATTTTAATCAGATTGTTAACCAATCTATTTCTAGACCTGAGTATATAGTGTTTAATGATGATCAGGCCTGAGTATATGTGTGGCGGCATAGGAAAACCCTTCACATGTCGCGATGGCTCAATCCGAGATATATGCCAAAATACAATGGCAAACAATATATAGGTCAATTTTCCGTTCTTGACATATTTACATTTATTAAACATTTATCTATGAAACTACAAAGTTGTGAAACAGAAAAATGATTTTAAATACATTTATTTTGAAATAATTCTGAACCGTTTGAGACTTGCAGAATGGTGCCGGTGCCATAACAATGTCGGCCTATTTCGTCTTTATAAAGTTGCCTTTTTGCACACTCACACATATCACACATCATTATAAAGCCTGCAATGAGCAGTACAATACTAGCTATAGTGCGCATAAATACAAAAGAAATAGTTCCCACGTGCATCAAACAAACAAGTCCATTCCCTTGTCTCAATTATTCGACTTTTACGTCCTGTTTTGAGTAGATTTCTCACTATAAGGTGCAATAAAAAGAAGTCAGTTATTTACCAAAATACGTTAACACTAGTCGTATTCCATTGTTTACAAATTGTTCAAGATGGCGGCGCCCACGAGAAAATCGGATTTCTCTACATTTAAACCCCCTTCAAGTTTCGAAGACACAGTAACTAAAACACCAAAATATTGTCAATATTTCTTAGCACAAAGATAAATACTGTCTTCTTAATGTAAATATAAAATAGTGTGACATTGCGTTAAAATGAGTGCTATAAACTGCCCAGAAACTGTGAAATATCAACATTTATGTTTAAACTGCATTTTCTCCCCTTTCATTTTTCTTCCGAAAGTTTCATTTTCTTGTATTAAATTATGAATATCTCCAAAAGTTTTCAACCGATTTTGATCATTTATAGACCATTTTGATCCCCAATTTGTGCTTGATGTACACATACCCAAAACAATTTTTTTAAAATTTTCACCATGTGAAGGGTTTTCCTATGCCGCCACACATATTGCGTTTAATGATGATCAGACCTGAGTATATAATGTTTAATGTAGTCAATGATGATATATTTGTTATTTTAGTGGAGCGTTAAATCAGTCTATTGTGGTATATAATCAATCTGGTGACAATCTATCCACGATAAAATACCACGAAGGTTTTCTAGGACAGAGAATAGGCACCATCAGTTGTCTAGCTTTTCATCCTTATTTTGTAAGTAACATTTTTCTCTCCACATCTGATATATTGTTACTTGAAAACCCATATTTAAAATGGAGCCACGGTGACTAAGTGAATTAAACGCTCGCTCGTCTGAAGGTCGTGGGTTTGTTTCTGGTGTTAGACAAGAAAGTTCATCAGGATTTTCCGGCGTGGTTTCCTGTTTGTACATAACAAGGAGTAGGATTGCCTATCCAGCCTTGTAAGGTTTTTTCGGGGCCTCCGGTTTCCTCTCGCTGCTAAAGACCCCTATGCGCAAGCGAATTATTGAAATAAAATTATAAAATTGAACCATATGTTTGTCCTGAAATGACCTAATTTGTGTCAAGTAGACATTAAACTCTTTCTTTCACTGATTGTATGATGCAGGACGGAGGGGCTGACAAGGAAAGCTGTCTAGTCGTTCGGATGGGACGATAAAAACAGAGGTCCCGTGTACACATTGGCGTGCACATAAAAGATCCCTTGGCAGTTGGAATTCGATATAAGAGTAGGCCGTAGTGCCGCTGTCCGGGCAAAATTTCCCTCATAGCACACTGTATGGCGTATGCCCGTCTTCATTAGCCCAGGTTAGGAGCAGAACAGTAGGACGTTAAACTTCATTTCATTTCACTGATTGTAGATGACTTAAAATAGAAAATTATTATTTTACTCATATTTTTTACTTTGCATGTAATTGTTTCACAGTGAAATATGCTTGTGTAAATTGAATCATGGATCCCAAGACATTTCCGTTAAATTTTTAAAACAACCGGTCATGGTTGGAATATATGGTCGCCATAGAACCCATAGTATATTTTTGTATTTTTTATTTGACAGGTTAAATTAGCCGCAGGAAGTACAGATTCGTTTGTATCAGTGTATTCGACACCTGCTAGTACTAGAAGAAGCTGACCCTAACTCTATACTATAACCAGATTTTATAAACTTTGTGATATCTTATTATTATGTTGCCATATCTCAACAGACTGTTGTTATTGTTGTTTTCTTTTTATAAGTATAAATAGATATGTGGACGACATGTTCTTTAGTCAGGAAATATTTAATGATAAATTTTTCAACAATTCCGGGAAAATTAAGTTCCACCTCAACTCTTAATTTAGCAAGAAGTTGCATGTTAATGACCGTTGCAAGAAGTTGACCGGTGCCAGAAGTTGTATTTTGACTGTTGCAAGAAGTTGACCGTTGCATGTTGAATGTTTTTGCTGTTTGTAATTTGGAATGATTTGAAAGCCATTTGCAATGAATAAAAACGTTTGATATATGCATCTAATGTAGTCAAGTCACTGATGTACTCATTGTACTGGATAATCTAGATTGATCCTATTGAATACAGATCACGATATGAATATACTGTTCTGGATAATCTAGATTAATCCTATTGAATACAGAACACAATATGAATATACTGTTCTGGATAATCTAGATTAATCCTATTGAATACAGATCACAATATGAATATACTGTTCTGGATAATCTAGATTAATCCTATTGAATACAGATCACAATATGAATATACTGTTCTGGATAATCTAGATTGATCCTATTGAATACAGATCACAATATGAATATACTGTTCTGGATAATCAAGATTAATCCTATTGAATACAGAACACGATATTGAAAAAGATAACCTGTGGTATATTTATTGTTCTATTTGTGCTGCTATTTACCATGGATGATTACATTCTGATACTAGTTTGTAAGAATACGTATCCACCTTATAAATACAGGTAGAAAATACATGTACCAACTCTAGTGCTGGGTATTACCACTGCAGTTACGATACAATACGTATTGCGATTCAGGTGTTACGATTCGATTCGTATCATGATTCATAACCAGGTCAATATTGACTCGTTAGTGAAGTTAGGAAGAAAAGGTAAAACTACAATAAATAACATCTAGGTTAAAAAAGGTAGATTTTGGTATATTTATCCTTATAAAACCAATTGATATTTGCTATATGTAATACATGAATAGTACACGCTGTTTTATACAAGTCAATCTTAATGATATAATATTTACTGTGTAAATTTATCGTAATTCTTAAAGTTTGATCTACGAATGAAAGTTATCCTGAATATTTGCGGTATGTCGATAGTTTAAGATGTACGTCACTTTAACGCTGTCTGAGATATCGTTATTGTTTAAAATGGACGTCACTTTAACGCTATCTGAGGTATCAGGGTTGTTTAAAATGGACGTCACTTTAACGCTATCTGAGGTATCAGGGTTGTTTAAAATGGACGTCACTTTAACGCTATCTGAGGTATCAGGGTTGTTTAAAATGGACGTCACTTTAACGCTATCTGAGATATCATGATTGTTTAAGATGTACATTAGGAAGTGTTTCATTTTGTAGACTTGTTTTATTAGTGATATTTTACAACACATGCTCACTTTAGTTGGTCTTCCAGTTCATTGACTTATTTCACTCTGGCCATATTGATATTGTTGTATTACTGTCTTCAAAAATCTGAGGCCTTTTTCATGGAAACCTAAACGGAAATATTTAAGGACGCAGCCTTTTAATTGGCTAACAATTAAAAATCTCACTATAAATTTTAGCTCCTGGCCAATGAAAAAGCTGCATCCTTAAAGTATTTTAGTGTAAGATTTCTTGACTAAGGTCCGAGATGATAGTTACTTTTTGTTTATGTTGTAGTTGGGGGTTAGATGGCCTAGTGGTTTAACACGTGGCCTGAAATAATAAGGTCTGTCCTGTGTGGTTTCGATTGCCTACTTGAACGTGACAAGGAATAAGGTCGCTTGTCCAACCTCTTGGGTTTTCTGCCACTGCAAAAGACCGCTACGCGCAAGTGAATTATTGAAATAAAATTGAACCATATGTTAGTCCTGAAATGACCTAGTTTGTGTCGAGTGGACGTTAAACCCCATCTCTCTCTCTCTTAGATCCAAATTATTAGGCTTAATATATTATTGAATTAAAGCACATTTTTTGAGATCCAAACTTATTTTAAGGGTAATTAATGTAATTCAAAATAGTAAAGTATGAATATCAAGTACCTATTCTTGGTGGATTAGGTGAACTATTTTTTTACCTCTATCTCTCTCTCTTTCTCTCTCTCTCTCTCTATCTCTCTCTCTCCAGATATCATCACCAATCTGATATTTAGACAATGATATATATTCTACTGAATATTCTAGAGGTTTTAGCCAGTCAGGGAACGCCAATGTAATGAATTCAAAAAGACGACAAAATTACTTCTGGGAGCTTCAGTAGGAGGCGTGGTCATTTATGAGATCACAGGTCAACGGGTTAAGGACGAATAATCTGTTTCTATTTAAGTATCTTTTCTTCATATTGATTTATTTCAAATTAATGTTTTAAAATCAAATATGTCAAAATAGAAATTTTAATAAATTACTCATGTCAAGAATAGATGGATGCTTGAAAACTCAAACTTAATGCACTAGAGAGGGTCGATGGTATTTTGTTTTTTTGACCCTATTATCCCCCCCACACACCCCACACCCACACCCACCCCATTGTACAGTTTAAAATATGTAATTCATTTTGTCTTATTTTTAGAAATTATTGGTGCATTTTGTATATTTTGAAGTATATTATTTAATAGATTGTAATTCTACTTTAACTTTGTGTGGTTAGCTAAATGTGAGTTGAATGTATACCTAGATTACTATCCTACAACTAACTCTCTGGTGGTATGTTTACTTGTGTGGTTAGCTAAATGTGCGTTGAATATGTACCTAGATTACTATCGCTACAACTCTCTGGTGGTATCGTTTAGTTGTGTGGTTAGCAGGAGTTTCTGTATTTAATATTTACTTTCAAACCATTGTTGGAAAAATTTTCAAATTTGTTGAGAATCATAGAAAACCATTACCTGAATTGTAGTGTATGAATATAGGTAATATAGGAAGGTATTTATTTATATTGATACGGCACCAGACTATTAAAAAACTTAAAATAAAGATACCCTCCTACTTGTGCATTTCAATGAAATCTAAAATTCCCACAACACACGAGATTATTAAACAAGTTAAAATACAGATTAAATCGCCTCTAGAGTCCAATATTTCATCTAGTATAAATAATCTAAGATTACCACATTGCCTGTACAGTTATTTACAGTCTGCTCCTCCTACGCATACTATTATAGTATTTTGTAGGCTAGGGAAACCACGGTCTAGAGGGGCCAGATTAATGGGTGGTGGGGGCTGACAGAGCTCCAGCCAGGTGCCCCCAAATTAGTTCTAAATAAATTTTGTAGCATAAATGTCATTTATTATTGGTGTTTTTGTGAGTCGATTAGATAAGGTTTTGATTTGCTAGTACGATTTGGTATGATTTCGATTTGATTAGCTATGGTCCACAAATGTGAAATTTGATAATTACGATTTGGTAAGATGGCTGCCATCACGGACACCGATCAGAAAAAAAAAATGGCTCTGCTAATTATTGATGACTTGTTAAAGACAAATGAAGGTTATCTACGCAAAAAAGGAAAAATGGTTGCCGTTAGAAACAATCTCCTATGTCCAACAAGTTCAAGTATTTTTTTGAAAACTGAAGTGACAAAACATGTAAAAAGTGTCCTGAGAAAACCTAGGATCGAGGAATATATTGAAAAAACTGTAAATGAATAAAATTGCTTAGAGGTGATCTAACATTCTTGTGGACTATAAAGTTAACATTAAACACTTCAAATGCGTTTTAAAAAAACCCATTTTTTATGGAGAAAAACAACAATAAGCATTAAAAATTACAACGTCGAACATTCCGCCATTTTGAAGAAGTCAAATCTAATCGCCTAAACACCTCCTGGGACGATTAGTTCGATTTGCCTAATCAGTTGAGTTAAATCATCTCACAAATGTAACGATTAGCATAATCAACTTGGTTCACAAATATGTATAATAGCTAATCGGTCTAATCTAATCGGTTCACAAAAACGTCTTTAGTTGTATATGTTTGTACCAAATATATCTATCTACCTACCATACTGACAAAAAAACTATGTTCCCGCTGTAAGAGCACCAGTGCCATTTTCAGCCAGAGGCCCCTGGGGAATTTTTAGCCAGGGACCCGGATCACATTTTTCAGCTAGTTGCCCCATGCAAGCTTAATCCTGCCCTGCAGACTAGTGAACCCCTTTCAATTTTCAATTTTTCAAAGTTAGTTCAATAAATCACAACATAGATTGTAATTTGTGAGTAGATAATTAGATTTATGCAAATGTTGAATATAATTTCTCAAAATTTAAATTGTAATTATAATTTCACAAAATTGTAATTATAGTTTCACAAATTAAAATTGTAATTATAGTTTCACAAATTAAAATTGTAATTATAGTTTCACAAATTAAAATTGTAATTATAGTTTCACAAATTAAAATTGTAATTATAGTTTCACAAATTAAAATTGTTATTATAGTTTCACAAATTAAAATTGTAATTATAGTTTCACAAAAGTAAATTGTAATTATAATTTCACAAAATTAATTGTAATTATAATTTTACAAGTTAAAATTGTAATTATAATTTCACAAAATTTAAATTATAATTTCACGAAAGAAAAATTGTAATTATAATTTCACAAAAGTAAATTGTAATTATAATTTCACAAAAGTAAATTGTAATTATAATTTCACAAAAGTAAATTGTAATTATGATTTCACAAATTAAAACAAAATTGTAATTATAATTTCACAAATTTAAATTGTAATTATTAGTATGATTTCTAAAAGTTAATTGTAATTATAATTTCACATAGCTAATTTATGATTATTATTTCACAGAATTTTATTGTGTTGAAATTGTTAAGTTGTTTTTTTTTTCATCCTTTACCTACATAACACAGCTAAAGAAAAACCACGTGATATTTAAAATTCACAATATGAAATTAACGATTATATATTTTACATCTTTTTAAAAACATTTCATCCAGAAATATGATCCAGGTCTATCTGATAATCAGGTAAAACAATTGAGTAGTAGCAAATAAAACTTCTAAATGGGGAAAAAAATCTCACTTGAAAAGTGGTACTAGATGGTTGGACATGGTTTAGTTTACTCTGCCTTGTGCACATTAAATTTAATATATGAAATGTAATGGGGTTTGATAATCCTACCGACCAGGCTAATTAAGATGGGCATAATATGACATACAGTGTGGCATTGATGCTGTTTCGCTCATATCTTCCGGACATGTTCTACACTATTTTCCAAATGTCTGAACTGGAATATGTCTAATCGGACATCAAGATATGGTGAATAATATTCAAAATTCCAAAATTAATTGACTGAGTGTGCTATAAGTGAAATTTTGCCTGGACAGCCACGCTACGACCTACTCTTATATAAATTGAACTGTCAGGGACCTTTTTTGATTACAACCAAACGACTAAACGCTGTCCTTGCAATGCCCACCTTCCTTCACCAGTGACAAGTAGAAACCATGCTGCCATCACATTACTCATTGGAAAGAAGATAAATTAATCATTATGTGTATAATATATATGAAGTTTTAGCTGTGTTGTGTAATATTACGATGGTATATTATGTTTATTGTTATGTTTGAAGACAATTATAAATAGTGTATCTTATTGTATATGTTATATATGTCCATTCACAACAATTATAGATAGTGTATCATATTGTATATGTTTTATATATCTCTTAATATAGATTGTACATTAGTTATCAATATCATTAGGAGCTGTCATTCTTACACTCAAAACACTTTTATTCTGGTATGTTTTGGGGGGTTGGATGGCTGTATCATAACGTCTGTCGTTGAGTCAACTGGCGTGGTTTTGATACCCTCGGTTGTACGTGACAAGGAGTAGGGTCGCCTGTCCAATCTCGTGGGTTTTCTCCGGGTCCTCCAGTTTCCTCCCACTGCTAAAGACCCCTACGTGCAAGCAACTTATTGAAATAAAATTACATATGTTAGTTCTGAAATGACCTAGTTTGTGTCAAGTGGACGTTAACCCCATCCCTCTCTTTCTCTGAAATTTTGTCCCATTACTTATAATTTTCAGCACGGTCTTAGTTCATATAATCATAAACTTGTGCATTTACTTTCCAACTAAGATGTAAATTAGTTTATAAGTTTACGATGACTAGCCATTTATCAATTAGAATAGTTGGGATATATGTCATGAGGTTTGTTTTGAATATTATTATATTTTTATAAGCCAATATTGAAATTTGGTTGTTATATTGTCATCACCTCGTCTGCCTGTTGGTCGCACATAATAGCTTGTGGACATGTAGAGGCTAAAAATATCATCCAATTAGATAGAATTGATACAATAACCTTGATGACTAAAGGATAGGTCTAGGAAGAGCTATAAACCTATCAAATTAGAATTATTTCTGTTAATTATGTAGGTTGTTGCCTGCCCTTGATGGTTTTTAAGTGTCTTGTAAATGCTGCCATTACCAGCCAAAAAACTTAAAGAGTGTGGCGGCCTTTATGGACTGCTCTTACTATCTAGGTTTTTTTTTGATGGATGTGTGTTTCATGTCTGATAATCTGTCTTTATTTTGTGTATTAGAAAGTAGGCCAAGATGGTTTAATAAGTAAACTATTTGATGTATTTATATTTAGCTACCTTGTAGTATTCTCAGTCAGGTCATTTCTATAGCATTGTAATCAAATAGGTGTAAATCACTCGTCAAACCTCAGCAGATTCCAGTACCCTACATCTAGAGTTCTGCCGAGGTTTGCTGAGTGATGTGTAAATGTGAGAATTGTTGATTGGTGTAAATTTAATGTTTGTACCCTTGAGTGGCATTTAGCGATTGAGCAGAATTCAAAACACAATATAATTTATATGGAAAACAATCACTGGTTTATTATAAACATAAATCTTGAAAACGTAAATAGAATACTTGTCAAAATGTTGTGCTATATGTTTATAAACCAGTGATTGTTTTAAATATTGTGCTGTGTTTTTTAATATTTTGCTTGGGGAATAAAATTTAAGGATGCCTGTAAGATAAACAATCTGATTTAAATACAGATCTAAATTTTGTATCGCATTTGTAAACCTCCGTAGACTTACTCTACCGTGTAACGAGGATACTAAAACAAAAGTTGAACTTTTCAAACAAAAAAAAAGAAGAATTTTTTTGTATTACTCAAAAAGAAGGATCACAAATGAAGAGCCCCGGGGAAGAACAATCCAAGTCACTTTTTTTTCAACAAACCCCAGTTAATGACACAATCTGGTAGCAAATTGTATAAGCTTTCTGTGGAACAATCAATTTCAGGTAAAAACAATTGGAGTCAGATTGAACCAAGGCCTTTCTGAAATGGCCTCCCGGACAAATACGTGCATCATACCCTTTATTTAAACTTAATTTGTCTGAAAAGTGGAAGTCAGTTGTTGTACTGGTAATTATGATTCGTATTAAACATCATTTTGAAGTTGTAATTAAATCCACTCGTTGTTCTGTTCGCGTCAAGCATTCTCGTCCAAAAGTCTATTTTGCCTTTTATGCGAAAAGACAAAAATGTGACTTAGATCGTTCTTACCCTGGACTCTTCATATATTTTGAATGACATTTATTGATATTAAATTAAAAAAGCATTTGAAAAATCGTTTTGTAGATCAAGGTTATTAATATACTATTTTCACGAAACGTAAGAAGTAGAATAGCAAAGTTCATTGATTATTGTGTTTAAACACGGTTGATTTGTTATATTGATAAAAGAATAAATGTTGTAATTTATGCTCTTGTTTTTGAGTATTTGACAAGTGGATGAATTATTTATTTACAGGATATGAAAGGTATGATGTTTTAATTTGTTGCAATAAAATCAGTTTAAAATCAACTTGAATACAAAATGTTCTTTTTTTTCTTTTTTATGTATTAAAAGCCATGTCCTGGTCATATTTGTGGAGGCCGAATGAGATGCTTGTTTTGCTTACTAGGTCTCAGATTAGCTCCAGGTGTTAGTCGAGAAAGTTCCTTTGGGGTTTTCAAGCATGGTTTCCCTTTGTCAGTGGTGCAAGACCGAGGGCCTGACAATGAACAGTGTTTAGTCGTTTGGGTAAAAAAAAAATGAGGTCACATGTACACATTGGCGTGCATGTAAAAGAACCCTTGACAGTTGGAATTCGATATAAGAGTAGGCCGCAGCGCCATTGTTCAGGCAAAAATTTCCCTCATAGCACACTGTATGGCGTATGTCCCTCTTCATTAGCCCATTCGAGGCAGATAAGTAGGACATTAAACCCAATTTTATTTCATTTCATGATCGTCCATTTAGTTTTTAGGGGAAATGAAATGGGATTTAACGCTGTGTTACCAGGTTGGCCAGGGGGGTTGGATGGCTGAATGGTTAGCATGCGTGCGCTGTATCATAAAGTCTGTCATTGAGTTGACTGACGTGGTTTCGAATCCCCCATTGTACGTGACAAGGAGTAGGGTCGCCTGTCTAACCTCGTGGGTTTTCTCCGGGTCCTCCGGTTTCCTCCCACTGCTAAAGACCCCTACGCGCAAGCGAATTATTGAAATAAAATTGAACCATATGTTAGTCCCGAAATGACCTAGTTTGTGTTGAGTGGACTTAAACCCCATTTCTCTCTATCTCCCTCTCTCTCTTTATCGATACTGGCCACCCACCCGGGCATTGCATAATTAGAAGTGGTGCATTGCATCTCTGATAATATTTTTTTTAGCTATTTTATTATTTCGTGCACATCTTTTTTAGAGAGTGTTATCACAATCTGTGTTTAGTTTAAAATATGCTGGGGATCACGTGGCTAAGTGGGTAAGACGCTGGCTCGCTAGCCAGGAGGTTGGGTGTTCGATCCCTGCATTGGCCGAGAAAGTTCATCCAGATTTTCCGGCGTGGTTCCCCCTTGTCTGTGATGCAGGACGGAGGGCCTGACAAGGACAGCTGTCTAGTCATTCGGATGAGACGAAAAACCAAGGTCCCGTGTATACATTAGAATGCACGTAAAAGATCCCCTGGCAGTTGGAATTCGATATAAGAGTAGGCGATAGTGCCGCTGCCCGGGCAAAATTTCCCTCATAGCACACTGTATGGCGTATGCCCGTCTTCATTAGCCCAGGTTAGGAGCAGAACAGTAGGATGTTAAACCTCATTTCATTTCATTTAATATATGCTAAATGAATCAAACTAGGAATAATAGACTTTTGTTTTGGCATCATCAAATAACTGTTCATTACGCATTGGTATGTCTCAATATTTGAACAAATTCACACATGAGAGAAAGAGGGTGTTTAACGTCCACACGACACAAACTAGGTAATTTTGGGACTAAAACATGGTTCAATTTTATTTCAATAATTCACTTGTGCGTAGGAGAGAAAGGGTGTTTAACGTCCACTTAACACAAACTAGGTCATTTCGGGACTAAAACATGGATCAATTTTATTTCCACAATTCGCTTGTGCGTAGGGTTCTTTAGCAGTGGGAGGAAACCGGAGAAAACCCACAAGGTTGGACAGGCGACCTGTCTCCTTGTCACGTACAACAGTGGAATCGAAACCACAGCAGTTGACTCAATGACAGACCTTATGATACAATGCATACATGCAAACCATTTGGCCATCCAATCCCCCTAAATTCACACATGGATCATAATTGTATGTAAAGGTTTGGCTACCATCAACACTTCTTCTCTAATCGTTATTAATAATATGGTCGATCCTTTTTTTGACCAAGTAAGTTCATCAGGATTTTGCAGCATGGTTCCTCCATGTCAGTGGTGCAGGAAAGAGGGCCTGGCAAGGGACATGGTATACTTGTTCAGATGAGATGAAATTCAAACCAAGGACCTGTGTACGTACACCCTCAGCAGATTGTTAAAAATCCTCCCGACAGTTGAAAATCGAAATAGGAGTGCTACTGTCCGGGCAAAATTTCCCTTATAGCTAACTGTGTGGTGTATGCCCTTCTTTAGCCCAGTCATTGTACAGAATAAAAGGACATTAAACCCCATTTCATTTATTAATAATGATAACAAAACTAAGACTAAAATTTAAATCTTTATTGTTGTGTGAAAAACTATGTACAAAAGTTATATGTTCCCTGTAAAATATATTTACCAACTTTAGAATTATACAGATCTTTTTATCCCATTACAGATAACATTCCATTTACATTCAATATTTTATACCCACAGATTAAACAAGGTCACACCAATTCGATTGTCAGTTCTTCGAGGAAAAAGGACCAAATTTATTTGTTTGTTCAAACGCTGTTTTCTTATTTAGACTAATCTAAAAACCAAATTTTTAAGGTTGAGATTTTAAACCAAACATCATTCATGTGATTCAAGTGACTGTTTATTTATTTATTTGGACTCCTGAAGAACTGAAAATAAAATTATTTTGGCCTAAAGTTGATATAAATGTATGTAATAGTCAATATTTTCATTGTATAGAAAGTATCCTGAGATCAAGAAAGTTCAAATTCTTGTCAATGAACTCCATTCAAGACAGTCTCTGATGACATGGAATAATAATTTTAAAGTTCTTTCATAATGACATAACAAGTCTTATTAAAACAAAAAATAATATTTTATATATGAGATGTAATTAAATTGAAACTTATATACTTATGTACAAGAGAGAATAGATTATTTAGGCCATACTAAATTTATGTTCTCTTCTTCTGGGGTCACAATAAAAAAAAAAGCAACTTGAATCTTATAACCAAGAGCAACCCCAAAGAACTGAAAATCAATTTCATTTGGTCTAAAGGTGAAGTTAAATATAGATCTAGATTATTACAAAGAGAAAGAGAGAATATTATAATTCTATAAACTAACAGAGAAAGACAGAAGAATATACAGTAAATCTATAAACTAACACAGAAAGACAGAAGAATATACAGTAAATCTATAATAGAAGAGAAAAAGAAATCAACAGTTATAATTGTCAATATAACAACAAACACATTAAATTAACTGAAATAAAGAATATATATTGTATGTTTCACTACTATCAGCTGATAAAAGACAAGAATATATTTACTCAATCTGGATCCTAGAGAATACTTTACTCTTTGTTTATTGACTTGATTTGTTTTAATGAAATGCTGCCGATTTCTCAACAATTAGGCATCGGTCGCTGCACGAGTTACATATTAATTATCCTTGAAACATTTTCCATATCTTTACAGCCGATTTGATACTTTACCAGGAACTATTTTTAGTGTGCAATGTGAAGCGACCAGAGGAAGGATACATCATGTGATGTTCAAAATGGTTGTCGTATGGCCAGCGTGTTTTACCAGAGCTAAACAAAGGGTAAAGTTATCTTTGTATGATTCACTATAATCAGCTGTAATTAGTTTGGTTTTTTTAATCAAATTCAGCCTAGCACACACAAACAATTTTGTTAATTGCTGTCATATTGCTAGAAGAAATCTGTGTTTGAATCAATGTCATTTTGACTAGTCACATGATTGGTTGTGTCACATGATTGATTGTGTCACATGACTAGTTGTAGTGTGCATACATCACAGTGATTTGGTTGCCTAACAACTGCTTGTTGCTTTAACCAGAGAAAAATATCCCCTGATGGTTATAGACCACAATTCTATGATAAAATAGCAAAACTCAGTTGAATATTGAAAGGACTATAGGAAGAAAATTATGGAAAAAAAAAAAGTATAATACATAAAAATTATTGTAGAGTTTTCAAGTTTTAGTAATATATTATATTACTGTATAAATATATACATTAATCTGTGGCAGTGATAGAGCACAATAATTTCATACTTTTTATACATAATTTATACACTTAACATTGTGGTATCAGAGTCTAATTCAAAGGACCATTCTAGATTATATTTTGGAGAATAAAACTGGTTAATTTTGAGTGAAAAGCCCTTAAAAGCCTCTACCTTAGGTTCGAGCAACTAACTCAATATATGTGATACATTTTCAAACAACTTAAACCCCTCAATTTTCACCTGGAAATGAGAGACCGGTGTGCGGTGTCCCAAGCTTTTTTAAATGGTATCTGGATAAAACCAGACTTTTATAAAAATAATGTGTAGGTGAAATTAACCTTTCATTATAAAGTACAGCTCATGCATCACTCACTGTTTTGAACTCTAAATGAACGGGAATCGATTATCAGGTAATCCAACAAAAAATTGACCCGAAATCTTAAAAGGGTTACATGTCCAGATAAGCGGTTTTGAAGTTCACCTCCGAACGACTGAATATTTTTTTAGCTGAAATTTTCAGATAAGGTAAATACACCATTCCTCTATATTTTGGAGTTTAAATTTCTGAGACTATGTTAAAATCTGTATGGTCCCTTCAAATTGTACCGGTCTACACAATTTTTTATATATTTAAAGCATTTTCAACGACACATGATTACCATACTCAAAAACGCATGTTTATCAAATACCCTGCATATCGATGTCACATGACTAACAAGAAAGAATGAGACCATGGCGATTCTGATTGGTAGTAGTTTGAGCATCTATGTTTAAAAGATAACCAGATTGCCATGTTTATCAACAACAGGATAATCACCTTCAAGTTTCGCTATTATTAACATAATCTTGAAAAACTTTAAAATAAAATGATTTAGAATGTCGTTAAAAACGCCTTTAGTTCAATTGTGATTGTTGATTGTTAAACATAATGACAGTCTGTCAATACTGTTCCGTTCATAGTAATGTCAATTACGATTCCAAAGTCAATTGTCCAAGGTATGTTCTGGTTCGGCTTAGCACTTTTAATCTATTATATATTGTATATTGTTTATAATATTAAGAAATATGTTGGGCTGCAGGAAGAGCCATTTTGTCGAGATCCAGAAAGTAAGGATGGTTTAAAGCTTTTTTAGCTGATATTCTTGTAGCTGGATCATAATATAAAGTTTTCTGAAAATATAAACAGAATATTGAAAGAGGGATTGTTCATTGAATGTTGTTTTTTTGCAAATTGATTTAAAATTATATTAGTATTATTAACAGAGCAGAGATGTATAGTTTATACTGTTCCCAGAGAGAGAGAGAGAGAGAGAGAGAGAGAGAGGGGGGGGGGTTTGTCCACTCAACTCAAACTAGGTCATTTCGGGACTAACATATGGTTCAATTCTATTTCAAAAATTCTTTAGCAGTGGTAGGAAACCTAGACATATATTATCTAACTGTTTTACAGGTGTTAAGTATATAATTATAAATTTACCTGTAATAGATCTAGACCTATATTATCTAATTGTTTTACAGCAGGTGCTAGTTGATTAGTTCTCCAGTTAGGAAATGTACTTTTATAATCTGGTAAACTACTGACTCCCGGCCAAACATCTTCTGTTGGTGTTGTTAACGTCCTGTATAACACATAAATATATAATCATTAAACTTCTTACATCACCTCATATTTTTATTGATGCGGCATTGAACATGGAGCTAAGGAATTATTGTAAGGTTTTGCCCAGACAGCAGCACTGCTACCTATTCTTATTTCAAGGAAATGAATGAATGAAATGAAATGGGGTTTAACGTCCTACTCCTATACTGGGCTAATGAAGACGGGCATACACCATCCAGTGTGCTATGAAGGAAATTTTGCCTGGGCGGCGGCACTATGACCTACTCTTATATCAAATTCAAACTGCCAAGGGATCTTTTGCGTGCACACCAATGTATACACAGGACCTCGGTTTTTTTTTGTCCCATCCGAATGACTAGACAGCAACATTGAACATAGAGCTATTGATTATAGTGAGGTTCTGCCAAGACAACGGCACACTCTTATTTCAAATTTCAAGGGATCTTTTACATGCACGCCATTTTGTGACACTCACAGGGATCCTGTTTTTGGTCACATCCAAACGTCTATATGCGGTCCCTTGCTAGGCCCTCTGTCCTACACCTTTGACAGAGAGAAATGGGGTTTAACATCCACTTTCGGGACTAACATATGGTTCACTTTTATTTACAAAATTTGATTGCACGTACAACCCTACTCCTTATCACATACAGGCTGGGAATTCAAACCCACGACACTTGACTCGATAACAGACCTTCTGATCTAAAGCACATGCTTTAGACCACCAGGCCACTCAAACCCCTGAAATAAAAAAATTGAATTAGAGCCTTGATATTACCTGAAAACTCTGAACAATTGATCTATTTCTGAGTCTCCATGAAACAAGGGTCGTTTTGTTACCATTTCAGCAAATATACATCCAATACTCCACATATCGACTGGTGTTGAATAACGAGGTGAACCCAATAATATCTCTGGTGCTCTATACCATAATGTTACAACCTAAATATAAACAACAATAATTTTACAACCTAAACATAGACAACCATAATGTTACAACCTAAACAACCATAACGTCCACTCGACACAAACTAGGTCATTTTGGGACTAACATATGGTTCAATTTTTATTTAAATAATTCGTGTGCGCGTAGGGGTCTTTAGCAGTGGCCCAGTGGGAGGGAACCGGCGGACCCGGAGAAAACCCATGAGGTTGGAGTGTTGGACAAGTGACCTTACTCCTTGTCATGTACAACTGTGGATTCGAAACCACGGCAGTTGACTCAATGACAGACCTTATGATACAACGCGCACATGCTAACCATTCGGCCAACCACTGCTTACTATTTAATGAGGGTAGTTTCAACTAGGCTTCTCTAATCTTTATTAAGCAATGATAAAATATATTGTGACCTGTGTATTCAAATTCAGTAACTTAATGCTATTGAAACAATTTTAAAAGGGTATGAGCAAAATTTTATAAGAGTATGAGCAAGCGGTACATGTAGGTATGCTACAATCTTTTACATCGTGTCCTATTCTCACTCCATCTTCATTAGTCCAGTTGGAGAAGAACAGTAGGATGTTACAACCTATTTTACTTCATATTGTTAAACCAGAAAGTTTTAATATAGGATATATTATTTTTACCTCATGAGTATAAACTCTAACTGGAATACCGAAAGCTCGAGCTAAACCAAAATCAGCTAACTTTATAACACCTTTACTGTCTATCAACAAATTCTGTGGTTTCAAATCACGATGTAAAACTCTTCTTTCATGACAGAATAATATACCTTGTAAAATCTGATATACGTAACTCTGTGAAAAGATATAAACATCAAAAACATTAAGTGGACATGTTTCAACTTTTATACAAACAGTCGATGGTTATAGCCAATGTCGAATACACACATCCACCAAAACTTACTATAAGGCAGTGGTCCTCAACTTTTTTTTGCCAACGGCACACCTTGGAACACATGAAAAAATAGCGCACACCTGGCTAAATATATATGAAAAATATTTGAATTTTGCAAAATAAAAACATGGAAGTCAGACGGCATACAACCGTAGACAGAGACTAGTCATAGACACATAGAATGACTCAAACTAAATAAAGAAAAACACAGCTATGAACTTATCAGTAGACACCAGTGAATACTCACTTGGGATCACTTGGTTTTTCATATTTTCTTAGTGTGTCGTTCAAAATTTCGTGGCACACTTTGGAAGATCTCCGGTTGAGAATCACTGCTTTAAGGTAATGCTGGCACGGATATATCATTCAATTGAAGTATCGCGATTCACCAGCTCAAGATTCACATATCGAATTGCGGAAATGCTGAATCGATGAATCACAATTATTTTTTATATTTAACATACATGTAAAAATAGTCTTGCCATGTTAACTAATGTCTAATTAATAATTTAGATAACATTTCAGGCCTAAAGAAAGACCTACAATAGACAGATTTACCTCTTGTATAATGTATGTTTAACAGAACCACAGAACAGTACAGTAAATGGTAAAGACAAAATTTTCTTGTTTTGGGTGAAAAATGAAAATTTGATTAAATTTTGTGACAAAATGAAAATTTCACACATGTAGTTATGATTTGTCTCATTTATCAGACTACATTACACCTGTAGATTTGACAAAATGAAAATTTCACCCACGTTGAAGCCATCATCACTCTATTTAAAGAATAAAAAAGGATGGCGGCGGAGGGCCCAACTCAACAAAAAGTACGCCATTTTGGGATTAACATAATACAAGTTTATTTTCTTGCTTGTACATGTAGGGGTCTTTAGCAGTGGGAGGGAAACAGAGGACTGGGAGGAAACCCACAAGGTTGGACAGGCGACCCTACTCCTTGTCACATAGAATTATTGGACGACAAAAAGGTTCCATATCCTAATAAATCATCCATTAAAGGAAAGTGGTTAATTATTTTTACAGCCTCGTCCCGTGTATCATTTACCTTGACTAACATCTTATCAATATACTGTCCACTTGGTATAGTATCCATATAACGTTTTAAATCCATTGATAGAAACTCAAATACTAAATACAACTTGTTTTCTTGCATAAGTACATCTTCTAAACTGAAATTACAATGACACGAGTATTACAAAACAAAGATATTTTAGTATGTGACATAGACAATAATATTACAGGACAGCACTACAGCATACCAATAATATTACAGGACAGCACACCAAGTGAATCCGAGACCTTTTGGTTAGCAAACCAGCGCCTTACTCACTGAGCCACCGGGGCTCTTTGACAACCATTATCCAGTCCCTGAATGCAGATTTCTCATCACCAGAATACAACAAAACACAAACCAAAATTGAACAATTAATTGTATCCAGTTTTTAATAAACATTAGCAAAATATAGATCCTATTTCGTTTCGATTTTTATAGTTCAAAATTTGGTTTTACTTGTCTTTACTACACTAAGAGTTGTTATATTACCAGTGTTCTGGTTAAAAGCAGGATTAGCCAATGAAACGGTATGTTACAGCGACTTCATGGCTAGCAATGCACGAACTGTTAGTAAACCACCAGAAACGTCAACGTTCATACAACCTCCCTGACGCGACCTTGTACTACAACCGGTCAGATCTTCATGTAGTGTAGGCCATCAAAAGTATAATAAAAAAAAACGAAACGAAATATAGATCTGTATTTTAATCCGATTGCCTTCAATAGTGAAACATAAAACAAAATATAGTCTCACCAAACAATGTTGGGATGATGTAATTCTTTGAGTAGAGAAATTTCTCGTATAGCTGTTGATGGAACTCCCTCCTCTTCGCTTTCTAATCGTATTTTCTTTAAAGCTACCAATCTGTTAGTTTTCTTATGTCTACCTTTATATACTACACCATAAGTTCCTAGAAACAGAGAGAGAAATAGGGTTTAACATCCATTCGACACAAACTGGGTCATTAAGGGATTAACATCGAGGTCTTTAGCGGGAGGAAAACAGAGGACCCGGAGAAAACCTACGAGATTGGACCCTACTTGACTCATTGACACATGTTATGATCCAACGTGCACACATTAACCAATCGGCTACCAAACCCAACCATAAGTTTCTAGAAAAATAAATAGAGTATTTTACTAAACAAAGTGAGCTGTAGATTTTAAATGAAATGAAATGAAATGAAATGGGGTTTAACGTCCTACTGTTTTGCTCCAAACTGGGCTAATGAAGACGGGCATACGCCATACAGTGTGCTATGAGGGAAATTTTGCCCGGACAGCGGCACTACGGCCTACTCTTATATCGAATTCCAACTGTCAAGGGATCTTTAACGTGCACGCCAATGTGTACACGGGACCTCGGTTTTTCGTCCCATCCGAACGACTAGACAGCTGTCCTTGTCAGCCCCTCCGTCCTGCATCACTGACAAGGGAGAACCACGCCGGAAAACTGGATGAACTTTCTCGGCCAATGCAGGGATCGAACACCCGACCTCCAGGCTAGCGAGCCAGCGCCTTACCCACTTAGCCACCGTGATACCCTGTAGATTTTAAGGTCTGTTATTGAGTCAAGGGGCTAGTAATATGTGGAAATCAAGATTATAATCATATTAATCCCCCAATGTTTCCTATTGCCATAATCACTTATTCACGAGTTACTACCATTATTTAATAAATTAACGACATTCTGATATAACAGAATTCAAACTGTGTTATTGTTATACTAACCTTCTCCAATCTTTTCAATTTTTGTATAATCATCCATTTTGATTATTCACCAATAGAATTTCACCTTTTAGTACACCTATCTAATCTAGTTGTCCGAGATCTATAATAAAAATAAACAATTTATAGTATAACAGTCCATTTTGATTATTTTCACTGTGTCCGTCATGGCTTCTACTCCGGTAGCTGTGGAACTAGATGATGTCGCAGAAGCAGTGATGTCGTAGGTGATTGCTAAGCACCAATTAAAGATACATTATGTAAGATTTAGATAAAGAACTAGCCATTCTTGCTCTAATAGTTCGAAAGTAGATGATGTAAAATGAATAATTTGAAAATTTCATTCAAATTACTCTATTGCAAGCGAAGATATTAGCCTAAGTTTGAAGGTTTGACAGAGGTGTGCAATAATTTCAACCACCGTACTGGTTGATCGAAGCTAAGTCTCGGTCCGCCATATTTGATTAAATCAAAGTATCGCTGAACCATTCTAATCTATTTAATATCAGAGAAATCTGATGCCATCGAGAGTTGATTAAGGCCTGGATCAGTTAATTAATGTCTAATTAATACTTTAGAAAACATTTCAGGCCTAAAGAAAGACCTGCAATAGGCAGATTTAGCTCTTGCATAATGCATGTTTAATGGGTCATCATTATGACCACTTTGCATTGACAATTATACCAAAATCACATTAAAACAAAAATGTGTCAAAGTTACCATTTTACGTTATAATGCTAATGATCAACTGTTTTTGTTTCAAAATATTAAGGATGCATTATGTAAGATTTGGATAAAGATCTAGCAGTTCTTGTGATGAGCTTAATAAATATAGTTCAAAAAATTTAGAGAGAGAGAGAAATGGGGTTTAACATCCACTCGACACAAACTAGGTCATTTCGGGACTAACATATTTTATTTCAATAAATTGCTTGCGTGTAGGGGTCTTTAGCAGTGGGAGGAAACCGGAGGACCCGGAGAAAACCCACGAGGTTGGACAGGCGCCCCTATTCCACGTTAGTTGACTCAATGACAGGTCTTATGATACAGCGTGCACATGCTAACCATTCGGCCATCCAACCCCCCTCAAAAAAATTTAGGGTTAGCTTCAAATTGTATAAAAGTTTTAAAGACGCTAAATCTCTATTCTTTAGTTAGCACTCAGAAATGGAGAGAGAGAGAGAAATGGGGTTTAACGTCTACTCGACACAAACTGGGTCATTTCGGGACTAACATATGGTTCAATTTTATTTCAATAATACGCTTGCGCGTAGGGGTCTTTAGCAGTGTGAGGAAACCGGAGGACCCGGAGAAAACACACTCAGAAATGGACACAAATGGGTCGCAAAGCATATAATAATGTGAATGTAATATGAATGTATATATTAGCTTGTAAACTCATTAGGGGATCCTGGTGTCTAAGTTGGTAAGGCGCTGGCTCGCTAGCCTGGAGGTCGGGTGTTCGATCCCTGCATTGGCCGAGAAAGTTCATCCAGATATTCCGATGTGGTTCACCTTTGTCAGTGATGCAGGATAGAGGGCCTGACAGGCACAGCTGTCTAGTCATTCGGATGATACGGAAAACCGAGGTCCTGTGTAAAAGATCCTTTGACAGTTGGAATTCGATATAAAAGTAGGCCGTAGTGCTGCAGTCCGGGCAAAATTTCCCTCATAGCACACTGTATGGCATATGCCCATCTTCCTTCGGAGCAAAACAGTAGGACGTTAAACCCCATTTCATTTCATTTCATTTTTGTAAACTGATTAACATTCAATCGTTTCTGTTTTTACTGTAATTATAAATGGCGCTCAAAAGCATTCTGGCACACATTTCAAGTGCCAGTTTTAAAACTTTCCTTTTGTCTTAAATATTTGATATCAGACGCCCATCTTTTCACAGTAAGAATAAGAGAACAACAGCAATGTTGATTTAAAAGAGCTAAATCGCTAGCATTTGGGACCTAGAAATTGACAAAAGTGGGTCGCAACGCATATAATACTGTAATATGAATGTATATATAAACTGATTTACATTCAATGGTTTCCATTTTTACTCCAATTTCAAATCAGTTATGTTCGGTGAAATAAGCCAGCAGTCTCAAGCGAGTGCAAATTTCTAGCGTCTGGTTATTCCAGTCTACATACGCCGTTTGATTTGGTGCAATGTGTCTAGCCTCGTCCCTCTTGATACAATTGGGGCTGAAGCGCATTATTATGGTACACGATTCGTGTACCAATGGTAAAATGTTTATTTTGTCTTAAATATTGGATATCAAAAGCCCATCTTTTTCAGGTAAGATCACAACATGAATATTGATTTAATTTGACAAATAAATCGTGTTTTCAATGTTGAAGATTTTGGATGATATTGAGTTAGAGACTTAGCTACTCTAAATTGACCAATTATAAGGCTTATTTGCAATGGCAAAGACTGTGTGCATACCATAATACTGAGTTTGAGACTTGCCTTGGTCTTTTCACAAAAACAAATTCCCCATGTCCAATTCTCCTGGTGTGACTGGAAGTGCCGTAAAAATTGCCTACCATAGGCAATTCATTACGGTTCCGTAAAAAATAGCCACTTTGTATTATTCTATTATATGACACAGTATTTTATTTATATTTATAACAACTAGGCCTACCGGTAGGCTAGCCTACACTTCCACTGAATTATTTAAATTTACATTTTAATTTTATGGCCTTAATTCATGGTGGGAACATCAGATATGTCCAATTTGTTTCTTCATTCTCCTGGATCGAAATCGTACTAGACTATGTTTTACATGTTTGGACTTGTTCCTGAAATGTTGTTTTGATATTCTATTTAAATTTTGTCTTTTTGAAAATAAATATGACCTTTTTACGTTTCTCCTGTTAACTACCGTTTACTGTGCTTGCGTTGCATTCCGAGCTAATAAGTGTGGAAAACGGTTTGAATGCCGTTTTGTAAACCATGAACAACTAAGAAATAAAAACGAAAAACAGAAAATAATATTCTTTTACCACAAAGATACCTACCGATTTGAAATGTGCGGGAATAACTAACAATGCAGAGCCGTTCAGTTTAGTTGCGTATTCGTCATGAAAATTTTCTAAACTTCGGATAAATAGTGGTTAAAGCTGAATGACCGAGAAAATGTTACAATTTTAAATTAATTTTAAGATTAGAAATTAAATATCATGCTTTTTGACCGCGTTCTAAGAGTAACATATAAATTAAACTTATCGATTACGAACTTTAAATTAACCAATGAAATGAAGGGGTTAAAGGTCAAATATATTACAACAAAATAGAAGTAGGAAAAGCCAATGACGTCTCTTGTTAGTGCATGGTTCGAGTTTGTCGTATCATGGACGTCGTACTCACGAGTGACCTGTCTGTTAAGGTCATGCTATTTTCTCCTATTTTCTCACGTTCATATTGGGTATTGCTCCTGAAAGAAACCTGTCGGTCAGTGACAGTGACCTACTTTCTGTCGGCACTCAGTCAGACTCGAGTGTAGGCCTACCACTCGATACTCAGTCAGGCTGTTTCTTTTTTTCATGATTTCACTGTCACCCATTTTCAGTCTGGTTCACTCCAGGAGCGTCATCTTTTGGGAATGTGAGGGCAGTACATAAAAAAAACAAAACAAAATGACTCATTATCACGCCACACAGTGAAATTATTGCATAAGATGATGCAAAATATTTCTGGAACCATCCTTCACAATAAACATCGGGGATTCCAAAAGTTAATAATAGAAGCTATGCAATAGCAAATAACAATGGCACGTGTGATGTAGGCAGCTATATCACTTGTTAGCTACTATAACGTTAGTCATCCATCGGTTGTGTAATAAACCGGTCAATGTTTGTGGAACGGTTTATAGTAAAATTCTCTCTTAATTCGTGCTGATAATATTTGTAAAAATGGTGAAAAAAGAAATTTTAACATTTTTATTTTTTATTAATCTAATTTACTCGACTTACTGTAAAGAATTTCCATGTGATTTTGACATTTGTGATACAGAACACGACCAATTCTGTAATATAAAGGATAAAAGATGTAACTATTGTACAATACAACAATGTATAACTGGTCTTAAAGAATGTGAAGAGTTCTGTCAAAGTGAGTATTAGGTTATAATAAATTTGGGGGGTTGGATGGCCGAATGGTTAGTACATACGCACAGTATCATAAGGTCTTTCATTAGTCAACTGGCTCGATCCCTGCATTGGCCGAGAAAGTTCATCCAGATTTTCCGGCGTGGTTCTCCCTTGTCAGTGATGCAGGACGGAGGGGCTGACAAGGAAAGCTGTCTAGTCGTTCGGATGGGACGAAAAACCGAGGTCCCGTGTACACATTGGCGTGCACGTAAAAGATCCCTTGGCAGTTGGAATTCGATATAACAGTAGGCCGTAGTGCCGCTGTCCGGGCAAAATTTCCCTCATAGTACACTGTGTATGGCGTATGCCCGTCTTCATTAGCCCAGGTTAGGAGCAGAACAGTAGGACGTTAAACTCCATTTCATTTCATTTCATTTTAGTCAACTGGCGTGGTTTCGATTCCAAGTTGTAAGTGACCAGGAATAGGGTCGCCTGTCCAACCTTGTGGGTTTTCTACGGGTCCTCTGGTTTCCACCCACTGCTAAAGACCACTATGCGCAAGCCATTTATTAAAAAAAAATTGAACATTGTGTTAGTCCCGAAATCACCTGGTTTGTGTTGAGTGGAGTTAAACCCTACTCTCTCTCTCTCTCTCTCTCACTCACTCACTCACTCACTCACTCTCTCCTACAACTCCGGGCCCTTATTCACAAAAACTTAAACTAAGATAAAATCGAAATTTTAAGAAATACTGCAATTCGATTGGCTGACCAGTAAAATCAATTTGCATATATCCAATGAAGTTGCAGTATTTCTTAAAATTTCGATTTTAATTGAGGTAGAATGTTCAAACTTGGTGTAGGTGTTTATTAGATGAGTTCAAAAATGAGCATTTTTTGTTTATGGTAAGCCTGTCTCTGCCACAGTCCAAGGGTTAGTGTTTATAATTCAATTGCTAAATAAAAGGCAGATTGACAGGAAGGAATTTTATACCAACCAAATTTTACACCAGCCAAATTCAAACCACATTGTACACCAACCCAATTTTACAACAAACCCAATTTTAAAAGTTATTCTCAGCTCGAATCCAATTCAAACTAGGTACATTCAATTCATGTGCCCAGTTTGCAAAGTGCATGACTGTAATTGTTAGCCACCTAAACATGGGTCAACGCCATAGTCAAACCTCATTTATAAATCTGTTAGCCGCTTATGCAACTTTTAGTATAAAGTATAAACATTGCAAATATCCACAAGCAGCTGTGTGAATGAGAACAAAATATGTCATTAATGTCATGACCTAAAACTAAACAGGAGAAATGGTGGCTAAGTGTGTTCGATCCCTGCATTGGCCGAGAAAGTTCACCAGGATTTTCTGACGTGGTTACCCCTTGTCATTGGTGCAGGACGGAGGGCCTGAGAAGGACAGCTGTCTAGTTATTTGGATGGGATGAAAAGCAAGGTCCCATATATACATTGACGTGCATGTAAAAGATCCCTTGACTCTATATAAGAGTAGGCCATAATGCTGCTGCCCGGACAAAACTGCCCTCATAGCACACTGCATGGCGTATGCCCGTCTTTATTAGCTCAGTCGGTGCAGAACAGTAGGATTTTAAACCCCATTTCAGTCATTCGTTAAAATGGAACAAAATAAAATTTAGTTATTATTCTTCAATAGTAAGTTGGACCTATTTAATTTTACAATTTGCCATTACCAATTAGGGTTATACTTTAATGCAGCTATGTCCATATTATGGTTAATGGTATAGGCTACAAATAATGAAATTTTGAAAATAAAATTTTATTTTATTTTTGTAAAATTCCATATGTATATTTACCTAGCTCACCTGACCTGATCTAGAATTTTACTTGTCCATATATGGTTAATGGTATTTAGTCCATATATTGTTAATGGTATTTAGGCTACTGATAAAGAAATTTTGAAAATAAAATTTTATTTTTGTAAATTCCCCATATGTATTTACCTAGTTTACGTGACCTAGAGTAGGTTAATATCCTTTTATAGTCATAAATACCTTAACACACCTGTTTATTTCATTCATGTAACTAATACAGTGGGCGTAGTCACACTTGATGAATTCATTCAAACATAGGAGGAGTAGTATTTTTATGATTATTGACATAATAATATTTACAAGGTTTACGTCATATTCCTGAAGCAATGGCCCGAGAAATCCCTCTCTAGCCATTGCTGGATTGATTTCTGATACTTGAGCTTTTGAGGGAGTGTGTCTATTCTTCCCGTTCAATCAAATCTATCCGAAGTACCGCAACACGACAGCCTTTCGTTTAATCTGGGTCTTCCCTAAAATTTGTCTCCAAACAATATTGTTTACATTGTTTTTAATTTGATAGCCTAGTTTGTAACGCAAATTAGTTTTTCTACAATATTCTGCTATGCACTGGTTAATTGGGCATAATAAAATAGTGAGTCATGACGTAACCTTATGTAAATATATTGCTCCAATTTGGAGCTCTGTTTTAAGCGTAATGCTTTTGCAACGCAGTTAGCTATTGGTTGTTTATCGGACCATTGACCAGTCATAATTTGGAACAGAAATTTGCTTTTTTTAAAGCAGTGTTTAGTGGGATTAGGTATAATGAAACGAAACACTGCAAGGAGTATGGGTTTACATATTAACTGCAATGTTTCAATGTGGTTATTCTCACCGTTATCAAGCATTGTAACATGCTCAAGGGTGAATCTTGCATTTTGATTGGTCAATTAGACACTGTTGAATGGTCAATTAGACACTGTCGATTGGACAATAACACCCCTCTGTTTTAGCAAGGCGAATAACTGCGTATAAATATTACAGCGTACTTTTTTCATTTTGTGCTCAACCATCTTCCTCAACTCAAATCTTTATTGATAAATATCTTCAGGAAATTCTGCTCAAATGACCATCACACTATCGATTATGTGCACGCCAATGTGTACACGTGACCTCAGTTTTTCGTCCCATCTGAACGACTAGACAGCTATCCTTGTCAGGCCCTCCATTCTGCACCCCTGACAAGGGGAAACCATGCCAGAAAATACTGATGAACTTTCTTGGCTAATACCCGTATCAAACCCTTGACCTACAGGCTAGTGAGCAAGCGCCTAACTTACTTAGCCACCGTGGCTTCCAAATCTCAAACGAAGTGGTTCAGAAATTTTTCTTGCATCAGAATTGTTTGTGTAAATATATTTTCTGAATAGGTCTTGGCCTTCAAAAAAGGGGCATTACCAATATTTAAATTGATGTATATTTTTTTAATTGTAAAAACCCTGAGCTAATAATAGAGATACATATTTATTGGTATTAGTCATTGTGGTGTGTTGATATTCTAAATAACAATTAAATCTATTTTACTGAAAGGTAAACCCACTTATACAAGCACCATGTATTTGAGAGTAAAATGTAAGCCTGACTGCAGATTTGGTCAAAGGTCACAAGATGTAAAAAGGCTTAGCATTAACCCTACCCCACACCCTAACCCATGTTACGGGTAAGGTTATGCCCTATAGAAAAGGTTTTCCTTAAAGACTGAAATCTTCAAAACGTAAAAAAAGTCTGGTGATATTAATGCCTATTGAAAAGATGATATTTTTATGCTACAATGATTACTAGTAACTGTCGATCAGATGAATGGTGTGGCCACAAGGTTTCAAACCAATTCTGAACTCTAGGCACCTCTGCATTAACAAGAAATTGTTGATGGACTAAGACGGACAATGATCCAACCCTCTCTTGTTGATCCAAATTCAATGCATGACGCCATAAAAATCAAAATAATCCATAGCCCTGTTTAACTGTGACAAAATCTGCAGTTGGCTCTACTTTTCAGACTTCACCATTGTTGGTCTATCCATAGAAAGTTTTAATAATTATTGACCTCAACCAGGAGTGAAGCTCTATTATGAATAAGTGCAGGGAAACTGTGGTATGGTGATGGTATTCTGATAGACCATCCCAACCCCCCTTTGTTGTGTTAATAGCTCGAGATCAGTGCTATATATATATATATATACAACTGGCCTTATTTTTTTCTTTGATGTCCATAGCAGTTATATCTCATAACAACCTGTCATGATGTCATCATAGGTTGATATACTCGTTCATATCAACTGCTGATGACGTCATGACAGGTTGATATTTCATATCAATCGCTAATGATGTAATCTCAGGTCGATATATTCGACTCATATCAACCGCTGATGACATAGATGATCGAAATAAAACAAAAAACACAGAAATAAATTTTTATTCTTTTGACAATTAAAAATTGTTTGGTACAGTTTGTAACATTCCGGGCCGAAATAGACGGCGTACTTATCGATATACATGTATTTAGATCGGTTATCCATATCTAAGACATGTCAGAATTTTCTTGTCATCCACATTGCGATTATTTCTCCACACACTACAAGACTTGAAAGTATTTATCGCCCAAGAGTTCCTTTGTAAAGTATTTTTGGGTACAGACCACTTAAAACAGTCGGTCAAATCCTTCACTGAACATACCGAAAACCTTCAATCATGGTTTACTGTCAGAATTCTTGGAAAAGAATGCTTTTTGGTCCAAATTTTCTGCAGGCTTTGGATAGATCCTCGTCGATATTTGCATTCACATCTATTCCATCGTCAATATGTTGGCTAAAAAGGATTGATTATTCGTCTGACTTCGTATTACTATCCATTTTGTTTTTGCTTTCAATTCAATAGTCCAACATGCACGTAATTACACGTGATTACTTCGGTAATTTTCGCTATTTGGCGGAAACTATCGAGCGATTATCCAATCATTGTTGCCTTTTAATGGAAGAGCCCATTAAATTTAAGGGTGAAATGGCGTTGTATATCAACCTCGGGTAGGTTAATATCCTATACATAAAATACCTGTATATGAAGTTCAGGCAATACAATCATAATATTTGTTTTTTTTCTTTTACAGGTCAAAAGACTACTACTACTACTACTACTACGCCAGCTACATCGTCACACAGTATATTTCTACCATATGCCAAGTCTAATTGTAAGTACTGGTTAATCTGAGCTAAGCTGGTTAATCTAAGCTAATCTGGTTAATCTAAACACCCCAACAATATAAAACCAAATACATTATGACAGCTCTAACCTTTCTGTGTAACTCTCCAACCTCGTTGTCTTTCTCCGGGTCCTCTGATTTCCCGTAACAAGTAATGACCCCTACACGCAAGCGAATTGATTGAAATAAAATTGAACCATGAGTTAGTTCCGAAATGGCATGGATGTTAAATCCCAAGATTTTGCCGTGGTAATACAGGATGACCTGGCAAGGGGTTGGTTAAATTCGTGTGACAAAAAACAAGGTCCTGTGTACATAAAAGGACGGTCAGTGGTAAATTGGACCCAATTTATGTCCAACATGGATGCCACAAACTGAACAATGCCGTACCAGTCAAGTCACTGTGGCTCCCAATCATCACCAATGACAACAACGATACCAATGACAACCAATGATACTATCCTTTCAATAATGACTGGGAAGAGAGTTAATGTCCACATACATCAACTAGGTCATTTCGGGACTAACATATGATTCAATTTTATTTCAATAGTGGGAATTAAACCGGTAGACCCGGAGAAAACCCACAAGATTGGACAGGCGATCCCTACTCCAAATCCTTGTTACGTACAAGCGGGGGATCAAAACCCTGCCACTTGACTCAATGACAGACCTTATGATCTAACATGCACGCGACGCCTTAAACCGTTCGGCTACACAACCCCCTCCACCTAAGTGAACATTTTTTGTCTGATTATTTCCATTTAGATATTGTCGTGTACAAGTAGTTAACAATCTCTCTAAAGACGATGGCAATCTTGGCTCCCAGAGATAAGTTTACCCTTTGTTTATCTCTAGTAAAACTCGTCCACCATTTTGAATGTCATGTGATGTATCCTTCCATCGGTCGCTTCACAAAGATCCAAGATGGCAGCTCAAACTCGTGTTTCTTCAGAAATTTCACGTATTTAGCCGAATCATTCACATTGTGTGCTAGAAGTTGTTCTGGTAAATCATCAAATCGGCTGTTTCGAATGAACGTTTGATGTCAAGATGCTGAAAATGTTCCAAAGATCATTAATATGTAACTCATGCAACGAACCAATGCCTAATTGTCGAGAAATCAACAGCATTTCATTCTAACAAATCCTGTCTATCAGTAGCCACTCCTGGCGAAGTTTAGGAACAAATTTCACCCCGATTAATGGCCAGCGAGTTTTACCAACGATAAACGAAGGGTAACTTTATCTCTGGTACATTCAGACAATGGAGGATTTTAAAATAAACTTATCTTTTGGTTTTTTTTTCAGCATCTGGATTATGGTGGAAGGTAGTTTTAGTGATTGGATTTGTTGCTATACTAGTTATTTTAGGTTTTGTTGTGGATAATCATCGGAGGTCACATTGGAATAAGAAACCGGGAGGTGATAATAAAGCAGATGGGAATGTGGTAGAAAAAAACCCACTTTTAAATCACAGCGAGGACTCTGGATTAGATCAAAGTCCAGACGGATCGAATACAGCTATTCCTACCAGACAGAATAAGCCACCTGTAAACATTGAGTTAAACAATTTTAGTAAGATTCATTTTCTATGCTTGGGTTTGTTAAAACAGTCTCTCTTAGTTTAATACCATTTAATTGGAGACAAAAAATAGGATATAATACTTATAAATACGATCTATGACAGAATTATTCGATAATTGAAAATATTGGTTAGAGAATTTTAACCAAAACAGGGAAATGTAAGGAAAATTTAATCCCAGATAAGGGTATGAATACAATCGGATTAAAATACCGGTCTATATATCTTTTTATACTTACGATGACCTCTACTACATGAAGATCTGACCGCTTGTAGTGGAAGGTCACGTCAGAGGTCATACAAGCGACTTTTGACCCTATGATGTCAGAATTTGATTAACCAATCAGCGTTGATGTTTCTAGTGGGTTGCCCACAGTTCCATGCACCTCACGCCAAAAATTTGCCGTAACAGACCGTTTCATTGGCAAATCCCTCACATCATCCAGAACGTGGGTTATATAACAACTCTTCTAGATCCTAGTGTAGTAAAGACAAGTAAAACGAAATTTTGAACTATAAAAAATGAAACGAAATAGGATCTGTGTTTTAATCAGATTGGGTATGAATACTATGATGTTCCCATACGGCAAACCCTTACTATTATAGCCTCACTAGTCTGAATACTAATATCTTTATCATAATGATGTTTGCACTGTTTATTATATAAAATGGCAGTTTTAAGACATTTTCTGGTCTTAAAGTAACGAAACATCAAATTTCTGAATGGTTAATCGACGCTAAATATGTTCTCAGATTGATTATTTAACATTTAATTCTCGATCCCTGCATTGGCCGAGAAAGTTCATCAGGATTTTCCGACGTGGTTTCCCCTTGTCAGTGGTGCAGGACGGAGGGCCTGACAAGGACAGCTGTCTAGTCATTCGGATGGGATGAAAAACAAGGTCCCGTTTATACACTGGTGTGCATGTAAAATTTGCCTTGGCAGCTGGTGTTTGATATAAGAGTAGGCCATAGTGCCGCTGTCTGGGCAAAATTTCCCTCATAGCACACTGTATGGTGTATGCCGGTCTTCATTAGCCCAGTCGGAGCAGAACAGTAGGACATTAAACCCCATTTTATTTAACATTTAATTCAGAAAACAAAATCAAAATACCATCGCCAGATAATATCTCGACTTGAATTCAATCTGATTTAATACAGGCAGAAAAATAGACGTCCATGGTCATCAATGAAAAGAATTTCATTTACTTTTTCTTTTGTTTGTAGCAAGAGGGGTAACAGCTAACCAACGTCAAGATCAACTGTATGACCATGATCAAGCCAAGCTGATACCAGGGACAAATAGATCTATCAACCCTCAACGACCGATTAACGAACAGTATCAACAACCACATACATCTCCAGAAATATGTACTGAAAATAATAAATTATATAAAGAAAGTTTGGATGCCGATGGACTGTCTATACATAAAAATGGAAAATTATTAAATGATTTTAGTGGTATATCTCAAAATGATCAAACAAATTTAAAGCATACAATTTAGACTAATGCTTTTAGAAATAGTAATTTGAAATTGTATGCCTGGACTAAAAGTATTGTATTGTAACTGCTGCAACTTTTTAATATCTTGTAAAAAGAAATATAATATGAGAGAATGAATTTTATTTCATGTACATGTCTACTACATAGATCTGTTTCTTTTCATACGTGGGTAAGACGTTGGCTCGCTAGTCTGGAGGTCGCTTGTTCGATCCCTGCATTGGCCGAGAAAGTTCATCGAGAATTTCCGGCGTGGTTCCACCTTGTCAGTGGTGCAGGACGGAGGGCCTGACAAGGACAGCTGTCTAGTCGTTCGGATGGGAAGAAAACCCAGAGGTCCCGTGTATACATCGGTGTGCATGTAAAAGATCCCTTGACAGTTGGAATTCGATATAAGAGTAGGCCATAGTGCCGCTGTATGGCGTATGCCCTTCTTCATTAGCCCCGTCGGAGCAGAACAGTAGGACGTTAAACCCCATTTTATTTTATTTCATTTGTTTTCATACAAATAGAAATGAGATCAATCATCAAAAAGAAAATATCAAAAACACCAAATATAACAAAATATCATTTTGGACTCTCGTCTACTGCGTTAAAACTCAGTATGGAACAAGACAAGAGATACATATAAAATGGAGTCAGCAGCATGTGAAATAAGATCAGGCCCTCACAAAACATTCTCACACTTAAGTTAAGAATTTACTCAACTTTCAATCACTGTTTATGAGAAATACCTTTGATCCAGAAACACAAAACTTTGTACATAGTTTCTTATTGGAGTATTTAATACATTAAAACAACAACAGTTTTATAAAGGGCTATATTTTAATTAAAATAAGGCAAACAATTTTGAGTAAATTCTTAAGTCTCAGAATGTTCGTACTTAAGTTTTATTGATGTCATTTATATATTTATTTATTTATATTCCATTGATGAGTTAGTGGAAAACGGGACAGAAGTGTCTGATTCAATGAATCTCAACCTGTAAAAATGTGGATCCTACTTTTTGACCATTGTATTAAATTATTTATCATTAAAGAGCTAATCGTACTTTCAGCTTTAAATCATGTACATCAGGGTCGAATTAAGCTTTCATGGAGCCCCTGACTGAATATTTCACGAGGGATCTTGCGTCATCAGTAAAAAAGGGGAATATTCTAGTCACTGTTCGTCACACTCACACAAATACAATTTGTATGTTAGATAGATTTAGTTGACCTTTACATATACAACATAATAAGGTACAAATATTGTTTTTAGAAATAATTATGGGGCCCCTGGCTTCAGTCTAGGCGACCTTCGGTTATCGTGATTTCTTGACTATGGTCGAACTAACTGAATCCGAATTTCATTTAGTCCGGACCATAGTCCGAAAATACTGAACCATGCTATTGTGGCATGGTCGGAGTAGTTCCAAGATGGCGGTGTTGATAAAACGAAAGTAGAATATGTAGAAAGAATCTATTTTTGTTAAGTATATGATTTTAAGAAATCTTGCATGAATTTTAAATGGTTGCTACTTCTATGAGCTGATATTTTTTGTCCCGTATGTTATGTCTGAATCTATGTAAGTCTAAAAATTACGCATTATTTCAATACTTTAATTATGCAAAAAGTAAAGTCCAGTTACAAGGAATTTTGTGGTCTTAAAATTAATTTGAATCGCGCAAATTTAACTTCATGAAAGTATTATTTGTTTATTAAACTATATAACACAGCGATTCATTTTCCTCCATGGAGAGATGTATAGACATTCCTTGTGGGTTTTTTTATGGGTTATGGTCGAGGTCTAAAGCAGAGTAAAATGACATACCGATGTCCCTGGGGGCAGCCATCTTTGAACAGACGATGGTCCGGACCATTCGCGTTCGGTTTCTAGTTCCGACCACTAGTCGTGAAAAAATTATAACCGAAGGTCGCCCTTGTGAGATCTTCCCTTAATCTGACCAGGCCTAGAATTAATGGTTTTAGATGTACATGACAAAATGTCAGGCACTAATGAAATAGTACCTGACATTTTCAACTAAGTGCTGGACATGGATTAATAATATCAATAAAAAAGATAAATCGGTGCCGGACAAAATGACAGGCACCAGTGTAGTTGTACCTGACAAATCCTGAATCTGTGCCTGACATTGTCTGTGACCGGTGCCTTATTTCCAGGCTTGAATCTGACCCTGAGGTACTATTCATGATATCATACACTGCTGTTTATACAATCAACAACTGTAAATAACATTATTTATATTTTAGTATTTATTGATGTTGTATATTTAATATGCTTAGGGTCATACGGTCAAAAGCCGCTCATATGACCCCTGACGAGACCCCCCATAACAACTGGTCAGATCTTCATGTAGTAGAGGCCAACGAAAGTATAAAAAAACGAAACGAAATATAGATCTGTATTATAATCAGATTGTGACAAGGAAACATATAAACTTAGACATTTTTATATACATATCAAAATTTAGATTATGATCGAGGCCAGTTGATGTTTCACTTTTTATACCATATTTTATATACTTAAGATTAGCAAGTTATATTTTACAATACGACAATTTTTAGTGTTATCTTAATGTTAAAATATATTTTTAAGGTTGTTTACACGTAAGAACTATAAATTTGAGAATATTTATGGTATGAATTGTTGATAACGGTGAGAGTATTATGACCAGGTAGTTTTTAATACAGCCATTCACCCAATATTAAGGGTTAGACTTACACCATAACTTAAACCCAAGATGGATTATCTAAAGCGGTGGACACATTAGCCGAATCAGTCGGTCGAAATCGTTCAGCCAAACAAATCAGTGCCATATTTTATTCGGCCGAATGGGTGGACACACTATAGGCGAATGCTTCGCCCATTCACCAGTCGACTGCATCACCTTTCATGTCACATGATTATCTTCAAACAATCATGTGACTTCCCGATATGAGTGTATGCACGTTGGTGATTGGCTAATGAATTCTGCATTCGGGCGAATGCTTCAGCGAAGAGGACTCACTAGGCGAATATAATTCGACCAAATGTGGACACATTAGGCAAATTTTGTTGCCGATTGATTCGACTAGTCCACCGCTTAAAGTTAATAATGATCAGCTATGACAGAGATTAGAGACAATAGTAGTAATGAGATAATCCATCTATAAACATTACATAATGATAATCAAGGCCCCAAGTAGTCACCTCAGTAAATGAATGAATGGATGTCACTTAAATATTACCCTTTAAAAACTATAAAAGATTATTAAGTTTAAAATATATATAAAGTATTATTTATTGTTTATTGTTACCAAGTAACCTCTTGTACATTAGAGGAAAGGTTGTAGATGAATAGTAATTGACCACAGGCAGGCAAATATGACCAAAAAAAGAGACCTGGGGTCATGTTTATGAAAATTAAAACTAAAAATACTTTAATGGTGCAGTTTTTTCATTGGTTGAGAATTGAAATCCTAGAACAAATTTCAACTCTGGAAAAGCCCTCATTCTTAAAAATTTTCATGAATAAGGCCCCTGGTTTCACATATAATGTGGGTTTGGACAATGAATCGGAATAATATTTTAAAGCACTGATTAGTACGATAACTTAGGACAAAACAATGACATTCTGCGTGTTGGATAGTTTCCAATGGCACTAGTTTAAACAGTTTTAAACTTTCTAATGGCACACTACGCATGTTGGATAGTTTCCAATGGTTTAAACAGTTTTAAACTTTCTAATGGCGCACTAGTTTAAACAGTTACTTTAAACTTTCTAGTGGCACCAATTATATTTTCATTTCTTCTGGTTCTTGATAAACAGCAACTTGAATCATGTGAAAGATGATTGGTTTAAAATTTCAAACCTTTAGAACTAAAAGCTTTTGAGCAACATAACAAAGTACTATTGGTTTTTAACTAAGTTTTTTTTCCCTGAAGAAGAATAAGATGGAAAATTTTAACTGGTGTTCCTGAAGAACAGAAAAACAATTAGGTGTGGCCTTACTTTAAAATTTCTGATAACCCTAAACCTTGTCCATCTGATGATAAACCTTGTCCTGATAACCCTAAACCTTGTCCATCTGATGATAAACCTTGTCCTGATAACCCTAAACCTTGTCCATCTGATGATAAACCTTGTCCTGATAACCCTAAATCTTCCAATGATACTAAACCTTGTCCTGCTGATGATAAACTATTATTTTTAAATGCTTGTGATTTATATCATTAAACTGTTTACCCAAGAGATTCAAATGTTATTAAATTAAAATGTTATCTTTTAGTAAACAGCAATGATAAAATATGTGATATACATGTACATAGAAATATAAATGTTTTTAGTAAATAAAGTATTTATTGATTTTATTGAGAGCTTTAAACAAATTGTTTTTTCAGTTGTCATCTGGTGAGGGGGGGGGGGAATGGCACGGTTAATTTTAATGTAGTGTAGGCCTACTGTAAATGCTATCCGATCTGGGAACGGTTCTCAGTACGGATTACTGCGCATGCGCCAAATGAACCTTGACCTTTTTTCCTTGCAAACTTTGACAGTTCTGTCAACAGTTCTATCAAAATAGCTGGGGGATCACGGTGGCTAAGTGGGTAAGACGCTGGCTCGCTAGCCTGGAGGTCGGGTGTTGGATCCCTGCATTGGCCGAGAAAGTTCATTTTCCGGCGTGGTTCCCGGTTGTCAGTGATCAAGGACAGCTGTCTAGTCATTCGGATGAGACGGAAAACCGAGGTCCTGTGTACACATTGGCGTGCACATAAAAGATCCCTTGACAGTTGGAATTCGATATAAGAGTAGGCTGTAGTTGCGCCACTGTCCGGGCAAAATTTCCCTCATAGCACACTGTATGGCGTATGCCCGTCTTCATTGGCCCAGTTCGGAGCAAAACAGTAGGACCTTAAACCCCATTTCATTTCAAAATGGCTGCCCAAACTAAATCAACCGCCATAATTGTTTTCATCCAGAGACCGAAATGTAATTTTTTTATGAAAAGTTCCACATTTGGTGTGCCTGGCACGGTACTGAGACCGGTTATTCTAGAGTAAACGGGCCAATTTCTTGAAATTTATCGCAGCCTGGTACCGTGCCGATAGCGGGGCGCTTATTATTGGCCAAGTGTAGACGTTTCTATGATTTCGATTCCCAACCTTGTGGGTTAACTTCTCCGGGTCCCCTGGTTTCCTCCCACTGCTAAAGACCCCTAAGGTTCAGCCATTTAATGATGTAATTTAAAAATGGAGAAGCGTGGATAAAACACTGACTATGCAGTGCCGTGGTTACGATAATCCATGCAAACATACATGTATCTTGTGAAAACTACATGGCTAGATGATGATATGAAGTAATTTGAATGAAATTTTCTAATTCATTTTGCATGATCTATTTTTGAACTATTATAGCAAGAACATACAGCTCTTTATCTAAATATCATGGAGTACAGGCGCATGTCCAGGGAGGGGGGGCAGAGGGACCGCCAATCCCCCCCCCCCATCCCCTGCTTGCGCAGAGAAAATTCATGAAAATAACGCTGTTTTTTGCTCAATACATTGTAATCCTGTGTATGCACCTAACTGAGCAGAGATATTGTATCAATGCTTCTGATTTTATCAAATACACGGGTGCCGACCAACCGCCAAACTTGACACTTCACCACCTTGGACCCCCCGCTGCTGAAATTCCTGGACACGCCCCGCGTGGAAACAAGGTTCCCCGCAATCACAATTGGCGTCGTATACATGGTGGATTTAGCTGAATAACTGGGTAAATAATTCAATTTTGAATTAATTCTTCGATCAGAAAATGTGTAGGCCTATCATGCTTTTTAAACGCGTTCCGTAAATACACAGTTGAACGATATATATTCAATCTGTGACACTATTACTTATAAACACAAATTATAAATGTCTGTCCTGAAAAATATTTTGGGTGACCGAGACTATTTAAAAATCACGCGACTTTAAATTGCGACTGTTTATTGTGCTGATCTATTTATAGTACACGGTATTCCCATAAGGATAAAAATAGAATTATGACCATAACAGTAGCACGTGCTATTGTGTCATTTGTCATTCCTACAACAACCGTAAATATATATATATACAGTAGGCCAGCCACCGATGTTTATGGAATTTGGTGAATGAAATTATGACGAAATCTGTAAATTTTATAGATTTATGCTGGTCGGCTTTATCGATGGTGTTTATAGTTTTGTCTGTTTAGGAAAGCAAACATTGCATGTTGATTGTTTTAATAGGAAAATGGATTCATTGTTGCGGTATATTTTATACTTTTTACTATTTATTTATCAAGTTGAGCGAGCTTATTGTGAACAATTTGACTGTTTTTATGATATTTGTGATACCATAGTCCAGTACTGCAATAAACAAGAAAAAAGGTGCAACTATTGTTCACCACAACAATGTAGGCTGATATTGGAAAAGGATGTTCATCACTGTGAAGAATTTTGTAAAAGTAAGTATTACACTTTGACCTGGGGGGTAGAGGGTGGATATGACCGAATGGTTAGCATGTGCGTGATGTATCATAAGGTCTGTCATTGAGTCAACTGGCGTGGTGTCGATTTCCCGGTTGTAAGTGACGAGGAGTAGGGTCGCCTGCTGTCCAATCTCGTGGGTTTTCTCTGGGTCCTCCGGTTTCTTCCCACTGCTAAAGAATCCTACGCGCAAGCGATTATTGAAATAAAATTGAAACACATGTTAATCCCGAAATGACCTAGTTTGTGTCGAGAGGATGTTAAACTCTCTCTCTCTCTCTCAATATTAAACTCAGTATTTAATAGGGAGCCATGGTGGCTCAGTGCGTAAGACATTGGTTCGTTAACCTGGAGGTCAGGCCCGTAGCCAGAGAGGGGCAAGAGGGCGGGGCAGTGTCCCGAAAAAATGTTTTCCCTCCCCCCCCCCCCGAAAAAAAAATTGCCGACCATAGCTCTAAAATACCTACTGTAGACTGTGCCGGGTGTGCCCCCTCCCCCCCTAAAAACTTCACTGCCCCTCTGAAGCTAGCAAGCTGGCTACGGGCCTGCTGGAGGTCCTGTGTTCGACCCCTGCTTTGGCAGAGATAGTTCATCGAGATTTTCCAGCAGGGTTCCTGGACCAAGGGCCTGGCAAGGGACAATGTACAGTTGTTCGGATGGGATCAAAAACTGAGGTCCCGTGTACACATTGGCGTGCACGTAAAAGATCATTTGGCAGTTGGAATTCGATAGAAAAGTAGGCCCTGGTGCCGCTGTCTGGGCAAAATTTCCATTATAGCACACTGTAGTGCGTATGCCCGTCTTCATTAACCCAGTCTGAGCAGAACAGTAGGACGTTAAACCCCATTTCATTTCATTTCCATATTTAACAGGTAGCACGGTTTACCCAAATTTACGCCGATCCACCATTATTTCAAATCATATCATAATTTAGCTCTTGAATAATACCTCTATCACTCTGATTAGGGCACGTAATTGTTGCAGAAGATTGTGGGTTAGGACTAGGTCTTGGGTTAGGGTTAGCGCTTGTGACTTTGAGGAAATCTGCAGGTAACCTTGGTAAATAAATTTAACCCCCTTGATTGCCCTATTATCATTGTTTAAGTTGAAATTTTTAACTGTTACATGTTTTCATTTAAAATGAGTCTGATTTTATCAGTAGTTTGGAAACTTATCATCGCTTATGTAAATACTCATGCTCGTAGTCTAACACACATGCTTTAGATCATAAGGTCTGAGTAGCTAGTCCATCATCATACTATATTTTATGATATTAATGTTACCATGGTGATAGGTTGTTTTCAGAGCATTAAATTCATTAACTGAATTGACATTGACCCAATGACCTTGTATGTATGTAACACTAGCACTATATATGTAACTCTAGTGAACTATGACGAAATCTGCAATGGGTCTTAGCTTTAAGCCTTTTCCATTTTAATGGGCATTCCAAAGCTGAATTCAGGTCATGTAATAACCCATGGGCTTTAAATAGATTTATAAAGCTGTTTTAATGCGATCTATTATATATTGTCAACCACAATTAACTGAATTAAAACAGGATTGGTCAGGGTGTATATAGAAATGTACTGATGAATATTATTTATGATTTAGCAGTTTTTAATTATGACATTGCAGTTTGCAGACTAAAATCTAGATTTCTGTAATAATATATAAGAGAGATAAATACAAAAATAATTATTATTGTAAATGAAATGGGGTTCAAGGATTCTTTCACATACATGGTGCATGTCCGCCCCCCCCCCCCAAGGGCAGAGCCACTCTCATTTATTGTATTTGTTTGTTTGTCGTCTACAGGCCGCATTTCTTAACGTTTTATCTTGAAACTTCGCATACTTATTCTTTGTACCCTAAGGAACATCCATAACGTTTGGGGTGCATGCCCAACGTCCAGGGGCAGAACCGCACCCATTTTCTTTCTGTGTCTCTGTGTGTCGTCTACAGGCCACAATTCTTAAGTGATCATCTTGAAACCTTACATACTTATTCCTTATACCGTAAGGATGATCCCTATTGTTTTTGGTGCATGCCCAACCCCCAGGGGCAGAGACATGCCCATTTCTTATATTTGTTTTTTTGTTGTCTACAGGACGCATTTCTTAACGTATCATCTTGAAACATTGCATACTTATTCTTTGTACCCTAAACAACATCTCTAGTTTTTTGGGTGCATGCCCACCCTCCAGGGAAATGCCACGCCCATTTTCTCTTTGTGTGTCTGTGTAAGGCCTACAGTCCACAATTCCTAATCGATTATTTTGAAAACGTTTTTTATACTTATTCCTTATACCCTAAGACTGACGTCAATTATTTTTGGTGCATGCCCGACCCCCTGGGACAGAGCCACGCCCAATGTTTGTGTGTCTTGTGTTTCGCCCACAGGCCGCAGTTGTAAACAGAGAGAGAAATGGGATTTAACGTCCACTCGACACAAACTAGGTCATTTTGGGACTAACATATGGTTTAATTTTATTTCAATGATTCGCTTGTGCGTAGGGGTCTTTGGCAGTGGGAGGAAACCGGAGGACCCGGAGAAAACCCACGAGGATGGACAGGCGACCCTACTCCTTGTCACGTACAACCGGGGATTCGAAACCATGCCAGTTGACTCAATGACTGGTCTTATGATACAGCGCACACGTGCTAACCCCGAAATGACCTAGTTTCTTTCGAGTGGACGTTACTACCCCATTTCTCTCTCTCCTCGATTGAATTATCTACTTACCTTGTATATTTAAGATACATTATGTAAGATTTGGATAAAGAGCTAGTTCGAAAATAGATAATGGAAAATTTTTTAAATCTTGCGTGTGTTTAATATTCTACAGAGTTGATTATAGTCTTGTCAAATGAAAAAATGTCTATTTTAAAAATTTATATAAGATTTTAACCCTTAAAAAAAGACCTGCAATAGGCTGATTTAGCTCTTGCATAATGTATGTTTAACTTAAACAAAATGAATTCTGACAACAATAAATTATTGAAAAATGAAAATCAAAGCTGCATTTTGGAAGATTAGATAAAGAGCTGGAAGTTCTCACTATAATACATAAAAAATAGATAATGTAAAGGGAATATGTTGAAAATTGCAGTGAAATTACTTCATTCTTAGCCAAGAAATCCTCATTTCAATAACACTGTAGCCTTGATTGTCATTGCTACCGTTGTTACGATAATCTATTTTTACGGTTAATCATCAACCAACAATTGAACTGCCGATCGGATTTAAATCTGTTGAAAATCTAGACTACATCGAGAGTTGATTATGGTCTTGGTAAGTTAATTAACGTCTAATAAATAATTTTTGTAACATTTAAGGCCTAAAGAAAGACCTGAAATAGGCAGATTCAGCTCTTGAATAATGTAGGTTTAATTAACAATTTTCCATTTTGACAGATCTTACGGCGACCACTACGTCGACGACGACAGCAGCTGCAACAACATCACAAAATACTCCACAATATTATAATAATGGTGCACGTAAGTACAGTCATATGTTTTTTAAACAGGTCTATAATTCATGCGATATATTCAAGTCTGTAATGCATTTGATATTCAAGTCTGTAATTCATGTGATATTCAAGTCTATAATTCATGAGAAATTCAAGTCAAGTCTATAATTCATGAGATATTCAGGTCTATAATTCATGTGATATTCAGGTCTATAATTCATGCGATATTCAGGTCTATAATTCATGTGATATTCAGGTTATAATTCATGTGATATTCAGGTTATAATTCATGTGATATTCAGGTTATAATTCATGTGATATTCAGGTTATAATTCATGTGATATTCAGGTCTATAATTCATGTGATATTCAGGTTATAATTCATGTGATATTCAGGTTATAATTCATGTGATATTCAGGTCTATAATATATGTGATATTCAGGTTATAATTCATGTGATATTCAGGTTATAATTCATGTGATATTCAGGTCTATAATTCATGTGATATTCAGGTTATAATTCATGTGATATTCAGGTTATAATTCATGTGATATTCAGGTTATAATTCATGTGATATTCAGGTCTATAATTCATGTGATATTCAGGTTATAATTCATGTGATATTCAGGTTATAATTCATGTGATATTCAGGTTATAATTCATGTGATATTCAGGTCTATAATTCATGTGATATTCAGGTCTATAATTCATGTGATATTCAGGTTATAATTCATGTGATATTCAGGTTATAATTCATGTGATATTCAGGTTATAATTCATGTGATATTCAGGTCTATAATTCATGTGATATTCAGGTTATAATTCATGTGATATTCAGGTCTATAATTCATGTGATATTCAGGTTATAATTCATGTGATATTCAGGTCTATAATTCATGTGATATTCAGGTTATAATTCATGTGATATTCAGGTCTATAATTCATGTGATATTCAGGTCTATAATTCATGCGATATTCAGGTCTATAATTCATGTGATATTCAGGTCTGTAGCGACAAATTCTGAAAAAGTGGGTTATTAGAAATTGAAGCAGGACGTTGGATAGGGATAAAACGTTTGTGTGTTTGTGGTTTATAACAGAGGGGCGTGTCCCCAGACAAAGCATATCCGTGATCAAGACCCACACATAAATTTCTCTAATATACAAGGGGGGGGGGGGGGGGATGGCCGAATGGTTAGCACGCGCGCATTGTATCATACGGTCTGTCATTGAGTCAACTGGCGGGGTTTCTATTCCCCGATTGTACGTGACAAGGAGTAGGGTTGCCTGTTCAACCTCATGGGTTTTCTTCGGGTCCTCCCACTGCTAAAAAGACCCCTACACACAAGCAAATTATTGAAATAAAATTGAACCACGTGTTAGTCCCAAAATGACCTAGTTTGTGTCGAATGGATGTTAAACCCCATTTCTCTCTCTCTAATATACAGAGTTTTGTTTGATAATGTTCATGCAATATCCATGTGCCATATTTCCTATTTGTGTTGCCACATTCAGAACAATATGGCGGCAAGTAACATTGCATAGAAATACAAATATTCCCGAACAATCCCCTTGAAACCACGCAGAATTTTTATACTGTTGCAATTGATTATTTTATGTCGAGTTCAAATTGTACCTGACATTAAATGAGCTAAATCGCTATTATTTGGCAAGTCGAAATTGACACAAATGGGTCGCAACGCATATAATAATGTAATATAAATGTATGTAAACTGATTTACATTCAATCGTTTCTGGTTTTACTGTAATTTCTTATCAGTTATGTTGGGCAAAATACGCTAAGAGTCCAAATTGAATGGCAGTCTTTTGCACCTGGTTAATCTAGTCGACACTGGTAGTATTCTCCTGTGGGATATGTTTAGCCTCGTTCATCGAGTCGTCTCATAACAAATGGCGCTCAAAAGCATTCTGGCAGGCGCTTTGTATGCCAATTTTAACATTTTCATTGTATCTTAAATATTGGATATCAGAAGCCCATCTTTTTACGGTAAGATAACAACATCAATGTTGATTTAGATTGATCAATAAATCGAGCTTGCAATGTTGAAGATTGTGGATAATATTGAGTTAAAGACTTGCCTCCTTTAAATATTGTGATTTTTTGTTTCACACAATCTTGGATTTTAGCACTTTCCGGTGCGCAAAATTTGATAAACTTTTGGGATCTTATAAAGTACACCTAAATAATGCAAATATGCATAAAAACATTTCCTTGCAGTTTTTTGCGGTTAAAGTGATAAATTGACTGGACTAAATATTGTGATTTTGTTTTTTTGTTTCAGCACAATGGTGGTATATATTTATAGGAGTTGTCGTTGTTGCCATTCTTGTTGTTAGCATCATTAATCTAATAATCAATGTTCGCAATAAATACAAGAAAAATCCATTTGATAAGGAAAGACGAGCCGATGGAAAAGCTGCAGAACTAAAAGTACTTATAGAAAGTAAAGACTCCGGGTTTGAAAATCAAAATGGCCGAGAACAACCAGAGATTATAGAACTAAAAGATCTGTCTCCAAATGGTAATAAAATATTAAAAATAGAGAGAGAGAAATGGGGTTTAACATCCACTTGATAAAAACTAGGTCATTTTGGAATTAACATATGGTTCAATTTTATTTCAACAAGCCAACAGTGAGGCTGATGTCCCCCGCCGAAATAGGAAAATAATTAGAGAGTTATTGTGTTCCAAAGTCTCAGCAAATCAAATTGCTTATCGCTCTGCTTAATCTGAGCAGAAAATGCTCATTATCGATCTTAGTCAAGGTATTACTGTAATGAAACTATACACCAAGTTTCATCACTCTCACTTAATTAGAACTAAAGTTATAGTGTCCCAAAGCATCAACCAATCAAATTGTTTATCTCTGCTTACCCTAAGCGGAACGGACAGACAAACAGACAGACGGACGAACCCATTTTAATAGTTCCCTGCTTTCTTCGAAAGGCGGGGGACAATAAGCATGAACATTTACTCAATTCGAAGATCAACCAATCAAATTGTTTATCTCTGCTTACCATAAGCGGAACGGACAGACAGACAAACAGACAGACGGACGAACCCATTTTAATAGTTCCCTGCTTTCTTCGAAAGGCGGGGGACAATCAAAGTAGGAGAGTTATTGTTTTCCAAAGTCTCGACCAATCAAATTGCGTATCGCTCTGCTTACCCTGAGCAGAAAATGCTCATTATCAAACTTAGTCAAGGTATTACTGTAATGAAACTATACACCAAGTTTCATCAATCTCACTTAATTAGAACTAAAGTTATCGTGTCCCAAAGCATCAACCAATCAAATTGCTTATCTCTGCTTACCCTAAGCTGAAAATGCTCATCTTCGAACTCCATCAAGGCATTGACCTAATCAACACATACACCAAGTTTGAACATTCTAGCTCAATTAGGAAGAGAGTTATCGTGCCCCAAAGTATCAACCAATCAAATTGCTTATCTCTGCTTACCCTAAGCGGAAAATGCTCATCTTCGAACTCCATCAAGGCATTGACCTAATAAACACATACACCAAGTTTGAACATTCTAGCTCAATTAAAAGTTATCGTGTCCCAAAGCATCAACCAATCAAATTGCTTATCTCTGCTTACCCTAAGCGGAAAATGCTCATCTTCGAACTCCATCAAGGCATTGACCTAATCAACACATACACCAAGTTTGAACATTCTAGCCCAATTAGGAAGAGAGTTATCGTGTCCCAAAGCATCAACCAATCAAATTGCTTATCTCTGCTTACCCTAAGCGGAAAATGCTCATCTTCGAACTCCATCAAGGCATTGACCTAATCAACACATACACCAAGTTTGAACATTCTAGCTCAATTAGGAAGAGAGTTATTGTGTCCCAAAAAGCGTGACGGACAGACAGACGGACAGACAGAAGGACAGACAGACGGACAGACAGACAGACAGACAGACAGACGGACGAACCCATTTTAATAGTCCCCTGCTTTCTTCGAAAGGCGGGGGACAATAAGTCACTTGTGCGTAGGGGTCTTTAGCAGTGGGAGGAAACCGGAGGACCCGGAGAAAACCCACGAGGTTAGACAGGCGACCTGACTCAATGACAGACCTTATGATCTAAAGCGCATGTGTTAAGACCATTCAGCCAATCAACTCCTCTGAATGATATTGCTATTTGAATTAATTGAGTAACCACAGTAAGCTTGATCAAAATTATATGGCATTTTTTTTTTCATTTTAATTTTTATTAAAGATAATTAATTCATGCATTTTTCTATTTTTTAGTAGCAGCACCCAATGGCGTACAACCAAATGGTGTACAATCGAATTGCGTACAAGCGAATGGCGTACAATCGAATGGTGTACAATCGAATGGTGTACAAGCAAATGGCGTACAACAACCGATTGGCGTACAAAGTCCACATCATGATCATTATGACCATGATCAATCCAAGATGTTAGCAGGGCATGACAATACCTCTGTTTTTGTAAATCCACCTCAACAAATCAATCGAATTCAGCAACCATACACATACCCCGGTGAAGATAAAAGTCGTCACGAAAGAATGGATCCAAATGGATTATCTTTGCACAATCATGGAAGAAAATTGGGATATGTACCAGTTCCCCAAACATCTGAACGTGACCAAACAAATCTGAAATATTGTTAAGAGTGTTCAGATTATTATAAAAGGAACAATCATGGGTGCAGTACGATGTTTTGCTCTGTTTTTTACCATGCTAATTATGTCAATAAAAATATTTTTACAAGTAAACAGGGGTACAACAGTATCCCACTTAAAAACTCATCTGTTTAAAATTCATTACAAAAATTAACAAAGACCTCATTTTTTGACATCGTCGTCAATCTTCAAAGATCAAATCACACCTTTTTAAAATTTATTACAAATATAAAGATTTAAAAATTTAAGCCAATGAGCTTGTAATTTATTATTATTATTATAGAATATTGTATGCTCTATGAGCACATACTTAATGGATTTGGTATTATTTTTTTATTATCATGATTATTTTGTGAAACTGCTGTTATGTTATGTTAGCGTGTTATATGGACCGCTGTTATGTTAGTATGTTATATGGACAACTGTTATGTTTGTGTGTTGTATGGACAGCTGTTATGTTAGTATGTTATAGGGACTGCTGTTATGTTAGTATGTTATAGGGACTGCTATGTTAATATGGTATATGGATAACTGCTATGTGGATAACTGCTATGTTAGTGAGTTATATGAATTCTCTTTGTTTCTTTCGGATCCATTCACTTAATCTGATATGTACGTTTGTTTGTGATTTCTGCGTATTGGGTCTTGTCGGTAGATTTGTTTTGTGTAATTATGTGTGGTGCAGCCCCCTTGCACTTTCTATTACAAGATATACATGCAATTAGCCATCAACTAAAAAATGAGTCTAAGTCTTGTCAAGGTAAATATGATATTAAAGTAATTAATAAGTTTTGCATAGTAATCAATAGTAACGGGCCGACGTACTTATCTGACAACGACTGCTTTGCAATTCAGACTCACTTCGAGTTTAACATCTGCAAAGTAAGGACACTCGGAAAAGGAACTCCATTATTGTCCATCGTAACACTCTCCCCCACCAACACCCACCTTTCCAACAGATCAATTAATAATCGAAATAATTTTATTTATTTATTCCATAAATAATGCATTACCCTTATATATTCTGTCATGTTCTTAGTGTCATTAAACCATCAGTGCAGTTTGTATGTTCTTGGTGTCATTAAACCATCAGTGCAGTTTGTATGTTCTTGGTGTCATTAAACCTTCAGTGCAGTTTGTATGGTGTCATTAAACCATCAGTGCAGTTTGTATGTTCTTGGTGTCATTAAACCATCAGTGCAGTTTGTATGTTCTTGGTGTCATTAAACCATCAGTGCAGTTTGTATGTTCTTGGTGTCATTAAACCTTCAGTGCAGTTTGTATGTTCTTGGTGTCATTAAACCTTCAGTGCAGTTTGTATGGTGTCATTAAACCATCAGTGCAGTTTGTATGTTTTTGGTGTCATTAAACCATCAGTGCAGTTTGTATGTTCTTGGTGTCATTAAACCATCAGTGCAGTTTGTATGTTCTTGGTGTCATTAAACCTTCAGTGCAGTTTGTATGTTTTTGGTGCCATTAAACCATCAGTGCAGTTTGTATGGTGTCATTAAACCATCAGTGCAGTTTGTATGTTCTTGGTGTCATTAAACCTTCAGTGCAGTTTGTATGTTCTTGGTGTCATTAAACCTTCAGTGCTGTTTGTATGTTCTTTTTATTTAAACAATATTTTATTCATTTAAATTTAGGAAACATTATATAATAAACACAGGATAGGAGAACTTAAGCATTATCAGCTTATATAAATCGTATGTTCTCATGTGTATACAATAAATTCATGCTCAACAAGGCCATCCAAAAAAAACATCATGGTTCCAGACGATCCTTTGAAAAAATCTGATGCTGGAGGGAGGTGGGGTTTAACTTTTACTTAGCAGTGGGAGGACCTGGAGAATATTTGACTCATGGCAGACCTATGATACAAGGTGCACACGGCTAACCACCCAAATATGTTTAAATGAAATGAAATGAAATGGGGTTTAACGTCCTACTGTTCTGCTCCTAACCTGGGCTAATGAAGACGGGCATACGCCATACAGTGTGCTATGAGGGAAATTTTGCCCGGACAGCAAATATGTTTAAAGTTTAAACATATTTACGGTAGTTGGCAGTATCACAATATTTTGTATTTCTGATACTTTTGTAAATTATAAATTTAAGATCACATTATATTCGATAAAATCATATTTATATGTTTAAGTGGATTTCACAAAATCATGTATTTCGAATATTTTTATATATCAATAATAAATTTAAGATAATTATTTTTGTCGGAAAAAAATTCCTTAAATTTTATTTGATATACTCCGTTTATATGTAAATAGTGTATATAATAGTGATATATTATTATTTAAATCTAGTGTATTTTAAAGCTGCAATTTCATATTTTTAAGTTATATTTTTAAAATTTATTAAAATAAAGCCTTAAAATAGATGGTATTCATAAACCGTCCTACCTTGTTAAAGAATATTCCTATTAATCCTATAATTCACTATTGGCAGCTGAGAAATTGGCAAAAATATCATTTTCAACTTCAAATTCCAACGTTTGAACTTGAAGGTAGCTAATGCATGGAGGCAATAGGAAAACAAGGGAGGTAATTGTGTTATTATTTCCTGTGTCAATGATTTTTAAGGGTGGGAAATAATGCCCATGGTCGTATAATAGTCAGGGTTCCCGCGGTCCTTGAAAATCCTTGAATATCCTTAAATTTAAAATTTCATTTTCAAGGTCTTGAATATCCTTGAATTTCGCGGAAATAGGAAAATATCCTTGAATTTCAGTTGAGATCCTTAATTTTGTTTCAAATGTCTTCAATTCCTTTTAAATATGAGATTATAACGATAGTTGGTAATGTTTTGGTTATTTTTAAGATGAAAAATTGTAACTTTAGGCTAAAAAATGTCCTTGAAAATCCTTGAATTTGATGTAAATTTATCCTTGAATATCCTTGAAAAAATGTTCTCAGGAAAGATTTGGGACATAACTTTGATTCTAATTGAGTGAGAGTAATATGTGCACGTTCACAAGAATCATCAACAAAATGATCCATAAAGCTGTTGACTATTTTGCTTCAAGTTCAATACCTCCGAGAATAATCAGGTTATTATTTCAGCTTTAAGAGCTCATTGAAAATTAATCACATGAAATGGGACCCTGGGCTTTTCCACTTATAAGACCCCTTCCAATCCTCCACTCTCACAGGAAGATGAAAATATGTTTTAAACGCATTTGAGTAATTTAATCTAGAGATGATGACAGACATGGGCGTACGAGCCGGGGGGGGGGGGGGAGCTAACCACCTAACTTTTGGGCAAGCTGACTTTTCAGGCAGACGGGTAAAGTGAAAAAAAAATTTTTTTTCATTTACTTGGCAAAATAAAGTCCCCGAAATCTAATAAAACACTAATTTTACGGGCTGGAATAGCAGGAAAATGCGTTTGCAGCTGTCAAATATTCCAAAATTTTCTTGGGGGGTCCATACAAGGTCACTTCCATTTCTTCGCTTCTCAAAGAAAACCGGCACTGCTCTCTGTAAAAAACTCAAAATTTTTTCGGGCATTTCTAGTTTTGATTCCCTTACTGTTATCGAGCCCTAATATAACACTAATTTTACTTTTCTTTTAATTGAATACCTCGAATTTGTACTGAGTTGTTGCCTGGAGCCACTCTACTTTGTGCGACATTTTCGGGCATCGATTATTATTTGTGAATGCAGCTGCAAGAGTCTGATTGGACGGTTGGAATTCAGAGTAAGGTAAGCTCCGCTCTCTTCGCCTCTCAATGAAGACCAGCGCTCTCTGCAAACCCAAATTTTTTTCTGCCATTTCGGGTTTGGCCCCCCTAACTGTCACCGAGCCTGTACGCCTATGATGACAGATGTTTAAGACTACGGTGCATGTAAGAAAAGCTTACAACAATGTCTTAAATATTCCATACCGTGTCCGAGGTCCCGTAATGAGGCCCTAGGCTTCAACCTGGTTAGATCTATTTGATAAGGCCAACTTCAAGTTTGGTCAAATATCATGAGCTGTAGACAGGGTTAACGTTAATCCCAACCCTAACCCTACCCTACAGTCTCGCCAACAATCATGTGCCCTTCTAACCATATTTAAAGGAGCTAAATCGCAAACATTTGGGACCTAGAAATTGACACAAGTGGGTCACAACGCATATAATACTGTAATATGAATGTATATAAACTGATTTACATTCACTGGTTTCCGTTTTTACTCCAATTTCAAATCAGTTATGTTCAGCGAAATAAGCCAGCAGTCTCAAGCAAGTGCAAATTTCTAGCACCTGGTTATTCCAGTCTACATACGCCGTTTGATTTGGTGCAATGTGTCTAGCCTCGTCCCTCGAGTCTCTTGATACAACTGGGGCTGAAGCGCATTATGGTACACGATTCGTGTACCAATGGTAAAATGTTTATTTTGTCTTTAATATTGGATATCAAAAGCCCATCTTTTTCCGGTAAGATCACAACATGAATGTTGATTTAATTTGACAAATAAATCGTGTTTTCAATGTTGAAGATTTGGGTGATATTGAGTTAGAGACTTAGCTACTTTAAATCTCGCCAAAAATTGAACTGGCCTTAACAAATAGATTTAGCTGCTTTAACCTGCCAAGCCTATAGGTAAATACTGGAACTGACCTCAAGTGATGGCAATTGAAGAGTCCAGGGGAAGACTGATCTAAGTCACAGTTTTGTCTTTTAGCATAAAATGCAAAACAGACTTTTGGACGAGAATGCTTGATGCGAACAGAACAACGAGTGGGTTTAATTACAACTTCAAAGTGATGTTTAATATGAATCATAATTACCAGTACAACAACTGACTTCCTCTTTTCAGTCAAATTAGGTCAAATAAATACGATGGACTTGTATTTGTCTGGGAGGCCATTTCAGAAGGGCCTTGGTTCGATGTGACTCCGATCGTTTTTACCTGAAATTGATTGTTCCACAGAAAGCTTATACAATTTGCTACCAGATGGCGCCAGTAACTGGGGTTCGTTGAAGAAGTGATTTAGATCGTTCTTCCCCGGGCTCTCAAATTGTATAGACCAGGCCATTCACAATTCAAGGGCAATAACTCTGAATAGTTGACAAATCTTGTTCAATTTTAAAATCTATTTGAGATAAAAAGAGAATATCAAGGAAAACACTTTCCAAATTTAACGTCCACTCGACACAAACTAGGTCATACTGTGACTAACATATGGTTCAATTTTATTTCAATAATTTTAGCAGTGGGCGGAAACCGGAGGACGCAGAGAAAACCCATGAGACTGGAAAGGCGACCCTACTCCTTGTCATGAATAACCGGGGAGTTGAAACCACGCCACTTGACTCAATGACAGACCTTATGATCAAACGCAGACATGTTAACCATTAGGTCCCCCCCCCCTCGAGCATCAAAAGAAATGAAATGAAATGAAATGGGGTTTAACGTCCTACTGTTCTGCTCCTATACTGGGCTAATGAAGACGGGCATACGCCATACAGTGTGCTATGAGGGAAATTTTGCCCGGGCAGCGGCACTACAGCCTACTCTTATATCGAATTCCAACTGCCAAGGAATCTTTTACATGCATTCTAATGTATACACGGGACCTCGTTTTTTTGTCTCATCAGAAGGACTAGACAGCTGTCCTTGTCAGTCGAGCATCAAAAGACATACTGGGTAGTAAGAAATCTTAGACCCCAACAATCATGCCATCGTGATAATTTAATTCAACGAAAGCATCGCTAACGCTGCAAGATACATCCACATTCCGGCTTTCATCGATATGGTACTTTTAAAAATGAAGAGAATGAAATATGAAATGGATGACTGTAATATGACAAGAGGAAAAGAAGGCCAGGAGTTGGGTTTGTTTTGCCAAATTTACAGGCTAAATATTAATAATGTGGGCGTATAAAAATTCTACGAGAAAAAAAAAAAACCAATTCCAAACCTTTAATCCATTTATTCCCAAATCTTTGGTGATAATATTATAATATTGCAAACATCAAATGGTGATAGAATAATATTTTATTAAATATACACTATGAAAGATTTAGTTAGACACAGAGCTAGCCATTGTTGCTATAATACCGCGAAAATAGATAAAGTAAAATGAATATATTGACAATTATATTCAAATTATTCCATTGTGAGTGAAGATATTAGCCTTTGAAGGTTAGACAAGATGTGTGCACTGTTTGTAACCAATGTACTGGTTCGAAACTTAGCCTTGCTTCTCCATTTTTAAATTAAATGAAAATATGGCTGAACTGTTAAAATCTACTTTATATTGGAGATATCCGTTGACATCGAGAGTTGAATATGGTCTGGATAAGTTAATTAATGTCTAATTAATAATTTAGAAGACATTTCAGGCCTAAAGAAAGACCTGCAACAGGCAGATTTAACTCTTGCATAATGTATGTTTAAAAGTTATGATTGATGAAATATATAAAATAATGGTGGAAAAACACAGGATAATGGCAGAAATAAAAATGTAATAAACTCCTCAAAACATTTATTTATAACAATAAACTGGGAGGGAGAACCCAGAGATTATCTATCAGGTATGGTAGGTGACCCTACTATCGTCACGTACAAGCTCAATGACAGATCTTATGATCTTAAATGCATGCGTTGAACCACTAGTTCATTTAAGGGTGGTGACATTATTCACTTAAAAAAATATTTGAATGTTTAAAATAATTTGAACAGTAAATGAAATGTTAGAAAATTTAACAAAGCAAAGAATGGTGACATACTGTTTAAAAAAGCTTTATGACAGTGTCAAAATATTATACGCAGTGGCCTGTGTTCTGTCTAAATCTTAAGGAGCTAGCTGCCAAAAGGCATGCTGTTCCAAAATTTTGCTTGTAGGAAATTTATATTTTGGGTTAACAGAGGCCAGAATTTGGTCACCAGAAGTCTTTGTCATCTTCGGGATACATAGGGTTAATAATAAAGCAAATCTCTAGGTAAATTCAGCACTGTATATGTTATTAATATTAAAGGACAATATTGGTGTCAGTCATTATCACATATGTCATAGAACTGGTTAAAGTTTAATGTTACTTTGGTCACTTCCATATTTTGAAATCTTCATTGCGCATCTATCGTAGCAATGATCTCTGTGTTAAAATTATATTTGGAATGTGTTTAACCAGTTCTATGTGATAATGACTGACACCCATATTGTACTTTAAACAAATTTACATATGTCCTTTTACAAATAAATGGTGGAATTAATTTATCACGAATTGAAAAAAAGGGTTCTTTATTTGATTAACATGTGTAATATAATGCGCCATGAATTTTGTGCACTGAAAGTGATGGAAAAATTTACAAATTTTTATTCCCTTAAATAACACGCACCCCTAGTTCAGGGTAGACTACCCAGTGGGAAAAAACTATGTGTTATACATGGGTGTTTACGGTGATATAATGCGTCGTGATTTTTTCTTCGTCACCATCTGTGACTAACATCGATCCAGAAGATAGAATTCTGTAAACTTTTAACATGATCCTGTAAAACTCTTAACATGTCCAATTTATCACTAATACTCTCATCAAAAACCAAGTTTTCTGAAATAAGAAGTAAAAACCCAATATATAGGAAATAAAAACTCAATAAATAGGAAAGAAGAACTCAATAAATAGGAAATAAAAGCCCAATATATAGGAAATAAAAACTCAATAAATAGGAAAAAAGAACTTAATAAATAGGAAATAAGAACTCAATAAATAGGAAATAAGAACTCAATAAATAGGAAATAAGAACTCAATAAATAGGAAAGAAGAACTCAATAAATAAGAAATAAAAACTCAATATATAGGAAATAAAAACTCAATAAATAGGAAAAAAGAACTTAATAAATAGGAAATAAGAACTCAATAAATAGGAAATAAGAACTCAATAAATAGGAAATAAAAACTCAATAAATAGGGAAAAAGAACTTAATAAATAGGAAATAAGAACTCAATAAATAGGAAATAAGAACTCAATAAATAGGAAATAAAAACTCAATAAATAGGGAAAAAGAACTTAATAAATAGGAAATAAGAACTCAATAAATAGGAAATAAAAACTCAATAATTAGGGAAAAAGAATTTAATACATAGGAGATAAAAATACAGAAAATAAGAACTATATATAGAGAATAAATGAAATGAAATGAAATGAAATGGGGTTTAACGTCCTACTGTTCTGCTCCTAACTGGGCTAATGAAGACAGGCATACACCATACAGTGTGCTATGAGGGAAATTTCGCCCGGACAGCTGCACTACGGCCTACTCTTATATCGAATTTCAACTGTCAAGGGATCTTTTAAAAATGCCAATGTGTACATGGGACCTCGGTTTTTGTCCCATCTGAACGACTAGACAGCGGTCCTTGTCAGGCCCTCTGTCCTGCATCACTGACAAGGGGGAACCACGTCGGAAAATCTGGATGAACTTTCTCTGTCAATGCAGGGATCGAACACCCGACCTCCAGGCTAACGAGCCTCCGTCTTACCCACTTAGCCACCATGACCCCATAGGAAATAAGAACTCAATAAATAGGAAAAAAAAGAAATAAGAACTCAATAAACAGGAAATAAGAACTCATTATATAGGAAATAAAAACTCAATACATATGTAATAAGTTATTTGCCCGCCTTGCCCTCCGTCCAGCACCACTGAAACAGGGAAACCAGGTCAGAAAGAAGACATGCCCCATACAGTGTGCTGACCTAATGGCCACATGCACCATGGAGTGTGCTGAGCTAACAACCACCACAGAGTGTGCTATGCGAGAAATTTTGCACAGCACCTCAATTTTCCGGCCAACCCGAACAACTAATTACTGTTCTTGCTATGCCTTCCATCCGGCAAAACTGACAGGGGGGAAATCAACCTGGAAAATCCCAGAGAATTTTCTCGGGGGACACAGGGATCAAATCAAACCCATGACCTGGTTAGCAAGCAAGCGCCTTCAGCACTGTGGCTCTCATCTTTATAAGAAATGAAGAAGATGAATTCACTCACTGCTGTTCCTTTCTGTTACCAGATTATCTTTATAGTCACTCACATCAAAGTTTTTTATTATATCTTTACCAAATATTCTCCTGAAAATATCATCACAATTAAAATACAACGACCAAATAAATATGATTTATTCTCCCTATCCTTATTGCATCCAATCTGATTACAACACAGATCCTATTTCGTTTCATTCTTTTATAGTTCAAAATTTCGTTTTACTTGTCTTTACTACACTAGGATCTGGAAGAGTTGTTATATTACCGGTGTTTTGGTTGAAGTGAGGGATTAGCCCATGAAACAGTCTGTTACAGCGACTTCTTGGTGTTAAATGCACGGAACTGTGGGTAAACCACTAGAAACGTCTACGCTGATTGATTAATCAATGTCTGACGCCGCTTGTACGACCCCCGAGGCGACCTTGTACTATAACCAGTCAGATCTTCATGTAGTGTAGGCCATCGAAAGTATAAAAAAACGAAAGGAAATATACATCTGTATTTTAATCAAATTGAAAATTTCTAATATTTTGTTGACATTTCCGTATTTGCCTGACTTCAATCCGATTTATATTCATCATTTACGATTTTAACATTAATTTCTTGTAGACTACACAAAAAATATTTTAAAGTTAAACTTACTCAAGATGATTCTTCTTGTCTGATTTAACATTAATAACGATAAATCGATTAAGGTCACAATCACTGACAGATAAAGACGAACCAAAGATTACATGTTTATCCTGTTCAAAATAAATAAATATATATAAGATGTGTGTGAGAGAGAGAGAGAGAGTGAGAGAGAGAGAGAGTTTAACCACCACTGACACAAACTAGGTTATTTGGGCGGACAGGAGAAAAACCATGAAGTTGAACAGGTGACCCTACTACTTGTCAGGTACAACTGGGGGAATCGAAACCACAACAGTTGACTCAATGACAGACTTTATGAGAGAGAGAGAGAGAGAGAGAGAGAGAGAGATAGACAGAGAGACAGACGCAGAGACAGACATACAGAGAGTATTCATATTCTGAAATTCTTAAATTGGCAAAATTCATTAAAATTCAAATATTAATGTGACATTGTGCCCATGATATTGAAAATATTTCAAAGTTTCTGTGAATATATATAAATACGCACAGATGGAGTAAATTCTGTTAAAACAAATTTTCCCTGAATTATTCTGTAACTCTGCTATATACAACTATGCATAAATTTTCAATCAAATATCTCTAGAAAAATTATCAAGATAACAAAAATGACAGATAAACGAATAATCATGGCTATTTATTGGTGTATAGAGTTCTAAAGAGACCAGCTATATGTAAGCACAATTTTAATAGAAGCATGAAACTCTAATAGGCTATAGTTAATAGGCTGATAAGCTTGGATTAAATATACAGAGTTGCAGTCAAGGTTTTCTTCAGATTATCTCCCTTTAGTCTTGAGACTACATTACCTCCCTTTTTCAAGATCTCCCTTTAGTCTTCAGACTTTGGGGATGCTTGATAGTCGGTCAGGAAAGTTCTGATTGACAAAATTACAAATGAGTCGGTTGGAATTCAGTCCTGTCACAGTTTTGTCAGTCCTGACAAGTGAGGTGGTGTGAGTAGAATCGTGACGTAATTAAACACAACAAATATGTTTCAGCTGTCATTTGGTTGGTTGAGATATTATCTTCTGCATTCGACATAAGTGTTGTTTTGCGTGAAATCCCCCTTTCACGCGATTGTCATTATTTTGGGGATTGAGAGAATTCAATTCTGGAACGTTCAGTCGAATATCCCTTTATTAACTCCCTTAAGTCTTTAGATCAAAACAACTCCATGTAAAACAGTTCCAACATTACATTTTGAGACGTGTATTGCCGAATATTACAGACAACTAAGGTCACGCTGCCATGATGTAATCCATGTGCCTTTGTCTATCTTTGTTTATCCAATGAAATTGTCAGTTTTATCTTACATTATCATGTTTTCAAATCTTAAAATAGAACGTTCCATTTAGTCTGAACAAACAAAATACTGCTAGTGAAAAATATCACATAATCTTCAATCAGACAATTCCAGAGTTTATATAGGCTAAGCCTGCTCCCCATTTTCAACAGAAGCATTAAATATCTGGAGTAAGTGGTGTTTTTTTTTTAGGAGAAGATTGCTCTTTTCAAAAGAAACATTCTCTGGAGCCTGGCCTGTAGGAGGCTGCGAGGATCGACAGATTGATAATAGGAAATTGGTAGAGTAGCTGTATTGTTTACATTAAATAAACCATATCTGTATTTAGGATGTCTGAATGGTATTGGGGAGCAGGCTTAGCCTATGTAAAACCCTTCTAGTAAATCATTAACACAGGGTTCCCGCAGCTTCGTCAAACATTTTTTCAAGGATATTCAAGGATAAATATACGTCAAATTCAAGGATTTTCAAGGACATTTCTTAGCCTAAAGTTACAATTTTTCATCTTAAAAATAACCAAAACATTACCAACTATCTTTATAATCTCATATTTAAAAGGAATTGAAGACATTTGAAACAAAATTAAGGATCTCAACTGAAATTCAAGGATATTTTCCTATTTCCGTGAAATTCAAGGATATTCAAGACCTTGAAAATGAAATTTTAAATTTAAGGATATTCAAGGATTTTCAAGGACCGCGGGAACCCTGTAACAGTACCCTGTCACCTTAATATTTTTCATAAAACAGAGTGAGAGATGGGGTGTAACTCAAAACAAACTAGGTCATTTCGGGACTAACATATGGTTCAATTTTATTTCAATAATTTGCTTGGGAGGAAACCGGAGGACTCGGAGAAAACCCACGAGGTTGGACAGGCGACCCTATTCCTTGTCACATACAATCGAGGAATCAAAACTACGCCAGTTGACTCAATGATAAACCTTATGATACAGCGCACATGTGCTAACCATTTGGCCATCCAATCCCCTTTCATAAGAATAACATTTTTTTTCTTTTATTTCTTATAATAGACAAAAAAAAGAATGATTTTATAAAGATATGGAGACATATTATCACTATGGTAACTGAAATAAGCCAGCGACAGAAATACAGAAATAGACGTGTATTGATAGATTTCTAAAACAAGCTATAGCCACCATTTGTAATAACAAACGGTATTCTAGTTAAATATACCTCTCGAATCATTTCAGACCATTTTTTCCTTCCTAAATAAACATAATAAAATAATCATTTTTATTCTCCATCACTGATTTAGCAAACTGAAATTTAACGGTTGTCTTTGAACAACAAATCTACCCAGCCATGTTTATCAAAAGTATAATTACAACACGTTGTTTGTAAACGTTTTTCAGGCCCTTTGTCTGCAACATAAATTAAGCTGGAAAACACATACATTAGAGAGGTTTCGCATCTTTTTGTGACATATGTGACCCACTCCTACGAAACCAGGCACTTGTCGCACAACTTCAGTTTGTACTACGGGCACAAAAACATAAACCGTATACCAAATGATACGATAAATTTAGAAAGAATTGTATTTTTGGAAAGCTTAGGCTGTGGAATATTCAATCTGCTGCCAGCTCTATTTTTATGAAAATGACCAAGAACCTGGTTTTGTGGGAGCTGGTCACATATGACGTGAAGCGCACGTCATAAAAGTTCACAACACTTAGCTAAATCTTGTTTAATTTATATGATCCGGTCCATAATTTTTCTCTGAATCATGGTTTTTACGGACTAAATCCACAGAGCAGACCTTCTCCTTCATGAAGACAAAATAACAATAGGCTGAGACAAATCGTACATGCTTTACTAATCTCATCTTCAATGTTCTATCCGTGAGGTAGGCCTATCGAAATCGTGGACCTAGTTTGTGTCGCCACCTACTAACTGTAAGTGTGAAACCTCTCTAATGTCCAGTGTATGATCAGGATCAATAACTTTAATAATGGTGCATGCTTTAAAATATTAAAGGCAAATTGTTTTTACGTTTTTTTTAACCCTTTTTAAACCCTGGCATATATACTGTAAATCACCCTCCTGACCTCTGGGCCAAAATTTGACAATTTTCAGTTACAAAAATACAAAGTTGGTAATCACCGGAAGTGCCAATAAAGGTGATATTCTGCAAGTATGGATCATGTATTTCCAGGAAAAATAGTTCTAAAGTATACATATAAATGTAATATGATTTTTGAAGGCAATATTTGTCATCATAGTATCACAGTTCACAAATAAAATAAAACCAAGTCCAAAATTATTTCCATTATCATCGCCAACTTTCACATAGAAAGTAAGTCACTATCGTTGCCATAATCAACATTATTAAAATATTTGTCACCATTCTCAAGTATCCTTATCTTCTGTTACATGTCTGTTACATGTCTGTTACATGTCTGTTTGCCATTCAAGGAATATTTGTGTTGTGTCTGCAAGTGAAGAAGGGAAAGCCCTCACTGCCGACGACACATTGTAACACATGTTTTGATTGGTCTAGATTTGATCGAATTCCAGTGGATCCCCAAGGGAAGCAGGGAAAGCCCCTCACTATACAAAACACGTGCTAGAGTGGAATTCCTAAAGTGTCATGCTTTCCCGGGATATAGACGTTATTATCTTAGCAAGAAATTGGCCAGTCGGGTTTAAAGAGTTAATACAACAATTTTCTTTTATATAAATAACAGCAGATCCATAGACTTACAGGAACTGTCTTTTACGAATTCAGACTAAAATTAGACAAAAATGTGAACACAGAATTATGTTAACAGTGCCTGATATAAATATGAATACATACTGATGACTTTAGCCCAATCTGATGCTGTTAACTTCAAGGTATCCAAGATGGCTGAAACAAGCACGTCAGGTCCTCGAATCGAAATCGGCAAAAGTGTGCACGCTACAAAATAAAATGATTAAAATACAAACCTATATTTCGTTTTGTTTTTTATACTTTCTATGGCCTCTACTATATGAAGTTCTGACCGGTTGTAGTGGAAGGTGATGTCGGGGGTCGTACGAGTGGCTTTTGACCCTATAATATCAGACATTTGATTAACGGTTAGTACGTGCACGCTGTCATTGAGTCAACTGGCGTGGTTTCGATTCCCAGCGTCGTCTGTCCAACCTTGTGGGTTTTCTCCGGGTCCTCCAGTTTCCTCCCACTGCTAACGACCCCTATGGGCAAGCAAATCATTTAAATAAAATTGAACCACCCAAACCCGCTTTGAAATAAGACCCAAGTGACATGTTCATTACCTCTCATCGGCATGACGACAGTATAAGGTGAACTGTAACCTGGTTTACCTGTAAAAATAAAACATTCAAAAATTTATATACTCATTAATTTTTTTTTAGTCTTTTCTTTGAAATGAAATGAAATGTGTTATAAATGAAATGAAATGAAATGGGGTTTAACTTCCTACTGTTCTGCTCCTATACTGGGCTAATGAAGACGGGCATACGCCATACAGTGTGCTAAGAGGGAAATTTTGCCCTGGCAGCGGCACTATGGCCTCCCTTATATCGAATTCCAACTGCCAAGGGATCTTTTCATGAGTCTTTTCTTTGAATATTTCATAACAACAATTCTTTAATTCTCAAACAAATACTGATTTCCTACAAAATACAATGATTCCTTCAAATACACTGATTTCCTACAAATACACTGATTTCCTACAAAATACACTGATTTCCTTCAAATACACTGATTTCCTTCAAATACACTGATTTACTACAAATACACTGATTTCCTTCAAATACACTGATTTCCTTCAAATACACTGAAATCCGTCTTATAACTCCATTATAAAATCAGTATTACATAGAAATTAATACACTTTTCTTTTCTTGGTTCAAAACAATTTTATATTTCTGTAACTATATGAAATAAAATGGGGTTTAACATCCTACTTTTCTGCACCTACTGGTCTAATTTAAACAGGCATACATAATGTTCTATGAAAGAAATATTTCCCTGACATGCGGTGCTATAGTTTAGTCTTTTTTTAGGGGATCTTTGAGATGCTGCCAATGTTATATGGTACAAAAGCCCTGGGGTGTTCATCCCATTGAAACGACTACACATTTTCCTCAACAGACTTTCCATCCTGCAACACTCACATGGGAAATCAAACTGGAAAATCACAAGGAACTGTCTTAAGCGGTGGACACACTAGCCGAATGATTCGGCTGAATCGTTCGGCCGAATCAATCGGCGTCGAAATTCGCCTAGTGTGTCCACTGTCATTCGGCCGAATGATTCGCCCGAATCAAACAGGTTTGATATATTCGGCCAAATTATATTCGCCTGGTGTGTCCGCTTCGCCGAAGCATTCGGCCGAATATAGAATTCATTAGTCAATCACCACTCATATCGAGAAGTCACGTGATAGTTTGAAGACATAGACGCCGCCATGTTTAATCATGTGACGTGAAAGGTGATGCAATCGACAGGTTGAATCGGGCGAAGCATTCGGCTAGTGTGTCCACCCATTCGGCCGAATGAAATTCGGCGCCAATTGATTCGGCCGAACGATTCGGCTAATGTGTCCACTGCTTTAGTCATCACTAGGATTGAAACCTTGACTTACTGGTCAGTGAACCAGTGCCATGCCAACCGAATCACCATGGTTCCCAGACGATCAGGAACAATTTGTTCAGACAATATTGACATAATAACTAACTTTGTTAAAACTTAACTACAAAGAATTTTTGAAACATTCAAGGTTTAGAAAATTCTTACCATCTCTCATCCTGAAAGCGCCATTTCTTTGTAATGGTGCTGCTCTTGGTACTGCTGCAGTCTGTGAATCAGATTTAGAACTAGGTTGCATTAACTTCTTAGCTCTAGAAAATTTAAGTTCAATTATTGTTTAAGACTCCATGTGCCATTTGCATTATCGCTAAAATATTAAAATTTCTCATGGCTTAATCCACCCTCAATATCTACGGTACTCAAATTGATTATTTAATATTTAATTATGAAAACAAAATTAAAACACCAATGCTAATTAATCTCCCAGTTTGGATTAAAACTAGGTCCAACAGAAGTAAGGACAAAGGGAAGCTTGTACTTACTCTTCCATATTTGGAATACAGCCACCAACTTTCATCAATCTACCTGACTTCTGATCAGTTTTCACGGCATACCAATGTTCATTTCCTTTCATTTCTTGAACAAAAACGACCTCACCATCCACCAACGGTAAATATTCCGTTCCTTTATATTCAATATTGGTTCTAACAGAGTAAAAAGATACGATATGACAAGCTTAAAACTAATTTGTAAATTAAACATATTAAAAACATCACAAGCTTAACTAATTTGTAAAATAAACGTGTTAAAAACATCACAAATTTCTTATTTTATTTGGGTATGCATATTAGACTGTAAACAGTTCATAGACAGTTCATATTATTAATGTTGCCTTTCATTTGTAGTTCACACAAAACCATGCCAATGCTTAAGACTGTAATATTATATCAATAAAACGTTTTACCGTCAAGATCTGGTCACAGTAATTACATTTCCCCGATTTAGATATTGGTTTGGCAGGCTGAAGCCAAGGGCCTAAAGATCCAGGGGTCTCTCGACGAGGTATATCTTATTTTTGTCACTGTCAGGAGCCTTTCTTACATGCACTGTAGTCTTATACATACATCATCGTACTCAGATTTTCTTCATTGTGTTTAAAAGGAATTGGGAGGGGCCTCATAAGTGGACTAGCCAAGAGTCTCTCTTCATTTATATCCGGCACTGCCTGGTCAGAATCCCTTTGTTTGTAAATTTGTATAACTGACAGTAGGCGAGAACTGGCTGTTAATTATAAACGGTTGCTAAGGTAAATATACAAGTAGCCTCTTTTCACAGAAGGTCATAGGTTTAGGACATCCTACAAGAAGCAATCACATAATGGTGACACTTGTCAATCAATTAGGGAAACCTTCTACCCAGATTTGAGATTTGATTTCTACTGTTCTGATCCTGTGCATACCCCCCCCACCCTTCACCCCCAAAAATCAACCCCCAGACCCCCCCCCCCCACAAAAAAAACCCCAACAAAACAATGAACAGCCTAAATGGGGTTTAACGGCCTACTGTTCTGCTCCGAACTGGGCTAATGAAGACGGGCATACGCCATACATTGTGCTATGAGGAAAATTTTGCCCTGACAGCGGCACTACGGTCTACGGCCTACTTTTATATCGAATTCCAACTGTCAAGGGATCTTTTATGTGTACGCAAATATGTACACAGGGCCTTGGTTTCCCATCTGATCAACTATACATTATCCCTTACATTGTTTATAATTTATGATTATTTTACCTGATGTAAAATTTACCCTGGTCTAAAAATTGTTTTTTGGATTTTGCACCTGTAAATACAAGAAATAATGGTTTACTGGAAGAGTTTAAAGGTCACCGGAAAAGCTTCAATTTTTTTTTTAAATAATGCAAGTAATTATGTCAACATTTCCTGTCCATCCTGTCCATAGGTATAACATGAACCCCAATGTCAATAGTACCTGCAACAGGTAAATTTCAATTTTAGTAATTTCCGCAGTCCTCCATGAGTAGTCGTAACTTTCCGTCAATAAACAATCCATGACGTAATTTGAGTCCTTCTGCTCATATTCTAGTCTATATATCTGTGAGCAGAAGGACTAAAACCAACTGGTTTATGTTGGCCCCCATTACAGTGAAGAATTATGTGACATGATAAAACGGAACTAGCTTACTTCATCTTTCCCTACACACCACGTATACATCATTTTCCTCCTTCGAGTTAAATCATTATTTTTAAGTGGATTAAACGATTAATTCTATTTATTTTCAAATAAAATTAGGTCAGATTTTTTCTTTCCAATCTTGGCCGATTTAGATCATTATATTTTTAAGTGGATGAATTCTATCTATTTTCAAAAAAATTATGTCAGATTTTTTCTTTCAAATCATGGCCGATTGGCCCCTGACACCTCTGGGCCGTTTCTTTCGACAGCGGGATTCGAACCAGTCGAGAGTACTGTTGACCCCTCCCCCATCCCCGCGAACACCTCAATCTTCCATTTGTCTGCTTCTATAGAAAGATGAAAAGAACTCTTGTTACCATATTTACCTGGTACAATATACACGGTTACAATATCTGGTTTTGATTCAATACACTTCTGTACAGCCTTATTAGCCTCGTCTAATGTCATGCCATTTAATACCTGCTCGATATCCTCCCCTTTTACACGATATTTTATCTGTTAATATAAATACGAGATAAATAAAACACGACTGTTTAGAATTTACCAATCTGATTAAAATACAGATCTCTACTACCTGAAGTTCTGACCAGTTGTAGTGGAAGGTTGTGTCGGGGGTCATACAAGCAGCTTTTGACCCTATGACGTCAGACATTTGATTAACCAATCAGCATTGATGTTTCTAGTGGGTTACCCACAGTAGTTCCGTGCACCTCACGCCGTCGTAACATACCGTTTTATTGGCTAATCCCTCACATCAGCCAGAATGTGGGTTATATAACAACTCTTCCAGATCCTAGTGTAGTAAAGACAAGTAAAACGAAATTTTGAACTATAAAATAGGATCTGTTTGTTAATCAGATTGAGAATTTACCACACTGTTATTGTTCATTTAATGCAGCTTCAATTGGTATCAGAAAGAGAGAGAGATGAGGTTTAACGTCCATGACACAAACTATCTCTTCTTGCGACTAACATATGGTTCAAATTTCATTTCAATAACTCGCTTGCGAATAGGGGTCTTTAGCTGTGGGAGGAAACCGGAGGACCCAGAGAAAACCCGCTAGGTTGGACAGGCGACGCTACTTCTTGTCACGCACAAGAGGAGAATCGAAACCACGCCACTTGACTCAATGACAGTCCTTTTGATCTAAAGTGCACACGTTAGATTACCAAACAACCGAACCTCTGATAAACAGATGTCTTAATATAATATTCAAGAATGGAACAAAATTGATCAATTATTTTAAGGCGAGGGAGAAAAACCTCCCCTTGGTCGACATTCAGGTGCTCGGCACCTCAAAAAACATTGACCGAGAATGCAATATAAAAAAAAACATTGGTTTTAAATATGAGCGTATATTGAGAACTAAATAAAACAAGATGACTAGTCATCACCCTCCCGTGCCCTTGAACTTGTTTGGAAGGCATAAGGAAAAACAATTTCTTGGAATATCAATGGGAGTAGTACGAAGATTCATCTGGGACGGACGGACCCCATTTCAACATCCCTCCCTAACTTCATTCGGCACGGGATAATAACTGACCTGTACGATGATGTCTCCTATTGAGATATTAGCGTCGTCTATTTGTAAATTCATCACTTCTATCTGATCACCGTTACATGTTAGTTTGACGGAGTTTAACGTATTAACACTTAATAGTACTGGATGTTCTTTCTCATACCTTTAAAATATATTAATATTATATATAATAGTACTTGATGTTCTTTCTCATACTTTTAAAATATAAAATAAAATATATAAAATACGGCCCTGGTTCTCATACAATGTTCTCAGACAATCTTTACCAAAAATCTGATGAGGGAGAGAAGTTTTTATTTTTGTGTTTTTTATTTTGTCAAAGGAAAATTTGGCTAAATGTTGTTTATAGGAAGGTTTGATTATCCAGTATTATTTATGTAGTCAGTAACATTTATGAGGGTGGTGTACTTGATAAATGAGTCTATGACATATTTCTCGATTCATTAGTTTTTTTTTTACAGAGCTGCTTCCTGTAATTTGGGGTAAACATTAACGTGCCATGATTAAGGAGATTGTTTTTATTTTTAAATTTTAAAATAAAAACGGGTCTGGCAGCCCTTTTTAAGAGTATCCAAGAACCAGAATATAATGGGCAAGCGACCGTACAATCTTCGGATCGAAACCATGTCACATGACTCAATGACTGACCTTATAATCTAAAGTGAATGCGCCATGATTTCAACCACTCAACCCATAATGAAAAAAAGATAAAGTGGGTGACAGATCAAAATCATCTGCAGGAATAAAAACACAGTCTAATCAAAATTATACCCACATTCCTTTTGGGGGATGTGCAGGGCGGGGGGGGGGGGGTATTTGAACGTGTATATCACATAATAGCTGAATGTTAATTACACTTTTAATATTCTAGCTGGTGAATTAGGAACAAGTATATCATCTATTTCAAAATATTCTGGTAAACTTGATTCTTGTGATGAGATGGATGATCGACTCATTGAATGCATCAAGTTGGTTCCTGAAAATATAGTCAAATATAAAATGACAGGGTGTTTAGCGTCCTACTTTCCTGCACCGACTGGGATAATGATGAGGGGCATATGAGGTAAATTTTGCCCGGACAGTGGCACTATATCCTACTCTTATACATGTATAAGTTTTACTTTTGCTTTTAGGGTTAATTCTACACAAGTACGCTTACTACGGGGTTTTTCCATTACGCAGGTGAAGGTCGAATAAGAAATAATACACTTGACAAAATTTACTCGTACATACAGATGAAGGCCGAATAAGAAATGATAATCTACAAAATTTACTCATATAAATAGCAAATAAATGATTAGTTTTAATCACCTAATCGTTATTAATTTCTTTGTTTAAATTAAACACCCAATGAGAAATTCCATTGTTTAAAAAACGAAACCAACAAAGAAAGATTAGCGGCTTGTTAAATGGCTGCGATGAAATCAATCAACCACAAATGCTTGATTGCTTTGATCTTGGTCATTAGATTGACTAATCCTTGTCAGTGGTCGTTATTGCTTTGATCTCGGTCGCGGGCTTACTAATCCCAATCAGTGGTCGTTATCGCGAGTCACAAAAACAATGAATTTGACTGATTGGGACTGGCTTCGGTGGTCGTAATCCGTAATAGTGAGTTGCCCATATTACTGAGTTCAATTTATAAGGAATATAGAAGAAATAAATTGGTTCTTTTAATATGTGGTCGTATACGTGAGTTGCACGTAATACTGAGTTGGTCATTAAGCGGGATTTCACTGTATATCGAATTCTAACTGTCACGGGTTCTTTTAAGTGCGGGGGGTTGGATAGCTGAATGGTTAGCGTGCACGCGCTGTATCATAAAGTCTGTCATTGAGTCGACTGGCGTGGTTTCGAATCCCCTGTTGTACGTGGCAAGGAGTAGGGTCGTTTGTCCAACCTCGTGGTTTCCTCCCACTGCTGAAAGACCCCTACGCGCAAGCGAATTATGTAAATAAAATTAAACCATATGTTAGTCTCGAAATGACCTAGTTTGTGTCGAGTGGACACTATCGCCTACTCTTATATCGAATTCCAACTGCCAAGGGATCTTTTACGTGCATTCCAATGTTTACACGGGACCTCAGTTTTTTGTCTCATCTGAAGGACTAGACAGCTGTCCTTGTCAGGCCCTCTGTCCTGCATCACTGAAAAGGGGAAACCACGTCGGAAAACCGGGGCACGAAATGGGGGTACTAAATTAATTATTCTTACTGTTTAGATAGGCTTATCTAAAGGGAACTAATAGTAGGGTGGTCCACAGGAGCTTACCAGTTCATTCAGTAAGAGCGATCACGATCAAGAGCGAAATGACACTACTAAGATTTACTTTATAATGAGATTCATGATGGCATCAAGCAAACTTCAATCGAAACAGTGCATCTAACAGGTGTCACATGACCTCACACGACAAGAGATATATATCCAAGTAGTCCTACAGCTAGTAAAACCAGCGGATGCCAGGTAGGATACGCCCACATTTTGCAAGAGATGGATAGAGAACAAGCTTAAAAAAAGTGATTTTTTTGTACAATCAAGGGCCATAATTCATAAAGATATGCACGAATATCAAAAAGAACCAAGATCTTTGGGTTATAAACAGGCATTTCAAGTTTCATCAAAATCAGATGAAAATTGTGACCTCTAATGTGTCCACAAGCTAAAAACGTGATTTTTCGAAAAATCAGGGGGCCATAATCCATGAAGTTATGGTCCGATACATGCCAATATCGAAAGGAACAGAGATCTGTGGGGGGTAGACCTATATTTTAAGTTTTGTCAAAATCGAATAAAAATTGTGACCTGTACAGTGTTCACAAACAAATTGTGGACAGGGGTGACGACAATATACGTAAAAAAATCCAACATATAAATAGGCCTACTTTGAAAATCAGTGTAGATTTCATCTTCTTCATCTCCGTTGTCACCGCAGTCGTACGGATAACCCAATTGTGCTATGGTTGAGTCTGATTTCTCCAGACTTTTCTTTTTAATCTCTGGTGCAGGCCTGGCTTTGATTGTGTCTCGTGTAGGTTCCTTATCATATTCACAATAATCACTAGTATATTGTTCGGTATTTATAGAACAGGGGGCTGGTGCTGGTAATGTTGAGGACTTTTGTTGCGCTATAGAAGAAATAATAATAATAATAATATAAATCCAAGAAATTCCTATATAGCAAAAGGCACAACTTCTGTAATAGGTTGATGTGTGTACAAGTTTCAAAAAGATATCTTGAGCGGTTTATGAGACACACGGACGGAGCCCATTTCAATATTCCTCCCTAACTTTGTTTGGTGTAGGATAATAAATACATTATGTTTTATCACCATGGTGATATTGTGTGTTTAAAGATATCATGTTTTATCACCATGGTGATATTGTGTGTTTAAAGATACCATGTTTTATCACCATGGTGACATTGTGTGTTTAAAGATATCATGTTTTATCACCATGGTGATATTGTGTGTTTAAAGATATCATGTTTTATCACGATTGAGCATTTTGAAGGATGGGCAAGTCTGAATTTTGATATCTTTCTCCTCATGATTAAAAAAAAAAAAAATCTAAAATTCTGACTCTACAAAATACCTGTGATTATAGTGTTACTTTGTTATGGTTCCCCTTGGGACTAGGCCTAAGCTAAGCATGTTTGAAAACCTCTGGCATGTACGTGTTTACTTTAAAAAAAAGTCTAGCCGGTACAGTGTTTACTTGAAAAAACTCTGGCCTGTAGAGTGTTTACTTAAAAAACGCTCTGGCCTGTACAATGTTTACTTTAAAAAAAACACTCCGGCCTGTACAGAGAGAGAGAGAAATGGGGTTTAACGTCCACTCGACACAAACTAGGTCATTTCAGGACTAACATATGGTTTAATTTTATTTACATAATTCGCTTGCGTGTAGGGGTCTTTGGCAGTGGGAGGAAACCGGAGGACCCGGAGAAAACCCACGAGGTTGTACAGGTGACCCTACTCCTTGTCACGTACAACCGGGGATTCGAAACCATGCCTGTCGACTCAATGACAGACTTTATGATACAGCGCGCGCACGCTAACCATTCAGCCATCCCCCCCCCCCCCCCCCCGGGGTGTGTACAGGATGTATAAAAGTAGGATATAACAGTTACTTACTAATTGTGTAGTTTCTTAACGAACTTGATGTTAGTTCATCAACAGCACTAGGAGGTAGAACAGGCTTCTTCTTTTTCTGTTGTCTATACGTATTCAGTCGTTCCCTCTAAAGTGATAAAATAAATGAGTTTATCTTTCATTTACCTTAACGAAATGAAATGAGGTTTAACGTCCTACTTTTCTGGACCAACTGGGTTAATGGAGAACATGAACACACACCACACAGTGTGCTACAAGGGAAATTTTGCCTGCACAAGGGGCGTTACAGCCTACTCTTGTATCTTATTTTGCACCATCTTAATGACTATAAATTTCCACTTGTCCGGTCCTCTTGTCCTGCGTCACTGACAAGGGGAGACCAATGATGTAAAAACCTGATGAACTTTCACAACCAAAAATGGGATAGAACACAGGACCGCCCGATTAGCGAGCCATCATCTTACTCACAGAGCCAAGGCGACTCACCTTGTCAATATAAAGTTGCTCAATCTCATACTTAAAATAGAAATTGATAGTACAAGGGATGTCACATGAAGGGTTAAAAATAGAATTTTAGAAATTTAGCGTTCCCTTTTCAATAAAAATGAGAAAACAAAAATTGAAAAACAGCATCCATTTTCTTGAAAAGCTAAATTAACATAAAAAAAAAGTTGCTGGTGCTTATATATTTCGTTTCGTTTTTTTTATACTTTCGATGGCCTACACTACAAGAAGATCTGACCGGATGTACTGGAAGGTTGCGTGAGGGGTCATACAGGCAGCTTTTGACCCTATGACGTCAGACATTTGATTAACCAAACATCATTGATGTTTCTAGTGGATTACCCACAGTTCCGTGCACCACACGCCAAAAGCTCGCTGTAACAGACCGTTTCATTGGCTAATCCCTCACATCATCCAGAACATGTCAAAGGTAACAATTCCTCCAGATCCTAGTGTAGTAAAGACAAGTAAAATGAAATTTTGAACTATAAAAAATACGAAAGAAATAAGATCTGTGTTTTAATGAGATTGCGTAAGTTGATGAAAGATATTAACTGGTTAATGTGATGTAAAGCTTATTATTATTAAACTAAACATGCGTTATATAACAGCTAAATCTGCCTATTGCAGGTGTTTATTTTGGCTTCAAATGTTATATCACATACTAATTCATTAGCGTGTATCTAGTCTCTATCATGCAAAATATAGGTTACTAGGCAACAAAACATCACAGCAGCTAAATCATCCAAGCCTTTAATAAAAGTTGCTGCATAAGTAAGTAAGTAAGTAAATTTTATTGCATAAAAACGCCCACGAGGAGCAGCATACAATTACAAAAATTACATAAATACAATACAACAAATATACATGTAACAATTAAACGAACATTAATACAATGCAATGCAAATAACGAATGTATTATATGTATATAAAGCTAGAAATCAATTAAATAGCAGGGGGGGGGGGGGGGTAATAGGCATGTGCTTCCTTTAGGACTCTTTTGTTTCGGAGTTAAATTATGTTATTTATTGTAAATAAGGTAGAAGGTGTAGCAGATAATGCATCACTCTCGGTTTTTGTAAGCATGAAAGACAAAAGAGCGCACAAATTTTGCAACTGGTGAGGTTGGGTCAAACATGACATCGAAGGGGAATGGTAGACTGTTGGCGTATAAGGCAGGGTACAAAATATTATTTCGAATGGTTTCATGTTTTGTACATTCCATTAGAAAATGAAACTCATCCTCCACAATATTGTTAGAGCAGTGTCTACAAATTCTGTATCTTTTGGCAATGTTATGGTACCGACCTCTCTCTATTTGAAGTTGGTGAGAGCTAAGGCGGAGGGATGTCACTGAACATTTATACTGTTTGTTAGATACGGACAGGAGATATGCTGGCGGTTTTGAAATTCTTGTCATAAAACTGCTGTATGTTCTAAGTTTTGGCTATGGCTGGTATAGTTATCTTTTATATTACAGGTATTTAAATAAAATGAGTTGAATTTAGATTCTAACAAGGATTTTATATTATATTTGGAAAGATTATTGATATTAATGTCATACTCATTTATTATTTTAAGGATCGCGGCAGACCAGGAAAGTTTGGGTACTTTTAGCGCAATTTTAACATCTTCATCAAATGGTGCAGTCAAGATAGTGTGGGAATGAGATGGATTAGATTTTAGATCATTCAGTCGTTTATAATATAACAACATTTTTTGGTACACAGTGAAGTGAAGAGGGAAAAGTCCAAGTTCAGACAGGCAGTCAATATTTGAAGTTTTAGGGAGCTGCATTAAGATTGATTTCGCTTTTTTCTTTGTTATTGAATTTAATTCAATTTTGTTCCAGTTTTTTGTGGTATTGTTCTTGCTATGAGCAATTTGAGATCCCCAGAGTTCCGAGGCATATGAAGCGATGGGTTTAACAATTGCTTCATATACTATCAGTAAAATTTCAGTTGGTAAATCATCACTGCCACAAATTTTATTGCGTAAACTGAACCAGGCACTTCTTGCTTTATGTGAGCCATTATTTGTAAAATTGACACCTAAATATTGGTATGAAGAGACATGATCTATTTTGCTATTTCCAATATTAAAATTAATGACAGTTTTACTTTTATTACATTTTTTGTTAGAAATGAGCATAGCTTTAGATTTTTGAAGATTAACATTTAACTTCCAATCCTTACAGAATTGGTTAAGTTTATTTAAACTGTTCTGTAAGCTATGGGGGGTAGTTGACATAAGAACAAGGTCATCCGCAAATAATAGATGGGATATGTTACAGCTTTCTAGAGTCGGAGCGTCATTATTTTCGTTATGTAGGTAGGACTGTAGATCATTTATATATATATTGAAGAGAGTTGGGACTCAGGACACACCCTTGTTTTACTCCTGCATTTGAAATAATAGGGAGAGATATACTATTGGTTTTTATTATATATTTAGTATTTTCATACATAGACTTAATGAGTTGCAATACATTACCATTGATATTATGTCGTAACAATTTTAATAGTAGTCCCTTTCGCCAAATAGTGTCAAAAGCCTTAGTAAAATCGATAAAACTGAGGTAAATATTTCTATTAAGACTTTTATATTTATTTAATATGGTTTTAAGAATAAACATGTTGTCAGACGTTTCTAAAATATTTTCGAAATCCACTCTGAGCATTATCTAATAATTTATTATCCTCAAGATGATCTGAAATCCTGGCATTTATTATTGATAAAAAACACTTACTGAGACAACTGGCCAGAGGAATGCCTCTATGATTATTTGGGTCATTTTTATCACTTTTTTTGTGAATTGGGACAATAAATGACTCACCCCAGGCTTTGGGGAATACACCTGAGAAAAGAATAAGGTTAAAATACTTTATATAGTTGTCAATCATAATATTGAGCGATGCAATTAGCATTTCATTGATAATTAGGTCAGGACCACTGGATTTGTTTCTTTTAAGGTTTCTAAATGCGGAACGAACTTCAGAGGCAGTGATTTCTCTATTTAGATCTGTATTTAATTTTGAATTTTTTACTTCATTTTCAAACTGTATATTTAGTTTATTATCATCTGATACTGTCGTATCCTCCTTAACACCAAATAAGGAAGTGAAATGTTCTTCCCAATTTTTGAGAGAGATGTCTTCATTATCTTTTTTATTATCGTCTTTAATAAGGGAATTCACAAGTGACCATTATTCTTAAGGATTATTAGTTTGCAGATCATTTAATTTGTTGAGAATTTGATATTTAGCTTCACGGCTCTTGAATTTTGTGACCTTTTTATAGGGTTTTTTCCTCTTGTAATAAATTTCACGTAACAGATTGTTATTAGGGTTGTTATTAAGGTTATGTTGTGCTTGAACCATATCACGTTTGAGGATTCTACAATTTTTATCAAACCATTTGGTTTTTTTTACTACTATTCATTGTGAATCATCAAGTAAATAATCAGTGGCTGCCAGGCAGGATACGCCCACATTTTGAAAGATGGATAAAGAACAGGCGAAAAAAGAAAAAAAAACATGATTTTTCGTCCAATTAGGGGCTATAATCCAAGAAGTTATGGTCTGATGCACGAATATTGAAAGTGATTGAGATCTTTCAGATATAAACATATATTTTAAGTTTCATCAAAATTGGACAAAAATTGTGATCTCTAGCAGGTCCACACTTTGGTATTACATACTTTTACACAATTCATGTTCAAAGAGTGGCCATTTATATAACAACTCTTCCAGATCCTAGTGTAGTGAAGACAATTTTGAACTATAAAATAAAGAACGAAATAGGATCTGTGTTTTAATCAGATTGACAGACGTACGGACAGGGGCGATGACATAATACAACCACAATTGTATGAGGGCATATGGCATATATAATAAAAACTGAAAATTAGAAATGTCAATATTGACAGTGAGAATATATTCATGCTCATGCATACTATTTTCTCTTTTTCAGATGTATAAGACACATATTTTAACTGAAAGAGAGAGGGTTTAACGTCCACTCAACACAAACTAGGTCATTTCGGGACTAACATATGGTTCAATTTTATTTCAATAATTCGCTTGTGCGTTGGGGTCTTTAGTAGTAGGAGGTTGGACAGGCGACCCTACTCTTTGTCCAGTACAACCGGCGAATCGAAACCACGCCAGTTGACTCAATGACAGTACTTATGATACAGCGCACTCGCTAACCATTCGGCCATCCCCCCCCCCCCCCCTCCCCGGCTTCCTAAGACAGAAAAGTAGGATGTTAAACCTACACAATGTCAAGATGAAATTCATCCAAGCATCTAATTCAAAGCCATTGTGTCTTATACATCAGAAAATACATCATGCATAAATTTGTCTATTAATAAAAATATGTGTTAATTGATCAAACTACCATTTCGTGGGTGAAACCATTCTGAAAAAATAGAAAATAAAACGTGCATTAACTACATTGTTCTGACTATAATCTTTATGGAAGAACAACTATTCATCTATTCACCATAACTAGATCGAGTAATATAAATTATATAATATAATTATGGAAGAACAACTATTCATCTATTCACCATAACTAGATCGAGTAATATAAATTATATAATATAATTATGGAAAAACAACTATTCATCTATTCTCCATAACTAGATCGAGTAATATAAATTATATAATATAATTATGGAAGAACAACTATTCATCTATTTAGTAACTAGATCGAGTAATATAAATTATATAATATAATTATGGAAGAACAACTATTAATTTATCTAGTAACTAGATCGAGTAATATAAGATAGGTTGCCAGGCAACAAAACATACGCCCACAGCAGCTAAATCATCCGAGCAGTCGACAAGGGTTGTCGCATATTTATTCTTTAGGGGAATTAGGGGAATTTAATTGACAATTTCATACAGATTACATAATTTTCGTCATTTGAGGGTTCACAAGGTTCTAAAAACTAAAACAAGGGCCATAACTCTGGAAGTAATCTACAGAAATTGTTGAAACTCAAATAATGCATATAAATTTCATACAGATCGGATGATAACTTTTGTTGTTCGAATGTTCACAAGGTTAAACAAAGTAAAACAAGGGTCATAACTCTAGAAGTAATTGACGGAAATTGCCGACATTCAATAGGCTTCTTCATTTCACTAATTTAAATGATTCATATGAATTTCATACAGATTAAGTGATAAGATTTGTCGTTCAAGCTTTCACAAGATTTAACAAAGTTAAACAAGGGCCATAACTCTAGATGTAATTAACGGAAATTTGCTGAAACTCAATAGGCTTGTTAGTTTTACTAATTTAAACGATACCTATAAATTTCATACAGATCGGATAATAACTTTTGTTGTTAGAGCATTCACTCATGGTGTAATAAATGGAAATTGCTGAAATTCAATAGGGTTCTTCGTTGCACTAATTTAAATGATAAGTGTTGTCATTAGAGAGTTCACAAGATTCAACAAAGTGAAACAAGGGCCATAACTCTAGATGTAATTAACGGAAATTGCTGAAATTCAATAGGCTTCTTTGTTGCACTAATTTAAATGATGCATATAAATTTCATACAGATCGGTTGATAAATTTTGTCGTTCACAAGGTGCAACAAAGTGAAACAAGGACCATAACTCCAGAAATTAACGGAAGTTATTGAAATTACATAGGATTCTTCATCTCACTAATGCAAACAACATATATCAATTTCAAAACAATCAGATGATAAATGTAACCTGTAGAGTGTTCACAAGAAATTGTGGACGATGGAAGGACGGACGGGGGCGACGGCAATATATGACCACATTTCCATGGGGCGTATAAAATTATATAATATAATTATGGAAGAAAACAACTACTTAATTTAACTAGTACCATAACCAGATAGAGTAATATAAATTAAATTATAACATATTTTTATAGAACAACTAATTGAAATTACAGTAATAAATGTGAAGGAAACTTCTATAATACTATAATCTAGACAAGCAATAACAACTAATCTAAAATTATGCAGGACAACACAAGATCAAAGGCAAGATACTAGAAACTAGTTTTCCCCCCACCCCCAAAATAAACACACACACACCCACACACACGCGCACGCACGCCATTATACCAGAATTCTTACTTTTGACAAAAAAATCATTCATGTTAACCCAGCATATAATTATGGATTGTACTAAGTCAAAGTATATAAAATATTGGGCTATTGGGGATAGTTTAGTCAAATTATATAAGCTATTATTGGGCCTTTAAGGATAGTTTAGTCAAAGTATATGAGATATTGGGGATAGTTGAGTCAAATTATAAAGTTATTGATGATAGTTGAGTCAAATTATATAAGATATTGTTGATAGTTGAGTCAAATTATATACGATATTGATGATAGTGGAGTCAAATTATATCAGATATTGGTGATAGTGGAGTCAAATTATATAAGTTATTGATGATAGTTGAGTCAAATCAAAAAAGATATTGGTGACAGTTTAGTCAATATATTGAGTGTAGTTTTGTGAGACTATATTATTTTTATTTGGCTACCATAGTTTATAATAATATACATGTAAATCAATGAAAGGGACCAATGAAAGGGGGTTGGATGGCCGATTGGGTAGCATGCGCGCGCTGTATCATACGGTCTGTCATTGAGTCAACTGGCGGGGTTTCGATTCCCCGGTTGTACGTGACAAGGAGTAGGGTCGCCTGTCCAACCTTGTGGGTTTTCTCCGGATCCTCCGGTTTCCTCCCACTGCTAAAGACCCGTACGCGAAAGCGAATGATTGAAATAAAATTGAACCATGTGTTAGTCCCGAAATGACCTAGTTTGTGTCGAGTGGACGTTAAACCCCATTTCTCTCTCTCTCTCTTAAAGGACTTCTTTAAGTGACATTTAGGTAATTGAACAAACTAACACTATTTATAGAATAACAATTACTCGTTTATTAACATACGTTTCCACGGTGATACTCTCGTCTTTATCAAGCAAATGATGAGAGTATCATCGTCGAAACGTTGCATGTTAATAAATGAGTAATTGCTATTCCATAAATAGTGTTAGTTTGAATCTTAAAGGAGACAAAGGGAAATGTGGCAATGTTCTGTAACAAATGAAATTCTCTTGGTGTATGCAGGCCTTAACATTCAAGATATTGTGCAATTAATAAAAAATATTTGTCATTACAATAAGATAAATATTTATCAACGAGCGACAAGGAAAACTTTTCACAAATAGGAAGTCGTTTTCCTATCCTCATGTTGTAATTAACATAAAAAAAACAAACTTAATTTTCTCTGAAAGTATAAAATGGGAAAAGACCAGGAAAATTAAATAATTACCAGGAAAATGAAATAAGAGACCACAAATTGTCTAATACGCTAATTAAATGCACAAATTTTTCTGTCGTTGCTGTCTAAATTGCCATCCATTTATTAAACAATATAATGTTAAGCGGAAGTCAAGCCTTGTGAGAACACATCGCGTGAAAAACATTGTCAGCAACAATGGGTAATCTAAGACCCCAGACATAAATTGGTTTTTCGATGCATAATTTTATTCAAATATGATCAAACTACAGCTTTATATAAAGACTGAATAATAATCAAAGTAAAAAAAAATATGACAGACCCTACCATTTTACGTGCACGCGCTAACCATTCGGCCATCCAACCCCCGAGTAACAGAGAGAGAGAGAGAGAGAGAAATGGAGTTTAACGTCCACTCCACACAAACTAGGTCATTTCTCCTTACTCCTTGTCAAGTACAACTGGGGAATCGAAACCCCACCAGTCAACTCAATGACAGACCTTATGATACAACATGCACACGCTAACCATTCGGCCATCCAACCTCGGAGCAATAACAAATAATATAAATTACTCACCATGATATCATCTTTGAGTTTCTCATATTCCCTCTTGAATCTTTCTAATTTCCTCTCCAATTCATGATTTTTATGGAAGAGATTATTTTTTTCTTCGTCTAAATCCCACTGTTTTGTTTGACAAACTATCTTTTCTTCTTCTATCTGTATTTGTAAATTAAATTAAAATATTTAAACATACATTATGCAAGAGGTAAATCTGCCTATTGCAGGCCTTAATTAGACTTATTGCAGGCCTTAATTAGACTTATTGCAGGCCTTAATTAGACTTATTGCAGGCCTTAATTAGACTTATTGCAGGCCATAATTAGACTTATCCAGACCATATTTAACTTTCGATGCCATCTGATGTGTCGGAATTTTACTGGATTTGATTAAGGCGGGAAAAAATTGATACCCTCTGCAAAATTCAAATGACGATCGGTCGCTGTAAGTTAAATGAGAATAAGTTAAACATACATTATGCAAGAGCTAAATCTGCCTATTGTAGGTCTTTCTTTAGGCCTGATATGTTATATAAATTTTTAATTATACATTAATTAACCTATCCAGACCATAATCAACTCTCGATGGCATTTTATCGGATTTGAATTTGATCTGCTACTCAACGCTCACTAATGATTCAATCCAAAAATGGAAAATCGAGATTATGTTTTTTATCATACCGACTTTAGTAATGATGACCGAGCCTAGGCCTAAAATTTAATCAGTAATAACTCGGTTTGACTGAAATTTTCAGCATATTCTCTTCATATTATCTAGTTTTTAACAGCTCTTTATCTAATCTTCCATAATGCCCCTTTAAGTTTTATTGTGCTTCATGGTGTGTGTGTTTGTTGTTCTATTATAGTATAGAATCTAAAGCCTAATAACAAAAGATGATCAAAGGTCATAACTCTGGCAATAGTCATCAGAAATAGTTGAAAATAAATATATGGTTTTCTCATCTCAGGACCTTGAACAAGGCCACAAACAATATTCAACCTCATTATCACTACTGGTGCGGGCTTGAATTGGGCCATAACTTTGGCAAAAATGATCAGAAATAAGTTTCTTCGGCTCAGGACCTTAACCATGACGGACAGACTGTGGTGACGACAGTAAGTTGATATAAAATAATTAATAGAATACAATATCAAATGCATCATTTTGACTTAGTCAAAATTGATCCCATCAAACCTTCTGTATTTGGTTTGTGTTTCCTGTTTCTATTGATTGGAAGTTTCACCCATATAAATGTAGGTGTATAAAAATATCTTACTATTCTTTTCTCTTTCTGTAACTGTTGTATCTTTTTGAAATATTCTTCATTGTTTTTTTCTGCTTTATTCTGCCAAAGAGCATTTTTCTCGGCGTCTTTCTTTAGTTTGAAAACATCAGTCATCAGCTGAAAAAAATGTTAGGAATCATTTCATAAAAATCATGTCAAGAGTTCTTTTATGTGAATGCTGACAGGGATATGAGTTCTCGTTTTTTGTCCCATCCGAAAGAAAAAATGAAATGAAATGGGGGTTTAACGTTGTACTGTTCTGCTCTGACCCGGCTAATGAAGACGGGCATACACCATACAGTGTGCTATGAGGGAAATTTTGCTCGGGCAGTGGCATTATGGCCTACTCTTATATCAAATTTCAACTGCTAAGTGATCTTTTACGTGCACAGCAATGTATACACGGGACCTCAGTTTTTCATCCCATCCCATTCTGAAACCAAGTCAGAAAATCCCGATGAACTTTCTCGGCCAATGCAGGGATCGATGTGTTCAATGCAGGGATCGATGTGTTCAATGCAGGGATCGATGTGTTCAATGCAGGCATCGATGTGTTCAATGAAATATCCTGGAATAATACATACTCTATTAATAGTATCTTTGTCTGCATAATTTTCATTCCTTGCTTCTTCTAGTTCAATTACTAATGTACGATTATTTTCTCTCTCTGCCTCCAAGTCAGCCATTAAAATCTCTATTTTGGTGTGTAGATGTTTATCACTTGATTCATGCTGTAAAAAATGACAGGTTTATTAATAATTAAATCTTTTGTAACAGAACATTCACTTATTATATGCGTTGCGACCCATTTGTGTCAATTTCTAGGTCCTAAATATTAGCGACTTAGCTCCTTTAATGATACGCCCCACCATGATCCTTTGTAACAGAACATGCACTTCGTAATCTTGTTCTTCTCAGGGTGATGCTATTCGAAAATAGCCTAATGCTCGGCCAATTTGAATACGATCAACATGAAACATGGACAATTGCGCACTGATTGAGAAACTTTGATTTTTTTCCAAGATGGCTGCGGTAATGTCAGTGTTTCTTGTAATCGGCTTAAAACTGTTGTCCTGACTTACCAATAAAAGAGTTCTTCCTAAGCAAAACAAAAAATTCAAGAGAAGTTGATTTAGCCACAGAGAGAGAGAGAGAGAAATGAAATGAAATATTGTTTAACGTCCTACTGTTCTGCTCCGAACTGGGCTAATGAAGACGGGAAGAGAAGAGAGAGAGAGAGAGAGAGAGAAACCAGGTCATTTTGGGACTAACATATGGTTCAATTTTATTTCAATAATTTGCTTGCCCATAGGGTTCTTTAGCAGTGGGAGGAATCCGGAGGACCTGGAGAAAACGCACGAGGTTGGACAAATGACCCTATTCGATGACAGACCTTATGATTCCGCCAGTATTTAGCCAGTATTTGAAAAATAGAAAGAAGAGTAACTTCAGGCTGACGGAAAGAAGGGTTATCAACCTGGGAATCAGATCACTTACCTTATTAGGTAAATTAACAGGTCGTGTTCGTACTGTTCGTAAATCATTACACTGTCGATGTAGTCTCTGTGATATTCTTCTTTCTTGCTCAAAATTTTCTTTTAAGAAAAAAAACAATCGATAATGGAAATGCTTTAAATATCTGGAGATCAATTTAAATGTTGGACTAAAGACATCATCTAGGTTAAGAAATGTTTATCTTTCAAGATGGAAGATTAATTAATTAGTTTTAATCCCAATGATTCTCATTTGAGGGAGTCTGAATTCCTTGCACACTACAATATCAGGTGCGGATCCAGAATTTTCAGAAAGGGGGGGGGGGGGCGGGCCCTTGTTGGGAGGACTGACAGGCAATCAACCAAGTCACCAACCGCCTCGTTTCGGAGTAAATCACGATGGGGATCACTACCATTTTAAGTATTTTTGTTCTCCTTCCCCGCAAGAATATTTCTACCAATGATATTTTGGCCTTATATTGTCTTATGATAAATTCAAAACTTCGTCACATTTAGCTACCCCTGCAGTGCAGATGATAAAACGGCAAAGAAGCCAGCGCCACCTATAATAGGTGGACAAATTGAATCCAAGTCAGGAAATTTTCTACCAATGATATTTAGCTTTATTGTCCTAATCTAAATAATCAATCTACATTTTAGCGTAGCTTAAGGCGGGAAAAAATAGATACCGTCTACAAAATTCAAATGATGATCGGTCGCTGTAAGTTAACTACATGCTCTTTAACTACACCAATCAAAATAGCACTCAAATGGTAAAATTTGGCACTTTTATACATTTTGATTATCCATTTAAATATACATTATGCAAGAACTACATCTGCCTATTGCAGGTCTTTCTTTAGGCCTGAAATGTTATATAAACTATTAATTAGACATTAATTAACTTATCAAGACCATAATCAACTCTAATAAGACATTAATTAACTTATCCAAACCATAATCAACTCTAATAAGACATTAATTAACTTATCCAAACCATAATCAACTCTAATAAGACATTAATTAACTTATCCAAACCATAATCAACTCTAATAAGACATTAATTAACTTATCCAAACCATAATCAACTCTAATAAGGCATTAATTAACTTATCCAAACCATAATCAACTCTAATAAGACATTAATTAACTTATCCAAACCATAATCAACTCTAATAAGACATTAATAACTTATCCAAACCATAATCAACTCTAATAAGACATTAATTAACTTATCCAAACCATAATCAACTCTAATAAGACATTAATTAACTTATCCAAACCATAATCAACTCTAATAAGACATTAATTAACTTATCCAAACCATAATCAACTCTCGATGCATATCTTATGCATAGAATATTCTCTGGATTTCAATCCGATCTTGCAGCTCAACCAAAGCTAATTGATTATTAAATCCAAACATAACGCTAACGCTACAATATACGTCCACATTCCAATTCTGCTTTGGTCTCCTCCGAACCAAGTGAAACCGAAGTCTGAAATTAAATCCCAATCTGACAAAAGTACTTAATATTCTTAAAAGACAAATTATTAATAATAAATTTGGTACTAAATTATAATAACGAATGACACCCAAACATAAGACTTTTTAAAAATGTACATCCTGAAAACGCACATGTACTTGCAGTTACATGAATTTATAATTTATTTAGTGTGAGAGAGAGAGAGAGAGAGAGAGAGACATTGTCATTGCAGTACCAAAAGGTCTTTAGCAGTGGGAGGAAAGGGGGAGAAAACGGTGGTTTGAAACGTCAACAAATAACCGGTATAAATACTTCTAACACTTACAAAGCGTTCTGAAAAATAAGTTGAACAAAGGCTCTCAGAAACCACTCACAAAAACCCGAATGTTACATGGGTGACAACTATTTAAAGCATATCACGTCAGTTTGACATTGTTAAATGGAGTTTGACATTGTTAAATGGAGTTATCTCCCCAAAATCGGGCATGCACCCAAAAGAAAAGGGACCAACCTCAGGGTATAAGGAATATGTATTTTAAGTTTCAAGATGATCGATTTAGAATTGTGGCCTGTAGGCGACACACAAAAAGAAAATTGGCATGGCTCTGCCCCTGGGGGTTGGGCATGTAGGGCCTACTCCAAATGATAAGGATGTTCCAAATGATAGGAATGTTCCTTAGGGTACAAAGAATAAGTATATAAAGTGTGGCTCTGCCCCTGGGGGTTGGGCATGTACCCCAAACGATAGGGATGTTCCTTAGGGTACAAAGAATGTGTATGCAAGATTATAAGTTAAGAAATGTGGCCTGTAGACGACAAACAAACAAATACTAGAAATGGGCGTGGCTCTGCCCCTGGGGGTCGGGCATGCACCCAAAACAATAGGGATCTTCCTTGGGGTATAAGGAATAAGTATACCAAGTTTGAAGAAAATCCAGTAAGAATTGCGCCCTGTAGGCGACACAAAGACACACGAAAAGAAAATGGGAAATGGGCGTGGCTCTGCCCCTGGGGGTTGGGCATGTACCCCAAACGATAGGGATGTTCCTTAGGGTACAAAGAATGTGTATGCAAGATTATAAGTTAAGAAATGTGGCCTGTAGACGACAAACAAACAAATACTAGAAATGGGCGTGGCTCTGCCCCTGGGGGTCGGGCATGCACCAAAAACAATAGGGATCTTCCTTGGGGTATAAGGAATAAGTATACCAAGTTTGAAGAAAATCCAGTAAGAATTGCGCCCTGTAGGCGACACAAAGACACACGAAAAGAAAATGGGCGTGGCTCTGCCCCTGGGGGTTGGGCATGCACCCCAAACGATAGGGATGTTCCTTAGGGTACAAAGAATGTGTATGCAAAGTTTCAAGATTATTAGTTAAGAAATGTGGCCTGTAGACGACAAACAAACAAATACTAGAAATGGGCGTGGCTCTGCCCCGGGGGGTCGGGCATGCACCAAAAACAATAGGGATCTTCCTTGGGGTATAAGGAATAAGTATACCAAGTTTGAAGAAAATCCATGAAGAATTGCGCCCTGTAGGCGAACCACAGACACACACACACACACACACACACACATACACACACACACACACACAGACAGGGGCGACGGCATAATACGTTCACATTATGAATGTGGACGTATAAAAATGGATAATATAGACTATGTTGTTTATCGTACTGACTTTAGTAATGATAATCGAGACTAGGCCTAAAATGCAATCGCTAATATCTTGGTTCAGAGTGGACCAATTCGACTGAAATTTTCAGCATATTCCCTTTACATTATCTAGTTTTTAACTATTATAGTGAGAACTGCCAGCTCTTTATTTGATCTTCCATAATGCCCCTTTAATTCAAATTTTAATTAAAAACATTTAATTAAGAAAAGAAAAACAAAATATCAACGGTAAATTAACTCCCTTCTTGGATTCAATCGCATTTAAAATATAATGTAACTTTAAATACAATATGGTCAAGATATGAGATATTTTTTTCATTTGGTGATTTGTACCTTTCCATTCATTCTGACATTCATTCAATCTGTCTAAATCTGCTTTATTACAATCTAACTGTCTCTCTAAATCATCCACTTTATGTAGTAGAGATGAGATCTTGTGGGATTGTTGATCGTTGTCATCTCGTAAATGAATATTCCTTCTCATAAAATCACCTGCATACAAAACATGAAGAAAGATTATTAAAAACTCAATACGAAAAAGGGGGTTCAATGGCCGAATGGTTAGCGTGCGGGCCGTATCATAAGGTCTGTCATTGAGTCAACTAGCGAGGTTTCGATTCCCCGGTTATACATAACAAGGAGTAGGGTCACCTGTCCAACCTTGTGGGTTTTCTCCAGGTCCTCCGGTTCCCCCCCCCCCACACACTGCTAAAGATTGAACCATATGTTAGTCCCAAAATGACCTGGTTGGTGTCGAGTGGACATTAAACCCATCTTTCTCTCTTGATAGTTAATACATGTTTAATAGCAAAGTTCACAATGGCGCGATAAACAACAGCGAGAGGATAACTCAAGGGAGATAACTACTGTAGATATAAATATGCCCGGATGAAATGAAATGAAATGGGGTTTAACGTCCTACTGTTCTGCTCCTAAACTGGGCTAATGAAGACGGGCATATGCCATACAGTGTGCTATGAGGGAAATTTTGCTCAGGCAGCGGGGCTACGGCCTACTCTTATATTGAATTCCAACTGCCAAGGGATCTTTTACGTGCACACCAATATGTACACGGGACCTCGGTTTTTCGTCCCATCCGGACGACTAGACAGCTGTCCTTGTCAGGCCCTCCGTCCTGCATCACTGACAAGGGAAAATTACGCCGGAAAATCTGGATTAACTTTCTCGGCCAATGCAGGGATCGAACACCCGACCTCCAGGCTAGCGAGCCAGCGTCTTACCCACTTAGCCACATGATCCCCAATATGCCCTGATATCAGCGGTGCTACACTCTACTTTTCATCGAGTCAAGGGTTCTTTTACGTGAATGTCAATATGTACACGGGGCCTCAGTTTTCTATCCTATCTGAACAGTGGCGGGGATAAGATTCCTAGCTTGACAAAGTGTGCAGTCGCCTGTCCAACCTGTCCAAGACCCCTATCTGCAAACAAAATATTGAAATAAAATTGACCATATGTTAGTCCTGAAATGACTCTGTATAAAATCAGTGCATGAATCTGAATAAAATATTTTTAGATTAGATGAATACTAACGGTTCTCTTCCTTCACAAGTCTGTTGTCCTTTTCAATCTCCTTGATATTTTCTCGAAGTTGTCTGTTATGGATCTCAAATTCTCGTAATCTCTGAATCTCATTCTACAGATAACATGAATATAAATAAATTTCATGTTTATATCTCTGTGGTGGATCTTCGGTGTGGCTTATAGGCCAGACACCCCCACTCCACCAGCCAAATTTTTTGTAAAAAAAAAGTTGTTTACACTTTAATCAATCAAATATGACCTGTAAATTCTTACTAGCCCAACCCCTTCGTTACTACAAACATAAAGTTTTTTAAAATCACTAAAACATGACTTATAAAATGCCAGAGTTTCTGCTCCCATTCCCCAGAGGTGGGAACAAGTTGCTGGACCTCGAGTCAGAGTTGAGTCTCAAATCGCTGCACTCCGAGTCCCAGTCAAGTCCCAAGTTGCTGACTTAAGTAGCCTACCGAGTCGAGTCCTAAATCTTTACAAAGCCGGAGTCCTGTTTAAATCACCAGTTCATCAGTCAGTAATTCATGCCGAATAAAATAAGTTAGAGTTATGCCCCCTTGTCGTGACTCAAGTCCTAAGCTCTTTCAAGTCGCATGTTGAGTCATTGATGCAACTGAAGTCGGTCTCGAGTCTGATTCGTAGGACTCAAGTTCCCACCTCTGCTATTCGCTACCATTAAGGCTCTGCCCTTAAGCCCACTTTCTAATCTTTATAGTTAAACATGCATTATTCAAGAGCTAAATCTGCCTATTGCAGGTCTTTCTTTACGCCTGAAATGTTATCTAAATTATTAAATAGACATTAATTAACTTATCCAGACCATAATCAACTCTTGATGCCATCTGATGGGTACGATTTTAAACAGATTTGAATCTGATCTGCGATTCAATGGCTGTTCATGATTAACCATAATAATGGATAATCAAGACTTTGTTTATTATCGTAACAACGGTAGTAATGACAACCGAGGCTAGCCTAAAATTGAATCGCTAATATCTCGGCTCATGTGAAGCAGTTTGACTGAAGTTTTCAGCATATTCTCGTTACGTTATTCATTTTCTAACTATTATAGCGAGAACAGTCAGCTCTTTATCTAATCTCTTATAATGTATGGGGGGTTGGATGGCTGAATGGTTAGCGTGAGCGCGCTGTATCATAAAGTCTGTCATTGAGTCGACTGGCGTGGTTTCGAATCCCCAGGTGTACGTGGCAAGGAGTAGGGTCGCCTGTCCAACCTCGTGGGTTTTCTCCGGGGCCTCCGGTTTCCTCCCACTGCTAAAGACCCCTACGCGCAAGCGAATTATTGAAATAAAATTAAACCATATGTTAGTCCCGAAATGACCTAGTTTGTGTCGAGTGGACGTTAAACCCCATTTTTCTCTCTCTTATAATGTATCTTTAAGGTCCGAGGGTTTATAAATCTAACCTCAAGTTCTTTCTTCTCATTTTGAGCGAATTGTAGAAGTTCTTGTAGTTCATCAATCTGTCGTATCATGTCGTTGTGTTCAACTCGTATCTGATTAAGATGTTGTCCATGTAAAAACAATTCATTCCAATTACACGAAATTCTACTTGTTTCATGACTTTTATAACCTGGAGAAAAAACCATATTTAAACTCAGTACGTTTCCCCATTTACAATGTTTTGGTGTTATTTTATATTAAAGGGACAATAACACTCTTGCTGGCTCGACAGCTCCAGAAAATAAATAATAGCTTTATTCTAAGTACTAGATGTTTAAGTGTCATACATGCTGTGTAAATTATCCATTACATCCTATTTTACTTGTCCAGAGGGTTCGAAAATATTTTTAAATCCAAGTCACATTTGAAAAGGTTTACGTTAGGCTTTTCAAATCATTTAGTTGAATTTTTCCAATTTTTTAAATTAGGTGTGTTAAGAAGAAATTTGTATTACCAATTAGTTGGAATATTGTAAAATAGTACAATTTGTTGACCAGAATAAAGATTGGGACATATTATTCAGTTACAACAAGAGTGGTATTGAACCTTTAAGGGTGGTTGGGTGGCCAAATTTTTATTGTCTGTGCATTGTATCATAAGGTCTGTCATTGAGTCAGCTGGTGTGGTTTTGATTCCAGGTTTGTACGTGACAAGGAGTAGGGTCACCTGTCCAACCTCATGGGTTTTTTTCGGGTCCTCCGGTTTCCTCCCACTGCAAAAGACCCCTACGCGCGAGTGAATTAATGAAAAACAATTGAACCATATGTTAGTCCTGAAATGACCTAATTTGTGTCGAGTGGACATTAAATCTCTCTCACACCAATTTCAACTTCCTAGATGAGGTTATTTTAGTTTGTCTGCGATATCACTTCGCGGTGGAAGCAGCTGTTAAAAAAAGCTATTGAACACACAGATTGAACAACACACGCACGGTTATTTTAAAAATGTTGGCTTACCTTCCGGTCGAGGTGTTGGAGTCTCGTCAATAAAAACAGCGGTAAATACGTGAGGATATTCCCACGCTAACAAATCTTTAAATGCTTTCAAACCAGGTTGACCTTTTGTCTTGAGTGTATCTATAAAAGCTCCTGAAACACACAAAATTAACTATTGTATATATAAACTAATGTCCAAAAGAAAGTATACACTGTGCATTTCGTGTTGCATCAACCAAAGTCGTTTTCCATTGTATATATGTGGCATTTGGGTACAATGCCAATTTGTTTCGCTTTTTTTGCTTAGAAATGTTGAGTTTGAACGCAAGAGACAAACTCAGTAATGTTTCATCAAAACTTAGTGTGTATTTTTAGTGTGTATACTTTCTTTTGGACATTAGTATATATATATAGACATTTACACTGTAACCCAGGTATCATTTATCTTGTGTATCTATCTCTGATTTCTTTCATATTCGTTTAATATCAAATCATTGTTTAAAAATTCGTAAAAACTGTTTAAAATCACCAAAAATCATCTAATTTGTACTTGTGTCCAGTTTAAAGCTGACTAATTAATTTTGATAATGAGTGTCCAATTTACAAGCGTTTAATTTCTCGATCACTGTTAAAAAATAAACATCTCAATTGATTATTGATGTATAATGATTAATTTTTGAACAATGGTCTTGAAATTAAATACTTGTAAATTGGATCTTTTTAAATTAACAAATTATATATTCTTACATCTGTCAAGCTATATATTCTTCGATATATTGAATTATGCTCAAATTGGCGCTTAACATTGACCTCAAGATTTTAGGCTTAACAAGAAATCCATGATCAAAAATATGGAAAATCAAACAGTTCTTTATTCAGTGTTTTTAATTCATAGTCGTTAATTCTTATTTCTTCATTTGTTGTCGTATTTCAACATTTGTATACTAAAATTAACATTTATATCTTAAAATCAATATTTGTTTTACAAATCAGACATTAGTCATATCAGAGCTGTTTGGTCTTCCATACAAAAATGACTGGTGATTCCTATGCTGCTGTTTATTAAATAAATTATTAAAATAAAATTGAACCATATATTTGTCCCGAAATGATCTAGTTTGTGTCAAGTGGATGTTAAGCTCCCTTTATCTCTCTATCAGGAAACTGCAGTGTCTATGGGTTTAGTCGAGCTAAAGGTATTATATAGGTCACAGTAATCTAATGCATCTATATATACTATAGCTACATCCTGAATAAATTTAATATTGTTACATGGCAATGTTTACATTTTACCATATAACATAAAACTTGTGTTGTAAAAATATATAAAAATCGGACAGATTGAAAGACGGAAGTGGATACTGTTTATTTAAAATGTATATTGTCGCATAACAAAAATATCAAGTATTTTTAATGTATCTTCCAATCCAGAATTGAATATTTAGAACCTACATTATCAAGGAAATATGTCTTTTAAAAGACCGAGAGAGAGAGAGAGAGAGAGAGAGAGAGAGACAACTGTATGGTTCAATTTTATTTCAATAATATACTTGCGCCTAAGGGTCATTTAGCAGTGGCTGGAGAGCCGGAGGAAACCTACAAGGTTGGACAGGCGAACCTACCCCTACCCCTTGTCATGTACAAGCGGGAAATCAAAATCACGCTACTTGATCAACCTTATGAACAGCCACCCAATCACTAAATATATACAAGAGCCTTTTATTCTTTAACGATACATTATGCAAGAGATAAATCTGCCTATTGCAGGTCTTTCTTAGGCCTGAAATGTTATCTAAATTATTAACTAGACATTAATTAACTTATCCAGACCATAATAAACTCTCAATGTCATAGCTAGCCTGTGATTTCTACTGGATTAAGATCCGATTTACTGCTCAACTTTCATTCATGATTAAATCATGGAATGGATAATCGAGACTATGTTTTTTATTGTACCGACTTTAGTAATGATGATCGAGGCTAGGCCAAAAATTCAATTTCTAAATTCTCAGTTCAGAGGGGATCAATTTAACTGAAATTTTGAGCAAATTGCCTTTACATTATCTAGTTTTTAACTATTATAATGAGAACTGCCAACTCGTTATCTTATCTTCCATAATAGATCTTTAATTTACATACCATTTCTTTGAAATTTTGTTTTATAAATATAATGATTCTTGATTTCTTCTTCGTCATTTTCCGAGAATATGCGTCTAGATCTGAGTTGTGGAAGGAACGATTCATAATTAATAGATTTAATCAGAGTATATCGATGTGTTTCATAAAGATCATCTAACGCGTTCATCTGAAAATAAATACAACATAAAAATCATCTAAGGTGTTCATTTGAAAATAAATTGTTTTTAAGATAAATCTGAACTGAATAAATCACAGAGAGAGAGATAGAGAGAGAGAGAGAGAGAGAGAGAGAGAGATGGGGTTTAAGGTCCACTCGACACAAACCCTGGACTAGCATATGGTTCAATTTTATATTAATAATTCGCATACGGGTCTTTAGCAGTGGGAGGAAACCAGAGGACCCAGGGAAAACCCACAAGATTGGAGAGGCGACCAGGGAATCGAAAACATGCCAGTTGACTCAATGAGCTCTATAGTTATTACAAAATTTGGGTATGTTGGGTGGCCATCCTATCTTGTCTAGTCATTTTCCGTTTTGCAACCAAATACTGTCAAATTAGTGGACAAGGAAATCTGTCCCTCAGTGGGCATAATACCGATATCCCGAAATTCCCAAAAGGTTAAGGGTTGGAGTGGGTGGTATAGAGGACTTCCATTTCCAAATTTTCACCGTCAGTCATTTTGATAATGCACGAAAACTTTGCAAATTAAATGCATATTGCAGATTCTATATTTATTGTAGGGTACTGTGAATTCACATGTCTATATCACTTTGTCAGCATGGTGTACACAAAAAATTAAATTTTGGACTAAGAAATGAAATTAACGGAACACAATTTTTATGGGAAACAATCACTGGTTTTATTCTAAAAGCACAATGGTTGATAACGATAAGAGGATACATGTCGAAATGTCATGCTTTTAGAATAAAACCAGTGATTGTTTTCCCATAAAAATTATGTTCTGTTAATCTGTTTCCCAATCGCTAAATGCCACTTAAAGATTAAGAAATGAAATATTAGTAGGCCCAAACCAATTCATTAAATCAACTGAAGAAGGCCCTCACCCCCCCCCCCCCCAACCACTCAACCTATCCCCCTAAAACCGATAGTGTTGACTTTGTAAATAGAAACTTATGGCTGATTCATCTCTGTCATATAATTTGTAATAATGATGATACAAAGGAAGGAAGGTAGGAATTGAACAAACTCTCAATAAAAATTTACAGAAATCAGATTACAAATCAATCTCGTCTAATTTCTATTTCATGACAAAAATATGTCATTTGGTAAATATCTGAATCAAAATGGAGTCACACTTTAAGAACTTTCGCAATGGATGGCCCAACGATAAGATTTAGTCCTGAAGGGTTTGCCCCCTCTTTGTTTATGTTTTTAGTTTCTATTTAGCAAAAGTCACAACTACTATAATCAAGCCTGGAAATAAGGCACCTGTCACAGACAATGTCAGACACAGATACAGGCTTTGTCAGGCACTAAACCTCTGGTGCCTGTCATTTTGTCCGGCACTGATTTGGCTTTTAATTGATATTATTAATACATGTCCGGCACTAAGTTGAAAATGTCAGGTACTATTTCACTACTGCCGGACATTTTGTCAGGTAGATCTAAAACCGTTATTTCCAGGCTTGACTATAATAGGATGATGTGTGTACAATGTTTCTTAAAAGATATTTTAAACGGTTTATGAGCCTCTGTAAACGGAAAACAAATGGAAGGGTGGAGCCCATTTCAACGCCCCTCCCTTAAATTCCTTGGCCGTAGGAAAAAGATGTTTTAAACGCTTTGTTTCCTTTTACTATCATGGAAGTTTTAACAACAGAAATAAATCTTGTGTACACATTGGCGTGCACTTAAAAGAACCCATGACAGATGGAATTTGATATACGAGTAGGCCGTAGTGCCGCTGTCTGGGCAAAATTTCCCTCATAGCACACGGCATGGCATATACCCGTCTTCATTAGGCCAGTCAGTGCAGAACAGCAGGACGTTAAACCCCATTACATTTTATTTCTTTTTAAACGTTATGGGTGCACCTTCAATACAGGATATAGTACAGTTTATTTGTAATCCCAAATTCAGCCTTGTTAAGCTGTATTGAATCCACAGCCTGCAGAAAAACGACACAGTAGTTGAAAATGACCGTTGTGCTGTTTTCTGGGGAGTTGTACCGGTAGTTTATTCCAACACTTTAACAACGATATTAATTGTACTTTTAATAAACCAGTGTCCAAAACTGGCTAAACGTCACAATAACGAGATATAGGTGTCGCTAGAGTAAGCCGGTACAGTAGAATATAGAACATATATACAAGGCTCAGTAGATGAAAAGCCCTGCTCAACAGTAGTACACACAGATTTTAATTAGAAATAAGACTTGGTTTATTCACCCATTTTCAAATGATAACATATATCTATGTCTACTCCGCGCGTATCTCCGTTTGATCCAGCAGCTGCCCAGCCCCTCGTTACACTTTTAAAGGAGTGTTGCCGTTACTCCTCCCTTTTTCTGATTAAAATAATTATATACTATTCAAAAAAAGTAGGGGATATTTGATTTTTAAGTGTTATTAAAGTCACCTAATGAAACTGACGAAGAAACAAATGACAAAATGAAATGAAGTTCACATTCATCGATTTATTTCAAATGATCATTAGACTAAGTAAGGCACAGACTGACCATTATAAGGGTAAAATGATACCCGGGGTCAAACAGCAAAGTTACCACAGCATCACAACCAAGTCAGTAACGGGTAAATCCTCCTCTGTTTGCCAAACAAGCATTGATCCGACGTGGCATACTCCTAATGAGACGTCTAAGGTCATTTTGGTCCAGATTGTCCCATTCCTGTTGCAACGCAGCAGCAAGTTCTTGGACATTGGCAGGACGTTGTTGACATTGACGTAACCTCTGTCCAAGCATGTCCCAGACATGCTCGATGGGGGAGAGGTCGGGACTCAGTGCTGGCCAAGGTAATGTGGTGATGTTCTGTTGTTGGAGGTAACCTGTAACGATCCTGGCCCTGTGACATCTTGCGTTGTCATCCTGGAAGATGAAACGGCGGCCATGATGTCGTGCGAACGGCACAACATGGACTGCCAAGATGTTGTCCCGGTAGTACTGGCCTGTAACACGCCCTGCAACAACATGTAAAGCCGTTCTTCCAGCAACAGTGATGCCTCCCCACACCATAACAGAACCACCCCCAAATCGATCATGTCTGATGACGTTAACGTCTTGGAAGCGCTCGTTTCGACGACGCCACACCCTCCTATGTCTGTCCAAAAAATCAACAGTGAACCTTGACTCATCTGAAAACATCACATTGCTCTAGCATCGATTATCCCAGTGTTGACGATCCCTACACCAACGACGTCTTGCCTGAATGTGATGATCTCTCAAACAAGGGATCACACGAGGACGTTGGGCGCGAAGGTGACCCCTATGCAGTCGATTCCGAATCGTCTGGCCACTCACTCTCACACCAGTGTCTGTTTGAAGACGAGCGCTGATCTGATTTGCTGTGATGACACGATTTCTCAAGGCCAAGGTACGGATAAATCGATCCTGGGCTTGAGTTGTCGCCCTTGGTCGACCTGAGCGTGGTCTGTCCTGTACAGATTGTGTATCACGGTATCTGGACCATAGCCTGCTTATGACAGACTGAGAAACATTCATCGTCCGCGCCACAACCGCCTGTGTTGTGCCGATCTGTAGCATGCCAAGGGCACGTAACCTTTCATTTTGTGTAAGCCGACGCATATCAAAATTTGTTTTCTGGTCACTAAAACAATTAAACTGATGTTTCCACCCTGGAATTCAATGCCACAATGACTGTAACATTCAAAGTCAGAGTTGTGCAAATCTTGGGTTGGAACCCCATGATGATCCCAAGCATCACCTGCATTCCATGCGGTAGCTATTGGTGCGTTTGGGCGTCACATGTAACTGGAAATGTTTCTTCTGTTAGGTTCTATAGTGACTTTTTTCGTAGTCATTTGCATATTTTAGTATTATGCCCCCAAAATCAAATATCCCCTACTTTTTTTGAATAGTAATATTGGATAAGAAATGTTAAATGGCACATAGGAAACGGTTGAAATGGTTCCACTACTGATGTCTTCCGCCTTACTCAAGTAGAGAAACTAAGGAAACGGCCATGTTTAAATATAGAAATTCACAGACCGTCCCTAAAAGAACAAAGCAAGAACCTGTGTCAAGCATAATTACGTCATACATGTCGTCATATTTAGTATAAAATCAAAGCCGTATAAAGTTCAGTGAGATATCAATTCGGACATTTGTCAATTAGGCTGCTACTTTAACTAAAATGTTATACAATGATACACTATAAGTATAAAAATAACAGCCGACATTAGACTTGTCTTACCTCCCAGTTGAGAGAGTCACTACATACTCCGTCTTTTATATAATCACCATTCATGATTTCTTTACTCAATCAAAGGGTCAAAAAGTCGTAAACAAGTAGAGCAAAGATCGCCCAAACAATCAGGCTAGTTGTTGTTCTGCCATTGTAAGAATGCGTAACTGCATAGGTAGGCCTATTCTGGAACCACAACTATTCTACTACTGTTCTCACCATACTTCCCGGTCGGTGTGACACATTCATAACAAGCCTTTTATACCGCTACTTCCCTGTAAACCTAGATGTTTACTCAACCTGAGTATAAAAAAAAACACGAATTACATCCTTGATTCGCTATTCAATTGACAACCCATATAGATACACACTTCATTAAAGATAAAAAATATTGGCGCCAAAACATGAACACGCGGTACACTCTTTATACTGTTGTTGCACTAACCACACTGTAAAGTAATGCTGACAATCGCTTGCAGTGTTTCCATCTAAAGTATTACACGCACGTTTTTGATTAAATGATAACACGTGCAATGTAACGGAATGCACCGGATATAGTGAACTTTACAATCCGGTCGTATTCCGGATTTGTCAGATGGTTACTGTTACAAGACTGATTCGATCTTCCCATAACAAATGCCACTGTAGTTCTGCTTTTATTTCGGGAGAAAATAATTCACGCCTACACAAAAGCTATAAAACTCCTTGAAGTGATGAGTGACTAACGAACTCTTTGATCTGCCATTTCCTTCAATAACACCAAATAGTCTTGTTGTAAGGGGGTAACGGTGGGTAAGACGCTGGCTCGCTAACCTGGAGGTCGGGTGTTCGATCTCTGCATTTGGCCGAGTAACGGCTTAACGCCTCGATTTTAATTACGATGATTTATGCCCGTTTCAGGTATAGGATTATAATGCTTAACTGTAGTTGGATGTGGCAGAAATATTATGAATAACAATAATCAATCGTCGTTTTGATGAAAATATTGTCAATTTTGCTTACTGAGGCCCGATGTGATTTGCGTTGGCTTTGCTACGTGGAACTATATAGCTCTTATCTCGAAACACGAAGGGTTGAGAGATGAGGTCTGTCATCTCTGTGTATATACGTCTTCATTTCGCTCCCTAGACCCCTCGAAGATTCTTCTAGTGATAGGACACTGTATAGCGTATGCCCGTCTTCGTTTGACCAGTCGGAGCAGAACAGTAGGAAGTACGTTAAACCCCATTTCATTTGATTTTCATTTCTATAATAGGGAACATCGTCACACATGCTGATGAAGAGATGGATATGGAGGTTTCCCAAAACGCTTAGCTGTCGGATCGCCTAGCTTATCGTGAAGTCGCCCAAAATCAAAAGATCACTGCAGGAAGAAAGATGAGGGCGTGGCATTTTGGGCGTGTCTATTAGGGGTAACCCACCGCACAAACTGTCTGGCAGTGGTCATTCATGATTCCTCTCGTGGTACTGAACAACTTCAACTCCAAAGCTGTTTTAGCCTTGGTCTAAACATTAGATAACTCTTGTCAGGGATACCCCATCACTACAAATGTCTGGCAATTACATAGCTCTGTCAGGGGTACCCCACCACTAGAAATGTCTGTCAGAGTGTTTTTGTAATACCTGAAGATGTACGGTACATTGCTGTTTGATTTTCATGTGGTACACTTTTGAGCTAATCTAGACTAGTTGGGGGGCATGACATTTAGGGCGTGGAATACCACACCCACCACCAGAAACCCAGCAAACTTACATTCTGATGATACCAGATATACATACATTGATACCATATAGGAGAAAATTGGTACACTTTTCAGCTAGGTTGACCCCCTGGGCTCCCGCTCTATGAGTATTCACTGGTGTTCATATAGCTGTGTCACAGAGTATTTTTTTACTCTGTGGCTGTGTTTTTCTGTATTTAATTTGAGTCATTCTATGTGTCTTTGACTAGTCTCTGTCTACGGATGTATTCCGTCTGACTTACCATGTTTTTATTTTGCAAACTTCAAATATTTTTCATATATATTTAGGCATCTGTGCCGACACTAACTAGGTCATTTCTGGACTAACATATGGCTCAATTTTATTTCAATAATTAGCTTGCGCGTAAGGGTCTTGGGAACCCGGGGAAAACCCACGAGGTTGGAAAGGTGATCCTACTCATTGTCACGTACAACCGGGGAATCGAAACCATGCCAGATGACTCAATGACAGACCCCATGATACAACGATGACGTGCTAACCATTCGACCATCCAACCCCCCGGAAAAGTTAACAGTTTTCAAATTACGTATATATAGGCATTCATACAGACTGAGCGGGGGGTTGGGTGGCTGAATGGTTAGCACGTGCGCGCTGTACCATAAAGTCTGTCATTGAGTCAACTGGCGTGGTTTCGAATCCCCGGTTGTACGTGGCAAGGAGTAGGGTCGCCTGTCCAACCTCGTGGGTTTTCTCCGGGTCCTCCGGTTTCCTCCCACTGCTAAAGACCCCTACGCGCAAGCGAATTATGTAAATAAAATTAAACCATGTGTTAGTCCCGAAATGACCTAGTTTGTGTCGAGTGGACGTTAAACCCTATTTCTCTCTCTCTCTTTACACACTGAGCTTTTTAAAGAGAGAAATCCAGCGTCAAATTGTCGTCAAGTTTTATTATGAATTAATTAATACGATCACATTGTGATTCAATTTCATTGATGCAAAGCATTAATTGTGATATCACACAAGTCTATATCATTATCTCGCGCTTTCAATGCCCATCCCATGCCACCATCTGATGATAAAGGATAAAGCACCCGTTCCTGACACTTTTATCATAAAAACTGATGTTTTATATATTTTTTTTATGTTACTGATCAGGGGGAGGGGGAGGGGCGCCCCTCGGGATCCGACCCTGATATCATCACACGGAAAATGGTTTGGCCGGACTAGGCGAAACAATAAAAGTCTGCATTTACGCTTCAATAGGCGGCAGGGTTTTGTTATATAAAAATGGCGGGAAAAGATGCTATACAATTTACGGGATCCTACTTTTAAAACAAAAATAATGTTTCCAAGATAAAAGACGACCCGACGATTATATGGAACATAATCATTGATTACTAGGGTAGGACTGAATCTGAATTCAACCGGGGACCTCAATATTAAAGGGGTCTACTATTATTAGGAATTCCAACTGTCAAGGTTGTTTTTTAAGAGCACAGCAATGTGTATACACGGGACGTCGGGGTTTCCGTCAAATTCGAACAACCATACGCTGTCCTTGCCAGATCCTCCATCCTGCACGACTGGCATGGGGAAACCGCGAGCCAGCGTCAGCCATTGCAGCTCCGAGAACTGGAAACAGAACAATTCCATCTGATGAGGAAACTCCGTTTTCGTCCCATCCGAACGACTATACATTGTCCCTTGCCAGACACTCCGTCCTGCACTATACTAGGAGGAACCACGCCAGAAAAAAACCGAGATCCCGGTGAACTATCTCCGTCAACACAGGGATTGGGTGTGTGAAATAACCTTATTTTAACGTCCGCTTCCACCGAGGTGATATCGCAGACAGCAGGGATTGAACATGGATCTTATTTAGCGAGCTAGGACGGAGGGCCTGACAAGGACAGCTGTCTAGTCGTTCGGATGGGACGAAAAACCGAGGTCCCGTGTAGACTACAAATTGGCGTGCACGTAAAAGATCCCTTGGCAGTTGGAATTCGATATAAGAGTAGGCCGTAGCGCCGCTGCCCGTCTTCATTAGCCTAGTTTAGGAGCAAAACAGTAGGACGTTAAACCCCATTTTATTTCATTTATTTTTCTTTAGCGAGCTAACGTCATCTTACTCACTGCCGGTTTCCTCCCACTGCTAAAGACCCCTACGCGCAAGCGAATTATTGAAATAAAATTAAACCATATGTTAGTCCCGAAATGACCTAGTTTGTGTCGAGTGGACGTTAAACCCCATCTCTCTCTCTCTCTCTTACTCACTGAGCCACCGTTGCTCCCACGTGCAATGACACACCAGTAGTTTGGGCTCTCTGTCCAAAGTATTAATATATTATTAACACAACAAATCACTATCCGATATCTAAATAATAACCCGGTCAATTGCTTTTATCAACTTCATAATGTTTATAACACGTGATCTATAAATAGAATCAGTGAATTCAGTGTGAGTCACATGATAGTCACGAGACTGGCGTATAGCCGTACATTTAGAGGAAACTATTAGACGAAAGTGACGATAGTCTAGGGTTTCGATAAGTCGGATTTAAGTTCAAAATGAAGCATGTACTGCACCCAGATACCACTGTGACGACACTGATCATTTCTATTTTCATTATTTCTATTGTTAATTGTAAGTATCGTTTTGTTTAGAATTTGGTTTGCCAAAATGATACAGACTCAATTCAATTGTCATTAAATATTCATTATAATTATAAATGTATTTTAATGTTCAGTTCGTATTGTATGCTGCCTCTAATGGGGTGTTTAGATACAATAAAATCTTATCTTATGTTATCTTACTAGCTAGGAATTAAGAGCCCTGGCTGAATATGTCACTGGGGCTCTTATAGATATAACAAACCATAATCTCTCAACCCTCCGTGTTTCGAGATAAGACATGAGGCCATTACCTTCAACGTAGCACATGCGGGAGCGATTCGCACCCGGCATTTGTAAACAAAATTGACAATATTTTTAATAAAAACAACGATTGATTATTGTTATTTATAATATTTCTGCCAGACCCAACTACAATTAGGCATATAATCCTACCTGAAACGGGTACAAATTGTCGTTTTTAAAATTGAGGCGTTAAGCCGTTACTAAGACCGCCATCTTTTTAAATGATACGCTGTCATCATGAAGGCGGGGCTAAATATAAGGCTTTTATAACAGCCAATCAATAGGGCAATCTAAAGCTCTGTAACTATGAATGGATTTCGATGGCGGTAAATGTCAGAAAAAACCAACGCTTCATTAATTTAAACGCGAATATTTGGAGTTAGGCGACAGTTGTGCCACTACATTGGCCTCTGTAAGTTTAATTAATCATAATAGCATAAACTTATCTTATTTTAAAGATGTTACATGCATTAATAAAGAAATTGAGTTTGCCACTTGGAACTAAAGGCATCCAATCGTAGCTAAAAACAAACACATCAGTATATCTCAACGTTTTTAGCTACGTTCTCGTAGCTAGGACTCTTAAACCAACAGTGAACACTGATCCCGTCTCCACCAGATTTATTTTAATCCGAGCAATCTCTCAACAGGTTCAAGTACTTGTATGATGATCCCCTTAAAATCCTTAAAATTTAATCCGATCCTGTCTCAGTATGGTAATCAAATTTATTTTAATCTCTGCAATCTCTCAGCAGGTGCAAACACTTGTAAGATGGTATCAGCATGGACCTTATAATAAGGTCTTTATGAGGTCCATGATAGCCTATTAGGTAGGCCTACCCTAATCTGTTGGCTGTGTAGGGATTTATTTCCTACCTAAAGTAAATGCTGATTTATATCAATGTGGTTTTCAAAATTAAACTTTTATAAATTACCGTACATTAGGCCAAATCCATGTGCTTATAAAGAAATGAAATGGGGTTTAACGTCCTACTGTTCTGCTCCAAACTGGGCTTATAAAGATGGGCATACGCCATACAGTGTGCTAGCTAAGAGATATTTTGCCCGGACAGCGACACTACGACCTACTCTTATATCGAATTCCAACTGCCAAGGGATCTTTTATGTGCACACCAATGTATACACAGGTGACTACAGGTCATCTTTTTTTGTCCCATCCGAACTACTATACGTCGTCCCTTATCAGGCCCTCCATCCTGCACTACTAACAATTGAGTATTAAAGAATCATGATAGGTTTAATTTTTTTTTTTTAAAAATGGGGGGTTGGATGGCCGAATGGTTAGCATGTGCTCGCTGTAGCATGAGGCCTGTCATTGAGTCAACTGGCATGGTTTCGAATCTCCAGTTGTACGTGACAAGGAGTAGGGTCGCCTGCCCAAACTCGTGGGTTTTCTCCGGGTCATTCGTTTTCCCCACACTGCTAAAGTTATTGAAATAAAATTGAACCATATGCTATGTTAGTCCCGAAATGACCTAGTTTGTGTCGAGTGGATGTTAAAGGAGTAGGGTCGCCTGCCCAAACTCATGGGTTTTCTCCGGGTCATTCGTTTTCCCCGCACTGCTAAAATTATTGAAATAAAATTGAACCATATGCTATGTTAGTCCCAAAATGACCTAGTTTGTTTCGAGTGGATGTTAAACCCCACCTCTCTCTCTCTCTCTCTCTCCCTCTCTGTGTCTTGTAGCAAGCTATATTTCTACCATGTTCCTGAAGCAATGACCGCAAGTTTTACAACATCTAAACCATATGCTACATGCTTTGCAATTCCCGAAATTATAGCAATGTTCTCTGCCTTTGCCGCAGACACATAAACAGAAGTGTCCAATCAGAGGTTGTGACACAAACACACTCAAATCATACATGGTTGACATAGTAGCTGGAAAGCACAAGACTTGGTATTTGCGATGATCGGGGAATCTGATTGGCTCCCAAGCTGCGTTAGTACCCAATCAAAATTAGTGCCGAAATATTTGAGGTATTACGTGAAACCGAGATCACGCCTTCTATTGAAGATGTATTCCTACCTAACATAAGGTATTATATTTTTGCAGCAAAGACAATAAATGTGAGAGATGACAGAGAAGTATGGGACTATGTTACAGTTCGACCGTCTGCCCATATGTTTTATTGGCACTATGATACAATAAATAGTGCTGGGTTTAAAAATGTACCATATGTACTGTGGCTACAGGTAAAATTACACATATAATTAAATTGTATTAAAACGAAATTTCATCTTTAAAGGGACAATAACACTCTTGCTGGCTTGACAGCTCCAGAAAATAAATAATAGCCTTATTCTAAGTACTAGATGTGTTAGTGTCTTACCTGTTGTGTAAATTATCCATTAAATCCTTTTTTACTTGTCCAGAGGGTTCAAAAATATTTTTAAATCCAAGTCACATTTGAAAAGCTTTACGTCAGGCTTTTCAAATCATTTAGTTGAATTTTTCCAATTTTTTAAATTAGGTGTGTTAAGATGAAATTTGTATCATCAATTAATTGGAATATTGTAAAATAGTACAATTTGTTGACCAGAATAAAGATTGGGACATATTATTCAGTTACAACAAGAGTGGTATTGAGCCTTTAAATAGCATTTTGTAACTGAATACAGTAAAAACAAAAACACATACTTATGGGCAACACCTACTAGTGTATTTAAGGCAACAGTTTGAAGGGTGTTCTCTTAACCTTATCAAACTAATACAGCAATACAGTTATGAGGCAAATTATAAAAACATAACCAAAACCATGACAACAACAAGATAAAAGGTCTGTCATTTTGGTTGAGACTTTGGGACACAATAACGTTGATGTAGGAGACATAAACGTGGTGTAAATGTTCATTGATTGAGACGAATGAGGGGCATTTTCTTCCGACGCTAAACAGAGATAAGCATTTTGATTGGTCAATGCTTTGGGGCATGGTAACTTTGATACAAATTGTTGTGAACTTTCATTAAATCAGCAGCCTACCCCATTTATCTCTTATGTCTATAATCTAAATTACCATACCATATTCATAATTTCTATTTGTAAGGGAGGACCTGGCGGTTCAAGTACAGGATTTGGTAATTTTGGAGAAATTGGTCCATTGGGTGTTGATTTAAAACCAAGGAACACGACATGGGTAAGTTAAGCTTTCTTTCCTTCATTCATTGCGGGACGGAGGGCCTGACATGGACAGCTGTCTAGTCATTCGGTTGGGACGAAAACTGCAATCCTGTGTACGCATTGACATGCACGTTAAACATCCCTTGGCAGTTGGAATTCGATTTAAAAGTAGGCCATAGTGCTACTGTCTGAACAAAATTTCCCTCATAGCACTCTGTATGGTGTATGCCCGTCTTCATTAGCCAAGTTCGGAGCAGAACAGTAGGATGTTAAACCCCCTTTCATTCATTCATCACCCATGCATTCATTCATTCAGTCATTTATAACCATCTTTGCTGAGGTGTCATTCATTCATTCATTCAGTCATAACCATCTTTTCTGAAGTGCAATTAAAGTTCATTCATTCATTACCATCTTTATTGTATCATGGGACTCATAGTTACTATGTTTAGGATGTAATGGAGATATTGGAAAGGAGGGTGGTGGTGGGGACACTTTTTTCACCAGTTGATGATTAGTAGGGACAAGAACGTCAGAGCTGTATCTTCCTCTGGTAGTATATTTTTAAGTGAAATGAAATGCAGTTGGTGTTTCTTCAATTTCCAACTTTCTGGTTCCAGGTCGGTCGTATATGCCGGTCATTGAAAATGACCGAAACAAGGTCTGACGCATTGGGCAGTTTGCACTTAGGAAAAATAGTTTATGGCTACATGTGTCGGCATATATGTTTTATATTTCAGTTACAGTAAATGTTAGTTATATTTAAGTTACGGTATGCTAGTTTATTGTGTTTTATATTTCAGTTACAATATGCTAGTTTATTATATTTCAGTTACAGTATGCTAGTTTATAATAAAGATATGTTTTATATTTCAGTTACAGTATGCTAGTTTATTATATTTCAGTTACAGTTTGCTAGTTTATTATATTTCAGTTACAGTATGCTAGTTTATTATAAAGATATGTTTTATATTTCAGTTACAGTATGCTAGTTTATTATTTATTGATAATCCTGTAGGAACAGGATATAGTTATGTAGATAACGATTCTGCTTATACAACTGATGTACAAATGATAGCCAATGATTTATTTACTGTTCTAACAGCTGTCATGGAAAAAGTTCCAGGTTTTCAGGTAATTACTTAAAGATACATTGTGGGAGATTAGATAAAGAGCTGGTAGTTCTCACTATAATAGTTAAAAACTAGACAATGTAAAGGCAATTTGCTGAAAATTTCAGTCAAATTCATCCACCCTGAACCGAATATTTAGCAGCAGACCGGGTTCTAATCCAGTAAATATCGCATGCTAGCGATGCCATCAAGAGTTGATTATGGTCTGGATAAGTTAATTAATGTCTAATTAATAATTTAGTAGTCTCTATCATCCAGAAAAATATTCTACGAATATTAGTCTGGACAGGTTGTCAACATTTGAGAAAAATTGGCTAGATAATCCAGTCTTTCACATTATCATAAACAATGTCTAAGGGAGGTAACTCCTCTTAAAACAAGATGTTTACGCCCATGAAATTAATTTAAGAATGACATTTCAAAAAATCCATTTGATTGCATGCGAGTTCAATATCTGACACTCTCAATTTTTTATTGTAAAATTTCTCTTTTCATGGGCCATATCTATGCTGTTAAAATTAATCCTAATTCGTCGTCACGATCCATGTTTGTTTATATTAATGCAAGATTTATGGGATTTATTGTGGGAAGGGGCGCAACTCTTACTTGACTTGACTAAAGAGACTGGATAATCAACCACATTAAAAAACCAAACTCCCGGTTACGCATGGGCAATGGACAACCTTCCCAGACCCTCCGTATGTTGAAGACTAGGAGGTTCTGGGTGACCGAGACTAATAATTTAGATAACATTTCAGGCCTAAAGAAAGGCCTGCATAAGGCAGATTTAGCTCTTGCATAGCGGTGTGTTTAAGTTTAAAGATACATTATGTAAGATTTAGATAAAGAGCTGACTGTTCTCAAAGTAATAGTTAACAAATGGATAATGAAAAGGGAATATGTTGAAAATTTCAGTCAAATTAGGCTAAGCAGAGATAAGCAATTTGATTGGGCGTTGCTTTGGGACACAAGTAATCTCCTTCTTATTTAGCAACAATGTTCAAACTTGGTGTAGGTCTTTATTACATGAATGCATTGATCTGGTTTGAAGATGAGAATACTTTTTTATTTATTTTAGTCTGTTCCATTTTACATTTTCTCTGAATCATATGGTGGAAAAATGACTGCTGCATTTAGTCAAGTTTTATATGATGTAAGTATCAATTTATTTATATTAAAGTTACATTCCCACGAAAGTATATATATTAAAGTGACATTCCCACGAAAGTATTTGTATTAAAGTTATTTCTCATAAAATTATGACAAATTTGGTATATGTGGAAAGTCAAACCCATGATGTGCGAATAGGAAAAAAATGTAATGGTATCACACACTGCCAGGATGTTGGCTTGCTGTCTGCTCTGCAGTGGTACAGGATTCACATAAAAATAGGGTCGCCTGTCCAACCTCATGGGTTTTCTTCGGGTCATCCAGTTTCCTCCCACTGCTAAAGACGCCTACGCGCAAGAGAATTATTGAAATAGAATTGAACCATATGTTGGTCTCGAAATGACCTAGTTTGTGTTGAGTGGATTTAAACCCCATTTCTTCCTCTCTCTCTCTTTCTCTCACTCTCTCTCTCTCTCTCTCTCTCTCTCTCTGGCTAATCAGAAGGATAAATCCTATCCAAATTCAGACTTGACAATATTTTCCGTAGTTATTGCCTCTGAAAAGTTAATTAAGAGCTACCATTCAAAATGTTGATAAGGTATATTTGTTGATAATTTTATTAAGGATTAAATATTACAGGGAATACAGGCAGGAAAAATATCATGTAATTTTAAAGGTCTTGCAATGGGTGATTCGTGGATTTCTCCCATAGATTCTGTTTTAACGTGGGCACCATATCTTTATACAAATGTAAGTACATTAACCCATTAATCCCCGCAAAACTGGTGTAAAATTAACCCATTAACCCCCCAAAACTTAGCATTATGCTCTACACCTGACACTGCCAGAGCCATATCTATTCCACAATTGGTTTAAAATTAATTTATCAATCAATTCAACAATTGATAAAGCATTCAGCCATTGTTAACCTCAAGGTAGAAAGGACACGTTTTATCGCGATTGAATATAGATGTCCGAAATATTCACAGCAATTTGAAAGCCATGACACATTGAGGTAACAATGTTTTATATTTAAAAGAAACGGCCTATTAAATTTTGTTCCTGTTTTTCTCGTTCCCTTTTGCAAAATTGTTGTGTGACGTATGACCCATTTAAATTCATCAAATATGTATAGTCAAATTTATCACAAATCGAAAATTTCACATGACATAATCACTAGAAAATACATCAATGGCGGCCATTTTGATTTGCCTGAGAATACGAGACTGGCATCATCCAGATTCTTAATCTGCGCAGTTTAATATTAATAAATGTTAGGCTGTATTTCCTGTTTTTCAAGCTATTTCGGGAGCCATGGTGGCTCTGCGTGTAAGACCATGGCTCGCTAACCCGGAGGTCCCATCGATCCCTGTGTTGGCTGAGAGGTCCGGTGGAATTCCATATAAGAGTGGGGGGGTTGGATGGCCGAATGGTTAGCACGTGCGTGCTGTTTTATAAGGTCTGTCATCGAGTCAACTGGCGTGGTTTCGAATCCCGGGTTGTGCGTGACAAGGAGTAGGGTCGCCTGTCCAACCTTGTGGGTTTTCTCCAGGACCTCCTGTTTCCTCCCATTGCTAAAGACCCCTACGCGCAAGTGAATGATTGAAATAAAATTAAACCATATGTTAATCCCAAAATGACCTAGTTTGTGTCGAGTGGACGTTAAACCCCATTTCTCTCTCTCTCCATATAAGAGTAGGCCTAAGGAACCGCTGTCCGAGCAAAATTTCCCTGATAGCACACTGTATGGAGTACATCTGTCTTCTTTAACCCAGTCAGAGCAGAACAACAGAACGTTAAACTCCATTTCATTTGATTTCAGTCTTTAGTAGATTTGCCTGGATATAAATTGGTTGAAGCCGCTGCCATGAAAACTAAAATGTTTATAGAAAAGGATCTTTTTTTAAATGCTACGGCTGAATGGGGAGCCACAGAATCAATTGTTGAACAGGTTACAAATGGTGTCAACTTTTACAATATTTTAGAGTGGGGAGGCTCGGACAAATTAAACAGTATCAAATTAAACCAGAATCTGGGATCATTAGGTAATGATAATAATAATTATGTGTATTTATAGACCTATACTGCACGTGTACTTTGAGGTCAGTCATCTTCTACAGTGTAGGTTTCCTCCCACTGCTAAAGACCCCTACACACAAGTGAATTCTTGAAATAAAATTGAACCATATGTTCGTCATGAAATGACTGTCGAATGGACGTTAATCTCTCTCCTCTCTCTCTCTAGAGTAGGATTCCCTCCTACTGCTATAGACCTTTAAACGCAAGCGAATTCTTGAAATAAAATTTAAACTATATGTTAGTCCTGAAATGACCTAGTTTTTGTGTCAGGTAGACGTTAAACTCCATTTCTCTCTTTCTCTTTCTTGAAGATTCATTTAATTTTGTTTGTTTCAGAGAAATTATGGAAACGTCATGTTGGAGTTTATCAAGCTGAAGATCTTGCAGCATTAATGAATGGTCCTATTAGGGAGAAATTACGAATTATACCCAATAATGTCACATGGGGAGGTACATTGTCTTAATATTTATTTATACTATCATATTAAAGATGGGCCCCCCTACATTATGGTCGTTCTTGCTGTAATAGTTTACAGTTAATGTTAATCAGTTGTGTGACTTAAATTTAGCCACACATTATGCAAGAGCAAAATCTGCTTATTACAAGCCTTTCTTTAGGCCTGAAATGTTATCTAATTTATCAATTAGACATTAATGAACTTATCCAGACCATAATCAACTCTTGATGTCAAGGCTAGCCTTCGATGTTGGCTGGATTAGATTCCTATATGCCGCTAACGACCATTGATAATTAAATCAAAACAATGGATAATTGAGACTATGCTGTTTATATTGATGATTTTAGTAATGGTGACCGAGACTATGTGAAAATTTCACCCGCTTCTTTCTCGGCTCATAGTGGATCAATTTGACTGAAATTTTCAGCAAATTACCTTTACATTATCTAGTTTTTAACTATTATAGCGAGAACTGCCATCTTTTTATCTTATCTTTCATAATGTATCTTTAAAGAGATTAATTCAATACAGGCATATTCAAAGGCCAGGCAAACCAGGCAGTGTAGTTGAGAACACCTTTATTACAAAACATCTCTTGAACCAGTGATATACTTGATGATGAGTTACCAGAAATAACTTTTCTTGGCATGTGTGATGAACCAAACAATATATAACAATGTGTAATTTGTTCTAGGTCAGTCTGGTATGGTATTTACCAAACAAAGTGGAGATTTTATGAAACCAGTTACAGATATAGGTTCGTATACAATTTAGTGTAGTAAGTGGGCCTTAGGCCTGTTTTCCATGTACACGTTTTCGTCAGTGAAAAAGTAAGTCTAATGTAAATGTAATGGGACCGCTACCATGTAATGGTAAAAAAACATGTGCACATGGAAAGCAGGCTTTATGCCAATTAGAAATTCCTCGGATTTAATAATGTGTGTTCCCATGGAAACAATTTTGAGTTTGATTCAAAGGGGAAGAAGTAGTATAATGTGTGCACTTGGTTTAGATCCCCCAAGAGTAGGATCGCCTGCCCAACCATGTAGGTTTCGAATCCCCGTTTGTACATGGCAAGGAGTAGGGTTGCCTGTCCAACCTCGTGGGTTTTCTCCGGGTCCTCGGGTTTCCTCCCACTGCTAAAGACCCCTACGCGCAAGCGAATTATTGAAATAAAAATCAAACCATATGTTAGTCCCGAAATGATCTAGTTTGTGTCGGGTGAACGTTAAACCCCATTTCTCTCTCTCCCAACCTTGTAAGTTTTTTTTCTGGGTCCTCTGGTTTCCTCCCACCGCTGAAGACATATACGTGCATGCAAATTATTGAAATATAATTATCCCAGTATGAAATATAATTATCCCAGTATGACCTAATTTGGTTTACTGTTCACCAAGATTCAAATGGCTTTGTGTATTTTTGATTTCCTTGTATTTTATATTCATTTATTTAATTTTACATTGGTATCATCATTTACTCATTGGTAGCCTATCATCATTTACTCATTGATATTATCATTTACTCATTGGTATCTTCATTTACTCATTGGTATCATCATTTGCTCATTGGTAGCCTATCATCATTTACTCATTGATATTATCATCATTTGCTCATTGATATTATCATCATTTGCTCATTGGTAGCCTATCATCATTTACCCATTGATATTATCATTTACTCATTGGTATCATCATTTACTCATCGGTATCATCATTTACTCATTTGGTATCATCATTTACTCATTGGTATCATCATTTACTCATTGGTATCATCATTTACTCATTGGTAGCCTATCATCATTTACTCATTGATATTATCATTTACTCATTGGTATCATCATTTACTCATTGATATCATCATTTACTCATTGGTATCATCATTTGCTCATTGGTATCATCATTTACTCATTGGTATTATCATTTACTCATTGGTAGCCTATCATCATTTACTCATTGCTATTATCATTTACTCATTGGTATAATCATTTACTCATTGGTATAATCATTTACTCATTGGTATCATCATTTGCTCATTGCTATCATCATTTACTCATTGGTATCATCATTTGCTCATTGCTATCATCATTTACTCATTGATATCATCATTTACTCATTGGTATCATCATTTGCTCATTGGTATCATCATTTACTCATTGGTATTATCACAATATATTGAATTTTTCAGTGAATAATTTAATTAATAAAACACCTTTATCAGTTGTGGTATATAGTGGTCAGTTAGATCTTATTGTAGATACATTAGGTGAGTTGCTATAGATATAATTAGATCTTATTGTTGATACATTAGGTGAGTTGCTATAGATACAATTAATGATCTACTATACTTGAAAACCTATTGTTTCTATTCGTATATGCCCACTGGGAGGTTCCTTGTTCGATCCCTGTGTTCGCAGAGAAAGTTCATCAGGATTGTCCGGTGTGGTTACACCTTGTTAGTGGTGCAGGACAGTGTCTAGTAAGGGACAACGTATAGTCGCTTGAATGGAATATAAAACAGGTCCAGTGTATACATTGGCGTGCATGTGAAAAATCCCTTGGCTGTTGGAATTTGATATAAGAGTAGGTCGTAGCGCCGCTGTATAGGCAATATTTCCCTCATAGCACACTGTGTGGCGTTTGCCTGTCTTCATTAACCCAGTCAGTGCAGAACAGTAGGATGTTAAACTCCATTTCATTTCATTTCAGGAACTGAAAGTTGGGTAAACCGTTTGAATATAGCTGAAGAGTTTAACTCAGCTTCTCGTAAACCTATCCTCAATCCCATGACAGATTTAACATCAGGTTTTGTTAAAAAAGCTAAAAACTTCTCGTTTTATTGGATATTAGACGCTGGTCACATGGTAAGTATAAATATAGTAAGTTTAAAAAATAGAAAAAATTGAAAACTACACGAGGTGACCGAGAACTGTTACAATCAATCAACTAAATTAAAAATAAAATCACCAAATTTTATCCGATCAAGTAGATAACTAAGTATTCTAAAAAGTCCAAAGCACCCAAGTATTCTAAAAAGTCCAAAGCACCCAATCGCGGCGATTTTTAAAATCGCTCGAAAAATACGCCTGTGTGCCCCTTCAAAGCGATGACTATTCTGCTCGGCGAACTATCGCTCGATCAATCGCTTGTATCTAGCATGTTAGATATTTTCGGCCGAATATTTTTCGCCTGTGTGCCGGTGCCCAGTGTATATTATCGGGCGATTCATTTTTATAAGCCAATCATCGACATAGTTGATATCACATGATCTCAAAATGGCTGCCATTTTGTACAAGTCATGTGATCGACATAATTACTCACAGAGTGGCCTACGCTCACGAGACGATCGCTACGTGTGCCCGTTCGTTATCGGCCGTAAAAAATAGTTGGCGAATTTCAATCGCCGAGATCGGGCGGAAAAATACACTCGTCTGTCCATAGCATAAAGAAGTTAATTTTTTAAAGGCTTCATTGATAAATAAGTGAACGAATATTGTCATGTGAATGTCTATTTTGGGATAATGTTTGCTGCGTCTAATGAAAGCACATGCCCATGAGTGAATAGTTTTCATTCAAGTATTTGTCATTGAGATGCATCATGCTCACAAGTAGGTTCAGTTTTTATTAGAATTTGCGGCTGTGAACCACCCTATTATAGTACAGGATTCAAGAAACCAGGCCCTTGTTTCACAAAACATTCTCAGACTTGAAAATTTACTCAAAATTGTTCGCCTTATTTTAACTAAAATATAGCCCTTTATAAAACTTATGTTGTTTTTATGTATCAAATACATCAATAAGAAACTATGTGCAAAGTTTTGTGTTTCTGGATCAAAGATATTTCATATAAACAGTGATTGAAAGTTGAGTAAATTCTTAAGTCTGAGAATGCTTTGTGGACTCTGCCTGGAGATTCAGGCTCTTTTATTTTTAGACAATTTATGTTGATGGTTTTGTTTTTTTTAGGTTCCATCTGACAACGGTCCAACAGCAGCAAAAATGCTCCGAATGATTACAAACCAGGATAATTGATATCACAGAATTATTAATTTTGTTATGTTTTCCATTTTAATAAAATATTTTGTTGTTAATAGGCCTACTGTCAGCCACATGTAACAACTGTGTTTGTCAATATAATTTAGGGTAAGACGCTGGCTTGATAGCCTGGAGGTCGGGTGTTCGATCCCTGCATTGATGGAGAAAGTTCATCAGGATTTTCCAACATGGTTTCCCCTTGTTAGTGGTGCAGGACATGGACAACTGTCTAGTTGTTAGGATGGGACGGAAAACTGAAGTCAAGTGAACACATTGGTGCACATGTAAAAGACCCCTTGACAGTTGGAATTCGATGTAAGACTAAGAGTAGGCTGTAGTGCCACTGTCATGGCAAAATTTCCCTCATAGCACACTGTGTGGCGTATCCCCGTCTTCATTAGCCCAGTTCGGAGCAGAACAGTAGGACATTAAACCCCATTTCATTTCTTTCAATATAATTTATCACTTAATGTTTTTGCTCGAAACATTTTTTATACACAACACCCTTGTTCTGAAGTGGTGCCTTTTGCTAATGTACTTAGAAATGTTAAACATTTTATATTTCCATGGGAAAATGCCATCTTCTCCCGCAATTGTCCCCTTGCCAGACCCAAATTAAGTATTAGTGGGAAAAGCATATGCTGGAATTTATTTTGTGAGTTTCACCACATTTAATATCATTGAAGTAATTGAAAAATTAATTTTAACATGAATAAATCTGTGAAAAGTTGGATATTTGTCCAACCTGTTTAACAGGTTTGTTAATATATAAATAGAAAGAGAGACAGCGATGGGGTTTAACATCAACTTGACACAAACTAGGCCATTTCGGTCCTAACATATGGTTTAATTATATTTCAATAATTTGCTTGCGTGTAGGGGCCTTTAGCAGTGGGAGGAAACCCCGGAGGACCCGAAGAAAACCCACAAGGTTAGACAGGCGACCCTACACCTTGCCACGTACAACCGGGGATTCAAAACCACGCCAGTTGACTCAATGACAGGCCTTATGATACAGCGTGCACATGCTAACCATTCGGCCATCCAACCCCCACACTCAATGACAGGCCTTATGATACAGCGCGCACATGCTAACCATTCGGCCATCGAACGCCGCCAATATATACTCAGCCAAATTAAAAACTTGACACTGATGAATTTCAGCAAATTTTTTTTTCTGGTAAGTCAAATAAATTTTAAAGTGTTTCTAACGATAGTAAGTAGTAAGAAGCCTTTAATTTCATAAAAATTGTAAAGTCACGTGGATCACGTGACTTCTGAGCATATAAAGATGAAAAACCTGAAAAACACGTGCAAACACAAACTCGTGAGGTCAATCGATGCAAGTTTGCTTAAACTGAACACGCACACGTAACTTGAACTGGAAAAACAAATTAAAATTGTTATTTTCATCTTTGTTAGAAAATGCCGTGCCTTTCAAATGTAGAACGTCTACGTGCTGTAGGCTCTATGCTGGCCAGTCTGTGGTCACTGTTGCAAGAGCCTTTAATTGTTCACGCCAGACAATAATTAATCTTAGAATGAGAGTGCTTCAAACTGCGGGAGCGCCACGTGTGACGTCACTTCAGGAAGATCAGGCAATACGATTACGTCATCTTAGAAACAGATTTGTCACTGCAACCTCCACAAGTAGAGAGATGTTTGGTGGAAGGGTAACTGCACAAACTGTTCGAAATCGCTTGCAGACTGCTGGTCTTCGAGCTCGGAGGCCCTATAATGGACCAATATTGACACCTCTTCATCGCCGTAACCGACTTGTGTGGGCCACAAGACACATAAGATTTACTCAAAGACAGTGGAATTCGGTTGTCTTTAGTGACGAATCTCGATGGCAGGGTCCGAGTGTACCACAGATGAGGTGAACGTCAGCAAGTGAATCCACCACTGATTGCAGGACCTTCAACATGCTCTTGCTGAGCAGTGGCGACGTCTTCCACGGGTAGTGTTTACTAATGTTCTGAGATCCATGAGAAGACGTTGTGTGGCAGTACGAGACGCTAGAGGAGGCCACAACCGTTACTAAACACTTTATCCTGATTGTTCTCCAAGTCTGTGAATTTCATTTTGGGGGGTACTGTGACATCACGAACGTTATCAATGTCAAGGACTTTCGGCGAGACGTATTCTTGCTTTCTGTTGATGTCAAGGTCGTCTGTGCACAAAATAACACTAAAATAGTTGCCTTAAACCAAATATTAAAAATCTAGTCCCAAAAATCCTGAGTGTCAAGTTTTTAATTTGGCTGAGTATATAAATAAAATAAAAGTCTGTATGTATGTTCACCCATCACACTGTCTTAGCGCTGCTCCGTCCCCTACATATGTGGAATCAAATTCACCAGCATGACCCCTGTGAATGATTTTTAGGCCATCAATTTTGAGCCCCGGGTGAATCACGTCTTGTCTTATGGCACTCCACCCCCCTGCATGTGGTATCAAATTAAGCAGCATGACCCCCACTGAATTTGGGCCCTGCTAGTTGATGTATACTATTCAAAAAAAGTAGGGGATATTTGATTTTGGGGGCATAATACTAAAATATGCAAATGACTACGAAAAAAGTCACTATAGAATCTAACAGAAGAAACATTTCCAGTTACATGTTACGCCCAAACGCACTAATAGCTACCGCATGGAATGCAGGTGATGCTTGGGATCATCATGGGGGTCCAACCCAAGATTTGCACGACTCTGACTTTGAATGTTACAGTCATTGTGGCATTGAATTCCAGGGTGGAAACATCAGTTTAATTGTTTTAGTGACCAGAAAACAAATTTTGATATGCGTCGGCTTACCCAAAATGAAAGGTTACGTGCCCTTGGCATGCTACAGATCGGCACAACACAGGCGGTTGTGGCGCGGACGATGAATGTTTCTCGGTCTGTCATAAGCAGGCTATGGTCCAGATACCGTGATACACAATCTGTACAGGACAGACCACGCTCAGGTCGACCAAGGGCGACAACTCAAGCCCAGGATCGATTTATCCGTACCTTGGCCTTGAGAAATCGTGTCATCACAGCAAATCAGATCAGCGCTCGTCTTCAAACAGACACTGGTGTGAGAGTGAGTGGCCAGACGATTCGGAATCGACTGCATAGGGGTCACCTTCGCGCCCGACGTCCTCGCGTGATCCCTTGTTTGAGAGATCATCACATTCAGGCAAGACGTCGTTGGTGTAGGGATCGTCAACACTGGGATAATCGACGCTGGAGCAATGTGATGTTTTCAGATGAGTCAAGGTTCACTGTTGATTTTTTGGACAGACGTAGGAGGGTGTGGCGTCGTCGAAACGAGCGCTTCCAAGACGTTAACGTCATCAGACATGATCGATTTGGGGGTGGTTCTGTTATGGTGTGGGGAGGCATCACTGTTGCTGGAAGAACGGCTTTACATGTTGTTGCAGGGCGTGTTACAGGCCAGTACTACCGGGACAACATCTTGGCAGTTCATGTTGTGCCGTTCGCACGACGTCATGGCCGCCGTTTCATCTTCCAGGATGACAACGCAAGATGTCACAGGGCCAGGATCGTTACAGGTTACCTCCAACAACAGAACATCACCACATTACCTTGGCCAGCACTGAGTCCCGACCTCTTCCCCATCGAGCATGTCTGGGACATGCTTGGACAGAGGTTACGTCAACGTCAACAACGTCCTGCCAATGTCCAAGAACTTGCTGCTGCGTTGCAACAGGAATGGGACAATCTGGACCAAAATGACCTTAGACGTCTCATTAGGAGTATGCCACGTCGGATCAATGCTTGTTTGGCAAACAGAGGAGGATTTACCCGTTACTGACTTGGTTGTGATGCTGTGGTAACTTTGCTGTTTGACCCCGGGTATCATTTTACCCTTATAATGGTCAGTCTGTGCCTTACTTAGTCTAACGATCATTTGGAATAAATCGATGAATGTGAACTTCATTTCATTTTGTCATTTGTTTCTTCGTCAGTTTCATTAGGTGACTTTAATAACACTTAAAAATCAAATATCCCCTACTTTTTTTGAATAGTATATATTTAACAGGTTTGTTAAATGATAATGACTAAAGCAAAAGCTGTTTAGGCAGCAGTGAATGTATCACAAATCTGAAATCTGACATAGTGTGGTTTAATTTTGTTTTAGTATATGACAACTAGTGCTATCCAAGCCATCTGTTTCACAGTGATAATAAAACAGTCCTCTAATTTACTCTGCAGAAGATGAACGACCTTTAAGTGTATATTTACTACTGAATAGTTTGCTACCCAAGGTGACATCATAGACAGCTAAAGTATTTATAAGGCCAGCTCAAGGTCCCCCCCCCCCCCCCCGAGATGAAAATAAGGTTAGGGCTTGTAATTGTTGGTGAGATTGTAGGTTAGGTAAGCACTGGGGCCAGGGTTAGGGTTGGGATTAGCAGTAGCCCTGTTTACATCTTGTTATCTTTGACCAAACTTGAAGTTGGCCTAATCAAATAGATCTAACTCAAAGAAACCGTCATTGTTGCTTTCTGCTATACACTAGGCATGCTCAGCTGTGCCCCCTGTTATACAATCTGTGTCCACTACCCAAGACAGTGATTCCCAAGTGTGCCGTCAAGTTTGGAATGGCACATGAAGAAAATGCGAAAGATAGGTTGCCAGGCAACGAAATATACGCCCACAGCAGCTAAATCGTCCGGGCAGTCAACAAGAGTTGTCGCATATTTTTACTTTTTTCGGTAATGAAACATTTATAATACACTAAAATCTTATTAAGAGCAACAACTCAGAAAACCATTAGAATTTGTTTGGTTTTTATAAAGTTCTGCCCCATGCTAACGTTTTGTATACAGAACTTTTAATACTGTATCATGAATTTAGCTGTCCCAAGTCATAAAAATTCATTGAAAATCAATATACTTGTTTGTCTCAAGATCTTAAACTCTGTGTATCAATCTGCAGTCAATCGGATATTAACTTTGGCCTCTAGAGCGTCCACAAGATTTTTCAAAGTGATCAAGGGCCATAACTTTGGCAGTAATTATCGGAAATCTTTGAAAATCAATAGGATTCTTCATCTCATGACCTTAAATACTGTGTATAAATTTAAAGTCAATCGGATATTAACTTTGGCCTCTAGAGCGTCCACAAGATTTTTTGAAGTGATCAAAGGCCATAACTCTGGCAGTAATTATCGGAAATCGCTGAAAATCAATAGGCTTCTTCGTCTCATGACCTTAAACACTGTGTATAAATTCAAAGTCAATCGGATATTAACTTTCGCCTCTAGAGCGTCCAAAAGATTTTTTGAAGTGATCAAGGGCCATAACTCTGGCAGTAATTATCGGAAATCGCTGAAAATCAATAGGATTCTTCGTCTCATGACCTTAAACACTGTGTATAAATTTAAAGTCAATCGGATATTAACTTTCGCCTCTCGAGCGTCCACAAGAATTTTTGAAGTGATCAAGGGCCATAACTCTGGCAGTAATTATCGGAAATCGCTGAAAATCAATAGGCTTCTTCGTCTCATGGCCTTAAACACTGTATATAAATTTAAAGTCAATCAGATATTTACTTTAGCCTCTAGAGCGTCCACAAGCAATTGTGGACGCCGGACCGCCGGAGACGACAATATACGACCACATTTCAATGTGGGCGAATAAAAACCATGTGATCCCAATTGAATATTCACTGGTGTCTATGGATAAGTTCATAGCTGTGTTTTTCTTTATTTAGTTGGAGTCATTCTATGTGCCTATGATTAGTCTATGGTTTTATACTGTCTAACTTACCATAGTTTTTTTTGTGTGCAAAATTCAAATATATTTAGTCAGGTGTGCTGCTATTTTTTCATGTGTTCCAAGGTGTGCCATTGCCAAAGAAAGGTTGAGAACCACTGACCCAAGGTGACATCACAGGCAGGTGCCCCCTCTCCCCCACCCACCAAAGTTGCCTTCTGCTATACACTAGACATGCTCAGCTGTATTTATCCAATCCGTATCCAGTATCAACCAGCTGTGAACAACACCAACCAACACATAGTACTTGTTCTGTATGCCAACATGCAAAAACATTTCAGCCTTCAACAATGAATTTTATGCCATAGCAACAGAAGTAGCAACAGAATAAAAACAAATTTTAAAACTGAATCATTTAATTACAATAACTCATCTTGCCAAATAAATCATGTTTATATACAATGATAATAATTGTTAAAACGTTCCTCAGATAACTTATAAACAATAGGCTAATAATAAAACATACTAGACGCTAGTCCGAGTCTATCAAATATTTATAACTAATCAACTTGCACCAAACTTTTACCTTTTATAGTATCGGACTAGTTTCTAGATATGATATAGTGTGGCTATATAATTTAGAGTCTTCATCAAGTCAGGAAAGAAGGCACCAGTCAGGCATGATATCCCTCTGGTGTCTGTTAGGGACATAGTTAGGATCTTCATCAAGACACCAGTTCGAGACATTGTCAGGCATGACATCCCTCTGGTGCCCGTCTCGTATTTGTTCTGTTTTTTTATTGATAATTTTAATACAGAACCAACAAACAGTTAAAAATGATGGGTATGATTTCAGTGGTCCGTGATATTTTATACGAGACAACTACAATGATTCTATCTAGACCGGGTCTGCATCAAAATAAATCTATATTCTCAAGCTGTGTTACCTCCCCTTCCAAAGAATTAACCAAAGCCTTATTGCTCAGCTTTCACCCATGCCACATGCAAAGGCATCTTCCACACAGCTTGACAATTTAGACTACTAAATCTGAGCACTGCATTGTCCACAATAAGTTGGAAGAAAAAAAAAAAAAAAAAGAGTACCTTCTGGGTCAAAGGTCGAGTGTGAGTGGTAATAGTTGATATCTCTTGGTTCACCACAACTCAATAAAATCTGAAGACAAGTGATTGCTGAACATAACCCAACTGACAAAGTGCATACATTGTGTACATTTTAATGTTAAATAATATCATTTTAAGTTAAAAACAGAATTAATGTCAATTCTTTGTTTGGGTTGAAAATGAATGTGATAATCTGATTTCACTACTCTTTAATCTTGAATTGTTTTCTGTGACAAAGATCGGTTTTTGATTATATTCATAGATTATATGAATTTTGAAACATAAGTCAACCATTTTAAGTCAAAACAAAAATTAACAAACCAAATTTCACCAATTCTACCGAATGAAAATTTTAATTTGCTTGCTTGGTTATTATTTATTGAAATAATCCATCAGATAGACCCATTTTATTTCAAACGAAATCCAAGAGACTTTACTTGTTTGAACATACTGATATTTTACAATAAATTGTTAGTCATAACTCGAACACTTTAACATAATATTTTAATGTAAAGATTGTGAACCCACCTTTCGGTAGTTTTTTATTTTGGTCCAGGCAACATGGCGGCACAGCAAACTAAAAATAGCAGTTGACAAAATCAAATACTCGAATTCTATGGTGATCTCATAATTTAGAAACTATAAATTCATAACATTTAAATTTTAAAGAATTTAATTAATATAGTTTTTGAATTTTAAAAATTTACTTGAAATTAGTCACCAACGATTGTTGGGGGTGTTTAAAACCCAACAGCACAATGCTGTGACAATTCTTTAAGTCAGCATGTAAAATATTTAATTGAAACAAGATTTTATAAGAAGAAAATGAATTAAGTGTCACCAACATCAAGTTGGGGGCGTTAAAACCCAACAGCAAATTTGGCTGTGACACATTTAAGTACCATAAAATACAACAGAATGAAAATTAGTCGCCAATTATTATTGGGGGTACTGAAGGACCCAACAGACAGAAAGACTGCTGTGACCCACTTGCCTTATGATCCATAAACCTGTAAAAACTTCAACAAATACAAACACAAAATGAAAAACATCGCCAACTATGTTGGGGGCACTTGCCCAACAGCAACGTAGATAAATTGCTGTGACACAAAATTCCACTTGCCTTGTAAAAGATTTCAGATATCCACTCGAACATTTGACCAAAGTTGACAAATTGGCCATCTTACAATCCAGGTGAAACTTAGACATGCCAAAGCCAAAAAAAAAAAACATGCAAAAAACCTGACAGCGGAACAACTTGAAGACCAAATAACACCCCTCCCTCCAAATTAATGTAACTGTTAGCAACTATATGATGAGGATAAAAAAAATGGACATTAAAATTTGTGTACAACATTGATAAAGCTTTTTTTTCAAAATTCATAAAACTGTCCTAAACATCGAACAAATTTAATCAAAGTTGCCATTTTATATAGCATGTGAATTAATTCTGGTATGTTACAAATATTTAAAACAAAACAATCTACCAGGCCACATATAAAAATAAATATTCTAGTTCACAGATAATCCTACGTCACTTTAATACGGCTGCATGGCCGGTTTTTATTTGTTAAAATGAAACATAAAACAGTCTTATTACTTAATGCAGGTAGATTGATTGATTTGTTGAATGCATCCAGAAAGGTGCAGTAGACTCGTATATCAAGTACACAATCCTCATAAATGATTTGACAATCATGAATGATACTGGATAATCTTACATTCCTATAAACAACATTTAATGCCTTGAAATGGAATGTTTATGGAAGTCATTTAGCCCAGTAGACAAAATAAAAACAAAAAAATATCAACCTTCCTTTGTCATCAGATTTTTGTTAAGGATTGTCTGTGAGAGAGAGAGAGAAAGGGGTTTAACACTCAAACTTGGTCATTTCTGGACTAACATATGGTTCAATTTTATTTCAATAATTCGCTTGTGGGTAGGGGTCTGTAGCAGTGGGCGGAAACCGGAGAAAACCCACGAGATTGGACAGACGACCCTACTCCTTGTCACCCTACTCCTTGTCACTACAACTGGAGGATTATCTGAGAATCAAGATATTTATTTTTTGGTATGACCATATATAGCATTTATTGATATGACAAGCATGACTTACCACAAATATTAACTTGTGGAGATCTGTATGACTCAGGTGAGAAAGCTTACCTTAACAAGATGAATATGATATAATGATAAAAAAAAGAATAAAACAAAATATTTTCATTTATGACCAATAATAAATGATACATATTTAACAACATATATTAATATCTTCCTCCCTGCATCATTCTTCCAGCTCCTCTCATCATTGGGTTACTAAAGGGCATGTTGAATCGATTTCCGGGGGGCATACTCATCTGATTTTGAGCCATAGTTGTTGGCATTCCACCCATCATAGGAGCTGAAAATATAAAACCAAAAACATATTATCCTGAGAGAGAGAGAGAGATAGATAGAGAGAGAAATGGGGTTTAACGTCCACTCGACACAAACTCGGTCATTTTGGGACTAACATGTTTTTTAAAATTTTATTTCAATAATTAGCTTGCGCGTAGGGGTCTTTAGCAGTGGGAGGAAACCGGAGGACTCGGAGAAAACCCATGAGGTTGGACAGGCGACCCTACTCCTTGTCACGTACAACCGCTCATTCGAAACCACGCCAGTTGACTTAATGACAGGCTTTAAGATATAGCGCGCACGTGCTAACCATTCAGCCATCTAACCCCCCATTATCCTGAGAGAATACCTAGTCAAAGTATAGAAGATGCATTATGTAAGAGATAAATCAGCCTTCAGATCTTTTGTTTGGCCTCAAATGTTATATAGATGTTCTTTTAGATATGTTTTATCTATATTATGGAACTCGATCGACCCTCATCATCCCCTTAAAAACTCAAAATCAACTGACATTTTCAAACGTAGACTAAAAACATATCTGTTCCAGTTACACTCTGGAACCGAAGATCCATCATAATCTTTGCAAGTGCACTAGGGACCTGGTTAATATGGTGTTTGTGCGCGATATAAATTTCCATATTATTAATATTATTTCTCCACATGCCAGTTCACTCTGAATTGAGATATTAGCGATTCAATTTTCGATTAGCCTCGATCATCGTTACTAACGTTGGTGTGACAAAAATCAAAGTCTTGATTATCCATATTTACGTTCAATTATCCACTACAAAATGTATTCATATCCACTAAATATCGCAGGTTAACAATGGCATTGAGAATTGATTATGGTCTAGATATGTTTAATTAATGTGTAATTAATAATTTAGATAACATATCAGGCCTAAAGAAAGACCTGCAATAGGCAGATTTAGATGTTTAACAGTATTTTTTTTTTAAATTTTAAAACTTAAAAATTTGAATTACCTGTAAATGCTTTCAAGGAAAGCAATCAAGTAGTTTTTGTTTATAAATTTTGTCAACATGTCCGTTCTCCGTAAAAATAGGAAGCTATAATAATTGCAATTACTGACGGATAAATGATCAAAATTGTGCGACTTAACTGTACAATATGACTTAATCTTTAAAATGACCGATACATTGGACAAGGTATGGGCGTAGAAAAATCATTATTTTGAGTATTATTATTGAGTAACATCTTGGGTTAATAAAAGTTTATTTTACCTTGTGACATTGGTGGTCGCATTCTGGGATTTGGACCTGAAGTAAAATACATAAATGTAATCAAATGAAATGTGCCCACCCAGGGACGATCTTTCCGCTTGGAGAAACGGTGGCTAGGTGAGTAAAGAACTGGCTCGTTAGCCTGGAGGTTGCGGGTTCGCTCCTGGTATTGGTCAAGAAAGTTCATCAGGATTTGCCCTTGTCAGTGGTGCAGGATGAAGTGCGTGTCAAGATCACGTGTAAACATTGGAATGAACGTAAAAGATCCCGTGGCAGTTGGAATTCGATGTAAGAGTAGGCCGTAGTGCCGCTGTCCAGGCACAATTTTCCTCCTAACACACTGTATGGCGTCTTCATTAGCCCAGTTCTTCATTAGGGCAGAACATTTCATTTCAAATTAAATGGTGTTTAACGTTCTACTCTTCTGACCTAATGGAAATGAAATGTGGTTTAACGTTCTACTGTTCTGCACCGACTGGGCTAATGAAGACGGGTATATGCCATACAGTGTGCGATGAGGGAAATTTTACATGACAGCGGCACTACGGCCTACTTTTATTTTAAATACTATGGGGCCTCGTGTCCCTTCCACAAAAATTAGGTCACTTCGGGACTAACATACGGTTCAATTCCATTTCAATAACTTGCTTGCATTTAGGGGTCATTAACTGTTGGAGGAGAGAGAGAGAGATGGGGTTTAAAGTCCACTTGACACAAACTAGGTCATTTCGGGACTAACATAAGGTTTAATCTTTTTATTTCAATAATTTGCTAGTGCATAGGGGTTTTTAACAGTGGGAGGAAACCGGAGGACCCGGAGAAAACCCACAAGGTTGGACAGGCGACCCTACTCCTTGTCACGTACAACCAGGGATTCGAAACCACACCAGTCGACTCAATGACAGACTTTATGATACAGCGTGCGCACGCTAACCATTCAGCCATCCAACCCCCCCCAACTCCTCATCACCCACCGTAAAAGCAGAGAATAAACACCATGCCACTTGACAAACCCCCAACCCCCAAACAAACAACTCACAGAGTGGAAACCACATAGCGTTGCTCTTCTGACGAACCAACGAATCTGATATATTTAAGTATTGAGAATTATGCGCTTGAAATTTGCGTTCTGTTGTTATCTCTGTAGCCATCAAATAATAACATTTATGTAATTGACGTTCAGTGTCCTGATGTATATGTATGAAATATTAAATCACAAATGAATGTTATTATTTGATGTCCACAGATATAACAACAGAACGCAGATTTCAAACGCATAATTCTCAATACTTAAATATTTCAGATTCATCGGTTCGCCAGAAAAGCGACAATAGGTTAATCTAGACAATCTTTCCCGGCAATCACCAGTAGAGAACCTGACACCTCTAGGTTAATAATGATCCAGTGTCTTATGCACTGAGCCATAATGGCTCCCGTGCAATTCAATTTGAAATGAATAGCTGGTAAAAAAAAAAAATTAATATTAAAGTCTGAGATAAAAGCATATAGAAAAGAAGTGACTTCATTTGACACCATAATTTAAAATATTTTCACCAAGTCATCCTTACTTTTACTTTAGTTTGTTATGAATTAGCGAAAGAGAGAGAGAAATTGGGTTTTCTGTCCACTCGACACAAACTAGGTTATTTCGGAACTAACATATGGTTCAATTTTATTTCACTAATTTCCTTAGCGTAGTGGAACCTGAGAAGACCCACAAGGTTGGACAAACGACCCTACTCCTTGTCACATACAACCGGGGAATCGAATTGTTATGAATTATAATTATATGTATATCATGTGACCTACCTGACATCATACCAGCTTGTAACATCATTGGTTGCATAGAACTAACCATTGTTTGTGATGTACTGATAGGTCCAGATGATTTCTTATATTGGGGTAATGCAGCACGATATTCCTCCTGAAAACACATGATAAAATACAATCTCATTAATAAACAACTAAAATATACCCCCCGCCCCCAAAAAATTACAATTCTTATGTGCAACTTTATAGTCTTTTTTTTTGAAACACAATTTAAAAATCAGACTTCAAATACAAATTTTCTCCCATACAGAATTTAATAAGAAAATTGTAAAAACTTTCAAGAGAATGTCTACACTCCGTAACAGGGCCGGATTTACTAATAGGCATAGTAGGCCATTGGCTTAAGGCCCACTGAAACTGATCGGTCGTGCAATCAACCAGCGTAAAACCTTGTTTCAAGATAGGATACTGAGACAGGACATTTCTTTAACTTTGTGGTTCAATTGATAAATGTGGCCTAGGGTCCCTGACGTGTAGGTAAATCCGACCCTGCTCCCCTTCAACCAGTTTCTATGGATCAGATGTTTACCTCACCTCTTAAACACTGAATCTCCGTACAAAACATTCTCTCCCAGACTTAATCTATGATCCCAAAAATCCTCTCCTACGACAAATTTCACATATATAGTTCACATGTTACCAAGAATGAGTGAGGCCTCAATAAAACTTGAATATAACAGTTGCTAAAACAGATCTTTATAAATATTTCCGGCATAATTTGCAACACAACTTTTGATCAGACACAATCTGATAAAAAAAACACAGACCCTTTTTCGTTTTGTTTTTTTATAGTTCAAAATTTCGTTTTACTTGTCTTTACTACACTAGGATCTGGAAGAGTTATTATATAACCTGCGTTCTGGTTGATGTGAAGGTATAGCCAATGAAACGGTTTGTTACAGTAAGCTCTTCGAGTGCGGTGAACAGAACTGTGGGTATCCTGATAGAAACATAAATGCTGATTGGTTAATGTAGTGTAGGCCATCGAAAGTATAAAAAAACCCAATAAAGATCTGTATTTTAACCAGATTGAATCAGACATCTTGCTGATAAAAGGAAGTCTAAGATACAATGTTCAATGAGAAAAACTAAAGCATAAATCCATCCTTATTTTGTTGTTCAAACAAGGACACCCTTAATCTATGACTCTGTTATTTAAATGAGAAGCAGAGACTAGAGAGAGAGAAATGGAGTTGGACTGTCTCCACTCGACAGATGTTATTACAGACTATATAACTTTATGTAACAGTTATAAATAGCTACTAGGACTAACCTCGAATTTATCTGCTGTACGTCAAACTTTAAGAACATAACTTACCAATGATATATCCTCATCAGGATGCATTAACTTAGAGGTCAAACCTGAGGTGGACTCGGGCTTTTTTATCATAGGGGCACCTGTTATTGTAGCACTAGACGACACCGACGCTGCTGCTGCTGCGGGGAATGTGAGTTTAGTCGGACCAGCTGACTGTGATGAATTCATTGAACCAGGAGGATGTGACTGAAAACAAAAAAACATTATCATATAATTGAAATGAAATGGGGTTTAACGTCCTACTGTTATGCTCCGACTGGTTTAATGAAATGGGCACACTGATCAGCAGTGAATTTTTTCGCTAGGTCGCTACAATCACTGATAAGGATGACATCGATGCGACTTAATGAGCCAGAAATATTAACTTTTTTCCTGCGACAAATTAAATTCTAAAACATTTTTTTTTATGCATTGGAAAAATAAATAAAGGCGTTTGACGTATTTGTAGGTAAAAATTATTTCCTATTTAATGTAAATGGGTATTAAAATGACTAAAAGGCAGCATTCCGCCCGAAGCAGTAATGTCTTATGTAAACAATGCATGCGCCATTCAGTCAATGATTGACGACGCATGCTGTGACGGCACGTGTTAAGGCAGTCATCTTTGACAGAGATATTACTCTAGACTTGTAATTCTCAGTGAAACAGATTGTGAAATGGGGTTTAACGTAACACTGTTCTGCTCCGGTCTAATGAACACACAAAAACTAATTATTTGCTTGATAAAGACGAGAGTATCATCGTCAAAACGTTGCATGTTAATCAACCAGTAATTGTAATTCAGTAAATAATATTATGCGTGTTACAGTTCAATTACTAAATGCCACTCAAAGATGATCTAATGAGCACGGGCATACCCCATACAATGTGTTATGAGGGAAATTTTTCCAGACAGCATGAAAATTGAATTCAATTCTTTCAAATTTTAAAGAAATTACTTGTTACATATACAAGTAGATATCATATAACTTTGGTTTAATCGGAGGACATAAAGATCTTGAATAGAAGTTTCCACAGTGGACTGAAGGTTTTAAGGGAATTAACTCTAAGGGGTGTTAAGGGAAGTGTGAAATAGGATTACAAGTGGGAATATTTGTCCTTTAAATCGAACCATTAAAATTATTGTACATGGACAAAACCCACAATGTTCGACAGGCGACCCTACACCTTGTCACATACAACCATTCTAGTTGACTCAATGACAGACCTAATGATACAATGTGCACGCTCTAACCATACGGCCATCAATACCCCACCTGTCCTTGTTAAACTTTACTAATTAGATTAAAACGTTTTATAAATACCTGCACGCGCTAACCATTCGGCCATTCACCCCCCCCCCCACCTGTTCTTGTTAACCCTCACTAATTAGATTAAAACATTTTATAAATACCTGCATCACCCCACCTGTACTAATTGGATTAAAACGTTTTATAAATACCTGCACCACCCCACCTGTACTAATTAGATTAAAATGTTTTATAAATACCTGTGCTGCTGAAGGAAATAAAGGGCGTGGAGGACCAGATTGAGGTGGTGGTCTTGGTGGCATGCCCATAGGTCCCATATTAGGTGGCATATTGGGTGGCATGTTAGGTGGCATCCTGGAAAATAGATCATGATAATATAACAGCCATATACTTTATTTGCATCTGTTCTCTATAGCTGACAACTTACTGAATATTACAAATTCATTAAAAGTTTGATGCATTATTTGCATTTTCCCTAAAACATCAAATTTCTCACGACTTAATACACGCGAACATGCACTTAATTAAGAAAACAAAATCAGTGGGACTGGGAGATAATCTTCAAGATTGGATTTAAACTAGGCCCATCAGGTTTCTCCGCTATCAATAAAATTGAAATGGGGTTTAACGTCCAACTGTTCTGCTCCGAACTGGGCTAATGAAGACGAGGATACGCCATACAGTATGCTATGAGAAAATTTTGCCTGGACAGCGGCACTATGGCCAACTCTTATATCGAATTCCAACTGTCAAGGAATCTTTTACGAGCACGCCAATGCATACACCGGATCTCGGTTTATCGTCCCATCCGAACGACTAGACAGCGCTGTCAGAGTGAACAATCTTTTAAGTGTTATATAATGAACTTACCCCATATGTCCCATATGACCTGAAATACAGATAAAAAAAAATTAATTTTATTTAATAGAACAATTATTGCAAATTTACAGATTTGTCATCAAAATTAAAATTAATGGTGCCGAATTCGAACATTTTAAATAATTCTATTGGAATTCATTAGCTTAGTGTGAAATCACCAACCTTTTTATTCTGTACGAATAACTTCTGGTAAAATACAGAAAAGATTTCTACCTACCCATCGGTGGCATCGGACCCATTGGTCCCATAGGGCCCATTGGTCCCATACCCATAGGAGGAGGGGGCATTCCAGGTGGAAAATTCATATGTCCCGGAGGTCCCGGCATACCAGATCCGAACGTTGACGGTTGAGCTGGATTACTATTATCATCATCTGAATCCAACGCACTGCTACCTTGACCTATAAACAGACGGGGAAACTTGCTAACATTGTGATAATATAAAATGTTCAGTCCATGATGAACGATTTAAAGTAAGATCGCCACCCGTACCTGCATACTAGATTCGCCGGTGGCTACCAGTTTGTCGTTAAATTATGGCATTAACAAAGTTTAACCAGAACCGACCTACATTTTTATGGACCCATGTTGACATCAGGGCTCTATAAAAGTTGAGTGTGCCTGGGCACACACTTGAAAATGTGCCTGCAGGGTCATACTGAAACACAGGGATGTAGCCAGGATTTGGTGAGTGGTGTTAAAATATATTTGGCGAGCTGAGCTAGAACGAAAAAATTTTATGAAAATTAAACCCTTCTTGGTGTATTTTCAGAGCATCTGCTGCCTTTTGTATTTGGTTCAGTGCAAATCAAATTTCCATTTATATATTCAAATTTTACCAAATTCACTTAATTTTCATCAATGATACAGGGATCTAAAAACTTTTTGACACCACCCGATCGAGCATAAAATTGTCCCGCCCCACTCTGTTTCTCTGGATAGATAAGTTGAGGACCTTTCGGTATTTGTTGGGTTTTTTTTTCAAATATTATTTTATTACTTTGAGATTAAAAATTATTAAAACGGTGTTTGTGTTTTATTTGAGTACAACAAATTATGACAACAGGTAGATATTGATAATTAAAACACGTTGTATTATTTGACTTGTTTGTAAAGTTGTTGTACGTGTCTCACGAATATTATTATTATTACGGTGGAATGAGAATCAGGTCAGGCAGAAACCGAGAAAGCTCTCATCGTCCTCCTAGTCCTACTCTCGGGCCGTAGCAAATCCACGGTCAACACAGGTAAGAAATAAAATAAGATCATCGTGAAAATTTGCAGGCACGTGTTGGACAATTACGACATTCAAATCTTTAACATTGGAGTGCCGTAAATTGGTCTGGGTGACCTATTTACGGCAAATAAAGAAATATAAAGACCGTAGAATAATTGTAAAATGAATAGACCTAGGCCTACACATCTAAGTATAAATAAACAAAATACCAATACATCTTTCTTTAAACTAATTTGGGATGATAGGGTCTACTACGGCACACAAAAATAAATTATGCCGTGACAGACATGGTTTGCGTACGTCGGCTTTTACCATGGCTTTGCCGTTTGATTGCCGTGGTAAATTTCGAGCGCCGAGTTTGTGTACAGAGAAGGACGAAGGGGTTTAAATACGACTGGGCCTTTTTCGATTTTTTCTTTGTGCTGGGCGGCAAAAAATAGTGCCAGAGGGCAGGTGCTGCCCGACGTGGCTACATTTTTAAAAATGTGCCTGCAAAAAATTTTTTTCAAGCAAATGTGCGTACGATGTGCGCGGAAATATCGATGCCTGGTTGACATTCAACATCACAAGAACATTCATCACCAGCAGTACCTTGATTGAAAAATAAACTGGTTTCCTTTCTACTGCCTGATTAAAATACAGATCTATATTTCGTTTCATTTTTTTTTACTTTCAATGGCCTACACTACATGAAGATCTAACCAGTTGTACTGGAAGGTCGCGTCAGAGGTCATACGAGCGACTTTTGACCATATGATGTCAGACATTTGATTAACCAATTAGCATTGATGTTTCTAGTGGATTACCCACAGTTCCGTGCACCTCACGCCAAAAGCTCGTCGTAACAGACTGTTTCCTAAGATAAATTAGGCGATCAGTTGTTTCAAATTACCTCAGAAATATTCTTGAAATGAAATGGGGTTTAACGTCTTACTGTTTTACACGACTGGGCTAATGAATACAGACATATGCCATACACTGCATTATGAGGGACATTTTACCAGGACAGCAGCACTACGGCCTACTCTTTCGAATTCCCACTTTTATGTGGACGGCAATGTGTACACAGGACCTCAGTTTTCCGTCCCGTCTAAACGACCCGACACTGTTCCTTGTAAGGCCCTCCCGTCCTGCATCAATGATAATGGGGGAAACCACGCCGGAAAATCTCAAGGAACTTTCTCGGCACAACCAGGAGAAAACCTGAGACCTCCTGGTAAGCGAACCATCAGCCACTGCAGCACCAAATATTTTTGAAACAAGGTAGAATAACTTACCCGGTCTACTATTTTTACTACGTTCATGTTCTTTTAAATCATCTGGAGGTATTCCTTCCATACCATATATTTCTATTTCTACATTATTTCTACCAGGTAAAGAATTTGGAACTTTGTCTATTTTTTCTTTGTGAACCTGAAATACAACATGCACATACATTTTTTCAATATTAGAAGCATTTTAAGATATATAGATAATTAAGTTTTGACTAACATGCCTGTCCATAAATTGGATGGTTATCTTTTTAATTACATGTACATGTACATAGAGAAAAGATGGTGATTTTAGAATCTAACCACCAAATTTAACAGATATTACTTGAGGTTACGATGATGACAGGTGCCTCTTTCTCTATTTCATGTTGACTGCCAATATAAATTCACGAAAACTGATACAGTTCATAATTTTAAACGTCTTTTAAAATCTTTTGATTTGTGTCTGGCCAAGCCTGCAACAGGTGACTAATACCCAGGGTAGTTGCTCCGACCGGGCTAATGAAGATGGGCATATGCCATTTAATGTGCTACACTACAAGGGAAATTTTGCCCTGACTGCTGTGCTACGGCCAACCCTTTTTTTTTTTTTGAACTTCCAACGGTAAATGTTTCCTTTACATGCACGCCAATGTGTACACAGACCTCGGTTGTTCATCCCTTCTAATTGATATGGTGTCCCTTGTTAGGCCTTCCGTCCTATTCCTACACCACTGCCAATGCAGGGATTGAACATGGGACCCCAGCTTAGCGAGCCAACATCCTACTCACTGAGTCACTGTGGCTCCCAACATTCCAGATGAATTATAATTATCTAGAAGAGAGAGAAATGGGGTTGAATGCCCACTTGACTTAAAATAGGTCATTTTGGGACTAACACATGGTTCAATTTTATTTCAATAATTCGCTTGTGCGTGGGAGTCTTTAGCAGTGGGAGGAAACCGAAGGACCAGGAGAAAACCCATGAGGTTGGACAGACGACCCTTATCCTTGTCACGTACAACCGGGGAAATGAAACCACACCAGTTGACTCAATGACAGACCTTAATGATACAGTACGCACAGGCTAACCATTCAGCCATCCAAACCCCCAATTATCTAGAAGATTTGTAAACTGTACCAAATATTGAAGTAAGAGTTTTACTCACCTGCATACAGTGTATAGACAGACCAGGACCAGTATATAATTTTTTGTGACATACATGACATTTAAAATGCTTTGCTTTTTGATGTTGTATTAATATTTTTTCATCATCAAATTCTCTGTTACAATACCTTTAGAGAGTTAAGGCAAATAAATGAACATTGATGATTAATTTCAGAGCCAGGTAATTGGGCCCATTTCTACTCTCTGAACCATCGTAAATTTTAAACGGATTTCTCTGATTATAAATGAACTACTTAACGTTGGTTATTATAAACTTACCTGTGTGTTTGAAATCAACTCCTGTTAAATAAAATCCATTGCACAACTAATTATCCCAACGAATAAAAAAGTTCTCTCTTGAAAAATTGAAATCCCACAAACTTTTGACACCGAAAAGTACCAATATGGAAGCAGATAAGGTCACTCTTCGGGAGATATCATTTCGCATAAGGGGTGACAGCATAGCAAATCAAAACGGTTTTCGGTAATTTTATGACAATTTACACACATAACTGTCTGTATTTTATTTATTTTGTTACCGTCTTTTACATCTAGTAAAATCTCTGCAAATTTTACAACTTTAACTTTTGAAATATTTTGTTTTAATTATTTGAAGCAGTTATTATTTGATCGAAAGAATGCTATCAAATTAACAATACACTCAGAGACTTCCAAGGTGAGCTTCATGATCCTTGTTAAATTATTATAAAACAAAGAAGATAGGATATTTTTAGTTTATATATGACTTTATTTTTACGAGTATAAGTGAAATCAATGATATTTTCATTGTGAATAAAATTTAATAAACTGGCGGATCAATGGTTCCAATATAAAAATCTCTTATGTAATTGCCTTCCGTTCATATTTTTCGTTGCCCAAACTCAAACGATCGTGGTTTGTTTTCATTGTTGGGATATTTAGTTGTGCAATGGATTTTATTCAACGGGAGTTGATGATTTAAACACACAGATAAGTTTATAATAACCAAAGTTAAGTAGCTTGTTCATAAACGAAGCGAAGAAATTTGTTTAAAATTTACCATGGTTCAAGCAGTTAGACAAGAACCAGTCAATTCTGGGGGTGTATTTTTTAAATGACATTTGTGGTGGATGACGGTCAGAAAGATAAAATGCTATTTTTATCCGTTATATCAACCCCTCAAAGGCTTAAAGATAGGTTCCCAGAAAAGTATTTATTGGGTTGTTATTTCCAATAAAAGTATGGCAATTTTGGATATGGAAAGTAGAAACATCCAATCTTATTAGAAAAATACTGGATGCCCTGAAAAACACTCATGGGGCGCATACAGGACAAAACTGTAAGGGTTTCCCTATAATCAACAGCCCAACGATTAGGAGTGTCTGCACGCGTGACATCAAAGGTCGCACGCGGAGATTGAGTGCTTGATGTACATGTTGATAAACTTTATGAAGAGTTTGACGCACAACAGTTTCTGAGTTAAAAACCACAGAAAAAACTTGGGCAGTTGATAATCTGAGAATTTAATTAGGCTTCGATATTTGTAATAAATAGTCAGCAATTAAAGACAACATCGTCTTTTGTATGCAATGAATTCTCCTCCGACTTCACCCCCGTTGCTAGGTACCGAGAGAGGTAAGTCACGTGACAAAAATATGACCTCTTTTGATTGATTTTTTTATAGTAAGGGTATTCCTTTACAATCACAATATTTTGAGAAGGATTTGAAGCAAAATTATGATAAATTAATTAATTTGAATATGTTTTTAGTCCAAATATATCATCAAATCACCCAGTTTGTACGCGGGAATGTATCTTTAAATGTTCTTCAGAACTATTATCCGATTCTTTCAATGAGCAATTAATGAAAGAAAATAATTCCTGTAAATTAACTCAATAGTATAATAATATTATAATTATATAATTAATTCCATATAAAGCTTTGTTGAGACCCATACAAAATATAATAGCAGTCAAGTATTGTGGAAAACTAATTGTAGGATGAAGAAACCACCCAAATCTCAGCATGAACCTGCTTGTGGCCCATGTCCATGTGGCAGGCAACGATCCAATAGTATACAACAAGAACCGCTGTTCCATTTATTCTTCTAGTGATTAATTCTCTGATTGGAATTTTTTTTCTTATGCAATCCGAACATAAATTATTCCAATCTTAAATAAATTATTATTCACATGCTTGCGTAATTGTAATAAACAGTAGATCTATGGTAATTTCACAAACTGAAATATAGTTTGTCTCAAAAAAGAAAAAAAAAGGTCATTGACTTGACTCATTGCTTCCATTGTTCCTAATTACGACAAATTTTTGGCTAAATTGGGCCGTATTTTATATTTTGTTTCTATTTAAAAAGGATACCAACACCAAGGTTTTATTTGCTTCTTCTTCTTTCTTCCCATATTGGTAAAATATTGACTGTAAAACTCTTGTTAAAATAAACTTTCTTGACCGCACTATTACAACGATTTCAACATGGCGATATTGCCTTCCACATGACCCGGATGTACAGGGATCAATTATTATTTTTACCACCCAATATATTTGTGAAATATTATATGAGGTCGAACTCTTAACATTTTATGCAATATTTGGTTATTTTATAATCTTTGTACTAAGTTGTTAATATCGGTATTTGTACAATTAAAACAGAGTATTTAAATTCATAGTCGTTAGAAAATAAGCAATGATAGCTCCCAAAAGGCACTCAAAATTAAACTGCAGCAAGATCTTCTGCTTCTGCCGGATAATGTACGTCCACAATCAAGATGTTGATTATAATGACATATATATTTATTTCCAGTGCACGGATACACAAATCATTATAGATAGATAATGTTCAATTATACAACGGAATTGCAATGAAATGCATTTATAGCTTCATACTTTTCTGCTTTAGGACTACCATGGACCTTATTTATTATATGTATTTAATAGTATTATAAGGTCCATGGGACTACCCGAACTAGGCTAAATAAATGTAGGCTACCATGAAATATTGTCTGGGCAGGGCTGGGGCGAGGGCCTACCCTGAGCTGAGGACGATATAATTTCGAACTCCAAAGCACAACTCAGTTTTCCGTGTACGGAAATTCCTAGCAATGAGTAGCAATTTACTCGACCAGCAGTGGGTTTGAACCTCGGATATCCTGGTTAGTGAGCCATGCAGCGCCCTAATTTAAGCTAATAATTAAGTTATGGTTAACTCATACATGTATTGTACCATGGTTCCTAGTAATGTATTAACCGACGAGCGCTTTTTTTTTTCAAAAATGGCCAAAGTATTGCCAAAAAGTTACGGACAAATCATATCCAAAATTTAAATCATTTCATAAAAGACTAACAATTATGAATAATTGAAATTTAGACAAAACCATTCTATAGTTTTAATCACTGATAAGAATCAACAAGAGGACACCACTCCATCCTACACCACTGACAATGGGGACACAACTCCGCCCTGCACCACTGACAAGGGGGGGACACCACTCCACCCAGCACCACTGACAAGGGGACACCACTCCGACCGGCACCACTGACAAGGGGACACCACTCCGACCAGCACAACTGACAAGGGGACACCACTCTGACCGGCACAACTGACAAGGGAAAACCAAACTGGTAAAACCTGTGAAACTTTCATGGCCTGTACCTTACTCATTTTGTGGGTTTTCTCCGGGTCTTCCGTTTTCCTCCCATTGCTATAGACCCTACTGAAAAACCATATGTTTGTCCCAAAATGATCTAGTTTGCCTGAGTGTATGTCAGACCCCATACTTATTGTGCCACTTATTATGGCTCCTGGGTACTGGTAATACTTTACAAATGTACTTCACGACCATATAATGCTATGTACAGTACTAGTAGATCCAGTATCATTGAAGAGGAGGAGTAGTTTCAAATCTAGGGCGCCATCTACAATCCCACTCCACACTGAATGTCAACCAAATATTAATAAAATGGATAAAATAACACTTGAGCACCCTGGTAGAACGTCATAGATCGTATTGCCTATATAGTGGTTCGCCGAAAGCAGTTTTATTCAAGTTAACATAAAGTTCATGTCATATTATGATTGTTATTGGTTTTGTTGTTATTTATCTTGGGGGCACCTGAATGCTACCATTCTGGATTACAGTACTCTGATTATTATAAAGACACGACAGATTGGTTAAAGTTGCAATTTCATATTTTTACGTTATATTTTTAAAATGTATTAAAATAAAGCCTTAAAATAGATGGTATCTATAAACAGTCCTACAGTCCTATTAATCCTATAATTCACTATTGACAGTTGAGAAAATGGCAAAAATATCATTTTCCTCTTCAAATTCAAACGTTTGATGATAGCTACTCCATGGTGGAGAATAGAAAACAAGGGAGGTAATTGGGAGGTAATTCTGTTATTATTTCCGGTGTAAATGAGTTTTAAGTGTGAGAATGACACCTATGATCGTATAATAGTGAGTTGACAACCTATTGAGCAAAAGACATAGAAATAATTATGTTTTGACTTTCTTAGAAAATATGAAATTGTAACTTTAATTTTGCATTTTCGACCAATAACAACTTGTCACAATCATCTGATAGAAATGCTGAAGGGGTTTGACCATTTTGATTTACATTCGGCCAGGTCAAATGAATCTATGAGTCATAGGTTATTCCCCTAAATCATATCTTTTTACCTCCTGATCTGTCTGTCTTCAAATAAGAAAACCTACCCCTATACAGTCTGCTATGAGGGGAATTTCGTTGGAACGGTGCAATGGCGTACTGTTATTTCAAATTCCAAGGGTTCTTTTATGTGCATGGGATCTCTGATTTTCGTCCTGTCTGAACAAATAAACACTGTCCAATGCCAAGAACTCTGTACCACTGACAAGGGGAAACCACGCTGGAAAAAACCCAGCCCAAGGTACATTATCGGGGAACACCAGTATCGAACGGTGGGGCGTTCAGGTTAGTGAGCCAGTGCCTTATTCACTGAGCCACTTCAATTTGGGGTGGGGCTGGTGTCTGAGTGTTGCTGTCATGGTTTTGATCCGTTGTGTGGCTTGGGGCGACTCCTCAACCTGATGGATTTACTCTAAAACCTATGATTTCCTCCCAAATGGAAAGACCCCAGCGTGTGCACTAATCATAATTTAATAAGACAACTTGTCTGCGATATCACCCTCGGGTGAGGGGGGTGTCTGAGAGTTCTTGAGTGTTGCACTTTGAGCTCTAGCTGGTTTGCTGTTTTGATCCCTTGTGTGGCTTAAGCAGTGGACACATTAGCCGAATCGTTCGGCCGAATTAATCGGCGCCGAATTTTATTCGGCCGAATGGGTGGACACACTAGTCGAATGCTTCGCCCGATTCAACCTGCCGATTGCATCACCTTTCACGTCACATGATTAAACATGGCCGCGTCTATGTCTTCAATCTATCACGTGACTTCTCGATATGAGTGGTGATTGGCTAATGAATTCTATATTCGTCCGAATGCTTCGGCGAAGCGGACACACCAGGCGAATATAATTCGCCCGAATATATCAAACCTGTTTGATTCGGGCGAATCATTCGGCCGAATGATAGTGGACACACTAGGCGAATTTCGACGCCGATTGATTCGGCCGAACGATTCGGCTAGTGTGTCCACCGCTTTAGAGATAGAGGCGACTTCTCAACCTTGTGGGTTTACTCTTGGTAGTCCGGTTTCCTCCCACAAGAAAAACCCTGCACGTGCACTAATCACAACAAAATAAGACACTTGTCTGTGATATCATGGGGAGGTTGGATGGCCGAATGGTTAGCATGTGTGCACTGTACCATAAGGTCTGTCATTGAGTCAACTGGTGTGGTTTTGATTCCCCAGTTGTACGTGACAAGGAGTAGGGTCGTGAAAAGGAGTAGGGTCGCCTGTCCAGCCTCGTGGGTTTTCTCTGGGTCCTCCGGTTTCCTCCCACTGCTAAAGACCCCTACGCGCAAGCGAATCATTGAAATAAAATTAAACCATATGTTAGTCCCGAAATGACCTAGTTTGTGTCAAGTGGATGTTAAACCCATCTCTCTCTCTTTCTCTCTCTACGCGATATCACACTTGATGGAAGTGGATGTTAATCACTAATAGAAGAATAAAAAGACATTTTATTTGCTGTTCAGCTTCCTGTATTTATTGCATACAACAATCAGCACCATTAAACCTGGTCAAATATCATTCATATTTAACATCCATTCATATACAGAAACAACAACAATATACAACATACAGGCATTTAAAATATATTATTCCACACGGATATATAGCACTTCTACAATAACAAACAATACATGATCTCTTTTATAAAAACAAATCAATTTTAGACCACAACAATTTTTGGTTGTTCAAGTAATTCTTAATTTATCAAGATCCTTAAAACTTAAAAATTGGTGTGGCCTTGTTTGTAAGTTTGCAAGAATGTAGAATTCCACGATTAAGGGTTAGGTCTAAATATTAATGCCAACTGCAGATTTGGTCAAAGGTAATGAGATGTTAACAGGGCTATTGCGCTATCCCTAATCCCAGTGCTACCCTAACAGAAAACTTGTAATCAATCACATGCCCTAACCCTATTTACATCTCACGACGACCATGACAAAATCTGCAGTTGGCCTTAATATTTAGACCGAACCTGTGACAATATTATTTCACAGGCATATAGCACTTTTACAATTACAAACAAATAATGCACAATCCCTTTTATTAAAACAAATCAATCCTGGGTAACACCAATTCAAAATTTCTGCTTTCAATTTTCCCCCGGTAAAAACGCATTAATTTAAAAATAACAAATATTTTGTTATTCAAGTGATTTTCATTATTTATTTAACAAGACCATGAATAACTAAAAATTAATTTGGTGTGCCCTATAATCATTGTAAGTTTGCAAGAATGTACAATACCACGACAGACAATCTGTTAATATATTTCACATAAAAATTGACAACATTAAACATACATTATGCAAGAGCTAAATCTGCCTATTGCAAGTTTTTCTTTAAGCCTTAAATGTTATATAAATTATTAATTAACTGATCCAGGCCATAATCAACTCGAGATGGCATCAAATTTCTCTGATATTAAATAGATTAGAACGGTTCAGCCATATTTTGATTTAACATTTTAAGCTAAAAATCCTGGAGCGAGACTTAGCTTCGAACAACCAGTACGGTGGTTGAAATTATTGCACATGTCTTTTCAAACCTTCAAAGGCTAATATCTCCACTCGCAATTAAGTAATTTGAATGAAATTTTCAAATTATTCATTTTACATTATCTATTTTCGAACTGTTATAGCAAGAATGACTAGCTCTTTATCTAAATCTTACATAATGTATGTTTAAATAACAATGTTGATAAATATCACAATGGTTAAATAAAATTATTTAAAGTTGATATTGTTAAAAGAAGAAGAAAAACTGTTATCAATTTAATTCCAGATCAGTGTGTATTTATAACTAAATTATATAATAATT